ATTGTGAGTAATTCAGGGAAAGAGGAGCAGGAGTGCTTGTATCAAATACTGCATCATACTACAGTATGACATGAGGGGTTTCTGACACTGTTTTTCCACCCCCCGTGGCAGAGATATGTCCATCTGGGTTTGCCAGGTTCTATCACCCAAAAGTTGCCACCAGCGCCTCCTGTGGGGAGTGGGTGCTGGGCATCACTATACAACATACAAGGCCATTGCTTGCTGGGAAAGTGTCTGTTTACCCAGTGAAATAGCTTGATGATGACCAATCCATGTGAGGGGTCTGGTCTCAGCACTGATCTCAGCACCCACTAGGTTTGACAATACTTAGACCACTGCCCAGGCAAAGGGACAGCGACATGTTTTCTTATCTCAGGCGTACTCTTACAGGGTCCCCTATAGACTAGATCTTGTTATTTCTTAAAGCAATATTCACATCAACTTGCCCTGAGGGAATCAGTGCCCATGATATGGAATATTTAGCCTCTTCACTCTGAAAAGCAAGTCTACAATTTTAACTGACTGTTATTTTGCAACACCTGATGACTGAAGGCAGCTGAATTTGACAGCATTTCAACTAAACTGCAATAAACTCTTTAAAATCGACAGAAGTTTCTGTTAGTTTATAGTGAAGCCTTCTTTCAGCAAGACAACACCTTAAAGCTTGTTTAACTTGAAGTCACCAACGGGGGAAAATTACATTGCATAATTATTATCTTAAGAACTGGGTTATATGTTTCCTCAAGCAAAAGTTCTTCCTCCCTCATTATTTTACATTTTTACGTCCAATGTCATTTTTCTCTGTCTGTTGTTCTTCTGACGGCACAGGTAGTATATCTGAAATCAGTGGTTGTTCTTTTTCTCATCTCAAACCTTCACATTTGGTCAGCTTTACTGCCGCTCTGCCTGGAGAAGCTACAGCCAGGTGGTGACGCTACATGTGGCACATGGCACACAGCAGAGATATATGGGGCTGTGGCCAAATCCCAGAGTCTGTGAGCTGCCCTCACCAAACAATCTGCCACCAGAGAGGATGAGGATGAGCAGAGGACCCTGTCTCTGATACAAACAATCTGGTGGCCATAGAAAGAGCTGTTTTTTTAATGCATCAAAGGGGGTAAAGCAATTCAGATTAAATGTTGATATTATATTATGCTGACGTACTGAGAGTATCTGCGGACAGAAACAGATGTTAGCGTGCTGTCATATTCAGCTTTTTCCATCAGTGACTGATAAGAATCACAGCAGACTTTTTTGAAAATCTGATCTTGATTATATTTTATAAAAAATCATATTCAATATTTTGAAACCACATTTAAACTTTGGTTTTGGGATTTTCAGTGAAAGAAGTAGATAACTTCATGAAGTCTACTGAAAGTAGTTAAGACTTTGATTTTTCAATCTGTCTTGATAAACAAAATTGTTTTGATTGAGACACAGATTTGTTATGGCAGATAACTTTAGTCTGACAGAGAGAAATAGAACTCAGCCTGAGTAGATATTCATGGGGCTGTATGGTCACAGTCTACAGTCTCATATGTCTACAGTCTACTATGCAATTTATGCTTTTAATGGATCGAAAAAATTACCCCCACTTTGTACTTTACAGGATTTAAACCACAGTGACTGGATTTTTTTCTGACGTGAAGATTTATTTGAAATTTGCAGGTCTGAACTTACTCATGCTTTAAATTGGTACAACATCAACAGGTTTAGTCTGTGTGTTTGAGTCCATCAAGTGTTTGTCATTCCCAATGGGATTTGACTTTGAGCAGTTGTTGTGAATAAAGATTTGAGGTTTAAAGACAAAAAAAAAAAAAATGTACCAGCTGCAAATATGTTAAAATCTTTTTTCGGACCGCATTGGTTCACTTTTAAACACTAGGGGCTGATACTTGGTTCAAAATCAAAGTGGCTCTAAATCTAGTTTAACACACACTAATAGATGAAAACTGTTATTTATATGTACTGCACAAACAATGATATGAATTAACTGAGGCCCTTGAGATTTCCTGCAATTAAAACAAAAGATTATTATTGATTTTATGCTGATGTTTGTGAAAACCTGCATTTTAGGGCTTTCAGCCTTGGTCTGGAGTGCTTCATTTTGGCAGATTTTTCATTGGTATAATGTTAGACACAGCCAGTGGGTGTTACTTTTCACACAGCTTCACAAAACAACCTTAAAGTTATGCTTTTACAAAAACATCTGAGGCTAGTTGTTAGCTCCCACTTAGCTCCCCATGTGTGTATATCATGTTAAACTTTACCATGGTTTGGCCTGGACATCTGACAATGTGGCATTGTATTTATGCATTAAAGTATGAATCATTGTAACATGTCCACATTTACAACATCTTACCATGGATCAAATTTCATTTTAGGAACTTATCTTCTTTATTATTAAACTCTTCTTCATGTAGAGTGTTCATATTTTAGAATATTTTATATATCTCAAATTTGTTCATTCAGTCCATGTACAGCACAACTTTGTATTTTCTTACAGCGAATTGAAAACTTTTGAAGGTGATACTAAGACAGAGCTGCTAAATTATCAGTGTTTAATTCAGACTGTTTGTCTCCTTCCACAAGTGGCCAGAAAATAAACTACAGTTGAGCGCAAAGTGTGTGAAGGTACTCTTAGATGTTTGATTTGATTATTCAGGCCATTCATTGACCTTCCTTTCATCCCAGATTTTTGATAAACTCTGTTACAAACAGCAACCCAAAAACTGAGAAAGAGTGCACCAAAATCCTGTTGCACAGTATGACTAAAATCCCCTCCAGCTGTGGGCTTGGCCCTCTGAAAGCTGCATTCTGATTGGTCACACTTTCATGGGTTTGAATCCCCTTCATGACCTTTGTCAAATGTCATCACCGCTCTGTCCCTGCAATGTTCTGCGTCACTTTCCATTTTATACCATCTATAATAGGAAGCCATAAAAATAATCTTTACTATCAGTGCGAGTCTGAGAGGAGAATCACCACCTCATTACCACTCCTGTCTGAGGGGCTGATTATGGGATGGAAGGAGCTGAGCCCGGGGCGTCCTGGTGGATCACTCAGTTAATGACTGCATGGGCTTATTCCACACTGTTGCATCTCTTTCCCTTCACCTTCCTGCCTTTTTCACTTTACCTGTGATTGAAAGAAATAGGGAAAAGGAAAGGAAATACTGTGCAACATGGATCGTCTTCTCCTTTTCAACAAGAAAGAACCAAATCTCTACAAGAGGAGCAGTCAAATCTAACTCAATTATAGCCTGTTACCTCCCTGGATCCTTTTAATGATCGCACACAGACAGAGCACTGTGATCCCACTGTGAAACACCCTGTGATGAAATAGACCATTGTCTGTGTCCTCGCCCCAATATGCTAATCCAGGATTAATTATGGGCCAGCCCTAATGAGTATCCCTCTCGCCCTCTTAGATATGTAAATGTGCCAGCAGTGGACAGTGTTGAGAGGCTTTTGTGAACCGTTCTATAAAAGAGATACAGAAAGAGGCGCATACAATAGTTTAGAAGCCATAGATTATCTTTAAAATGCATCGCTGCTGGAAAAACAAGGCTTATACTCCAAGGGTAAAGGGAATACACGTACAGAGAGGGAAACAGAATTAAATATAGAAAACACAACTTGAGAGAACTGTGTTTAATGAGAAAACATAGTATTTAAAGACTGTATTTTACAGACTATATAGATTTAAATATCAAACTAGCGTAGTTTGCAGACTGTTTCACCAGTAGAGACTACCTGTATCCCTGACAGCATGACCAGTGAGGTGTTTTCAGCCTGTTAAGAACACAGGAAGTGTGAATTGACAGGCTATTTAACATTAACATCCTGTTTACTTGAAAGATTATAAAGAGGGGGAGGAGAAAAATGATGTTGTGGTTGAAGTAAAGATCATATATATATAATTGTAGTTTACCACAAACATGAAAATGTGCAGTTTTAAAGATTTGTGTATGCTGAAAGATAGTCAAGGTATCCAACAGTGTTGAATGGGAGAGTAAAAGTTGACTTTCGGGGTAAAACAAATATTGTGTGTTAAAGTTTTCTTTTTAAATGAGAACAGAGAAACAACTTAGCCCTATTCTTAACCAGACGTTACTTTTCAGCTGTGTCAGATCAGCAGATTTAGACAACGAAACAATTTATATATGAATAATATATTCTTGTTTTAGGGAGTCCCTGATGGGAGTTGGCTGTATTTTAGAGCAACAGATAGTGAGGAGCTGGTTTACCCCAGATGTAAGGGTGACTAAAAAGGGCCTGTGGATAAGTCTGGGATGGTCATTATAGTGTTGAAGCTAGGTAATACAAATCTAAAAACATGTTTATCATCTTCTGATCTTTACTACGTTGTCAAAACGTGGGTATATTCCTTCTTTGCTGGTTATGTAAATGCTTTAACTCTTTGAAAGGCTCCTTTAGTTTGAATGTTTGCTCTGTAATGTCAGACTCGTGGAACTTCTCCACCATTCTCCTCATCAAGAAAAAGCTGTGTCCTTCTCCGCCTGTGTGATGCTGTTCCTCAGAGTTTCTGTCCAAGGTGCTGAAATCTGCTGCTCCGGGGATAGATCACGTGACTGCGCTTCCTCCCTCAGTGAGAGCAGGATGCTGTGTTTGCGCGAGTGCTCAGTGCGCGTGTGTAGGCACGGGGACACCTCAGTCCTCATCATGAGCGATTTCAGGCTTATGAGAAAGGCTTCTTTCTGAGACGGCGTCGCGGTTTCTCTGCTGCGCTAACCGTGCGGAATCTGCGCACTTGAATGCGAAACTTGAGCTTTTTACGCGCATCCATTTCTTCCTTTTCTTCCGCTTATTTTGGAGGTTTTTTCCAGCGCTGCTGCAGACATTAGTGTGGCAACTGTGGATGGGCACACAGGAGTGGGCTGCTGCCCACCAAGTCTGACTGTGTTTCGGAGGTGCTGAGAAGAAGAAGAACATGTAAGAATCATCAGGCAGATCCTCTCGGATCCTCTCAGAGCCAAAATGCAGAAAGGGATCAGATTGAATGATGGCCACATCACCTATCTGGCTGTTTTGGCAAAGAAGGATGGCACGAGGCGAGGGTGCTTGAGTAAGAAGAGCTCAGACAACACAAAATGGCATTCAAAGTGGTTCGCTTTGCTGCAGAATATGTTGTTTTATTTCGAAAACGACTCCAGCTCACGCCCCTCCGGACTGTACCTGTTGGAGGGATGTGTTTGCGACAGGGCACCGTCCCCCAAACCGTCTCAGTCCGCGAAGGAAGGTTTAGAGAAGCAGGTAAGCTGAAGGAAGCTCTTGTTGGTCTGACTTTGACTGTTCAGGTAATCTGTCTCTCTCAACCATCACACCACTGAGCTGTTGCTGCTTATGATCATTATTGTACTTTCATCTTTTTTTTTTAAGTTTACGAGAGGGGAGAACTCGGCGAACTCGCTCAAGAACACCACGGTTGCTGTTTTTATCCCATCATCTATTTATCACGCAAACAATGTCCCAGAGATGTTCACTTGACGTTCAGTGTTACGTAATGGCGTCATTCTAACTGATTGATTGTCTCGATTCAGCACTAAAATAGCCTCGGAGGTTGTCTCAAAAGCGACTCATACACCAACTTCCAAAATATGTCTCGTGTTTTTTTTTTTTTTTAGTGCACTCTGTATAATTCCTCGGTGCGAACTTTGCGTACACAGGTGGGAAATAACTGGTTCGCCCTTTTCCTGCTCTTTCACAGTTGGTGCTACAATATTTATCGCAGCACGTGTATTTTTTATATAAGAGCGTTTATTTTTAGACATTACAGGGACTGCAGCTCATATGCAGCGTAAACTTAACAGCATCCAAACTTTGCAGGTTGCCATCTTGCGGAGGAGAGCTGCCCCCTTCCCTGTCGTTTTGACGTATTGATTTAATTCCTTGTCTTGATATTAATAGCATCCTACCTTGGCAACTGCGTCTCCCCGGTTCATAGCGGCTGCTTCATTTGATAGCTCTCTCATTATCACGGGGTTGTTAACGACAGCCTTGAATGAGAACCAAACGATGCCCCAGGCTTGCTTTTGTTTCCTACAACATCCCCTCATTCGTTTTAATACCTCTGGCATACAGTGGCACGGATTAACGCGTGTGATGGCGAAATATTTCCACTGTTTCCGTGCCAGTGTGACACAGTCAGGAATAATCTCAGCGAAAGCATGGTTGTCTCCAGAGAAACACTTGAGAGGCGCTGGGAAGGCGGATGCTGCATGGGAGAAATAAGCCTTGTAGCATTGAAGCATCTGAAAGGTAGAGTGTTGGTCAAGCTGCTTTTAGATGTGACTGCACCCACCTTCTGACAGATACTGCCAGCTGCAGCATTTTTGAGGTGGCCCTGAAGCAGAGCTGCTGGAAAGTCAAAGTAATGAGGGATTTTATCTGCTAAATCACCAAGTTACATTTTGGGCAACAAGTGGCCAGTTTTCAACTAATGCCATTAACTTAAGTTTAGAAATACCTCATTGAAAGACTGCTTTTTGAAAAAAATCTCCTAAACTTTTGAGTCATCTAGGTGTCTCTTTGTTTTAACCCCAGAACACTATCGCTAAAATTAGTAACACATCAAAATATATCAAAGTAGGACAATATAAGACAAATTCAAGTAGTTTTCTTTTATTTTAAGCTGTGCAATGTCCAAAGGGAGGGGAAAAGGTGCCATGAGGGGACCATATAAAAATGCAACAAAATAACTGAAATTAGGCATTCATGAACAAAAAGTACCAGAAAAAATATATATCTAGAAACTGTAAACGTGGTTTCTTTTCCAGCCATTCCTGGGGCATGTGAGTCTTCTCTGGTGAAGACTCAGGGTTCTTGACACAATAACAGCTGCAGTAGAAAGAACCAAAATATGGTGTATGACCAGCTGACTAAAATATTTCCATCGCCGTATGAATTCCCCTCAGAATCACTACTTTGTGATAGATATTCATAACCACTGCCCCAAAGATAGCATGCAAATTCCAGGACCACTCTTACTGACCTTATTTGCCTACATGCAGCTATCAAATCCACCCAAGCTATTAATAATGATGATACATTTTATTTGTGGGCGCCTTTCAGGGCACTCAAGGACCCCTTACAGGGCAATTAAAAGACACATCAGTAGAATAGTAAAATCAATAAAAAACACATCAACTCAACAAAGTATAAAATAAAATAAAAAGTCATAAGTTGTAAGTCCGGACTCTGCAGCAGAACATCAAATGTTAGTCCGAGTAGGCCTGTCTGAAATAATGGGATTTGAAGATGGAGACCTACTTACTCTCTATCACTATTACGGGGTGAAATCACCCGAACACGTGCCTGTAGGAAAAATCAGGTTTTGGATCAGGGCAACAAATATGCCTTCAAAGATGTCAAAGGCAATGCTGAAGCTACTCAGGGACCCATGATACTCAGACAAACGCAACACAATGAAAATCACCTAAACATGTTTGGTTGGGTGAAAATCACCTGGCGATAGTGTTAATGCATCCTTCAAGAGTCCCATCAGATTAGAAATGACGAAAGGTTTTCAGGACGGGGTAAAATATCTCAAACAATAACTCCATGACTTGGTGGAATAACATCAACTTAAGGGAAATCACATCTCTAATATAGAATAAAATCTCCAGACCAGTCAGAAATCACTACCCTCTACCTGCTATACCAAACACTTCATTCATGTTACAGCTATCCTGATTTATCATTCACAATGGTCTTGCAGAACTTATTCAACTTAAAAAACACATAAACAAGCTGAAAACATCCTCAGGAAAAAAAAAAAAAAAGATCTGGTAAGCTAATCAAAGTTCTCGTTTTACTAATTCCCTGATGACCAACATTTAACTGTAGACTTTCTGAGTTTACGTGCTTTAGTCATAACAATCCTGGGTCATTATATTGAGATATAGTACAGCAACAGCAGTCTACTCACAGATCAAGCACAGACACTGCGTGGATTTAACCTGAGTGTGCAGAAGCCCCTGCAGTGACTGTATGTAGCTGATCCAGTTGTCGCTGTCTGTGGTGCTGAACTCTACCATCACGCTCTTGACCTCCACAAGCAGAGAGTTAAGACAATTCAGCACGAGTAAATGTGAGTTTACTCTCCCCACAAAAAAAAGTGTGTCACTGATAAAAACAGAGCATGAGACAGACCTCATACTGGCTGTGACACACAACCTTCTCCATCCTTTACTATCAGACTTTACTCTCTGTCACGTCTGATTCTGTAAGAACAATGACAAAAGATGTTTTCTGTTCTGGAGATGAAATGCTAACTGAGTGACATCTCTGCTGACAGCTGTTCATGCAGGCTGCGTCGGTTAATTTATTTCAGCAGCGAATAAAATGAATTCGAAAGCCTTTAATTAACATAGCACTGTCTTCTGTTCGACATGTATTTCCTACATCGTATGTATCAGAAACAAGTCTTCTAGTTTTGGAGGGTTCCTAAGGAAGGGTGTAAATTTTAGTGATTTTTCTTCATGGACAATCTGTCTTTTGATAAACCTTGACAGGAATGAATGCATCTATTGAGATCCTTGTGCATATTTTAAGTCTGTATCTGCTTCACTGCGTCTACCTGCATAAGGCAATGTCAATCTATAGAAGGTGAAATAAGGACAGAAAGTGTAATTAATGCCCAAGGTGTCTGGAGGCATACAGATTTCCTTTTCACTTTCCTCTCTCTGGAGGAAAAAAAAAACAAAGAGTGACACTCCAGTCGATGAGCTGCCCACAGAGGTCATCTGAGGCAACGCTACTGTAGATTTCTGACATGAAACCTGTTACATATGCACACATTACAACAGATTCCAGATTTCTGTTGAGCCTGTTAGTACGTACATTATTGGTCTGTGAGTGTGTGTGAGTGTATGTGTGTCAGAGCTGCAGGAGGAACCGCCGGGCGACTGCTGGATCTTATCTGTGTGTGACAGGGAGAGGGACAATGCGGCGAATAGATGCCAAGCCAACTGCCACCTTGCAGGCTTTTTATAGCCCTCACTCTTCAAAAAGGCAAAAGATCTTTCCCTCTTCCTGCCTTGCTCTCCGTCTGTCTCGCTCTGTTCTCATTGTATTCTTTGGAGTGTTCTACTTTTTAAATGTTCTTAGTCCCCATTTAGAAGGCGAGCTACGTTTAAGCCCACAGTTACTATGGCAACCCCTATTTGCATCTGAAAAAGTGCATTTGAAGGGGCCAATAAAATGTGCAACAACATGCCTGGGGATTGAGCTTCACTTTGCAAGTACAGCAAATACAGGCTTATGAGAAACATGAAATGAGTAATGATATGAGACGAGCTTGTCCAGGGTAATGTGTAAATGCCTTAATGTTTGGTTATCTAATTGTGTTATTTAATTAAAAACATTTTCAACAAATTAAAGACAGACGTATCAGGATGCTTTAAGCTCAATCCGTCTGCTGTCATTTGACTGAAGAATTTTGACAGAACTATGAACATTTTCATCTTTCTGAATCTGGCTGTGTTATGACTGAGGCCAGTCTGAAGCATTGGTCATTAATAATACTCTAATAGTGTCTGTCAAAAAGAGATGCTGCAACGATACGCTACCTAAACACCAGAACAAACTGGTCATTGATTTAAAATGTTTGTCTCTGTTTCCATGCTTCATTAACAGCTTTTAATGAAGCACCACCTGATCATTTTAAAATTTAGCCCCATTTTTTAAACGTTTCGGATTAGAGATAAGGAATCCAGAACTGTCTCGGGATGAAAATGGTTTCAAACTACTTGAAGCCATTGAAATAATTTTCCTACATGCTTAACGCTTCCCTTGTGCCTTGTAAACGAAGTATGTAAAAAAAGGAAACAAGTCAATGTGAAAGGCGGTTGATGCGATTGACAAGAAGATGTAATCGTGGCAGATAAAAGACCAGGGCAGTCTAAACTGCTGTTGTTCACAGCATAATACTGTTAGCTTCACAATATCTGCTCTAAAAGTAGGACAGCATGATGTACTGACTTACAGTAAAACCCACTCGATTCGTGAGACCGGATGGTTTCCGACTGATAACCTCCATGTATTTCTGACATCCAGGGACTTTCCTATTTAACAGACATCAGTCTTTGATTATGTCCATTTCCTTTAAAAAATGGTGTCATCTCTGCTGTTAGTTGACTGTGCTAGAAGGAGGCTGACATCTGTGTCATGGTCTGTCGACCAATCAGAGGTTGTATCTGTGATCAGCTGACATGTAAAGGTTTGTTCAGAAGCCAGAGTTTGTGGTCTCAGTAAAGTAAAATGAAAACTTGTAAAATGAAATTGGATAATTGACACAGATAGTCAAACTGATCATATTAACATGACGTGACTAAAGTAAAATGTAACATTACTTCATTAGACCCACAAGACGCTGTAGCAGAATCGATAAGCCTAGTGTTGCGTGTGTAGTCAAAAGTTTTATTCACCTGTAGTTTTGTCTGTATGCTTTTACTCCTCTTTCACTTTTACTCCTATTTTCCATTTTAATGTCATGTGAAGCAATTTGTTACTTGTACTAAAAAGTGATATACAAATGAAAGTAATATTGTCAAATGCTAATAATCATTAGACCTGTTTTTACTGGAACCAGGTCTTGGACCCTTTGCCCACTACTGGTACTGCAAATACTCAGTGCAGATGATACATTTGACTGTTGGATGAGGATTTTTGAGGTAGCACAGGGAGCATCAAAATCAATACTGATAGAAATCTCCGCGCAGAAGCTTTAAATAATCACTGACCCAGAGAGAAATGATCAGGAAAGTTCAATTTTCCAAGATGCTGCTGCTCCCTTTTTTTGCCAATTAGCCCCACACCACAGAAAAATAAGCTACTATGTTTAGGCAACACAGATTCAATAAGAAAATATTGTTAAATAGGTCTGTGAAGCCTTGAAGACAGCTAAGACTGACTGTGGCCACAAATAGATATATGAGTACTGGGTTACACTGCTAAATACACTATAAGCCTTTATAAAGATGAAAACACTTTTGCAATGATTAGCTGTTCAATCTTTACTTCGAAATGATTTTCCGACTCAATAAAAAAGGTACAAATAGAAAAAACTGCTCTGAATTTGGATATTGAAAAGCTTGCTTTGATATTATTACATAATTAAATGTGTTAAATCCCGTCTCTTTTCTCTATTCTAGGGAGAATTAAATAGTTAACGCTCATAGGTTTTAAATAAGGATTTACTACGGGCTACGTTGTCTCACTTCCCGAGAGATAATGTCTCCGTGGCAAAAATGTGGTGATGTGGAGCTAAATATAGCTGCCTAAAAGGCTTTACACACCAGCTCACAGGAAGCGGGAGATGGGAAGCACATTATTGACAAAGGGTCTTTCTGCTGCTCATCAGGAAATATGGAACATTACTCCCCTTCACAAATGATTTGCTCTTGGCATTTGGGAGGGATAAAAAATCCAATATATTGGATTTGTGGGGCTCTATTTACAATGCATCAGTGTTATATAATTTGATGCGTTTAAACCACAAATAGGCTGTCTGCACCTTTATGGCAGTGACCACTCAACTGCTCTGTTGATTTGAGGATTTGATCTGATAGGCCTCAGCTTGTCATGCGTTTGCCGTTATTGCCATAACTAATGAAACCCTCAAAGTTGTCAGGTCACCAGAGATATTAGATAAGAGAAGGGAAAGTCAAGTTGTGGAGTTTTTGTTGCAGCCAAATCAGCAGCATAAAGCTAAAACAAAACATGGCGTCAGTTGAGAGGCTTCCATCAATTCAGAGGTGAGTTGCCAGGTTACAGCCAGAATGTACAGAGGCTTTCTAATGATTCTCGCAAGACTTCTCTACCTCCAACTTCTTCACACGCTTTGGTATGCATGTATGTGCACAAGTTTAATCAGAACTTTTCTGGTCAGTAATGACAAGGTTACCTCTTGCAGAGATTTTCTTTAACTCATCTTAAAAACACTTACTGTTTTGGTTATATTTTGGGATTCCATGCTTTTATTCAGACTGGATGGGACAGTTAAACCTGGGCCACCCACTTGAGTGCTATAGCATCTGTACATGGGGTATTCTTCCTGCATGCATAAAAAGTATATGACCCTTTACCTGATGCTGTTTTTCAGTATTACTTCACCGTCACGTTCAATCATGACAACCAGAAGGCTTTGGAGCTGCGCACAGAGGACGTCAAGGACTGTGATGAGTGGGTGGCTGCTATCACACAGGCCAGGTACCTCTCACACAAGACCCGCATCTATATACGAACACCCTGCTGAGAATGCCCTCAAAGGGAGGTTTCTGTGTGTGCGTGTGTGCATGCGTGTGTGTGTGTTTGTAATCTGGCATAACTTGTAAACAATCAGATCTACCTTGTTGCAAATATCCATTTACAGTCCAGAAAGGTTCCGTATCTATATCCCTCATAAGGAGTTTTAAAGTGGCTATGAATCAGTCAGACACTGACCATATGACCTATTGTGACCTATAAGCAAAAGAAATGCCATCAGAAACAGGGTTGAGGGCCATTAATTTTAATGCCTGTGTGATAGGTGTCAGACAATGCATAATTTAACACTAGTCCAATGCAGTATTTTGAGCTTGCATTATAGCCATAAAAAAAAGAAAAACATGAGTAATACACATGGCAGCCAAAAGAAAGCAGGGTGACTTCTTCTGTTTTTGTAAGAAAACACTACCCACACACGTGTTCAGAATATGATTAGCAAAGAGACGAAACATCACTTTTTTATTTTCCAGGGGATGCCAACTTTGACACAAACCAGAACTCATTAACAGGAGCTTTAACTACAATAGCTACATTTTGTGTCTTTGAAATTATACTTTACTGATAAGTTCATTAATTTCCTAATGTGGTGAGAGAAAGCATATCTGTTAAGATTTTTTTCAAAGGTTTTCCTAGCCAAGAGAGGTGTGGTCCAGAGGTGTGAAAAGTAGGCTAGAGCAATTGCCATTTCTTAAAACGGAATAAAGATTTTAGAAATTGGAGAGTGTGTTTTTAAAAGGAGGTAGTGTGTCTCACAAACTCTGGTCCAGACCTGTAAAGTGTAAGTAAAATGGTTTTACATCCGGACCCTGTCTTCACAGAAAGCTGTGAATAAGATACTAACGTCAGTGCCCTGGTAAAGCAGTGGTTTTTGGTCATTTATCCATTTTTGGTTATTTATTTATATAAGTATTTTAGTTTGGTGATTGATATGATATTGTGAAGAGATAGAGGGTGGCCTTGGTCAGAAGAGGTAATCTTGGAATCACTGAATATTTTACAAATTTTAATTACTATTTATATGATAATAATCAACCTACTTAAGTTTATGCTATTGGTTTATTGTGCAAAGGCTTTTTTAAAAATTGTCAGGAACTATTCTATACACAAAAAGGTGTCTAAAATTGGTGTTTTGAAATTGTTTTTTTGTCAAGAAATACAAAGCCTAATGAGCAAAATGCCCCTTTAACATTCTGTGACAAAAGAGGGTCACAAAAGCCCAAGCACAACAATCACTCCAAATGTCAGCAGTGAGCATTTGTATGGCAAAAGGTCAATTGATTGGACTCATTGGAGATTGCATTGATTTGTGCCCAGTCAAAGCAGTACAGTACAGCAGCAAGTTGGTCTGTAATGCATGCTAATACAGCAGAGCAATGAAGAAACATACTTTACCATCATGCTGCCTTTTCAAGAAATTTTCAAATGATCTCATCCAGTGCTGTACAATTTTGTGACTTAATATATTCAGGTCAACATGCTGTTTGTTTGTTTGTTTTATTGATTCAAATTCAAGTAAAACTATTTGTTGAACTATGGAATATGCACAGCTGTTGCTAATGCACAGGCAGCCTCCACACATGGTTTGCTAAGCCTTTAAGTATCTGAAGAATTGGTTGCATAAGTGCCTACATTCAGTCTCATACTTGAGCTTTGCGGTTCAAACACAAGGTAACACAAGGTCTGCTTAAGTTTTGATAGACTGTAGGGAGCTCACGAAACACTAATGAGGCCTTTACAATGTCTGTGTCTGCATGCCTGTATAGTTACAGAAACCTGGCTACAGAGCATGAGACCCTCATGCAGAAGTATCTCCATCTACTCCAAATAGTGGAGACAGAGAAAACGGTTGCCAAGCAACTTCGACAACAGATAGAGGACGGGGAAATCGAGATAGAGCGGCTGAAATCAGAGGTAACTTGCCTTGTTATTTTATGCTAGTAGTATCTGTGTATGTGTGAGTGTTTGTGTATTTTTTGTACAGCACACAGTGGAGGCAGAGGGAGAATAGATGGAGGGAAAAGTGGTCAGACCCCAAGTTTAAATCAATGATGAGGACAGAAAGGGAGGGCACGCAAAAATCACATCCCAGATTTAAAAACATAATATCTGGCAATCCATGGATGGTCTTGCAGCTTGAAGCATCTTGGGATGTCTTTAATAAAGACTGGGCAATACTGTTGAGTGTTTTGTGTCCTCATTATTCAGTCTAAACCAGATCAAATGCACCTTCTTTTAATGTGCTAATGGATAGCCCCAGTTGAATTGAACATTTTCAATATGAATGAGTCAGCTTCTGTTGTACCTAGTACAGCAATCTGCATCAGAAAAGGGTAATAAACACTCAATTTTCATGGCCAAAATGTGTAATAGTGATGGGTTATGATGTGCTTTGTTTAATCTGAGTCTTTTATTAAGAGCAGTTTGTCTTTAGTCTGTTCTTGTTTATACTCTGTGTTATTCTAATAGGAGCAAATTAACAAACACTGGACAAAGTAACATGGGAGACATTTTGGTGCTGTTGGTATAATGTGTTTTGTACATTCTTTAAAACTGGGGTATGTATGATAATTAAGTTTGACAATCCCAACATTAAAATGATTGAATATAAGATTCATAAACATGATAAATACTCAGAGAGGAGTAAAGGATATCTGACAAAGAATATGCTGTATGTGGGGTTTCAACATTATATACATTGATACAAGGAACTCAAATGTTTGCTCACTGATGTAACCCAGAGTTTCACTTGTTTCCAATTAGATCACTGCACTGCTAAAGGACAATGAGAAGATCCAGTCAAATCCAGAGGTTCCTCCTAGTGAAGATGACACTGAGATCAAGAAGATCAAAAAGGTGAGGAGCATGAAATGACAGATTTAAACACAATCTTTTTTTATTCTTGATCCGATTAAAAAATTGAGGGATTGGATAATCTAAATCCACTGTTTATATGGGTGCAAAATCAATTTATCCGAACATGACGTCACGTGTGTATACATGCACCAAGCTTTATTCAGATTAGAAGCATTAGGACATGCGCGGAGTCGTCTGAGTTCCCTAAAACAACCGCAGGGTAAGAGTTGTATTAACGCCTGTGCTGTCAACAAACCAACATAAGCCGTAGTGGCTCACTCCATCCAATACATGAGTTTACCCCCCTGTTAAACGTTGTCACTAGATGGCGCCACTGCGTACTAGTGTTCTGTCAAAGGTTGCACTGTGCGTGTGTGACATCATTACGCTGTATGCCTTACGTTACCGGAGGAGCAGACATGGCACCTGCGGTTGTGTTTTATGCCGGAGTTCTAATAATGAAGCCTCCTGTACCTCAACAAGTACGAAAAAGGCTAAAGAGCTTGACGATCGAGTCAGGTAAGAGAGTCACGACCGGAATAACTGTTTACATGGACGCGTTTTGGAATAACGATCGGCATAAACCACCCCTCTTGATCGGAATACAATTTCTTTCCGATTGAGCCGAATTGGATCAGAATCTTCTGATCGACATGTTTACACGACGCATTTTTTTCCGATCTGGCATTTATTCAGATTATTTGTGCCCATGTAAACGCAGCTACTGACTAGTCTGGTAGCAACTCACACAAGCCTGGTTAGCCTTACTTTTGTTTGCTTATGTTGTCTTGCTCAGGTCCAGAGTTTCCTGCGAGGTTGGATTTGCCGCAGGAAGTGGAAAACCATAATCCAGGACTACATTCGTTCACCCCACGCTGAGAGCATGAGGAAGAGGAACCAGGTCGTGTTCAGTATGCTAGAAGCTGAGGCAGAATACGTCCAGCAACTCCACATCTTGGTCAACAACTTCCTGAGGCCCCTACGCATGGCTGCCAGCTCTAAAAAGCCGCCTATCACACATGATGATGTCAGCAGCATCTTCCTAAACAGGTGTCTGGTGGTGAGACTGGGTGTGATGGTTGAGTGACTGTGAAAAGTGAAAGCCGAGAAGAGAAGGAGAAAGAAAAGCTCATGGGCACCACTTTCCTCTTTATCTTATCAGTGAGACCATCATGTTCCTCCATCAGATCTTCTACCAGGGCCTGAAGGCAAGGATAGCCAGCTGGCCAACACTTGTTCTGGGTAAGGGAGATGATTTTGTTAGGATTTGTTAAAGGTTCAGTCTGTCACATACAAAACAAATATGTTGAATGTATTCACTAGATTTCTGCTTTGCTCTCCAGCCGATCTGTTTGACATCCTGCTGCCGATGCTGAACATTTACCAGGAGTTTGTGAGGAACCACCAGTACAGCCTGCAGATCCTGGCCCACTGCAAACAGAACCGAGACTTTGACAAGCTGCTCAAACAGTACGAGTCCAAGCCCGACTGTGAGGAGAGAACGCTGGAGACCTTCCTCACCTACCCCATGTTTCAGGTGTGATTGAAGTCTGTATTATGGATGTCCGTGATCATTTAAGACAATCAAATGTCACAGTGTCACAGTGTATTCTGTGGGAATGTTGCTTCTCAGATCCCTCGTTACATTCTGACATTGCACGAGCTGCTGGCTCACACCCCCCATGAGCATGTGGAGAGAAACAGTTTGGACTACGCCAAGTCAAAGCTGGAGGAACTTTCCAGGTAGATGTACAGTCAGGCTGTTCAGCAATTTCAGATCTGTTGGTTTTTGTGAAAATTTTTCGTCAAATACAATTCAAAATGGTACATGTTATAACAAATATAAAGCAGTGTGTCTGACTTTTTGAAGCTTTCTAAAATATAATAATCTTTGTTTTTGTTTATGTGGTGATGAGAGCTGACAATAACACTAAAATGCATTTAATATCCTTATGATGATTCTTAAAGTGCTAATACCTTAGATCAGTAACTGCATGTTTCTGTTGTGCAACTTTACAAGAATATTAATATTTATTTTGTGAAGTTGTTTCTTACTGTGCAGTACTCATGAGATTCAGTTGCATGTATGAATCAGATAGTTAAGGGAACAAAATCTGGATCATAAAAATGGTGTAAAATTGAAAATATCGATGAATTAAGATTGTGTTTGAAGTGTCTGAATTAATAGGTATATTTTTTTCTACCCATACAGAATCATGCATGACGAGGTGAGCGAGACAGAAAACATCAGGAAGAACCTCGCCATTGAGCGGATGATAGTTGAGGGTTGTGAAGTGCTGCTGGACACCAGTCAGACATTTGTGAGACAAGGTAGGTTGGTTTCCAGGTCAGAGAAAGAGGTGAAAACTAATGTTTTCCTTCTGTCTTTAGACTTAAAAACCTTTCTAAAATCTCTACATTCTGCATCTTTGTGTCAGACACCAGTATAATTAAAAATCAAGATGTGTATAGTACCAAGCCCCACTGTGTGATGGGATTTACTCACTGTCACAGTTTAGCCTTAGTAACTTCACCCAGCTCTCTAGAAAGAGTTACACTCTTAATCTGTAATAGTGAAGACAACATACATTGAACACCATACTTACGTCTCTATTGCAGCATTTTTCAGGTGCATCAAGGTATTTTATCCCTGCTGAGAGTTACTGACGCACAAACACATGCCTGTGAAGTATTTTAATCTGACGTAAAACAAAGTTCTAATTTCCGACTTTATACTTGAAGTATTCATATAAAAAACAGCTTTTATACTTGAAGTTTACAAATAAGAGGACTGTTTTTTTGCATCAGCCCTTTAACCTGGTAATTCAAAGACCTGGACCTAATAGTTGAGTAAGTTGGCTAAAGTGAACCCCTCACGTTTCTCATGTGTTGTCTTTCGTTCACAGGCTCTCTGATCCAGGTGCCCATGAGTGAGAAGGGAAAGATCACAAGAGGTCGACTGGGCTCTCTATCTTTGAAGAAAGAAGGCGAGAGACAGTGCTTCCTTTTCTCCAAGCATCTCATCATCTGCACACGTGGCTCTGGGGGAAAACTGCACATCACTAAGGTACAGCAGACTGTTATTTGAGAGGACAGGCTACTGAAAGTTTTCACCTAGTATGTTAAATCCAATTTGCAGGTGACAGAGGCAGTAGTGGTGGCAGCAGCTGCAGCCGGGCTAGCGGCTCACATACGTATATTGAACCATATGGGTTGTCTTATTTGTCCTTAGTGGAGACCTTTACAAACTCTGTGCTGCTTAAAGTGCGCAGCCTTCACTGCATATCAGAAGTAACAAACTGTGTGTGACCTCATGACCTTTCCCCTCTTTCACAGAATGGAGTGGTGTCTCTCATAGACTGCACACTGATGGAGGAGACAGAGGGGACTGATGATGAGTGTGAGTTACGAACATTGTTAGAAGTTTTCTCAAACTTAACTTGCAGGAGTTCAATTATGCTGTAAAGCAGTGGTTCTCAAGTCCGGCTCTCTAGGCCCACTGTCCTGTATGTTTTGGATGTTTCCCTGCTCGAACACACCTGATTCAAATGATCAGCTCGTTATCAAGCTCTGTAATGGCTTAATAACGAGCTGATCATTTGAATCAGGTGTGTTGGAGCAGGGAAACATCCAAAACATACAGGACAGTGGGCCTCTATTTTTTTATCTTTAAAATCAAACTTTAAAGAACCTTACTTAGTGAAAGAATATATTTCTTTTTATTACTGGTATTATATCGAACATAACCTTCATCCACATAGTATCCTTTTCTCTGGGTTGTTAACTGGACAGTTACGAAAAATCACAGGAACAAGCTACAAATAAAAATACATCTATTTTTCCCCAAACTGTGATTTTATGCTTCATGGATGTAAAAACAAGCAGTTTTATTTTAAGCACGTTTCTAATTGCAAAGAAACACATTATTAAATAAACAAATCTTATCAAATACTTTTTCCCATTTTTTCCCAAATTGTTTAATCTCAGTTTAATCTGTTTTCCCCGTCACAGTAAAATGACTGTTGTTGAAATTGTGTCTTGTAGCCAAAGGGGAGCGAAGCGGCCAGGATACTGAGCATCTGGACTTCAAAGTGATGGTGGAGCCCAAAGACGTCCAGCCCTACACCGTCATCTTAGTGGCTTCATCCAGACAGGAGAAGTCAGCATGGACCAGCGACATCAGTCAGGTACATGTCCTAACCTGTGTGATCACATGCTGTTCCAAACAGCAGGACTGCGCAGTGCTGCTGTGGAGCAAGTCATTTTAGAAGATTAGGAGCTTAAGTGTAAAGATTAAGGTAAAGTGTTTGGACAGCCATTGTCTGAACAGATTTGTATTCCTTATATGAAAAAATGGCTGTTGTTGGTTTAGGAGTGGAGGTTCAGGGCTTATAACCCGTGAAAAAATAACATTCCTGAATTTGCTGAATTGACACTGGAGCCATCTACCATACTTCCACTTGTGATGAGATCATTTCTGGTGTAGAAAAGCAACAATAAAAACAAATGGAACAATAAAACAGCGTGCTTTATGGCTATTAAGGGCAGAAACTTGTATCATCAGTTTGTGAACTCACTCACCCTCTGGTCTTGCACCTTTTTCTGCCTGTCTTTTCCTCGCAGTGCATTGACAACATCCGCTGCAACGGACTGATGATGAATGCCTTTGAGGAAAACAGCAAAGTCACAGTGCCACAGATGATTAAGTAAGAGAGCAAATGCACATACATTATACATGCACAAACAGAGACTGACATTTGAATAACATGACTACATGACTAATGCATGAAAAATGCATGAACTAACTGTCCAAACCAGCACAAGGTTGGATTTATATACTAGTAAGGACCTACAGAGAAATCACATACTACACTCAAATCTTAACAGTCAGAACTACAGTCCTTACCACAAGGTAAACCTGGTTTAGCTCTAAAGGTAAGAGGAGTCTCAGGATTGAAACAGGGATTAAACACAGTGATAAAGACCTGCATCTCAGAAAAAAGGGGAAAGTAGTCTTAGCAAGTTTAATACACTATTTACTGACACATACATGACCATAAAAGTGTTTTATTCAGCTTAGCTTGTGTCAGTAACACTGCTAATATCTCTAACTTCATCGCAGGTCAGACACCAGCTTGTACTGTGATGATGTTGACATCCGCTTCAGCAAGATGATGAACTCCTGCAAAGTGCTGCAGATCCGCTATGCCAGCGTGGAGCGTCTTCTGGAGAGGCTGACCGACTTGCGCTTCCTCTCAATCGACTTCCTGAACACCTTCCTCCATTCTTATCGAGTCTTCACCAGTGCTGCCGTTGTACTAGACAAGCTCATCACCATCTACAAGAAACCTATCAGTGCCATCCCTGCACGGTGAGTGAGTTAAAGGGGTGAGGTGTTTCTGAGAGGTCTTTACAGAAGTTTTATTTACTTGTACAATCAATGTCAAAACTGTAAAGCCTGGAAAAACTATAAAAAGCTTAAAATTTTACGTCACCCAGATGTTCCCCTGCCAGCCCCGTGGTTAAATTTCTGTGTGAAGTCAGGGTGAGAACACAGCACAGTGAGCAAGCAGACAGTGGTGATGACATTTATATCATGTGACTTGTGCACACTGGGAAGAGTGACACGTAACAGGATGAAAAAAACATTTGAAGTTACAATGAGGGGAATAATTTTCAAGAGGACTGCAAAGACATCTGCACACCCATCAGTTTGCATGTAGCATTGATACAAATCATAAAAATATCACCAAAACAAAGTTACTTGCATTGAAATGTCGTTGGGGGCAGATATAAACATTTCAGTATCACTTTACTTGACGCCTGTCTCTATAACGCATTACAAATATATGTATAATGCATTATAATCACGTTATAGCACTGTATAGCTATAGTTATAAACACTCATAAATGATCATAATGCTTTATAGCAATAATCATAACACATTATAAAGCATTTTGTCATGACTTACAAGGTCAGGTATTATAATGTGTTATGATTATTATTATGTATAACACATTATCTATATCACATTATGCTCTAATGTGATATAATGCATTATACATATATTTATAATGCGTTATGGAGATAGGTGTCAAGTAAAGTGTTATCAGAATGTCCCAAAAATTTTATTAGTGCATGTGTGAAAGAGACTTTTGACTTCCATTTGCAAATGCTTGCCACAGACGTGTATTGGATTAAATAAACATAAGCATGCTATAGTTGTCTGTGTAACTATTTCAGTGCATGAATGTTAGCTCATGAAACAGCGGTGCCTATAAGCAGCCTCACAGCGACTCTTTTCACATGAACATGGTGAAAATTTCAGGACTGTCTGCGGTCGACTTCACACAAGCCCTTCAGAGGCTGATGTGTTCCCTGTTAGACAGGAGGGGAAAGGTCTCAGGAGAAGTGGCATGATATATGAAGGACACTGTGGTCGTGCCTGTGTAATGTTTACACAGGCACGAGCATGATAGTTAGGTAAAGTAACTGCCAAGGGAGAAGTGAGGGCGAGTCAAACTCAAACTTTAGTTGTATCAGTCAATCAAATGAAAAATACTATTCCTGTACCGATGAATAACAAGGCAGAACCTTTTTTTTTTTTTTGTACTTTTAAGCCAAGCATAATTTAGTGTTTGAGTGTGGTTTTATCTCTTCCTGCAAATCCTTTCCTGTGTTAGAGTTTTGAGGACAGTTTAAACAGCAGAGTCTAAATAGTTTGTTACAGTAAGCTCCTCCACACGCTGATCCCTGCAGCTTGTGACAGCCAGAGAAGGAACAGAGTTTAAAATTCCTTCATACTTCCTCCTGAGGATGCAGCAGCAGAGCTGTAATGGTGCAGTAAAAAGGTGGGACCTCCCTGGTGTCTTGATTTTCACACACAGACTGTCTGTGAACAGCCCATCTTGATATTATGGTCTGTCCAGGTGAGAAGGTACCAGAGCAGAGGCAGCGAGAGGTCACACCAACACATCCGCTCCTTTGACGTCCGTCCACCGTCACACTTAATTGGGTCCCTGCGTCCACCCACCTCTCCTGAACCCCTCCTCCTCTTCTCTCTCCTTCCTCCTCTTACCCTTTCTCCTTCTCTCACTTTTATTTTTCTTTCCACAAGTCTGACCATTCCCCTCTCGTTGCGCTGTCACCATGGCAACCCTTCACTCTACTGCAGGACCCCACCCTCTCCTTTTCTTTTCGTCTTCTCCCTCCCTCGCTCACTCTATACCTTCCTCTCGCTTTCCCTTTCTCCCATCATCTGCAGCAGCTCTACAGTATTAAATATTGATGGGGGTGTTTTGCACCCAGACCCTGCTCTCCTCCTCTTCCTCCACCTCCTCCTCTTCCCTTCTTTTGTCTTACACCTCTCTCGCCTCCTGTTTAATTATCTCCTCTCTCCCTCCCACTTTACTCGTGTCCTCTCTTGACTTTCCCCTTCGCCTTTCTTTCTTTTCTTTCTCACTTTCTTTCTGACTTCCCCTCGTTTCCTTCATCTTCCCAGCCTCCTTTTCCCTCCTTTTACTATCCTTGTTCCCTTCATCTTTTTTCTTGTGCTGCAAATTACAACAAGGAGACAAACATGGCTGCAGCTACCACTATATGAGACAAGAAGCTTCCCATTCGCCCACTTCAGCAACCTCCACTGTGGTGAAATCCATATCCACTGTGTAGCCCCCCCATCCTCACTGTTTTTGCCCCTGTTTATCTTTACTTTGTGCTGCACCTCTGTCTCTCTCTCTCCCACTTTTGCTCTGGCTCCCCTATTCTCCGCGTTTCTCTCTCCCCATGTCTCTGTGGGCCTCCCCTGGGCTGGTTGCTGTTGGCAGCACCCGTGCCTCCCACACTGTCACTTGACATGCTATTTATAGGCCTTCAGAGGGGGTGGCTCTCAGTGCAAGGAGGATACTGTCTTAAACAATGTAGCTTTAATAAAAGAGGCAGGAGCTCCCAAAGAGCCCTGTGGTTAATGTCTTCCCTCTCTGCTTCTGTGTACAGACACCAGGTGTTCGTTGCATCTACATCCTCACCATTTCTTTTCTTTCTGCTCTCTTCCGTTCAGATCGCTGAGAATAATCCAAAAAGTGTTGCGTTTAAGTTGTAAAATATGCTTTTCCTACTCTTCATCCTCCTCTTTTTCCCTCCTCTTTTTCACTCCCTCATTTTCTTGCAGTTCTTTAGAGCTTTTTTTCGCCAGCAGCCAGAACAACAAACTCCTATACGGCGAACCACCCACGTCGCCGCGTGCCAGCCGCAAGTTCTCCTCCCCTCCCCCCCTCTCCATCACCAAGTCGTCCTCGCCCAACCGCAGGCGCAAGCTTTCTCTCAACATCCCCATCATCACCGGGGGCAAAGCTCTAGACCTGGCTGCACTCAGCTGCTCCCCCAATGGCTATGCAAGCATGCACTCCACCATGTCACCCTTCAGTAAGACCACGCTGGACATCAACAAACTTTATGTGTCCAGCACCATGGCCAGCAAGATCCCTGATGAGGGAGAGCCCAAAGCTGAAGGCAAGGCCGAGGAGTCTGTCCTCAACAAGCAAGGTCAGCTGACTGTCTGAGGGAGGTCACTCATTTGTACTCTCATATCTATCATGTTTTCTCCTCTCACACCATAAATGTTTATTCTCTAGTATGTCAAGCAAATCTGAGATTAAGATTAATATATGGAGAAAAAATGGCATACAAGTTATTATCACATCAACCTTTCTGTATGATTTTATTCCTTTTTATTATAACATTGTGGGATCCAGCTGACTACACCTATCGCCTGTGTGGATTCAGCTTCTTATTTAGATTCTGCTCAACCCAACCCTTTATTTGTGTACACGTCTTTTTGTGCTGTTCTGTTTTGTATTTCCTATAAATGTAATCCCTTTTGATCCAGATCTGTCCATGAGAGAGGAATGTGATGAGGACCCGAGTCAGAGTGATGAAGCCGAAGCAGAAATGTCCCCTCCGAAGTCCCCGTCAACGCCGAAGAATGTCAAGTCAAAAAACTCTGGTACAGTTCACTGATGTCTTTACAATGTAGTGATTTACTGTTTATCTTTTAGACAAGACTCTTTAATGACATTTTCTGATCTACCCTTGAGTAGTGATGCTCACAGTATGAACCAGAACTGACTCAGTGAGACATTTTAAAGGTCCAACTTAAGCCTAACTTTACAAATATGACATTGGTGTAAACTCATCTCATCCCAATCCTCTGCTTTGTGTGTACATAGCACCTCAGTGGTATCCTGTGGAAAATACTAAACTGAAAACATTTATTTTAAAGTCAAAATAAAGTATGCAGGTGTTATGTTTACCATCAGTTCCACTTTTACTGACCAAAAAAGGGTTTTCTGCTTGTGCGTAAACGATTTCAAATGATAAGGGTGGTTCACACCGTTAAATTGCTGTGTTTCAGTAAAACAAACCTCACCACAATAGTCTGTTTTGAGCAAACTTTTTCCTCCAGCAAATGACAACGGTAACTATAGCCAAATAAGGTCTTGATAAAAACCACCCACATCCTCCCGGCCCTCCCTGCACAGCACAGAGAGGGAGCATCCCCCCCGTAGGTAGTCAGGCACAATTCATCCCCAGTGTGTTCTCTTCCCACGGTGCTGGATACAAGGGAAGCCAGTGCATCGTGTGAGTAGGTGGAAGGAAACCTTGTACCTTAGCAACGATGTGCATGTTCTTCTACACCGCCCCCGGCTGCACGGAGGAAGGCAGGGAAGAGGGGAGGAGGGCGAAGGAGGGAGGCAGCAGAGAGGCAGACACAGTGAAGTGTACGCCGTCACTACCACAAGCTGCCGAACACACTGCACTCGGTCTATTTTAGCTCTCTGTTGCCCTCCGCTGGTCAGCAGCCTATTTTTATCAGCACTACAAATACAGGATCACAAAGCCAGTTTTCAGCCAACCAGTGAGCTGGGCAGCATTTTGAAAGTGCGTGTCAGAAAATGTGAAGTGTTATGAAATTACTGGTGGTGTCAACCGTTTTAAAAATAACAATGATGAAGGGTAACTAAGGGTTTTAATCTGTAAACATCTGATTTTTTCCCCCTCACTATAGAGTTTTCCCTGTTCTCCTTCAATAATGGCATGGTAGTGTCATCCTGCCGTGAGCTGGACAATAACCGCAGTGCCCTTTCTGCCGCATCAGCCTTCGCAATCGCCACTGCTGGTGCCAATGAAGGCACACCGACCAAGGAGAAGTACCGCCGCATGTCCCTGGCCAGCACAGGTTAGTCCCACCTCTGCTGATCAATGGAGGTTTTCCTGTGCCTGGTGCTGTTCTGATTCAGAGTGAACCTTGACAACATAGACAGAATCCTAATTTATAAACAGTCCCAGCCAAAAATGAACCAGTCAACTGAGTGATCTCACATTCTAACATAGAGCCGTTAGAAACCATCTTTTTTGTAAGATTAGCTGTCATTCTTTAATGATTTTACATCCACTTTTGTTTGAAACAAGTGACATTTGTCATTGTCTGTGTTGTTGATGTCCTTCTAAAAAAATTCTGATGTTCGAGTTTAACTGTGGACAACTGATTTTCAGGAAAAGCACGACTCAGCTCATAACAATATTTAAGCCAAGTTATTCTTGTTTTCTTCACGCCACAGTTCTAGCTCTCCAAGTTTCACTGTCAGTAACAGAGTTGAGTCTGGGGGAGGGAATAAAAATATTTTTGTGTTGTAGCTTTTTTAAGTATTTAAATTATAAATATAATAAATGACTTTTTCATTAACTAAAACTTCCTTCAATGTCTTGCAGGTTTTCCAACAGACCAGAGGAATGGAGACAAAGAGTTTGTTATCAGGAGAGCAGCAACAAACAGAGTCCTGAATGTTCTGCGTCACTGGGTCTCCAAACACTCCCAGGTACACTTCACCTACCTGTCTTTATCTGATTTCTCAGTTCTTGTTTATTTTTAATTAGTAAATAAGATTATTTATGTACAGTATATCTTTTGGATGTTGCAGAAGAAAAATAACTTTTTATACGCTGACATTTCTGTGTTGTTCCTCAGGACTTTGAGATGAACACAGAGCTGAAGATGAGGGTCATCGGTTTCCTGGAAGAGGTGATGCATGATCCTGAGCTCCTGACGCAGGAAAGAAAGGCAGCTGCCAACATTATCAGGTCAGATTTGACTGACTACAGTCAGTGATACAGTTTGTGTTTACAGGAGTTTTTCTGATGCCATTAGTCAGTCTGGGTTACACAAACAACCATCAGCCTTGGCTTTGGCCTGAATCTTAACACCAGCTGTCTTACACAGCATGTACCCCAACACTAGCAAGGGAACTTATTACCTCTGAATTACTTAGAGTGATTTTGAGACTAGTAGGCTGTGACCACTTTTTATGTTGTAAAATCACTAATGTGTTTAAACCTGCATTCTTCATACTGGCCAGCAGAGGGAGACATCACTGATTGCAAAAACAAGTTTGATGATATGAGACAAAGAAAATGACCCTGTTTCCCACTTGAAATTGTTCTCCATACATTTCCTAAAGGGAATTTAAGGCCTCAAACACTAGAGCCATGTTCCAAGTCTTCTCCAAAACAGCATGATGGTGACTTTGTAAATAAAGGTTCCCTCTGTGAAAAAACAACAATAACGTTGGGTGTGTGCCGAAGCATCTCTGCCTTTGATTGACAAAACAAGATCAGGGCAAACTGTCTGCTAGGATATAAAGATTATGGGTATCTACCATGTTTTCAAATATGGTCACCTATGATTCCAGAAGCCAAAGACAGTCTCAAGGCCCCAAAATGGTAGTACACAAACATATGGAACAAATTACAGTGCCCTTGTCTACTGATTTTATGTGGTCATTGGGCTTTACATTGGGACAACATGGAAAAACTGGTGTGAAACACTTGCTTGGTGTGTTGTGTTCCCGATCAAACTGTTAGCCTACCTCCCTCCTGTCGAGATCCTTGCTTGTGTTGTGCTTCTTATCAAATTTTATGTCCCTTTGGATTTCTACTAAATTAAACTGTAGCATTGTAAAACTGTAGCCAATGGTCAAAAGGTGTAGCTGAAGCTAAATGTGCTGCTGTGTTTTTCTAATTTCCCCCTTGCAGGACTCTCACTCAGGAGGACCCCGGAGACAACCAGGTCACCCTGGAAGAGATCACACAGATGGTAAGAGGAATGTCCGTAAAGTCTTTACGGCTTTTTGAAAAAACACCTTTTTTAAATTGAGGTGGAAACGCCGTGCTTTAATTGGGTTGTGACTGAGTTTCTCGTTATGTATGTTTGTGTATCAGGCCATGGATGACAATAAGACTGAGCCGTTTGAGAACCACTCTGCCCTGGAGATAGCTGAGCAACTCACACTGCTGGACCACCTGGTCTTCAAGGCCATCCCATACGAGTGAGTACACAGGCATCCAGGTGCACAAGTCTACACACACACAAACAGGCAAACACACAAATACACAAACAGGAACTGAGTTTTCATGTTTTTATTTACAGGGAGTTTTTTGGTCAAGGCTGGATGAAAAACGACAAGAATGAGAGAACTCCGTACATCATGAAAACAACAAAGCATTTCAATGACGTATGTTTCCACCGTGTTGCTGTGAAGAAAAGATAAATCTAGACACGGAGGATAGATAAATGATAGAGGTACAGTCATGATTGACACTATATATTTCTGTCTTTGTTATGATCAGGTCAGCAACAGGATTGCCACCGAGATCCTTCACTGGGATGATGTCAACATGCGGGTGGCAGTGATAGAGAAATGGGTGGCAGTGGCTGACATCTGCCGCTGCCTCCATAACTACAACGCAATGTTGGAGATCACCTCTGCTCTGAACCGCAGCTCCATCTTCCGTCTCAAGAAAACCTGGCTCAAAGTCTCCAAACAGGTATCAGAATCTCTAACACATGGGTTTCTGTGAGCAGACTTTGAGGGGAATTTAGCTGAGAAATATTTCCCAGCCGTAACTTCAGGTTGTTGTTTCTGGATCTCTTTTTTGTGGTGCAAATCAAACAAAAAGTACACAAAGAATAACCTCGTGAGCTTTAAAGTTACTGGTACAGAGATTTTTTCATAATTGTGCCTCAGCTCCTGCATACAAAAACATAAACTGATCTTTTTGCATCACTGTTTCTAATAAGTAGGAGCATTTTTCAAAACTTGAAACAGTATCTTCAGGCTTTTGTAAATAAAAATAAAGAAAGACAGCATGCTGGTAGTTTGAGAATTATTAGTTGGATTACATCTGTTTTCCTCATCCCTTTTCCAGACAAAGACTGTGATCGATAAGTTACAGAAGCTGGTGTCATCAGAGGGACGATTCAAAAACCTGAGAGAAGCTCTGAAGAAGTATGTGCTCAAAATAAGGCAGAAAATATAGATGGTAACCATTTTATTATTTGGTACTAACTACATCTGTACAATTCCTGTCTCTCTGTGCTCCATCTTTTGTCCTTAGTTGTGACCCTCCCTGTGTTCCCTACTTGGGGATGTACCTGACAGACCTGGCGTTCATTGAGGAGGGAACGCCAAACTACACTGAGGACAACCTGGTCAACTTCTCCAAGATGAGAATGGTAGCCATTACAGCTGTGTTGTTGTAGATAGTTTACTCAGATAGTTTGTGTTTCTGACTGGAATCCAGTTTATCATCTGAAATTGAACTATTTCCCTTTTTTCTTCAGATATCTCACATTATCAGAGAAATCAGGCAGTTTCAGCAAACAGCATACAAGATTGATTATCAACCAAAGGTGGGATTATTGTGTGTCAATCACTGTCTGCTCTTTTAATGTTCAAAAATAGCATCATAAAAACTATGTTCATTGGTTTTAGTTTTAATAAAGGGCAAACAAGTTTCAAACATTTGCAAGTACACACAGTCAATCAACATTAATAACCACTGTGGAGCTGCAGAGTAAACTCTTTGTGGTGTTTGTCTTTGTTTCAGGTTGCCAAGTACCTGTTGGACATCAGTACCGTGCTGGATGAGGAGAGCCTTTACGAAGCGTCTTTGAGAATCGAGCCCAAAACTTCATCATGAGCTGGATGTCTCTCCCCCTCTGGACCCCCACATGAAGTGTACAGGAAGACTATATATCATAATGTACATATACTATTATTTGTATTAGACACAATAGGCTGTGCCCTTCTAGTATGTGCTCCCCAATGGACTTGTTGTGTATAATCGTTATTAGAGACCGAGTAGAAGCCCAGAGTGGTTTTATTTATATAGTTGCAGAGTATTTATATGTTATTTATTGTCTTAAATACCATTTTATGTTGAAGTTACTTTCAACCACTGAATTAAAAGATTAAAGAGTATAAAGACATGATATTTAATCACATCCTAATGAGAATGTGCAGTGTATAAAGGCTTGAGAGTTGACACATTAATATCAACTCCAACTTTCCTGTTTCCTGATGTTTAAGACAAAGAGAGAAGTTTACATGACTGCTATTTTTCTAAACAAGTCCCCATACAAAGACTTTTGAGTCCAGCAGCTATCATTTCAACCTTTAATCTATAAGAGCTAAGTCTTATCCTTATATGTAAAAGAGGAAGTTATGAATATAATTATGAATAATTTCTAATAAAGAAAACTGCAGACCGTATATTGCTTGAAAAATGGAATGCTGAAGGATTGAAACGTTGACCCTTTTTTACTTTCTAAGAGGACTTTGGAAGTGAAAGTGGGACTGCTATTTTGTCAGAAGCTGAGTTGTGTTTAGATGTTTAATGTAGCCACTTTATGACAAAGGTTAGTGTTTTGGGAAGTTTAAGTCTGAAGTCGTGAAGGAGCTGGGACAGATTCTTTTTTTTCAGCTGGAGATGAATTTTTATGCTTTGCTGATCATCACCTTATTCCCCTGGTGGGCAACATGATGTACATATAGCAGAAGCACCAGGCAGTGTATGTAGCAGATGTAACCAATATTGAGCCACTTCAGGAAGTTAAACTCCCAGCTTCAGTGATACAATTTTCATCTTTAATTCTCTCTGGCCAGTGCATTATGGTTTTGCCTTAATCTTGGAAAGGGTTATGAACCACTAAAGTATGTAAACTATTTTGTTCTACAAATTGCCAATGGCGCAGAAGTATTTGCTGTGTACAGTATCCTGTACAGGCAGTCTGATGCATTTCCTAATGTGCAATGTGTTAAATACATATCCCTCAAAATGTGTTATCCTTATGATCGTTCAACTCTGTAACTTTTCTGTGTATGATACTTTAAAACAAATGTTGAAAGCAACTTATAAGTGTAACACATTCTGTATCCTGTCTATTCCAATGTGTTAGCAGGAACTATACAGTAGTTATGTTGTGCTTATTCTTGGAATATTTATAGCTATTTTTTACAGGCTTTGTATAGAAAAACACCTAAAGCTTATGTGGCAGGCATGAACCACTTTCACGTGTTCAAATCAAATCTATATCTAGAACAGTATGTGTACTGTATTTAAACCCCATCCTTGCACATGAATCTTTACCCTCTAACAGGCACATCAAATGTTTGCAGTGAGCAATACCCAGTGGTATGAGAATTATCTTTGGTTTATTTCACAAGCTTGAGTAGTATTTCCAGTTTTGTATAAAAGTGTATTCTTTCCTGATTACCTCTTGTTAATAAATCTATTCTTTCTCAGGGGGATCAAGTGTCTTTAGAGTGTGTTTATTTGGCCAAACTTTTGTATCTGCAGCTTTCCAGAGGGATTTATTGGAGGATAGGGGTTAATAACAAAATGAGCCGAGTCATGTGACAACCCTCCAGCAGTTTCAGGAGTGCAAGCATGGCGCTCGGTATTGTGTGGTTCATCAGCATCCTTATTACTTTTGTTCATTTAACGCCGCTGATAGTTCCTGAAGGTAAGCAACACTTGTGTTTAAAGGTAAATACTTGAAGTTTGTCACTGTCATCTTTATTATTGTGTCTCTTAAACACAAATTAAAAGACAGCTTAACAAGCTGATGCCGATGTTAGCCGGTGGTAACCCGAACATTTATGACCACAGCAGGTTATACTTTCTGATATTATGAGCGTAGATTTTCTTTGTAAATATCTACGATGATAAAAGCATAAAGAAGGTCCCGGAGGTCCGTGTAAAACGCCATATACTTAAAGAACAAGTGAAATGCACTGAGTACTCATCGTCTGGAAAATGTCTTTTTTCCCCATTAACAGTTTAACATATTAAATTTTAATTTGTTAAGAACCGGTATAATTCTGCCAGAAACAAGTGGCACATTAAAATCGACCGTTTTTCCTGAATTATAGTTGAAGTGAAGGATCAGATTTACAAATACCTCAAATTTTTATATTTAAAGCTCCTGTAAGCAGTTTTATTTTATGTTGGTGAAGTAGACTGGAAACCATAATGAAGCCTTTTTATAGTGCTCCAAAGCAAATAAGTCTGTTTGTGAAAAGGTTGAAGATTTTTGTTTTGTAACCATAGACTGTATATACTATGGACAACTTGGTTCTGCCTTCCGCCAGTAAACGGATTTGAAGCCATATAGCTCTTGGTATTTCTGCGATTTTTCTCTGTTTCCTGAAACCAACATTGCCCAGTAGCGTTTTACGCACTCCACTACTTGGGGAGTAGCGATGTGCATATTCGGTGGGAGAGTCACCGAGAGTCGCTGTGATGACGCTCGGCTCAAACAGCGTATCCCCTGGGTGAGCTACGCAATCCTTGTATGCCCATAGGCTGTATCAAGTGTCAATCATAGAAAACGTAAAATGGAGCTGCACAGTAAAAAGAGCACTTGAGCACAAACCAGTCTTACAGTAACTACATGTCAACATCATGTCAGCCCCATAAGCTTTGCTGGTGGAGGCGGGATTTATGACCTATACTGCGGCCCATCAACAGAGGGTGCTGTCCTCTGAGTGGCTTCACCCAGCGAGGAGGCAGACGATGTCCATTATTTATACAGTCTATGGTTGTAATCTCTAACACCTGAAAGTGGTTCAAGGGGGTAGGTGTCAGCCGAGAAGCTGAGGAAACCCATTTTTTACATTTTCCCTCTAAAATATTCACAAAAGATGTTACTTTGAGTATCAAAACAAATTATAGGGTGGCAGACAATATGTAGATAACAAGCCAAGCAAAAACTGCATTGTCTACAGGGGATGCAAAAATTGACCAAACCTGAAGTTTCTTACAGGAGCTTTAAGGAAGAGATCATAAAGGGCTTTGGGACTAAATTACAAAGTATTGAATGTCGATTTATCAGACTGCTCCTTTAATTTGTGGCTTGTGTTTGTGTCCCATCAGAGGAACGCAATTTCAAAGAGTGGATGATACAGGTACAGTGAATGCATAAAAACAAAGCAACCCCAAAAGTACTCTTTCAATCCATGACTCTTAAATAATCTGAATGACTTTTCATCACATCGATCACTGACTCATTATTCTTTTTTGACATGCAGCACAACAAGGTTTATTCCACCGAGGAGTATTATTACCGACTCCAACAATTCACAGAAAATAAGAAGATAATTGATCATCATAATGCAGGAAATCACTCTTTTACAAGTAAAGTACAATTTTGTGATTATAAATTTGTGATATAAAAGATTATTCATATCAATGTTACGTTAACTAAATCTGTTTAACAAATCTAGTGGGCCTGAACCAGTTCTCAGACATGTCATTTGAAGAATTCAGGAAGTTCTACCTTCTGACGCTGCCTCAGGTATGATGTTTCTTAACTTTTAACTCACTGACTTAACATGACAGATGCTCTTTGAAAAGTGCTCCAGTGCAGTCCTCTGATTCTTGTCTCTTGTAGAACTGCTCAGCTACCCAAGGGCATCATCATGTCAGAAGGTCTCGTCCAAACCCTCAGTCTGTTGACTGGAGGAAGAAAGGGAACATTGTGACTCCTGTCAAGAATCAGGTAGTGCTGAACTGCCTGATTACTGACCCTTAGTATTTTTAAATATCTAAATAATTACTATGATGTAACAGTACAGTGATAACACTGAAACAGGGAGCCAGAAAACAGTTTCATAAGTTATAAATGTGGCTGAATTATTTGAGAGTGAGTTTTCTACTCTGCTTGAAAAGGTGACAAACAGCAGAACAAACATGACATTATTAAATAAAAGGTGTATTATGTAGGCTTGAAAAAATACTCACTCAGCAGTATGATATTGCTCTATTTTGGAGCTGATGACTTGTGAAAAATGAAAACTGGTGCTCAATATTCCTCGCTTTGAACACAACCTTTACTATCACCAACATAAAGCGCTGCTGTGTCAGGACTTGGTTTGAGCACAAGCTTATTTTTGTTTTTGTGTTATTTTTTTAAACTAGAAAGCCAAAATAAAGTGACATTTACTGCAAGTATATGGCTATTTTTTTTTTTACAGCAGTTAACCTTTGAGTAGATTCTTTGGCTCGTCCCTCTAAGTGACTTTGGAGCTGAAGGAGTTTGATTGTGTTCGTAGGGTCACTGTGGAAGCTGTTGGACCTTTGCTACGACTGGCTGTTTGGAGTCTGTGAATGCCATTGTTACTGGGAAGCTGGTACCTCTGGTAAGATCTGTGTGACACCTGTTTAGTTATTTGAAGCACATCCATCTACAGATCTGACATGTGGAGCTCCAGATCCAATAATATCAATCAGTTTATCCATTTTTATTTATATAACGCAACAAATTTTATCTCAGGTATTCCACAAGAGGAGCAGGTTTAGACTATACTTATCCATATTACACTTGATCACACATTATTTAAAAGCAGACTTAATGTTTTGTTACACTTACGCTTTTTAACTATTATTTTTGTGTAAAAAGTTTGCGTTTTCTCTTTCAGTCGGAGCAGCAGCTTGTAGACTGTGCTCATGACTTCAAGAATTATGGATGTATGGGGTAAGAACCCTGACGCTGTTGTCAGCTATTTGTTAAAGCCACAACACATATAACATGCAAGTTTTTATGTTAACGCCTTAATGCACTTCTTGTTTTGTTTCAGTGGGCTCCCCAGCCAGGCATTCGAGTACATCAAATATAACAAGGGCCTTATGACAGAGGAGAACTACCCTTACACAGGCCATGTATGACTTATTTTTACAGATTGATACCTCGTTAGAACCATTCTTGATTGTGAACAAAATCTCAATTTAAAAATGTTTCACTTGGGTTCTAGCAAGATACCTGCAATTTCAAGCCTTCACATGCAGCTGCTTTTGTCTGGGATGTTGTCAACATAACAGCCGTGAGTAAACATATATTCACATAACAGCACATGTACGTACATTTTTAGGAGTGCATGCTGCAAGCTTCAAAACTCTGACTTAAAATTGGTTTGGTGTGTCAGATACTGACATTGTTCCTCTCACACAAGTGAATAGAGGTAAAACAAACACAAATCAAGTAAACACCCATCTTTACATTATCTATTATCAGTTAAAGGTTTATTTTGGTGAAGCTGATAGACAGCTGATAAACGTACATGCTGCCCCTCTGAGAAGAAAAAAAACATTTAACCAAGTCTCTGAAACCATCACAGTGGTTTCATTCTGAGATCTGTGTTTGTGTCCACAGTATGATGAAAAGGCCATGATTGATGCTGTGGCCTGGCTCAACCCTATATCCTTTGCCTTTGAGGTCACAGCTGATTTTATGCACTACAAGAAAGGTGTTTACTACAGGTGAGCTGAGAATCTCACTTAAACTAATGTATGTGGAGTATTCTTATGTTCAAAAGCAACATGTGGTAAGAAAGAACAGTATGCACATTTTTTTTGCCTCTTTAGCCTGTTAATGTACAATAACAATATAAAACAATAGTTTTTTTTTCTAGTAATTCACCTGCACAGAGGTCATTCATGCAAACTGGAGGATTATTAGGAATTAATATGTGCACAAGTAGTCTGCAATAACAGAAAAAATATTACCCCTTTATAATAGCTATGAACAGCTATTGAGGGTTGTTTGAGTAAAGTTTTTTTTTCTTTCTTTCTTCAGGTTGATCTTTGACAATATTGGTTTTAAAGCAGTTATGACCAGTAAAGGGGTACTCTGCTTCATTTTGACTTTTACTCTCACAGTTGCTGCCTGCAGGTGGGGAACATGTCCATCCCTACCAAGGACTTGTTCAAAAGTTATTTAATTTGTTACAGCACTAAATGTTTTAAGTGCCTGTTATCCACTACTGTTAAATGCGAAGACCGAACGTTTTAGCCACCTGTATGACTTTCAAAATAATAGCCAAAGTGAGTAGGTTTTTAAAGTCTTGATTTTTCAGAAAATTTGTTTGACCTTCTCCTGTATTTCCTTGTGTTCAAGAAGAACCATACAATAATAAACAAAACAGTTTGGGAGGGTACATTTGCATAGGCCAGTCACCCTTCAATAGACATATGGATTATTAGCGTAACAGTATCTATGTTGTCTGCTTAGCTCGCAGTGTGAGAAGACAGCAGACATGGTGAATCATGCAGTCCTAGCAGTGGGTTATGGAGCTCAGAAGAGAGGCAAGCTTTATTGGATTGTGAAGAACTCTTGGGGCACAGCTTGGGGAATGGACGGGTAAATATAGTCCGTGTGTGTGCATATAAATGTGATGGTTTATACCAGCTTTCACAGATAATAGATAACTTTGTCTCTGCTGTTCTTTTAGATACTTTTGGATCCAGCGAGGAAAAAACATGTGCGGACTGGCTACATGTGCCTCCTACCCTTTACCTTTGGTGCACTGAATAAACTCAGGAAAAGCTCATCCAAAAAGGATGACAAGAGTGAACATGACGAGAACGATCTGCTGTCATGTTGACTTCTGTGTTTGATGAGGAAGGTGTCCAAATGCTATGTATAATACCATGTAAATGTTTATATGAAATAGGAAATTGAAGTAAAAGTTATATGATGTAATTTATATCACCTTTTGGTGTGTTTAAGATTGTTACAATAAAGAAAACAACTCTCAAGGCTGATCAGTCACATCATTTAAACATGCAGCCCTAACATGCAGGTTTGATGAATTTATTATGTATTAAGTGTTCAAGTATGTCGTGAAAATTTAATAAATATATATTAGTGTGTGTTCATCATCAGCTGGGTGATTCATTATTTTACTGTTGAGTTAAAGTTTTTTCTTATGGGCACAATTAATATTTACAAGTATTTCAAGTGTGTCTGTCGAGATTAGTTATAGACTGATTTTAGCATTTTTAAAATGATTGGCATTGGCCCATATTGGGTCTTGTTAATGAGTCTGTGCCTCAGACATCAATGTGTCATAAAATCTAAAGCAACGCCCAATTTATTCTTGTATTTCATAAATTAATTCAAAATCCATCTGAAACATGTTTCCAGAGATACATGTTTTGTAATGTGCATGGATAGACTTATTTTGTATTTGTTTTATTCTGAAAGGATCATACCAAGCCGTAGACAACCCTTCAGACTTGTGAGGTAAATTTGTGACAGGTCAAGTATTTGTTTTAGTCTGAGAGGTCAAAATTCAGAGAAAATGTAGTGTTGACTACATGACCTCAAAGGCATCTCCTCGGACTTCTACAGTAATCTTAACTATTGTAATTCGTTTTGGAGGTTTTCTGTGTACTACTGCTTTTAAAAGTGATACCCCTAGTATGCTTTTGTTTTAAGAGGACTCTTCGTTTCTTCATTTGAAAACCATTCAATTGACTCTCTTTTGGGGGCCGAACCACAGACTGAATATAGAATATAATATATATAGAATAAATTCAATATACCTACAGTCTATGTGCCCTACGCAAAACCCAGTTATCTGTACCTGTTAATTCAACTCCCTTGGTCTGTTATCACTGAGACCCAACACATGATGGCAGAGTTATCACTGGTTTTGTAAAGCAGAACCGGCATGAAACCGGTAGGAAGAAGTGAGATGTCAATCAAATTACTCGACGATTATTGGCTGTTTGTCGCTTGGGACCGCCCCTTATTCTGATGATGAAAAGTTCTGACCAATGAGAAGACGTAAATATATTTCACAACACTGAGGGGCGGGGACACTTACAAAACATTGCTTTCTTGTGGCGCCAACGATTCACTTGTTAGTTCTTATATCACCTCCACGTTAGGCAGCCTTGAAGCGTACTCATTCCTGACTTGCAACATCGTTTTGAGGAAAAATTTCTCACATATCACTTTAATTTGACGAACATGACGACAAGAAGAGCGAAACGCGAAGCTGTCGAGAAGCTGCAGCCACCCGTGAGTTGTTAAAGCATATTTCTTCTTTTTCTCTCCTCACACTTTATCTGACTTTATCAGGATGCTCGGTGTTATCTTACATGAGACATGTCGAGGACTTTCAACCAACTTAAGATAGTTTTAAGAAAACTGAGTAGACCTAAGTAAAGTATTACTTAAGACGATAGTAAGTTGTGTGCTTGTGTTCCACTTTCGCCGAAACGTATTTAGAGTTTATGTTCTAATACACACTATCTCCCCAAACTTGTTGATAACCTAACTGTAATGTACTTTTCACAGGCATTGACCCCTGAAGACCCAGAAGACCCGGTCCGAAGATCCTCACGAAGCGTGCTGACCCCGAAACGCCTCAAATACTCTCCCGAGAACAGCCCTCCACAAACCAAGAAGAAAACAGTAAGAGACGCTAGATATTAAAAGGCAGTTTACAAAAAAGTCAGCTTTTTTGGTGTGTAAATGTGCTCATATGTGTTTTTGATAGAGCACCAAAATCAACAATGTCAAAGACGGAGAGAAGAAACAAAAAGACATTAAAAAGGAAGAGGAGGATGTCGAAAACAGTGATGTGGAGCACCCATCTGTAAGTATAAAACTACAGATATAACACATACCACTATGCTGTTTCATGATTAAAAGACATGAACATAAAAGTACATTTATTCAGTAGATCCCCTGTAACCAAATCAAGTGTGTACCAAATGTTGTGTAAGACAAAGATTTTGCATTCTTGTGTTTTTTAGGTTGGACACAGAGAACTCTCAGAATATGAGCTGAAGCGGCTGGAAAACATCAGACAGAAACAAGCTTTCATGTCCTCCATCAACATATTCCAGGTGCGTGTTGACTTCTCATGAATCCAGCATAATTTTGCTTCAGTTCTAGATAACATTCACTGACGATTAAATTTGTCACAGCTCTGACATTTCATTATTTTCCACTTTTATATAGATCATTAATTCTTCCCAGTCTTACTGAATAAAAATATAGACACAAGATCTTATGCTCTACTGTTTTTTTCTTTGTCCAAAGGCTGCTGAGGAGTTGAAGCAGTTGGCACGACCAAAGCCATCGCAGAGAGGTCTCATGAGGTAAAATCATGTCATGGTTCCTACTGCCACCTTACTTTTGGGAACCAGTAACTTTGACTGTGTTGAATCAGGGTTAGAGTGATGAGTGACTTGATTGAGTTTTAGTAATTACCTCTTTTAAATGCACATTATGCTTAATCGTTCAGGTTATTATACCAAAATCCACATGAACCATTAGGAAAAACTTCATACGTAGCACAAGTGCTGTTGGCGTCATCATAATGCTCACGGTCCCTGGTTGCAGGTCTCACGCTGTTGTGAAGGAAGTGCTGCCAGCTAGAAAGTCTCTTCGTCTCCAAAAGAAAGAGGCTGATATCTTGACCCTTCCTCCTGAACCCAAAGGGACGCTTGGCTTTGTAGAGGTGGCTGCATATCAATAATTTCAAATACAAAATAATTTATCAATCCTTTTCATACTCCCCTCTTTCTTTCTAACTCATCTAATTTCACATTTACTTTACTTTTAAAGTTCACTCCTTCTAAGAAGCCCTCTGGCCCTTTACTAATGGACGCCATCAACACGGAGGAAGGGAGCAAGCTGCCATCAGACCTTTTCACGCTCTGCTCAGAGGTAGGGCCTAGTTCTTTTTTTCGTGTATAATGTTTTTTTTAGAGCATTTTTAATAAACTCGACAGGTGTGCCAGTAACATCTAAAATTGGTTGTAGGTTTCTGATTTTGAATATACTTGAGCCTAGTATGAATTCTTGTTCAACTATATTGTTGATTTACATTTTAAAAGTGTTTTTTCTTTTTCTTTCTAGGATTCAACACAAGAGAAAAAGACCAAACTTGACCTGAAAGAGTAAGATGTTTCTTTCATGGATCTGTTTTCCGAACTACTCCACCTCAGAGGTTTTGAATTTTTTATTTGCAAACAGGCAGTGGCATAAACACTTTACTTCTGATACGCAGGTACCGCTCAGCCCTGAAAAATATGAGGATATCTGAGGAGAAAGTGGCCAAAGTGGTGAAGGACCGCATCTTCTCAGCTGCCTTTCACCCCTGCTCCAGCAGCCTTGTCATGGCAACTGGAGACAAATGGGGGAAAGTGGGACTGTGGAAGCTGGTGAGTCCTTTTAGCTGGTCCATGGTTTGTATTTTTGATCACAAAAGGTCAGAAGACAACAGACTACACATTTAAAATACTTAAGCAACTTAGAAGATTCCTAAACTCATTGGAAAAATATGTGCCACTGAAAAAGATGTCATTGGGACTGTATTCCTGGTACAAGGCAAGACTGAAGCTCAATAATCTTTTGAGATCAGCCCACTAGAAAATACAAATACTGGAGCACAATTGAAAGGAAACTTTTTTTCAATTTATACCCTAGAAGATCTTACATTTAGAAATGGTGTGAAATGATTGTTAAGAAACCATGTGTGCATTTCTTGAAGGGGGGTGACTGGGGCGATGACGGCGTCCTGCTCTTCCAGCCTCACACCCGTCCAGTGGGCTGCATGGCGTTCTCCAAAGCTCGTCCCACTCAGCTGCTGAGTCTCAGCTATGATGGATCTCTGCGCTGCATGGATGTAGAGAAGGCTGTCTTTGATGATGTGAGAGAACTGGCATTATAAGCGTCATAATGAGAATTTAAAACTAATTTTCAAAACCTCCTTTTCCATTAATCACTCTGTTTTTATTTCTGTTTTCTCTTAGGTGTATGACATTGATGATGGTCTGAAAACATTTGATTTTATGTCACATGACTGCTCCATACTAGTGGTTGGGACCTGGTACGGAGACGTCGCCATTGTGGACAGGCGCACACCAGGGTAATATATTGTTGATAAGTCATACAGAATGATAGATGTTTATCTTTTACACAGTATGGGTGCACCATTTGAACCTTAGTTTATCATTAACCTGAATGTGCTGCTCTTGAATTCTCATTTTCTCTTCAGAAACTCACACGAGTCCCTTCACTCTGTGGACCCCAAGTCACTGCGCTGTGTCAGTGTCCACCCACTACAAAAGCACTACTTTGCTGTGTCAGAAAACAAGTACGTCTAATGAGAGATTTAATTTCACCTTGTATGAATATTTTACATCCACACGTTCTTTCTTTTATCTTCTGTTTCAAAGATTTTACTGAGTCTGTTTTGATCTGGCCTCCAGGGTTGTGAGCATTTATGACAGCAGGTGCCTTAAGAAGACAAAGAGCCAGGCAGTCTCCCAGCTGCATGGACACTCTTTGAGCATTTCCAGCGCCTATTTCTCCCCCTCCACAGGAAACCGAGTCCTAACCTCCTGCATGGACAACAACATAAGGTAACACCAGCTCCGCACTCAAAATGATTGTTTAATACTTGTTTAGTTTCCCTGGCGATTCTCACTTTCTACCCTGAACTCTTTTGACAGAGTATACGACACATCGTCTATGACTTCAAGATCTCCTCTGCTTTCATCCATCAGGTTATATATATTTTTATGTTTTGGCATCTATCCTCATCTTTTGTTTTTTTTCTTTGGGGCTCAGGAAACCTGAGAATTCTCACAGCTTATTTTACCAATCTCCATTTTCAGACATGACATGCACACGGGCCGCTGGCTGACCAAACTGTCAGCAGTGTGGGACCCAAAACGGGAAGACTGCTTCGTGGTGGGGAGTATGTCCAGACCTCGGAGGGTGCAGGTATTCCATGAAAGCGGCCAGCTTCAGCACTCCTTTATGGATGAAGAGAACTTGAGCACAGTTCTGTCTGTTGCTCTTTTACACCCAACGAGGAATGCTTTGGTGGGCGGCAACGCGTCAGGGCGTCTGCATGTCTTCTCTGACTGAGATTGGGACCAAAATCTGTTGTCCTGACCCCAGAGGGACAGCTAGAACCATTTACAGTGTAGATGTCCCTCTGGGGTGTATCACCACTGGAAATGTACTGTGACACTGTTGTTGGGACCAAAACGCAATATGGTCAAAATTTAACTACTATAGGAAAGCAACACACATCACCGTAATGTAAGATACACTCAGTCACTAACTGGAGAAATGTTAAACTTAAGGTTCTGTAAGGTTACTGATAAGCTAAGAGCAAACACATTAACTTTGATGATAATATTTGAATTCTCTGCCTAGTTTTAACAACAAAACGAATTGTTTTCTATAGTAGAGAGGGTTAAAATAATCAGAGACATGCATCTTACAGTGTAAATTCTGTCAAAACTTGATACAGCATCTGTAAAATAACATCTATGCCCCTTTTACGTCTTATCTTCTAACAGTGACAACAACTTAGTTTTGTTTTTTTCTTTAATATTCAGGAAATAGTGACTCGTCTTCCGCTTATCTTAAATATCAAATACTAGTTCCTACAAGTTCAGGTCTCCTCTGTTTGTTGTGCCAGAAGATTGACTCGTCAGTGTTTCTCCTGTGAGTGGTGCGTCACATTGATTGTGTTAAAGTTTAAGACCATCTTTTTTTTTTAAATCAGATTCCTGGGAGCTGGATGGAGACTCTGTTTTTCAGTCAGAAATCAGAAATCCAGTAAGGAGAGAACACAGAACAGACCCTGGCGGTAAATGTGACGAGGTTTTTCACATATTTCATAAAACTCCTTTTGATACTTCCTGCACCATCAGCTTCTCAAATTCCCGAAGTCTTAAAGAGAAACCAGAGCAGCTCCTTTATATGGGATATCTGTGTATTTTAGTTGAAAGGGCTTCATTGTTAAAGTTCCTGATAGAAGGTTGCGTTTGTTTTTTTTTTTATATGTTTAAGTTTGTACCTGTAGCTACTGAAGCAAAAACAATAAATATGGAGATTTTTTAACAAAACATTTTAAGTGTCAGTTTTGTTAATTACAGCGGCTGTTTTTCCACTTTCACCACAAGATGGCAGCATTGTAGCATATTACCATGGGACAGAAAGACCAGTGTGTGTGTGCTGGTGTTGACTGTTTATTTTTGGTGAATTTACGATTGAATTTGTGGCCACACTGGCTGCCAGATGTCAAGAATAGATTATATTTATTCATAAATAGATTACACCAGTCTCCAGTGAGTGATTGGAAATAAGCAGTCTCGTCGGGAGGTAATAAATGCAGAACACATGCTTACAGAGACATCTCCTTGTGCAGGGCCATGTTACAGGAAGGACGTTTACATCTGAACCTTGTTCCTGTTTACATGAATCAGTAAAATGAGTACAAGAGATGCCTGTCAGTAGAGCTGTCACCCTTCATTATCACTGCAGGTTCAAGTGATCAGAAACAAATAATGATACCAAAAACAGAACTGCACCGCAAGACAGAAAGAGTCAGGTAGTTAAGTCTGCTACTTCTGCTTCAGGAACAAAAAAGCGAAGAAACAAAAATCTAGAGTCGAGGAAAAATGCCTCCTCTGTTGTATGTGTTGAGATCGTTCACATATATTTTCACACAGAAATAAACACAGACTCCATCTCTACAAAGTCTGAAAAGCAGGACTGAAAAACACAAAGATAAATCAAATGAACAGACATCCCTTCTTGATATGACACATAGCAGAGAAATCTTTCAGACTGTGGGTTTCCAGGTCTCAGGCACCACTCCCTGAACACATGCATCTACAGGCTGGTGTACCTGCTGTTGGGATTCAAAAGTCATTTTGTAGAAACATTAGTTTACAGTTAATTGTTATTTAAACTCATTCATTACCTGTTATATTTATTGCTTAAATTTTGTTCTTTCTTTATACATAGGAACTACAAATAGGTCTTATAATAAAGTACAAATTACAGGAAGTAGAAGGTCAATCCGTACCTGTCTAGACTTTTGCTTCATACATGATCCCCTTCCACCAACAACATCAATCAAAAACCATCGATCACAGTCTGAATAAGAGCAAGTACCTTATGAAAACCAGCCATAAATGTACATATATGAGTGTTTCTGAATCTGAAATCATCAGTATGGTACAAAAAGTAATCACTTAAAGTAAGATGTTTAATTCTTTAAGTTTTCTTTCACAATTTAACTTTATAAAAGGAGACAGCTATTCTTGAAGTAACTTTCCGACCGCCCACACTGGCACCTCCTTTCCGCTTAGCCCTCAGCCAATCACTTTTCTCCTCCACATCAACACATCTATTTGATTAGTGACCAGCCAACATTTCCACTGGCACACACTGACATATGCACAGTCTAACTAGCTACTTGAAAGATTGTTCGAAAGACCAACAGTCACAGACCGACTCGTATACTAAAGCTGTTGATTTCTCTGTGCTGTAAAGACACACTGCAGGTAAAATAACACATACTTGATAATAAGGCTGGAGGAGGACAGCTGGCTATCTACAGAGTCCATCTGTTGACGCAAACCGACACAAACATCAGACGACAGAGGTTTCTTTGGTAGGCGTGATGAAGCAAATCGCAGTAGGACGTAAACACGACTCATCTTAAGCTCTCTTATAAGCAGGGCTGAAAAAAAATAACGTTTCATGTGCATTCAGAGTCACTGCGAGGAAATCTATGTCGAGATGAGTTTTCAAGTTTTTTTTTTTACAGAAATGGGAACATAGTTGACATATATTCACGGTTCACAGAGAGACGCAAAAGTCCTATAACAGCAGGGCAAAACAAAGATATATTACCTTCACTTAGCATGGCTCTTCAACCAAAACAAGCTCATTAACTGTATGCTGGGGGGGAAATAACACTCATTTTTGCACTTAACAAAGGTCAAACAAGGTCAAATTCTCCTTAATGAAAAGGATCTTGGCTTTTTACTACTAACAGTATTGCACATCAAAGGTAAACTCCTTCTACGGAGTGCAGGAGTCAAAGATCTACCCAAACACTTCACTATCACTACAGTGCTAGCTCACATAGTCCCACCCTGTTTATAACTACTGTAAAAGAAACTACAGCGAAGGGACGACACTTCCTGACACAGCTGATTGTAGCTATTAGCATTATTTGGCTCCTATGGTAAAGTCAGTAAAGTTACCACCTCCTTATAGCCTTACAGTTTCGTCTTAATTTAAAGTCAGTGGATGATGAAGCTTTGCAGGACAGACGTGGCGTCATAAGCGCTGACGTTTAAAAGACATCTGGCCACAAATAAAGTCACACTCAATACAAAAATAATTATTAAATCTAACAGCCCTGGGTCAGCTACTGCAACTAATTCTTAGCATTTAATAAAACAAATGTAGGGCAACACCAGGACAACTCAGATAGGTTTTCAAGGTGCTTTTCTCACTCACTTGTGTCAGGTTTTATGGATATGTAAGAACTTTTCTTTAACACAAAGAGAAAATCCTTCGACTCGGGGATGTATACATTCAATAAGTGCTGCTTGGTTTCTCATTTCACACTTTCTCTGACCCCCTGATTCCAGCACAACTCAAACAGCAGTCTCCAATCTCACAGCAGCGGCCATAATAACATTTATCCAAATGAATATAGTTATTTGCTTTGAAGTATGGAAATCGGATGAGCTACAATGGCCTCTCTCTCCGAACTTTACTCAGACTCTCAAGTCACACAACACACACCCCGACGCATCACACTCTTCTTTCCCCTTTACAACAATGTTGCAACATATAATTTAATACAAAAATAAAGGCAACTATTATCTGTGGTTGAAGAAGTGAAGTCTGTTCGGATGAAACCCTGTAACTGTGATTTTCCGTAAAAATAAAACGCCTTGAAATGACCTGAATTCCAAAGTAAAATGTGGTTTTCTTCCTCGCAGTGATGGTCAAACATGTTACACCAGGATTTTCAGGGGACAGTCCGTGGCTTTTGACAGGAACTTCATTCTGGGAGAAGTTGGTTTCATATTTGGACTTGGGTTGCCATCCTTTCCATTCTCTTTCTCCTGACCTGTCAGTTTTTTCGTGTCTCCATCAGTGGAGACTTGTGTTGTGTGTCCTCCAGTCTCTGCATTTCTGCCTCACTTGCTGATGAGGAAACCTCCCATCCATCGTAGCTTACAGGCGAACCAGCGCCGAAGAGGGCAGAAGTATTCAAAGTGGAACTGCTGGAATTCAGGCGTCTTACGGATGTCTCTCAGGAAGGCAATGTCCAGGTCTGACTCTGTGAGCATGATGAGGAGCAGCAGCAGGACAAACAGCAGTCCGATGGTGACCAGGAACAGACGTAAGACACTCAGGATGAACTTGTTCAGCTCCTCCACATCACTCGATGAAGACTGCTTGCCTTTCCCCACGCGCAGTCCCCTCCTGCCAGAAAACTCTGTCCCCTGTCCCTCTTTTGATGTCCCCGCCTGTGACTCCTTTTCCTCATCAATGCTGCAGGGAGCGCCGTTCAAGTGTCGAGCAGACGCCATCTCCATGCCGTGTTCTGCCACAGGTGTGGGCAGCACGCTGTCTGAGGGGCTGTAGGCCTCGTCTGAGATGACTGCCGATGTGCTTGCCTCGCTGCCATCCACCATCTGGCCCCGAGAAGACATGAAGGAGTCGCCATGGGAGACGGAACGAACAGGTGTGGAGTGGGCGCTGTCTCGAAGGGACTCCAGACCTGACAGAAAAAGCGAAGGAAAACTTGAGAACTGCATTTCATATCTGGGAGATATTCTCGTAAGGGCTTTTCACAGTGAAAGGGAACTCTGTACTTTGACCATTCTTATACTGATGTTAGTGACGAGGAAAAACACACCAAGGATTTGAAGCTGATCTTTATATTGAAAGACTTAAAGACTTAATTCTCAAACTTTACTTGATTTTCTGTTTACTAACTCAGAAGAAAACAGCAAAAACTTAAATATGACAGTGTGTTTTTATCTCATTACTGTCAAATGAGACTGCAAGCTATATTTCTATGCAGATGACACACTGCTCTAAACTTCCATTTTCTGATGACCCACGATGGACATCCTTTTTATCTCTATCTTATGATACTGAGTCATGAATGGTGGAGAACTTTGTTCAGCTCAACCAGGACAAAACTAAGTTTTTAGTCAGTGGTGATAGTGGGCAGAAAGAGGAACTACATGCAAATTTTAAGCACTGTTTTTCAATATCAGCGGGAAAATCCAGACTCCAGCTTTGAGTCACAAATTAGAGGTATTATTTAAAAAGGCACATTTTTACTGGAAGAGCACTATCAGCGGTTATTTTCTCAAGCCATTGCAGGGACACTAGCTCACACTGTCATCGCTTTCCATATTGACTTTTTAACTCTCCTCTTTCTGGTCTCCCCAAAAAGAACATTTCCAGGTTTGACTTCTCCAAAACTCAGCCGCAAAGATCAGAGAGAGAGCCCACATTATATCATTTTTAAAGTTTCTGTATTGCCTTCCAGTTTCTTGTAGAATGGATTTTAGGATCTTTTACTGGTTCATAAATCTCTCCATGGTCAAGCTCCGACCTATTTATGAAATTGCTTTTAACTTATGAGCCTGGGAGAGCCCTCAGGTCCTCAGGTATTGGTCCTTTGATGGTGCCAAAAGTCTAGACAAAGACCTGCGGTGAAGCAGCCTTTTGTTATTATGGTCTGTGTGCATGTAAGAGTGTACCTGAATACCTGAGGGCAGCACAGAGAATCAATATTTTCAAAAGCAAACTGAAGACCACCTTTTAGTCTCAAATTTAACCCAATTTTATTATTTATATCTCTATTTATTAACTTGCATACAAATGTTTTTACATACAAATGATATATTATTGGTGTTGAGTTAAACAGATGATCTTTTAGTGTTTTATTACCTTATTCTATATTAAAACACTTCTATCATTTACATTCGCATTGATCTTATTTAGACCTCATGATAGTGCTGTCTTAGTTCATCCGCTCCTGTTTGTACTGGTTCTCATATTCATTGCAGGCTCTTTACCTTGTACATGGATGAATGGGAGTTGTGGGGTGACGGGTCTTTTTCATGTATTTGTTTTATTTTATTACTCATTTCTGTTTGTGTGCAGCACTCTGTGTTACATTATGGTCGCATGAAAAGTGCTTTATAAATGAAGTCGAACTGGCTGATTGATTGATTGCTGATATTGGTTAGTTGCACTTATAAAAAGCTGTTTGTTGACTCCGTTACACCAGCAGAACATAAACAGCACACAGTGTGTTCAACCAAACTTGCTCACAGTACATCACAGCATCTCGTTACACTTAATATAAAGCACATTGTAAGGACTTATTTTTGGCTGTCTTGAAATAAGATATATATATCTGTACATGTCAGGTCAATATATCTGGTATGATTAAATACTTTTTTCAGTTAAGTGAAAAAAAAACATTGATGACAGATGTGAGTACACAGATCATTTTTCACAGAGGATGTTTTAGGGTAAATATGTTCAGTCTCTTTGACTTTGAGCCTCTACTGTAGGACTACTACACCAATTTTGGTGTATGACACTTACATAAAATTATCAAATCAAATAAAAAAACTAGAAATTTCAAGCGTACCTTACTCTGTTTAAAAACTGCCTGAATCATTTATTCTGACATGTCAGAGAATAACTTGTTTTAAATGTCTTTCCTTCGATGACCTTGTTTGGGAACATGATCCTGTCGTCCTGTCATCACTGTCCTCACAAATATTTTGGAGGCATCTCTGAGCTCAGAGTCTCCATGTCCTATGTCCTCTCAGAACTGATACCTGATCCTCTTTGGAGAGAGGATAATGTAAATCCTTAGCTTTGATATCACTACACAAGACCCTAACAACATAAACATTTTGATGTGTTATTCAACTACAAAGTTTCTCGTAGGAACACAAAAGAAAATTTCGCCAACCTGAAGATGAATCTTTCAAAAGCCACAAAGAGCAGCAGACTAAAATCCTCCACAATACAACTAGCCTTTCTTTTTTTTTTTACCTGCACTGTGGGCTGGTGAGCTGCATCCATAAACTTGGGGTGGGACAGCAAGCCTAGAAGGGGTCCTGGAGCTCTGTCCAGACCCAGAACCAGAGCCTGAAGTGGAGGAACCTCCAGAGATAGCGGGGAAAAGCGGCAGGACCCCCAAAACTCTACCCAGCAGCCGGGGTCCCAGAGATAGTACGCGAACATTCACATCTCGATAACAATGGTTGATCATACGCAGATGGACGTTCACTTTGGTCTTGATCTTGATCAAACACTTCACCATGGTTCAAAGAGAAGAAAAAACCACGAGTCTACACCTAACCAATTCCTAACCTTCTTTCTCTGAGCTCTTTAGGATCTTTTTACTTTCTTAAAAATGGTCGGTCTTCTTCTCTGTCTCTGACTGGCTTGATAAGCTGCTCTCACAGTGAGCTTCCTCACTCCAGCACATGAACAGAATAAGAAAGACAGAGAGACAGAGAGACACAGAGTGAAAGACAAGGCCCAGGAATGTGGTCCACTTGTGCCACAGTTCACCTCGTCCCCTCCCCGCTGTCAGCGGTGGCACACATGCCACAGCCCCTGACAGCGGAGCTATTTTCAGCCTGAGATATTATTACAGTGGAAATACCAGCGCAGCGTGAGCGACAGGACAAAACACAGGAGGTTTGTTTCCGTGCTACAACAGTGGGGGTCCAATATCAGAGCCTGCTTTCAGTGTCAAAGACCAGAGGGGGGCTAGTTTGACAAAATAACTTCTTTGTAAAATCAGGAACAGGCTGGGTTTTAAGTTTATTAAATGTAAGCCAGGCTAGTCAACTGAGAGACCAACTACTCATGGTGGCAGCTCTGACAAAAGGTTAATGGCCTGTTGGAGGATGAAGGGGGCAGTGAGTGGCCTTTATAAACAGAGAGGATGACTTCCTCATGTCAAAATAACCACTGAGGCCACAGGCTGATGGGCTGTCCTGAAGAGTGTGTTTGGAGTCTGTTACAGAGAGAGCACATCTGAGAGGGGAAAACACAGCTATCACACAAAATGAAGAGGAAGAGGACAGAGTGAGGCTCAGAAGTGTGGGACTGTTCACGTTTATGACCTGTTTAAGTCCTCCTGTATATGCGTACAAGGATACGTGTAGACATCGGGTTTATTATTATTATTACATTTCAACTCATTTTATATGTTGAATAAAAGATTTTGACATAATTCACCAGTGAAAAGTTATTTTAAACAGCAATATTAGTCTTCTTGTTCTCATTCTTTCAGTATTTACACCCCGTATCTATCAGGTCATGTAAAAACTGTTTGATGGCCTCATATCAAATAAACAGTATAGCAGCGTCTGCTTTGGGCATCAGCAAGTTTACATTATTTTGAGATCTACTCAGACCAGTATGTTTTAATCTGGTTGTTTAGGATAAAGTGTCAGTTCACGTACATTTGTGCAGAAACACCATCACAGTGAGAGACCTGCTTCATACTGAGAGTTGGTTTTTTGGTTACTTATGCAGCCCAGATATTATCAGAGAGAGTGAGGATTTGAACCCCTGAGCTCAGATCAGACTCATTTTTAAACGCAGTATTATTTGGAGTGTGTTTCTCACCCTCCATGATAGAAATGTGCACGGCTCTCCGTCTGGTCCTGGGTACACTGGTCAAACGAGGACCGTGGGTGATGGATGGACAGCTCCTGCTTGGCACCATACCAGCCCTGAAGAAATGCCACACACACCCACAGACACATGAAGTGACACATATACAAGTGAATCATTATAAGGCTGCTGGTAGGATATTAATTTTTACCTGTGTATTTCAGGAGGGTCCCTCTTAATTTTGGCACTTTGTTCCATTACCTCTTTTGCAACCTTTCCACTATCAAAACAAAGAGAAAAGTGAAAGTGTCACAGTCAAACAAGCACGACTCTGCTACACTGACAGACCTGGTTTATCAAGACAGTTTCGTTCTTAGTATACAAACTCAATCTGTCAATCAGAGTAGCCATTACCTGTATCTAAAGCGACTACCCTTGAAGAAGAGATTACTACTGGACACAGTGCGGACTTGACTAGACTTTTCCAACCTTTAAATAGATGGAAATCGAAAATATTATCACCATTGTCAGAAAAGTAAGTGGACTGATGTTGAGTTTTGTGTCTCTGTGTTGTGACTTACTTGTAAAAGGCCTGATTCTCCACGCCACACTTCCACAGATGCTTACAGGCCTCAGGTGTAGGTGCAAAGTATGTCAGTATAATCTTCCTATCCTGTAACGAGTCAGGTTCAGTGCTGCAAACAAACTTTCCGTCTATAAATCAGGCTTTAACCAGGCTCTTGATGCCTGTTTCAAAGAAATGGTCTGCAGTCTTTTCCCGCAGACTCACTGAGCTCTTTGCGACAAACCTTAGCTCTACTTTGCTCTCTTGTCTCTTAAATCACATGGCTAACCACATTTTTATCCTATCATTTTACATTTGCTTCTCTATTAAGAAGAGATTACACTGGCTTCACAGTGGCAGAGTCTCGCTGCATAAAACAAGCCTAACCTCATTTAACTTCCTGGGCTCCAAAGGCTAGAGAGTGAACTTTTTAATAATGCATCCACATACCTCCTTCTGATTTGCATATATATGGAATGTCTTTGCTTCAAACTTGAGTTTGGTCACCTCGTCCCTAAGTTTAGGGTATAAACAAAACAAAGGACAGACAGGACAAAAGGGAGATGGTGAGAGAAAGAGAGATGGAGGCAGAAGAACAGACAGACATGGATCGGGGTGGTTAAATATTTAATGCAGCTGGAGGCAAATTAATAACAGCAACAGTGTTTCATTTCTGTGTTGAGAACTGTGAACACAGTCAGAGGATTACATATGCAGAATAATATTTTAAAGAGAGCACAACTTTAAACAAACAGGTCAGACTGTGTGAGCACGCAGCATCGCAGCTGGTTGACTCAGCTGTCTTGAAAAGGTCACTAACGTCCTCTCATCGTGTGGTTACTTATTGTCTCTGTTTAGGACTCCTTTGCTTTAAATTATAATAAATACATTTACAGATACAGAGGCAACTTGTTCCTATTACATACACACAAACAAACTCAAAATATGCACTTTCTTTCTTGGATTTTAGTTGTTTGAATCAATCTGCTCAGAATCTCACATTGTTAATAAATTTAATTTCTCAAGTCAAATCTATTGCACTTGAGTTGTCAGTTTTTTTGCTGCTGCTCTCCCTGCTTTGGCTTTTCATGTATGCACCTGAAACAGAGGGGAGGTGTGCTCTCCCTGCTGCAGACTTTTCCCCCTCCACATAAGCACACAGAAGGGCAGGGAGCTCTCAGAATGGAGCCATACTATGAGGCGACACACCTAGCTCTTCGCTGCTTCCACCCCGCCTCCTCTGCAACAGCACTGTTAGAATAGTCCTTGGTTTAATTAGCACTAACAGCAGCTCTCATCTTAATAATCATGGTACAGTGTGAGGATAAGGTTTACAGTCTGGACTACTGGCATGAGTGTGGGTTGAATTTCACTAGGCTTAAGTAACCTGTAAGAAACATTAAGAAGTAATGATGCACACAACACCTAACGTCTTACCACCGAGGATAAACCCAATAACTTAGTGTCTACGATTTAGACTTTATATGCATGTTGATTAATTTATTTATAATGTTGATAACAGGGGCAAATCTGTACCACATTCCTGCAGCATTGCAAGCAAAGAGGATTAGTCACTCTAATTGATGATTCACAGCTGATTAAAAATGGTTGTCCTTCTTGTCCTCTGCTCCAGCTGAACATCTTCCAAAGCTCCTTAAGCCATTTGAAGGCTGCTCACAAACTCAATTTTTCAGCTGAAGACCTGAAGACGAGGGGAGTTCTTTTAAGTTCATGGCAGATGATGATCCAACAGATCAAAAGGCGAAACACCAGGAGCTCTCTGGTGCTCACTCTTTTATTCTCTTTCTCTGACTTTCTCCTCCTTTTGCCTGAACTTGAACTTGTTTCACTTATTTTTAGCTGATGATCTCATCGCAAAAGATGCTTTCCAGCACACGGACACTCTGTCACTGAACTTCTTGCTTGCTTTAGTCAGCAGCGCTCCATAAATGTCATGTTAGACAGAATTGCCTTTAACTGATCCTATATTTAATATTTGATCATTTCAATGTTTCTTGCTGTAACATGATCATGATAATGTCATAATCATCAAAATGCTGTAAAAAATGACAGGACTCTGTGTTCAGCTGAACAGTGCTGGATATGTCTTTGTATATACAGTGAAGAGAGAAAGACCTCAACCGAACTCGATTCAGTGAAAGATTTCCTGTCCATTGCTGTTTTTTTCCATGAGCTGGATTTTATATGGTAATTTTAAAACTGTCTTTGTCTACATCCAAACAGCTGGGTAGTCTCTCTCGCTTATATGGGCTCATGCACACAAACGTAGTGACATCATATTATCTGTTTGTTATTATTAATAATGAATCCTGCTTTCACATTTACTCACCATTTAAGAAAATGGACCCTCCTGTTTCCCTGCAGCACAGTGAATCCAAAAGGAGTGAAAGCCAGAAAAGCCGGGTTTCCAGACACATCCTGATGACGACACAGAGCCACAGTTCTTGTTGGTTTATAAGTTTAGCTTCTTTATGTAATTTTCTTTAATGTCAAAGTTGATCACACATTAATTGACTCTTTGTAAAAAATTAAACACTAGATCTAAATGACATGGTAAGTTTGTTTAGTTCTGACCACCTTGCATGGATGGGGGTCCACTCCATATGTCTCCAGCATCTGAGCCTTCTGTAGGAAGTTGAGCTCTGACGTTTCAGGGGTCTGACCTCTGGAAGACAAAAACAAACAGACACTTTTCTTGGCTGCTTTCACGACCATCTGTTCACTTAATTGAAATCATTTGATAGAAAGTTTTCACTAGAGCCGAACCTCTTCTGAGTAAAAATCGCAGTTTTGGACATAAATTCCTGATATCACAAGCAGAGAGCATATGGCTTGTTCCAAAGGAGTTACTGCAGAATTGATTTACAGTGTCCAGCCAATCTGTTATGTTTCTGTTATAGGGCTGTCGCAGTGTTTTAAGATGCCAGATAACAAATGATTATCTCAATCTGATAAGGAAATATTGTGATTGTGATGAAAGAATGAAGCAGAAAGATCACATTTTCTGGAATTGCTGGTCCTGTTTATTCCAAAAGAAAGACTAAAACTTAGGTAGTTAGTTATTAGTTTTCTTGCAGCTTCTGTATTCAGTGCCTGTGCGCTGATTTAAAGAAATGCACTTTGTTTAAATGAATTCCTCCTGACTGTATAGTCTCTGGCTCCTTGATTTTAAAGATTTTCCTCTATTATCACTTCTTTACTGTCTCTCTTCTTGACAAATGACCCTCTATTTCCTTCAAAACAAACAGGAGTAACTTTGTTTTCTGTGCAGACAAATTATGAAGATGTGCAACTGCTCAAACCTACAGTTAGCATACGGTGGAAATGACCAATAGAGGGCGCTGTAGGATCAAACCACTGATCAGTGTGCATCTCTATAGGTGAGTTTACATGTAAACAATAAGGTGTTACATGTCATAACTAAGATTAATGTGTATGGGTCGAGCTTTATATCATGACTGATGGGTTTGCACCACCTCTGCAGTCTGCATGTTCTGGTCCTGCCTCGATCTTTCAGTAAACTGACTACTGTAACCTGATCACTGAATGGGAAGCAAGGCGAGATGAAGAAAAATGAATTTGACGTCACATCAGCCTGCAGGCAAAACACTGCACCTTAGGGAGCATCAAATAACCACTTCCCTAAAGACATATGACCCAAAGTTGTCTGCCTTTGCAGACACCTCTTATCTTTAGGATTTACAACCAGGTAGAGGAGCTTGTGCTGATTGTACTGTAAACCCTTCCAGCAGCTCTTCAGAGGGGCAGAAACTTGGACCAAGTGGGACAAAAAGCCTTGAACTGTACAGAAGACAGAGGTAGGACTGTGAACCATCCAGGATGTTGGTCATCACCTAATGTATGTAGGCAGCATCACTGCTTCTACTCGTACCAAGTGCTGAAACTGAACACAAACTTAGAGGATATCCCCACAAAAGTCTGAGTGAATCTGTGATTTGGGTAAACAGTGCCAAGACTCTTTGAGTTAAAAAAGTACTCAAATTCAACAGACCACTAAAGACTGCCAAAAAAACTTTGCCTAAAGGCACAGCTCTTTGAGAGTGGTGCATTATGGGAAGCACCCTAAAGTTAAAATACTGTTGACTGGAGTACGCTGCAAACTACTGCCTTCAATAACAGAGATGTGTTACAAACATAGACTGGGATGAATCTGAATGGGAATATTTAAGTCCCATGAAAGTCTATGGAGGCTGTTTGAAACAGGTTATATAAAAGGAATGACTTAAAGAGACAGAGGTAATGGTATTAACTACATGCAGAAATGTTCTTTAATTTGACATCCTCTCTTTTTTCACCTATTTAAATATGAGAAGTTTCATTTAATGAGTCCAATCTATAATATAACCTACTTTCAAAGCAGTTTTTGCAGTGGTTTCCATCTTGTTATGGAGTGTACCACCATACTTTCCCTCATTATTCTGTCTAATCAAAGTTAAGATCAAACTATCCTAAACATAGCTACCATATACATGCATTTTCCCCATGAGTGCCACACAAGTTCAGCATAGACCACAAGAGTTTAGACTATGGAGGACCAACAGTCAGGTGCAGCTCCTTCATGCCTGCTCTGTGGCTGCTGTGTTAAAGCACCAGGTGCAGAGGGACATGGACAAATGTCACCTTACATCAGCTCAGTCTTGTGGATCTCAGCAATCCGCCGCTCCAGTTTCTCTGAGTGTTTGGGGAAGAACTGGAACTTGGAGCTGTAGCCCTCTGGGTGTTTCCCCGGGTCGTAGTCACCGATTTCAGCTGAAACATGGGAAGACGGGAGGAGACCGAGGAAAGGTTAACCAAGCTTGATGATGACTTTTTAATCCACTAAAGCTCTTACTTCCTATTCATTCAGTTGTGCTTGATAGAGTAGTAAGAAATGTGTGAATTAGAAAAAAAACCTTCATTGCTAGTGGTAATGTTATGGACATAGTGTGAGTTTTATTGAGTGTCTACATCTTTAAATCAATTAATCTCTATTTTTATGAATAAACTAAACAATAAATGTTAAATCAAGACTCTTTAAAAAGGTGCAGATCTAGATCATACTCTTTGTTTACCTTATTTACAAAGACCCATCATTAAATCAACCTCAAACAGGCAGGAATCATGTTGAACAGCCATCAGCCACTTGAATTTTCAGCACCAATGTTTGCAATCTCAAGACATTTAAAAAAATTTAGATGTTTTGATCTTCATACTTTTACAGCCACACCAAGGACATCTGAACCTTTGTATGCCACTGTCATGACTCATCAGAGTGGTTTCTTCAGAGTGGTGCATATGTCCCAAGAGAATGACTCAGCACTGGGGCACTAAAAGAGGACCAAAAACTTTGCAGAATTCTCAAGGTTAAGACCGAGAAGTCAAGGTTTTCAACAGCCTATTCAAAAATGACAAGTGAGCGTGTTATAATGGTCCACATTTTTAACACACAGCTTTAACACTCATATCAGAACTAGCAAAAATAAATGTAATAACCAGCTGATAGGGACTCAGTATATTGGAGCATGGTTTGAGTGCTGGAGTTGGTGACAGAAATGCTGGTTCATAAGAGGCAAATATGTAAATACTGACTTGATGCATTGAGATTGCATAAAGACATTCTCTGTCACTGTGCCTGTGAGAAACCCTTGCTTGTCTGCACCATCAAACAGTCATTTCCACGAGCACAGCTGCAGCAGCTTTCACTTCCAGCACCAGCAGCGACTGACATCAGATTGCAGCTGGAAGTGGAGACACATGGACAGTTTGAGTACTTGTCTGCTCTCTGCTGAGCGTGATACAGCTCAGACAGTCATTACTACTCAAAAAACAAATAGACAGCCAAACTCGGAGCGGTGTAGCACATAGTACAGCTTTGCATATTTTTGGCATGTAGTCAGTGCCAAAGTGTGCTTGTTAACACACTGAGCGTAAACATTACAGTTTGTATTGTCGCACGCTTTTTGGGTTCACAATTCTGACACGCTGTCGTCGAGTGCTTCCAAAGGACCGCACTTACATAGAGTCTGCCTCGTCTTATGCCACACAGTGTGCTACATGTCAATATTCAGTCATACATTTGTAAACCCTGACAAACCCAGCAGTTTTAAGCAGTTCTGGTTCAGTGTTCTGCCTCTGGACACGCTGACATTTAGTTGAGGATTGCCCTGCCAATCTCCCAAATAATTTACAACCTGCTCTAGTTCCCAGATTATTATCAGCCAGAGGGTGAAAAAAAGGAACCTTGCAGAAGTGGAACGCCTGTGCGGCCACCATTTTGTCAGAGATGGACATTAAAGAAAAGATAAGCTATAGAAGAAGTTCAACTAAATACTATCTGTTATGCTCATTATCCATTTGGTAATTAATTAATGAATAGACTAAACTTTCATTCTGCCTTTCATCTCTTACCTCTGTGGATGCTTTTTAACATTTACCCCTTTACACACACACACACACACAATCATACACTAATCAAGTGACATACAAATCCACTATTCAGCTGATCATTCACACATACGGTAGATATCGGGCTTGCAGCTGAGGTACCATGTCCACTAAAGACCAGAGGAACTGGGGATTGAGCTGCTAAACTTCCACTTAAAGGGCAACTCAATCTGCTGAGTGATACAGACAGTATTTCATCTCATTTAAAATGATTTTCTTCTCTCTTCCACCAAAACAAAATGTGTTTCCTTCTAAAATAAATGAGCTGTCAGTCAGTTAGTTAGTGCTGTGCTTTTCACAAAACTATTTTATCACTTTATCTAGATCTGACCCTGCATTAATTAATCTTTCAAATCAGCTTCTATCGGCATCACAAAAAAACACTTCAGAAACTTGGAAATGCATGGAGTGTTTGAGTACTAGACTACAATGTTGTCAGGACAGCTGTTAGGACCCGTGACAGGTAAACTGCTTCTTACTGCATGTCAACTCTCTGCATGTCGATTAGTCTGAAACTGAAAGCTCTTCATCAAATATAAACTTCTCTCTCACTGTTTCCACTGTTATGTTCTGAGTATGTTCCTCAATAAAACAATAAAAAGAATCAGACTCTCAAGGACTCAATCACATAAAAAACAAGAGCAGAAGAGCCCTTAATTTCTAAATCCTCTCTGCTTTCACATTTACAGTGAAGTTCATGTATGAAACATAGGTAGCAGTGACGCATGGAAGGCAATCACAGAGTCTACAAAAGGCCACAGACATTAGGAAAACTATGACACTCAAATACAGAAGAAAAACCGCGCTGAAAAGAAAGGCAGTGTGTTATTTAACAGCCACACTTATGAGCCGTGGACAATGAAGGTATTCACCTTCAATTTAAGCATGAAATTCATCAAAAATACATGCCAGATACGACATTTCAATGTGAAAAAAAAAAATCATGACAAGGTGCAAGCATGACTTTAAGGTCCAAACTGCAAAATTTACTGAGTCATGACATTCGTCAAAGTGCAGGTGTTTGTTCGTGAAAGACTACTTCAGTTTTTGACCTCCTACCTTGTAAGATGTAAGCAGCCAGCAGAGCAGCATCTGATGTCTTACACAGGAGCCGACCGTGGTAGAGGTCTCTCTTAACCTGCAGGAAGACGAGATATCTGTGGAGCAGAGAACATGCAGAGAAACCGATTCAGGTCACTATTCAATAAATGCAAGCACAATAAAAATAAAAAATCACCGGTCTTGAATTCCTTGAGGTTGCAGGTGCATGAAAGAGGTTGTTGAATGTAAGCAGTGAGAGATTTAGGACCTGAAGCTGAAATCTAAGTTGGGTTAATTTGTGTGTGATTTAAGTCATGACCCCACTGCTGGAAGTGAAGTCTCATATCCGTTTCCAATACTTGTGCATAGTGTTGCATAGACTTGCAAAAGCTGTGTTATGCATGATCACAATCAAAAAGACTAATTAACTTAGTCAAACTTGATAATGGCATAATGCTAACATACTGAGCAGTTGGCAGGTATAATCTAAGATGTTAATTAAGCTTGTAGCATGCAAACATTTTGCAAATAGAACAAGACAAAGTATAGCTTTGGTTAAAGGGAACCATAATGAGATATTTAAATGCATTTTCCAAATTTTGCGCCTTTCCATCTATAGATGTTAAGTTATCATTATGACCTGCCAGTGTTACCTGAGAGTCAAGATTGTTCAATTTAGACAAGATTCAGGGTTCAATCTCTGCTAATTATGTAGTGTATTCCATAATCTACATAATGAGATATTTTCACTGACACCAAAGTGGCAGATTAACAGTTTTATTGATCAACTAGTACATTAACTGACATTTACATTTCCAAATCCTCATAGATTTTAGTATCATGAAAAATCATATAAATAGAGTTGTTGGGCAGGGTACTGTTCATACATGTCGTCCCAATGTGTTGAGAAAACTCCTTATCAAAGATGCAGGGTCACACCACACCCTGAAAAACCCAACCAAAAAATCTTCCTGCTGTTATGATTGAATTTAGTCTGGGAGTCTGTGATCAGTGTGGCATACATTTCTTTTTTTTAAACTATCTTTATTAAAGTATTTTGTTTTACAATAATACGAAAAAACTTGTGAAAAACAAGTCATCAGGGGAAATACAATGCAGTTCATTTTTTTTTAATAAGGTTAAATTAGGATGCTTTTTCAAGTGTCAGGGTATCAACATTAATAGTCCATCAGATACTCCAAATAGATGTGTGTCGAAAGCATGATCTTCACAAAATATTTACAGGTAGACCAATTATTGTACTTAAGTTAGTCACTGAAAAGACATGAGGCACAAACAAAAAAATGAATAAATAAATGAATAAATGAAAGCTGCATCCATTTCAACAAAATCTTCAAAGCCGAGGCCAGTTATTAAGAAATTAAGGGCCCATGTATATGAAATGTGGCTGTGACCATTCAGGATCAAGTAGTTCACAGCCCTGTGCAATTATTTTATTTAATTATCTCACGTATTTCCCATCAGGGATGAATAAAGTTCTTCTGATCTTATCTTATTAAGAGATAAAACTCAGCTGTGGTTATCGGTATGTTTTGGACTGTATGTGTGACAGTATTTCGCTGCAGTAACTGTTCACACAGTAAAATGTAAGATTTAGCTACAAAAACAGTCAACAATTTAGTAAATGTAGTGGACTAGTCATCAGCCTTAAAGCAGCACTGAAGCTGGAGCATAATAAATCTGAGAGTTGACGAGGAGTTAAAATATGGCCGCTGGTTCACACTGAGGTCCACTGGGAGCAACTCAATTTTCTGCTCTCATCCACAATATCCAGAGATAACTCATACGTCAATTTCCCACCAAGCATTCATTTCAAACGCTTGTGATTCGGCCTCTCTCCAAGCAGCAAAGCAATAAATAGTATAGCAGAACTAGAGCATGGCTCAGAAAGTAGCAGAGAGCAGTGTGTGTGTGTGTGTTCATTAAAAAGTGCTCCTATTATCACCAAAACATACCTTCAAGTTTACAATTTAAAACTGACCATGAATGTTTTTGTGTTTTATTGTTACCTGTCATGTCTAACATATATTTGTGTCTGTGACTATTTCCCGACTGAACAGATGGCAGAGGATAGAGGAGCTCTCCCTCATCGGCGTTCTGCTCTATCAAGACGAGCTGGATGGAGAATAAGAGATTTTACTGCGTGGCAACCAGTCTAGGGATGTGATTTACAGGGATCTGTGTGCTCAGGAGCACTTTGGCTCACTCCTCGCTGCAGTTTGTTCAGCTGTCAAGGATGTCACACAGTGCAGTAATGGTGAGGGGCTCCAAGACAGAGCAGCTTACCAAAGAATGGAACAGTTTTACCTCCTGCACTTGGACTCAGTGCTCATTACTGTAATTAAGTTAAACCCCTTCATACAATTTTAACATTCAAGGGGACACAGATTTTCAAAAAGCACCTAAGATTGCATGTAAGATGGTGGGTTTCATTTGTTACTGTGGGTAGGATGAAATAACAGTTTTACTTTTCACTGTCTTATAAAGGTAGATCATAAAACTATGAGGAAAATTATGGGCCTCATAACTTGCCACTGATTCTAAGTTTGTAAAAGTGAATTCTATTGGGGTAAAATCTCTACTTATCTATCCCGCTCTCATTCACTTTTCAATTATCTCAAAGCCAGCTACAGGGCCATGAAATAATAACTGTGAGATATGAGGATATTTTTAATCTGACACTCGGAGACAAGGACGTTAATAGAAAGGTGGATGATAGAGACATCCCTAAAGGTTCAATAAAAGTTTGGTGGTGCTGTGGCCAACTACATCAGCATTTTTAGATGCTGCCCATGACCTCGCAAAAATATAGTGGAACTAATTTTTCCTGGTTGTGGGAAGGAGAGGTACAAAAAGTCCACCTGAGTTTAATGACTGTATAAAAAGACATCATTTTCTCTACATCGTTACTTATATTACCATGTGAGTGATACAAGTGAGTGATATTTGTGGCTATAGAGTGGCATTTTGGTTGAGGTTTGTTTATGGCTCCTCAGACCGCTGTGTATTGCTATTGTGCGGTCGTTTCCAAAGTCGGTATAACTAGAGAGGCCAGCGGTCGGCAACATTCATCTCTCGACGGGGTGTCTCACTCGGTGTTACGGTGTGTTTGACTGGAATTTCCCTTTAAGGTTTAACGAGTTGTCTGATAACAAAAATCAGGTATGGTATCATGATTGACAGGTCTGCGGATAAATGTGGCTCTACCGGCACTCTGTGTACCAGATTAGCAGAGATAGGGAGAAACCGCCAGAGGAAATGTAAGAAATAATACCACCAGAGTTAAAACCTACAGCAGATATCACCAACTAGCTACGATTTAAAACCATAGATTTCAGAGCAGTTGCGTTAATAATAACAAAGTCAATGTTCTTCTCTCGCTCAACTAAAGTAGGGTGTACACAGAAATGGTCAAATGCATAACCGAGCGTTTGATGAAAGAAGGTTTGTTGAAATTGACTTTCCCTAAAAAAAAAAACTAAAAAAAAAGGGATAAACTTTTTAAATCTAGTTAAATCTAGGTTAAACTGTCCAGGATAACTCCTGAAGGCACAGAAGAGTGTTTATGTTGTCACAAAATGTAAAACAGATTGTTTTGTGGGCCACCAAATGTTTGTGTTAGGAATATGATAGGTGGATCAAACTGGGTTTTAATTCCTTTAATTTTCTGTTTTCAGTTCAGGTTCAAGTGGCTATGATTGCTCAAAAGATGTGTGGATTGATTCTTAGTTAGGTTATATATTTCTGCTTTTATATTTGCACAAATATCAAAGAATTATAGGAGTTGGCCACTTCTTGATATGAAGGTGTGTTTTTGGTATAAAAACTACATGTCTTCTTTCTGACTCACATATTTCCTTCTGCTTTTTCAGTCCTCTCAGCCAGCCCCTCTGTGTGAGAATCTCTGCCCTTTTCACCATGTTCTATAGACGATTTGATTGGTTTATCGGTGTCATGTCTGATGCTTTATAATAAAGGCATTGATCAGACACTTTCCTGGGCCGCTGAAACTGCTCCATAAAGACAGTAAAAGCTGTTCTAGTGGGATAAGACTTAAGAAAAAGAATGAAACACTAATGAAACGTGGTCTGACATTTGGTGTTCAGGCTGAGCGGTCCGAGGGATCTTTTATTGCTGAGTAAGATGTGTCTTTCGGGTTGCTGAAAGGTTGAAAAGTCAACGTTGTGATTTTCACTACACAGACCCAAAAAGAAAAGACCAGTGAAAGGAATCAGTGCCTGACTTTGGTTGGTAAGCCACAATGGGAAGAGGTGAGAGTGGATGTTGAACAAATGTCGATACCAAACAGAAAAAAAAAGTCAAACAAGTAACCAAAAAAAAAAAGTCCAGCACACTGAGTATCCTTTGACTTAATTAGTTGGGGTATAGAGACATACAACCTAACAAGGGACACCTTATAGCCAAAATACATCTTCAGTAAACACATTCACTGAACGTTTAGAGTTTTTCGTACATTTATGTTTGTGCACATGAAGTGAGTTTATATTTAAAGTCTGCTCCTGTTTTTATTGCGTTTTCAGTCAAGAAAAAAATCCCCTTAATTTCAGGACATCATCAGCAGGAGAAAGACCATGACGTTCATCCATGCTTTAACCCCTCCCTCTCCTCCTGAAGCTCACAGAGCTCTCTTGAAATCATACCTGGTGATTTCCTCTTTTAGGGCAGCAGGGTCCGGTGGGTAAAACTTGACACGCAAACACATGGTGAACGGAGGCTGGGCTGATGGAGGAAGACAAACATCAGTGTGGTTAAATCTGGACATGGGCGTTGCAGATGAATCGGGTCTGTAAAATGAATACTTACATTTCATTTGTTTAGCAATTGACTTTGAAAACTCCAACCAGTGCTGAAAGAGAGAAAGAGAAGTAAAGACATGCACTTCAGACTCTGAATCTTCAGCCGCTGCACTGTCAGTCCGAGGTCTGACTGTTCAGCAGCTGAGCGTGAGGACTTGTTATCTTTTGCTGGAAGGCACAGCAGAATTACTCCTCTCTCCTTTCCTTGTGTTTATTTAGACCAAATCCAACAGTGTTACCGTGCAGAGAGGAGATGAGAGAGAGCTGTTTGGAAGATAATCAGAAGAGTGCTTTGCATCACAAGAGGAAACTGGCTGTAATCAGTGAAACAATTACATGCTGACAATGGAGAGGCATTTCGCTCCAAATATAGTCCCTTCTAAACACAAGGGTGCTGTGCTAGCTTTTAATTATTAACTTATCGCATTCATATTTTCTTAAAACGACTCTGCTAGCCAATGTCAAATATGGAAAGTGGACAGAATTTGTTAAATTACTAGGATTTTCAAGTGTTCGTAAAAGCATCAATCAAAAAAATCAAGATCACAGTGAAAAAAAAGTTTGAAGCCTAAAATGAACCAAGGTTTGTAATTTCTTTGATTTACATTCCCATCATCTGAATGAGATGCCCTTTTGTCAGCCTCATAATTGACCTGCGGGCCTACCTCACTGCCCTGAATATTTATGAGGAAGAAAAAAGACTCATTAGATCTGACATTAGTATCTTTGAACATTTGGTAAGTCACTGCCTGTGACACTTAATCTACTTTACTTAAAGCAAAGACAAATCACAGAGTAAGACTGCAGGCAGACTCAGCAGCTAAAAAGTGCACCTCTTTACATATAAAAAAAAAAACAGCCACAAATAGCGTCTGTCATTCCTCCTATAGCTTCACGGAAATAGAGTCTGGTCAGTTACACACAACACCATCATTATAACCATTTGAGAGCATTAGATATGTGTTTTATGGGATTTTTAAGGAGAGATTTGCTGTAACGTAGCAAAGAATAATATCTAATTCAAGGTAGATTGATGTAAGTGACCAAATTGCAAATAAGCGCTACAGGAAGAAGGGCTTCAGGTACTGATCTGTTAATATAGTTGATTATGGTAAAGATATGAGTGTCACCTGGCTCTGTTTATTACTTGATTCTGATTGGTCAGAGCCGCTTGGCAATGTTTGTTCAGATTAGCGAAGGTGATGCTAGCGTAGAGAGCGCTTAGTGTGCAATGCAGCAACCCTTAAGATTTCCACTTTGGTGAATCCGACTGAAGTAACATGACTATTAGAAAACTTCATACTCACCCTCTGCTTATCTGGGTCGACATATCGGATGCCAAAGTAGTCTTTTTCCAGCAAGTTCAGATGATGACAGATGAGATCAAACAGGTACTGCCCCTTTGCATCCCTCTGAAAAATAAATTGTACACAAATATTCAAAGTTTATGCTATTGACAGACATCTACTTCATTTACAAAGAAGTACAGTCAGTTTCACAGGACTCTACAGCCCCTGTATTCTCTATTATGACTTACTTTATCCCACTTAGATCAATAACATTTCAGAAATCAGTGTAAACACTCACATCTAGAGTATCACCCTGGTTTGAATTTGATAACTATCTCAATATGAAGATGATATTTTGGACACATGTTGCAAATTAGATATTTTCTTTATCACACTGAAAATTCCTATTTTAGTCCACAAGAAGTCAAAACAGCCACCAGACAGTGTTTAAATATTTCACCATTCTCAAGAGAAAAATATGAGGTCCATCAATATTAATACAGAGACAGCAGCCACCTGTGAAAGCTTTGAGAAATTTCCCCTCAAGAAAAGGACTTGGAAAAAGCATTAATGCAAGGTGTAAGGGACACAAAACCCAAGAAAGCTGCTGTCATTCAGTGCAGTACAGAAAATTGTACCTTCCAAAGATATGAGTACTTCTGCATCATTGAAGAACCTGAAAATACACTTTTACTGGTTCGGTTTGGTTGTTGGAAAAACTTGAGCAAAAGAAAAACAGATAGCTGATCAGCTCACAAAACAGGCAGTAAGAAGTGGGTCTATTCTGTCCAGACTGTGGCAGATAAACTCATGGATAAAGCTGCATCTGCCTCAAAAGACTCAACAAAACCCTTTTTAATGAGTCTTTATTTAGATTTACTGTAAAAATAAAGCACATGGAAAACAAGGCTGCTGCTGGATGAACAACAAAACACAAGCGAATAATTGAAGCTTGGTTCACAGGAATCAAAATATACCCCGAAACAATGCCAGTGACGCATATTAGGACTCTTTGTAGTTGAATTCACAATGACCAAGGTAATTAAAACCAACCTAGAGTTATAACAACGATCAAACATGTGGTACCTTTAGGTGGGGGTCGTATGAGTCGACATTATTGCAAATCTCCAAGTTCACAAGTTGTGACATGTTGGATGGGAGTTTTTAGAAATAGCAGAACCCACAAGATCCAGTTTCACATGAATGCAATGTGTAATGTACAGCTGACAGGATCTGTATTAAGAGGAGCTAGGTTTGCTGACATCAGTGAGAACACAGAGTGCATAATTTAGTTTATTAGTCACATACAGTACCAACGGAAGCTACGGCAAGTGTAGAACATTAATTTTTTATTTCAGTACAAAGGAAGAATTAATTGTAGCATTTATACATGGAAGTCAAGGAGGATAATGACCAACCTTTGGGCATTCATGTTGATGTTGCCTGTTAACAGATTTCCCCAATTGTTTCACAACTGAAAGTCACATCTTTTCTGTACACTACTCCATGAAACAACTGTACTTAAAAAGTTCTGCTCGAGGGCAGCGTCTATCACCATCAACTTGGAGTAAACGAAGGTGAAGTTGAAAATCTGAAGTGAAAGCTTCAAATTAGCTGGATTAGCACCTTGCTAGCCTCCTCCATAACCACTACATTGATTAAGGCCATTCTTTTTTTAAAGTGTCATATGTGTCAGAAAAAGGAGGAAAGTTAATCTTACAATGCCACTAAAGCTAACTACACAACACGTTTTCAGTTTTGAATCTGATAATCTCTTACTCCTTTTCTAAAACAGCCTGAGTATCCCCCCGTTTCTTTATGTTATGCTAACTTAAGTCTTTGCTGCAAAGATATGAGTTGAATTGTCCTTCTGATCCTACTCAGTGCAAGAAAGGAAGTAAGCGCCAAAAAACCTTCCTACTTCATTCAATACATGTATTTATAATTCGATCAGGGAAGCCATAACGACCTTGTAAAGTCAGATAGCACAGTCCAGGTACAGAGACTAACTAAAAACTGGAAAAAACAAAATAAGGTCAATTTTTTTTTTAACTCTATTTTTTCAGGATTCTGAGATAAAATTAAGAATTCATATTTTACCCTCAGAATTCTGGTTTTAATGTAGACTTCTGATGAAAAGAAAACTTTTTAGTGGCCCTCACCCTCTTTTATTAGCTAAGAGCTCTCAAAGCAATAGCCTTAAGTTTGTTTCCCTCCCACAGCTATTTGCTCCATGCCTCCCCTGCTCTCTGCATAGACTGGATAAAAACATGTACTGTGACAGCACCCTCTGGTTTCTGAAGAAACTGCCTGAGACACACATTGGAAATGTGGGCTCTTTCTAAACTTTCTAAAAAAAAGTTGGTCTGGAAAATGAAAAGAAGTGGAGCTGAGGTGGTCAGAAAACTTCAACCAACATAAATTCATTTTCACATAACAACAGCTACAGATCTCAGTCTGCGCTCTCCGCTCTTCAACTGGTGCACTGGAAGTAATCAAGAAAATGCATTTGGTCCCTACTAATTTGTCCATTCTGAGCTACTGTAGAAAACATGGCAGTGCAAAATGGCAGCCTCTGCAGCAAAAACCCGCCGCTTTTATGATATCAAATACTTCTTCTAAGTCATCCACAATAAAACTAATATGATATTTGATTCAATATAAACTCATTTAAGCATTCTTCTGAATAATATTTTCTTTTTCTTATAAAATGACACTAAATTATACACAATGTACCTTTAATCTTATTGAAAATGATTAAACAATTTAGAAAATCTTGGAGTACAAATAAATAAAAAGCAACATTTATAAACTATTTCTAAACCAGGCCCTACAGAAGTTAACATGAGAACAGGCATTTTAACATGAGATCTCTGCATGAGATTCTGTTGCTTATGTGCAAAGCCTCAAGTGGACGCTCAAGGAACTGCAGTTTTTGCACTTCTGACTCTATTCATCGTCCTGTCCTCCCAATAAAGGCATGAAAAGCCCAAAAATAATCTCCGGCCAGAGCTTTTCTCCCTTCAGGGGCAAAAGATACAGCAAAATGTCCTGTGTGCTCTTTCGAGGACACTGCGCACAAAGCCAGAAAAATCCAAAGGTAGAGAACAGAGTTGAGGACAAGAGCAAAGAAAGACAAAACCCCGTAAAGAAAAGAATAAAGGGACGAGAGGAGAAAGAAGCAACAAAAGCAGTTGTACATATTCAGCATGCCACAATTCCACACAGTGAATTTAAGGAGCAAACAGGATAATACTGTCATCATTTTGAGGAGTGATCATGTGAACCAAGATTATGCGTTAATTATCTTTGTTGAAGACTTTTGATTTGGTTGTTTCTCAGACTAAATGACACTACTGAGTGTATAGAGTACAGTCATTGCCATTTGCATTGGGTTGAGCCTGTGTTTCAACAGTAAATTTCAGAGTGAAATCATTAAAAATCAAATTATTTACCTCTTGCACAAGCTGAAACAACAATTGATCCAGTCAAGTTTCTCAAGAGCTGGAGGGAAATAATGCAGAATAATTTATACAGTCAGTCTGGGGTTATATCGAGCTGTTTTACTTCATAACAGCAAGTCTAGGTTGATAAAAGGCCCCAAAGATAAATGATGAAAAACAGGCCGTCCTTCTGTATATCACCAAACAACTAAGTATATGCAAAAGGTTTTTAAACTCGTTCCAAAGCACAGCCAGAACCTGAACCTATCAGGTCTACTTGTGTCATTTTGTGTTCTTGCCAAGCTTTTCCCATGATGCACTGGGCTGACCCTCCATCTCCTCTGTCAGTGTGTCTGTATGTCACTGTCACGATATTCACCCTGACTTGCACAGACAGGCCTGCTGAGTCGCCCGGCAGCAAAAATAGAACCACACACGTCTCACACATGCACACAATCCTTCTTCCTCTATAATAAATGTCTCTGGTACACCTGTGAAACCTCCAGATCCACAACATTTTCAGAGCCGTACCTCCCACTCCCTCCATCTGCTGTGTGCACTGTAGTGTAAACTACAGCAGAGCCCGAAAAAGCCTCCCAAATTAATCATGTTGTTACTGCCTCCTTCCTTCTTTGTGTGCACCACAGCGAGTGTGTATGCCATGCCTGAGCGTGTGAGAGAAGATACTGATGATCTATGTCGAAATAAACATTATGAAACAACAACAAAGAGGCTTGGCCATTTATCTCACTCCAACATTTTAGCACATAAATGAGCGAGAAATGTATTAGTGAAACCATTCATGAAACATCCTGAACTGCTTTGAGTAGTACGACGGAGTTTTAGGTCCACATTAGGAAAAAAAAAAAGAAGACTTCGTAGTTACTTATGAGAATAAAGTCGTAGTAAAATCATTACTTACGAGAATAAAGTCACAGCTAATAGCTATTCTAACCTGTTGTTTGTTGTTTAAATGAGCGCTGTGGAGCATCTAGATGAATTGATATTGAGTATCTAGGTTTCACAAACAATGAGATACTAAATCCTTTGGCGTTTCAGCATCACATTGTCATTAGTATCAGGACATGTACCCAAGAAATGCATCTTTTCCGCAGAAAGAAGCAGGGGATCGCTGTTTTTGAGGAGGGGGAAATGGCTGGAGATGGCTGTGCAGAGGCTAAATCCCTCAATACAGCCATTAATAGCAATAGCATATGGATTTAGTTTATCATATGAATCTATATGCCATAGGGTGATGGTGCCTCTGCAGGTGTAGGTTGCTGCCGGTGTTGTGCCAGCATCAGAGACAGATGCGGTGCTCATCGGAGCTCGAGTCACTCTGAATAGCAAATGTTGATCATCAGTTGGATTGTTTCTTGAGAAACCACTGAAGCCCTCTGAATAGCCCACACCCAATGATAACGCTGCAGATGACCAGTTCCAGACATTTCCTCCTCCACAAAAGCAGCTTTAAGACTTCATTTACTTTACGACTTTATTCTCGAAAGTAATGATTTTACTACGACTTTATTCTTGTAAGTAGTGATTTTCCTCTGACTTTATTATCGTTAGTAATGACTTTAATCTCAAAGTCTTAATTTTTTTTCTTAATGTGGCCCTAATACTCTGTCGTAGCTTTGAGAGGTGCTCGAGTTTTTTTTTTTTTTTTTTTGTATCAGCAAAATGTAAGCAACGTAAGCGAACACACTTTCTATGGTGGATTTATCAGCTGTTACAACAACTTATGAAATTGTCTACTTAATAAAGAGCTTCAAGTCAGGAGTCTTAAATTGCTCATTACAACAAGAGCAGGTAATCCTTTTGCTCGTGCTTATTTACCTGAGTCTGCACTCTAAAGCAGTTTGTAAAGGCGAGATCGAAGAACACTCCACCTTTATTCAGAGCTCATTTTCTCACTTGGCTAAATAGCTGCAGAATAAAGCAGCACTCTTCTTTCTTTCCTATAGAGCTGACCCAACACTTGTAATGTACATGCGGTGTTGAGTTGCATACTGATGAGACACACTGAACTTCAGGGAGCTGACCTGAGCTCCTCTGGGACACAAAGGCAAGCTCTGAGGCAGAAACATTATCGATCTGAAGTTAAGTGTTCTTCAACATCCTTATGAGATATAAACCCGGAGCAGAGCTGTGATACACTGAGGAGGAAATACTGCGTGGCGTCAGTTAAGGCACTGCTTTATTGTTTTTTGAGTAGATAAACTGCCAATCTTTGATCTGGTTTGTGCTCATTTGATTCTGTGTGGGAATTGCTCCTTTCACAGTTTTCTCACTTGTGGTTTTACTGCTGCAGAGGAAATAACTAGATTCATGCTATACTGGGATTAAAATCCTTTTACTGCCAAAACATCAGGGAATCAGGAAACACAATAACCTGCTATTGAGATAAACGGCTTTAAAGTGAGGAACTTGTTTAATAGGCTGTGCAGTGAGATTGATTTTGTGTATCGTAACCGTATGGACTTTACACTGATGTTCGTTTGCATTAAGAACCATTTATATCAATAATCGGACAAAGCTAGCCTTGTGCCTTTAACAACACTGTTTTAAACTAGACAAAAAGGGTTGTTTTGGAAGACAGGACGCTGGTTTACTAATGTCTGTATAATTAGGAACACCATGTTAAGGTTATTTATTTCACAGAGTACAGGGCAGCATGAGGAAAGAAAACTACAACTGAACCAAACACATCTTGGACCTTGTATCAAATGTTGATAAAAACAGAATTTTGATGGTTTAAAAAATCAGTCAAACTCTGTATTTAATTGAAAAAAAGAGCAAAGACAGCATGTCAAACGTCGAAACTCCATCTATCCATTTTCTTGACCTCTTAGCCCTTCCAGGGTTGCAGGGGTTTGGAGCATATCTCAGCTGTCAGTGGGTGAGAGGCAGGGTACACCCTCCACAGATCACCAGTCTATCACAAGGCTGACATAACGAGACAACCAACCAGTCATGCTCCTGTTCACACCTACAAGCAATTTAGAGAGACCAATTAACATGATGTGTATGTTTTTAGACTGTGGGTAGAAGATGGAGCGACAAAATGCATGCAGAAGGAGAACATGGGAGGAGGCCCATGTATGACTAGGGATTTGAACCAGAAACCCTCTCGCTGTGAAGGCATCAGCGCTAACCATGGCACCACTGTGCACCGTGTCAATACTGTCAAATTGTATAGTTTCATGAAAAATAAATGCTCATCTTAAATTTGATACCTGCAACATGTGTCAATGCTGAAAAAGTTATGTTCAAAAAGCACATGGAGAAATAGCTCTTAATCAATAAGGTGAATTTGGTCACTAACATGGCTGGTTATTAAAAGAAGACTCCTGAGAGGCTGAGTCCCTCAGAATTGAAGAGAGAAAGATGTTTAGTACTCTATGAAAGATAGAACTGACAAGAACTTGGGGATTTTGTCATCCAAAGAACATGATACCATTTAAGATTCAGAGTATCTGTAAAAAGGAGGACAAGGCTAAAAAACCAACACTGGTCCTGACTTGGTCTGCTGACACTGAGGAGATACTGCATTTAAAAAAATGACTGTGTAAATCACTGCACGGGCCCAAAATCCCAACCAAAAGAAACAAACACTCTCTGTGAACTCAGAGTTTCTCACCAGTGACTGAAATTTGACACTCTTTTTGGAAATGCCATTCAGACAACGCCTTTTTCAGAAAATCACCCTGCATATGTCAACAAAACAATGCTTAATCACGTTTTGCACAATAGCATTGCACTGTACTAAAGTAACCTGCCTTCAGTCTAGACTTGTAACCAATATGAAAGATCTTGAGCCCAACTACTGGAAAAATATGGAGATAGGAGACCCAAAACTGTTGAACTGCTAAAATCCCATCTGAGGCATGAATGGAAGAACGTTTTGATTTGAAAACTCCTGAGAGTGGTCTCCACAGTTTTCAAATATTTCTCAAAAAAATGTTGCTCAAATAAAAAGGTGATGTAATACAATTTTAAACATGCTGCTTTCATAAAAGAATAAACACTTTCAGTTTCAACATTTGCTGTGTTGACAGGGTTTCCCCCACCTGTTTCTGTATTTGTTGACATTTCACACAAAATCCAAACTATCTTTTTACCTGGGGCTGTAAATACCTTAACAGCATAATAGATATAAAATTCTGGCTGTGATGATTTCTTATTAAATATGAACTGTATTGAAAGAGTCAGGTAAGCTTGATGAAGGTGAGACGAACCTTACTACTATGCAAATACTGATTCACCTCAGAGTGCTTTTGGGGTAAGAAGATGTTTTTGGCATCAACCACAAAGCATGAGCTAAATGTTAGAATGACTCTAAAGTTAGTGAGCTTTAACGATATCTTTTTTAAGATTTAATTACTAATTCAAATTCATGTTCCGCAGTAAAGAAAGTGTGACTTAGGCTTTGCGAACTGTCATCTCATCACATCTGTGCAGAGAAAAGGAACTTTTAATGAGCTTAATGTCAGTGTGCTTTCCCATGGGGTCATTTAGAATTAGTCTATACTGACATACAGTTGAAAACAGACTAAAGGAAAAAAAAAAACACAAAAAGGTTGGGAAGATCTGCATATCTGATTCTTTCCAGCATTAATTTAACAGATAAAATGTTTTATGCTGCTCTATACTTCAGGGATCATAAATACATTCGTCCTAATCTGCTGGAGTTACTAAATGACTCAATTCAAGCACAAGCCTGAAAGTTTTTTTCTCTCATGGTCCAGTTGATGTGATATGTGAGGGATTTAATATGTGAAATTTGCATTATAGCATATTTACATTCCTCATGAAAAATGGCGTTTCCACTCATTATGCTTACTGGGCGAACCAACTTCCCGGAGAAGGAGAACCTCATTTATCACCCACTGTCTTTAGCTTCTCTGTGAAAGAGGATTACACTGTCTTAATGAGGTCTAATTTCACACTAAAAAATAATTATAAAAAATACCTTTGGTTGATCTGTTTCTAAAAACTAGAAACACTTTTTGCTGATTTTCATAGTTAACGAACAGAGTCTGGTAAAATTGATTAGCACTGTGAAGGATTTTGTGGTTTCCAAACTAAAACGATGATGTGAGGTCACTGAGTGAGGTTGCTGCATAGTGGAGACAAAGGGGCCGGAGCCATGATTATGTTGTCAGCTTCCATCCAGGTCATGGTGAAGTTATTAAGGTGTGGTATTTGATTTCGCTGCTGTCTGCAGGACAAATGGCTGGCCAGGAGGTCTGCTCTCTGTGTGTGCTGTATGTGTTCATTTGAGACATGGCCAGATAGATAGAACATTTTTACGGAAGGAGAGCAGATTACAGGTTAAGAAGACCATCAAAACCTGAAGCATACACAAGTGATTTGGAGGGGGAAGACAAGAGTACATGACTACCTGGTTGACCTGAGAAGTTATCTGTTAACTTTGTATCATTTAGATTGTCAAGTGTAGGACTTACTGAGAATTTAGGGGGGCAGGGACTCTGCTCTTTACCTGTGTAAATGACAAGGACTCCTCAAAGGTGGGGTAGGCAGGATCTGAGGAAGTGCCAGTTTTTGGGAGAAATCTTGAATGTCAACGCTACCCCTTCCAAACAGTTTTCCCCTCAGCTCCTCCTCTCCCCTCCCTCTCCGTTCCAGCAAGCCCCGCCCACAAACAGACGCTCCTGCTCGCTCACATAGTTCCAATTAAATTCAGATATAATGCAGATAAATACTTCAGATAATTACAAATGGGGTCCAGTCAAGGTGAAAGTAAACAGCATTGGTGCTACTGTAGATGCCAACAGACTACCAGCAAAGACAATGTTTGCAGGACTTCTACAACTTGGATAAAGTGACATACTCCAGGACCCGAGCTTAACAGTTCAGCGGCGCTACAACACACAGCAGAAAAGTTACAGGGTCCGTAAGATCCCGAAGTCTCTCCCATTGTTTATGATTCATGATGTTGACCCTGCTTTTTAGCTCTTGTCCGGTCTACCTCCTTTTTAAGCGCCCATTATTCCGCCCGAGTCTTCCGCCGGTATTTACTTGGTTTTCTTGCTTGTGTTGGCAGTCGTGGCCAAAGGAGGATTCAGACAATTTTACATACTTTCTAGTTGGTTTCTTTCTACTGTCTGATATTGTCGCACGCTAACTTTGTTTGGGCTTCTGAACGACACAGGGGAGCAGCGTCTGCCTCACAACCAATCACGTTGGGGGAGGTGGAGAACGGCTTCGTTTACAGTCAGAAAGTGCATACTGCTCAAAAATTTTAAAATGTTGACAACACAAACATAACAAAACACAGCGATATTGTTATATTACCAAATGTCATCAATAACTAATAGCTATTTACTGATATTAAAAGGTTTTTGTATGTACACCACAAAAAGATACTTCTTTAATGGAATCCTGCCTACCCCACCTTTAAGGAATATTCTCAATCAAGTTTGTATTTATATGTAGCTGTGATTATCAGGGGAAGATCTAGATTCTTCCATGTCTTGTTTGCGGACCCTATGATTGTCAACCAGAAGTGATCATTGGCAGAGAGTGCAGCGAACAGACTGGTGGGGAGAAGCTCAAACTCCCAGATTTTGGATAATTTGTAGCTGAGTATTTTAAAGATGATGCTAAGTGTGATGAGGAGGAAATTGCACGGACCTGCTTAAACTTTTTATGGATTTTTGTGAGAGTTAAAATTTGCTCTATGTGCTTGATGATGCAGGTGTCGAGACAGGGCAGGAAGCGGTGGCTAGTGATGTGCAATTCATGGTATCATCAGCGGTTGATTTCTACGTGAATTGCCTCTAAAAGAGTCATTATGGCAGAAGCGGCGGTAATAGTTGGAGAAGTAACTGCTAGAAAAACATCTGCTATTAAGCTCAAGTACCTGCAGCCATCGTGGAAACATTAGCTCTGACAGAACAAGTGTGAGTGCATCCGTTCATCTATGTGATGGTTTTCATATGAAAAATGTTAGTAAAAAGATTAGTCACAGTATGGGAGCGTGAGCAGCGGGCAGCCATGATATTAACCACAGTGACTCATGGGTAATGAGATTAGTGCAGACCCCGTCGGCTGAGGAGGAATGTATTAAACAAGCCCAGGCCCGTAAGTGCTTCATGGAGGCACACGCAGTGTTTCATCACAGCTGTAATAAAAGTGATAAACGCAGAGATGGAAATAACCCAGACTGGGGCCAAATGATTACTGTGGTCCTCAGTGGAGCCACACCAGCAGCTTGCCACTCTCTACCTGGACAGGCCTCACGTCATATTAATTATTGAGAGGGGTTGCATATCAGCCTGGGAAACACCACATCAATAAATGATGCTGTCATTTTAAACTAGAGGATGGAGATCGCAACAACTGAGTGAACGGTCCTGACAGGTTATTGCTTGTAGGGTAACATTAGAGCCTGACAAAGTTTGCTTTGGTTTTGTTTTTACACACAATGCCAAGCCATGGCAGGTGATTAAGAGATGTTGACTCTGGTCTCACACAAAGCCTATTTCTCGAGTGATAGAAACATGGTGGTGATAGTCAGCATTTCTCAGATTGCCTACAGCGTAATCTTACAGCTGATTTTCACTGTTCTTTAAGTTTCTGCCTTCAAGGATACCAGATGCAAATCCTGTAAATAGCTTACTCTAATCCTGTGATATGGTAATGTTTACTTTCTGTACTCTGGAGAGCTGAGGCAGACATGGAGTAAGCAGTGGATGCTGCTATCAGTTAGCCACTGTCTATGAGCTGAATGTTTATACCAAACACATCTGACAAGCAAAGGAAAGAAATACATCAGTAACCTTAAATTCAACCCCATCTTCAGATAATAACACCATAACAAATAAGTATTCTAGTGATTCACACTGAGGGCCACTGGATGAACGGTGAGAAATATATGAAGATCAATACTCCTTGAAGTTAAAGCTCAATCAGCTGGTTTATTATTGCACATTAAAGTCATCCATATATAACTCAGAGTTTTCATTGCAGTATAATGACAACACAGAGCTATTAAAAACTGGATGGTGATGTGTGAAATTGCTTTTGAAAAAGTGTTGGGAATTTAATGAAATTATTTCTGTGGTTTTTAACTAAAAGTTAAAGATCAATATCTCTCTGTCATATGCTTTTCATTCTCCAGCACAGCTTAGGTAGAAATGAACCCTTTACTAAAGGCCTTATGAATCAGTGTATTTCTGTCATTCACACACAGCTTCACTATCCTTTTGTAAACTGGCCGTAATTCAGAGAATTTCTTTCTTCTTCTTCTTCTTGATCAAGAGGAACATGGATGAGGCTTTTATTCAGTGAGTGTCACCAGTTCAACACAGCTCAGGGACCGCTCACCAGAGCAAGATGCTGACTGAAGCAAAAAAAAAAAAAGAAACAGTGAATAAAACTGTACTCACTCTTAATCCTTTGGGAATGACTCACAGCACTGCTTATAGATTAGACTCACTTCCTCCATATTAATCCCCAAAACTGTACAGCTCTTACTTCACACTTGGCTTCATGCTGGTGAGTTATTTCTGCTGCACTGCACACTGGACACTTATCTGAATTGCTCAGCTTATATCAGCACCAAGATTTAACTGCATTATAGCTCAAGGAAAAACACTGCATGTAGCATGTTAGGCAAACTGTGGGTTTTGCATGCCTGTGCCTTCACTGTATAACTGCTTTAATATTTATTTACATGAGGAATTCATTATAAAAATCATAAAAGAATATTCAACATCAGATTTGGTGAGACTAAGGGGTGGCTAAGCTGGGGAACCACATTAATTCCTGGTGGGCTGGCTGGTTGTAAGACTCTTAGGGCCTGTTCACACTGACAGTAGACCACAGAGGCTGCACTTAAAACATCCTTTTCCTATTTTTTTCTTTATTAACCAATTTAATTTTTTTTATTTCATATAATTTACCACCTATCACAAGAGATTCATTCACGCACGCATATACATCCTCTCTCTTATGACACAATAAGTTTACATTCTTCCCAAAAAGTTAATGGGCATCATCACTGATGTCGCTTTCCCATAAAAAACACAAGTTGTCATTTTTCTCTATTCCTTCTCAAATCTTTTTCCTAAACTACATTCCAGATCAGACACACAATGAATATACTATGATTGTGACGACTAGTGCTCTATTTTGGACTCATGAGGTAAAGCTCAAGTTCGGTGTATTTCTCCTGTAAAATGTTGAGAACTGAATTGGGTTGAACTCCCGGGCTGAAAATAAATCCCACTCCAACCCCGACTGACAAAACCTTTTTAAACTGCCAAAGTCTGACATTTTGGAAAATATGCTTTCATTCACACTTGCTGAGCGTTAGATGGGATGATCGATACCACTTTTATTGTGCCAAATATAGAGCAAGAACCTGAAGGTGAGTTACATAGCTTAGCATTGAGACTGAGAACACGGAGGGAAAGAAAGAAAATGGCCCTCCCAAAAGTTTATAAAACACAAAGAGCAGACAATGAAAGGATTAGTAACTACACTTGACAGAATCACAGCCTGCAGATAAGAGTTAGTTAATTGAAGTGATAATCTGAAGTTTCCCTCTGGCTCAGTCTGTCTGCTAGGCTAATCTCTGTTTATTACAGGCTTAAAAGTTAGCACACAGACATCAGAGTGGTATCTTTACTCTTATCCGACTCTTTGAAAGTTTTGTTTACTCACAGATAACTCAATTTTACTTTAAATATGCCTATTCTAAAATCTTACTACATGGTGGTTCTGTCTATTTTAAGCTTGGTGAACCAATTCTTTTCTAATTTATTCCTGACATACTTTGACCAAGTTATTTTTTTTTTTATTACTTTCAAATGTGACTGACCAGCTCATAGTTGGACACATTTAAGGAAAACTGTGTCATGTCTATGGTTTAGTTAAGTTCATTATTTACCCTTCCTCATGTTTCATGTCATGTTCTTCTTGTTTTATTTTGAAACTTGCCTGTGTCTTTTGTTTCAGGGCTCTTAACTTCCTGCCCTTGTGTGCTCTGCTCCCTGATTGCCCTAATGTGGTCCACCTGTATCTTGTTATCTCCACTCCCTGTTTGTACTTAAGCTCAGCCTTCTTTCCCTTCTGTGCCAGTTTGTCTTGTTCCCTCATGTGAAACGCTCCAGCAGTTTCCTAGTGTTTGCCTTCCTGTTTTTGACTAACAGAGTGTTTTTTGGACAGATTTTTTGCCTGCCGATTCGAATACCTCTGCCTGTGTACCAAACCCTTGCCTAAATAAGACCTAGTCTGAACTTTTATCTGGTTCCTTAGTCCTGCTTTTGGCCCCCAATCCTGGTTTGTTGTTATAAATTGCTCCTTTATAAATTGTGTTAAAATGGGGTATTGGTTAAATATAAGTGTATTTTTATTATCTAACCTGTGCAGGTTGAAGATATATTTCCCTTTAAATTTTCAAGTATTCTTTCACTTATTAACAGGGGGTAACGGTCAGAAGATCAGTGCAACAGCAAACTCTGCAGTGATTTAGACTGCAGCTGCATGTGAGCCACTGGTATCCTCGGCTTCAGAAAGGTCCTAAAATACAATCAATACCAATCCCTGTGGCCATGGTAGTTCTTTTTGTTTGTGGGCTCACAGTTTACACATCTGCAGGTGGATCTCTCCAGCTCTCTGGTTTGCATAGAGTTTTTCCTTCTCTTGTCTTTGGTCCATTGAACCTTGTTATTTCTCTTTGCACTAATTGCATATCATTATTGCAGCAGGAATCAATCCAGTTTTTGTTTTGTTGTATTTTTTTTGTCTTTTTCCAACCTGCAGACCCAACCCACTGATCAGTGTGCTGCAGGCAGAGAAACTCATGTGCCTGTTGTGCTTGTTGCTGAAACAAAGTGGCTTCCTGACAGCAAAGAAAGTGCTTAATATAGTGTACATTAACTACATCAACCTTAGTATGTTTGAGTTGAGCTTGGTAAAGTGGTAAAGTGAACTCATTTCTGCTTCGTTTTTTTTCCGGATGTCTCTCAACAACAAAGCTGAGCAGGATCCCCTGTGGGAAATTAACTTACATTTATAAGTACCTCATACGACCCCACTTGAAAAAAAGGAACTATCTCATTAACACAGGCACATGAGCGAGCAAAGGCACCAGTCTTTGTAGTCTGTGAGGAAAATGATACTCCTGATCAAATTAACTCAAGCAGAGAGTTCTTCAGTTTCCTCTAAAAAATAATTATCCAGTGATATTATTTGTTGAATTTTATTTTTGCTTGACTTGAGCACTATTTGAGTTCTCCTTCAACAGGAAAATTCCCTCCAAAAACAGATTCTCGCATTCAGCTGTGCTACAACATGCTCTCATCAAGCATAAGATCACTTCTACTGCCCATCACAGTCTCTTTGTGTCCACTACATGCCTCTGAAACCCACAAAGAGACAGCTTTCCCCTTGTAAGATATTCACAGTCTGCAGGCTGCCATCTTATTGCCCCTGGACCCAGAGATGCTGTGAAAATGTTCACAACCAGGTCTCAGGCGTGTAAATCCTGTCTCGTTTAGAGACTGTGGATCAGGCTCCCAGGGGCTCCATTACAGAGATGCCACAATAGAGAAGTGGCCCTTAGAGCAGGAAACCTGTAAGAGTTACATTAAAGAGGAAACCATACCGCCAGTGCTCACCACTGCTTTAATGCTCTGGTAGAGAAGAAAGAGAACAAGATAGGCAGTGGATAAAAACAATAAAAGAGAAGGATGTCGACAGGATTTCAGGAGAAATGGGAAGATGAACGAATGACAAAAAGGGAGTGAGCTCTAAAACAAAATAAAAGGAAGAAAGACAGCAGTGCTGACCTGGTGGAGGAGTCTCTCAGGCTTTCCTTCAGGAGAAGGGCAGTGATGTGTTTGACATTAAAGGAAGCCAAACCACTGTGCACCTGTTCTCTCTGTCCTTCCTCTAACCCTCATGCTCCAGGGATCGAGCTGTGCATTTACAAAGAGTCCTCGCTGCTTTACATCAAACTTTTTCCTCTCAACCTTGCTGTGTGATGAGAGTTTTGCTGCGTTCGTGTTCATTGACATTTAGAAGTGCCAATTTGATGTTAAGTGATTTTTAAAAATTAAGATGAGACACTCGAGAACAAACAAAGCTTCAATTGTTCAAATATGTTTTTGTGCAGCAAAAACATGCTCAAAGTGAACATCAGGTAGACTTCACTGCTTCAAATACAATGCAGCCTAGAGTGATCAGCTCTGTGCAATAATCAGTGGATGATTCATGTGTTCACACACACTTTGCATGTAGACAGATGATGTCCCAGCATTTGGCCTAACTTTATTTGTATGTCTTTGTTAAGTTGTTAAACATAACATTAAATTTGACATCATGCAAATACAAATGAGTAAATCATAATGGCTTCATATCATATCTTGTGAAACGTGTTCACAGTCAAGCGGGGGAGCAGATAAATACTTGCTATTTGTAGAAAAGTTGAGAACTCCTGCCTTGTACAGTTTCTGAACAAGCTCTGCAGTATTGTACCTTCACCTTCAACTTACAGTCTGAGCGTAAGAAAATGCAAAGCCAGTTTGTCTGTTAGCACCTTTAAAAGAAACTACAATTCAGTGCACTTCATAGAAAATCTAAAACACGAGTCATTTAGAAAATATGATCAGATAGGGTTTCAAAGTGTGACATAGAAATAAACCTGAAGATTAAAAAAATAAAACAATGACTGTTTATATTAAATTTATAATTAATAGTGTTAAGTTTCTCTTGGGAAGAACTTCAATAAGGCTTGTTGACCTTTTTGTTTCATATCATCATAATTCAGATGTAAACCAAAGACACACAAAATATTTCTTAATTTAGAGAAATTTTAAAACATTAATTCACCTGCATGACGCCATTTTTCATTTGCACCTTAATGTCAGTTGTCTGTTTGTCTTCTCAAAACTTTTCCTGTGTGAGTGATGCATTTTTCCAACACAGTGCGAGTGAAGAGGACTATAATGAAGTTACTGTTTAAGAAGCCCAGATAATGTTATTAACATTATCTGGGCTAATCAGTGCAGAGTCTGTGAGTGACCCTTATGGTTGTTTGTTTAGAGCTTAGTTGGTTTACATTTATATGTGTAAGATAATCGGACTTCTGCTGCTTGTTTTTTGTGACTGTAAAACACTGTGTGATCATTTGTTTTAAAAGTGCGACATAAATAATTATTTAAAAATATTTTTCAAAAATGTTGTTAGATAACTGCAGGTCAGTCCTAGGTTTGCATCAGGGGTTATGTTAAAACCCCTATACTGACTTTTTGCATTTGGCTAATGCCTGCTATAATAAAACAGATAATACCACCTGCACTATTAAGGGGAACCAGAAAACCTCCATTACCAAAATCAGATTCCACACATACAGATTCAAAATGTATATTCAGCATCTATTCACGGGTATAAAACTATCAATTTATATTTAAATCCTGCTGAGACACAAATCCTCAGATTCATCCCATATTCTTGAGGTCATTTTGAGCTGAATTTTTCAGTTGTTTCTGTCTGACTTGGCTGGAAGTCACAGACAGAGTGAAGGTGAGGGTCACTATGGGAATATTGAAGAGGGAAGATGCACTGTCAGCTGTATTTAGGAGACCTGTATTAGCCTAAACTTCCTACAGATATTGATCCACACGTCAACACTGGTGTGGCATTAACAGAAACATCAAGGACATACAGAATGAATATAAGAGGCATATCATGCCGTCATTACAGCTGATAAATGATACAGAAACAGGCGACTTTCAGGTTACACCGGGATCCGGGATCAGTTTTATCTCTTTCCTTTTGCATAAGTTAAAATTTCTCTATTTGACCTGATATTAACCAAATCAGGCAAACTAAAAAATGTTGATTAGAGAGGAAAAATGCACAAATAGGTTTATGATGAAAAGTTAATTTTGGTTCTATCTTTTTAAAAGTGAGTAAATTAGCTGATTTCCAGGTCTTGAATGTTTTTGAATTAAAAGCAGAAGTAGTTTTAAGGTTTCATTTGATTAAACTGTTTAATTTTAGCACACACAGGTCAACAGGGATGTCATTCTCACTTTTTTAACAGCACTGTCGACTTTGGCCTCAAGATATTACTGACGTGTAATTTATCTCACATTGAGCCATTACTGCCATCCTGAGCCGAGCCTTTTAAGAAATGAGGGGACACGCTAAATTAGAGCCGTGAAACTGTGCCAAAAATCTGGAACGTAGCCTCAATCACCAGAGACTTTCTGCAAATAGAAACTTAATGTGCTCCACACTTCTGTCTATTGGTCTGAGGTTTATTCTGCATGAGGTTTTACCTGAGTCTGACGGTTTATCTAGACATTAAACTCCAATTAGAAACCAAGTCAAACAGTTCTGTCTGCTCAGACAGCTGCAAGACAAACACAAACACCTTAAACCAAACCAAATTTATATCTCAAATAATTTATGAACAATCTCTGCAAACACAGTTCTTCATACTTTTACCATCTGGTGTCTGCCAGGGTGTAAAACTGCTGTAGTAAACTCAGACATCTGCTAGATATCTTTGACTACAGACTAAGAAAGCTCATTAGAGCAGAGCAGACTTACAGCTCCTAAAGAAACCAGGTACACAGAGAGATAATACCTCTGCTCATCTCAGTCAAACATGTTGGCAGCAAATAAACGACTGTCTTGTATAAATAATGAGGAGAGACAGGTTCTCCTAAAAACGAGTGTTTACAACTCAACAAACTTAGGTTTATAGCATGTGGAACGTAATTAAATAATTTGTTATAGCATCCTTTGATAATGTGCCAGCTTTTTACTGCAGTTTTAGTAGTAAGTTGGTAGTTGAATATATGTAGGTTTGCAGAAAGATCTTGAGGAGTGGTGTTTTCTCCTGGAGGACAAGGAAACACTGGCTCGCCCTGTTTTGTTTCATTTTAATAAGGCATTTTGAGTTCAGGTGATTTCTCTGTGCTGTCACTGCAAAATTTAATCTTTCCCCTTTTCCACAAATTACAACAGGTGCAACAGCATCCCTCTTAATGTGGTGTGGTAGATTTGTAGGGGGACGACAATGAACATGAACTAATTTGCCTCTTCCTCATCCCTGAAGTCGGCATCTCTCAGTGGGAAGAAGAGAGAATGAACCAATCAGATGGGGCGGTGGTCATGGCACTACCATGCTGTGATTAGTCAGGACTATGCCAAGGGGAGCCAGCAGCTCACCAGCTCCACATCAATCAAATCAGAGCCTAATACCGACTGGTTTAAAAATGAACTAAGCAGAGACAGCCCTGAGACCACAGTTAATTAACATTTGTAAATAAGCTTCCAGAGAGGGTGGAGAATTGGGGTTTCTATTGAAAATAATTAAACCAAACTTGCACCACAGCTGCAACCTTAGATCAAATCTGAAAGCAGGTCATCTCCAGAACAAGAGCTGCAAATACAGAGGAAAAAATGATCGAAGGAAAATTATTTGTGTGTAGATATGGCTCATGTTTGTTTTGCAGCAGGCTGTCGGTGCTAAAATTCAGCATCAGGTACTTACAATGAGGCAAGTGAGTCATGTCTTTGTAATGTATGTGTAGCCTTACACTTTGTGGTGTGAAGGGAAAACTTCGAACCAGCTCTGATTGACTCTGTGAATGAATGCTTTTTTAATTCATCATCAAATCTGTGCTGCACAGTCAGTTACACATTCTGGTGAAGGGTTGGGCATATATGAGCAAGAAAATGAATTAAAGGGATATTCCGGCGTAAAATTAAGTTAGGGTCAAACACACCTTGACACCGAGGTAGACACCCCGTCGAGAGGTGAATGTTGCCGACCGCTTGGTTCTCTAGTTATACCATAACGACCGCACGATAGCAATACAGAGAGCCACGTGCTCAACCAATACGGAACTTTTGCTGCCTGGTAAGAGATAATGTCACATTTGCTGCAGGTATAAAGGATTAAACTTGACATAGTTTCATCAACCCTAAGAAAACTAGCACATGAATTCTGTGCACCTCTGCACTGTTACTGACGATGGAGTAAATCATGCAGGGATTTTAAAACAGGGTAGTCTCAAAAAAGTTTGCAAAAAAGCAAAACAAGGTGGGCTCATATGTTCTCTGAGGATGAATCTGACATGATGCCCCTGAAAAAAAACTACAACCATACACTGTTTGGATAAGGTGAGTTACTGACATGCTAACTACAGACATGCAGTCCATGTTTTTCTTCTTTTTTCATGGTTTCTGATCCCAGGTGATTAAGCTCATCTTCTCACCTCATGGTAATCTGTCAGTGTTTTCCTGCTCAGCTTTGTGCGTTTGTTGCTCAAATAAAACTTTCAGATTTTAAGCTTATATGTGGTACACTGCAATGAACCAGATAGGCCATCCTCTGAGATGCAGACTATATCTATACCCCTTACCTTAATCTTTGAGGAAAAATCAGGGAACATCAGATTCTGCAGGTTTTTATCCTCTGAGGACTGTGAATCTACAAAAACTCTTTTTGAGATATTTTCAGGCTGAATGAACAAAAATGGACCATGTAGATTGATCAATCTACATCACTGTGCTTATAAAACAGTGTGAGCATGAATTTGAAATGTCATTACCAGGAGGAGACGACCAAAAACACTGGAGGAAGGTGTGGTGAATTAAAAGACTGAACTGCAAAACAACAATATGACTCAGACAACGTGATATTTGGGTTAAACCTTCACTTACAGACAAAATCAATGTTAGCCCGCTGCTAAAATTTACCAGTTCTAGATGTAGAAACCTTCAAATAAGTGCTTAATATGGACCCATCATGGAGCTTATTTAGTGGAAAATCCAACCTGATGGCAGGCATCGGTATGAGAAAGTAATCCCCACAGTACATTTAAGTTAATGCATTACTAATGGCAAACAATATGAGATTTTGAGCCCTGGTATTCAAGACCCTCTACCTGCTTTCAAAAACACTGCCATGGTGATTCAAATCAGTCACAGTGCACTTATCTGGAATATTTAATCACACATGACAGCTGAAACTGAAGCCTGCTTTCTCTGACGAGTGTTAAGATTGTCCGAATGTCAATGTCTACTCGACTTAAGTCTGATATGACAAATCCTTTGTGACACTTTTTTATTGAATACAAGTGTGTAAAACGGATGTCTTAATTCTTTCAAAGCAACAAAACACTTGAAAATCAAACAACAGAAATCAAATATACCGTGTAACATTGATTTTTCGTTTGAGTGAGGTCAATAAATTCCAGCAGTGGAGTGTTTTTTCATTCATGCAAAGTGGCAGAAATAAAAGCTGTGAGATTTTCCCTGAGAGTCGATTTGAAGTAAATACCCAGAGGTCACTCCACCAAACAACTACTCAGCTTCTTAGACGTTTTAATCGCAGCCCATTTAAGAGATTAACTCATAGAGTGCCGCTAATGCAGGGTGTTATTACCTGGTTGAGTAACCACTCAGCCCACTACGACAGGGTAGGAAATACTGTTCATGTTTCATGTTGTGGTTAAATTAGATCTAGTAAAAAGATGTAAAAAACAGTTCAAACGCGACTCTCAATACTTTGCAAAAACACTTATCTCTGTGGTAGGACTTTATCTACACATCATGAACAGAGCCTCAGAGCAGGACTGAAACAAAAAACTCAGCTCTCTGACACCATAGACAGCAGCGCCTTCTTTTAAGAGCGCATACAGACGATACTGCTGCCCTGACCGAGCAGACAGCAGGTCAAACGTGTTACTGATCACGACCCATAATGGATGAAGGCGCCCTGCGTCTGCAGAGCTTGCACTCTGACAAGGATTGAGAAGGGCAGTGTGCTGTTTCAGAGCTCACACATACAGCAGGCTTTCTTTACACACACACACACACACACACACAGAGGCAAACATGCATGCAAGCACAAGATTAAAATTGTCTTATTTTATCACAGCACCAGATGTGCAAACACAGACTGACATGCTCACTGCCGGTATCAAGGCAATGTATCCTCCGCACAAAAGAATTTTCATTATCTCTCCTCATACTCCCCAGAATGCACCATGAGCACACTTGAGCGTTGGATGAATTGGTTTATTTCCTTTGGGGACAATGTGGCAGTCACTGTCATAAGAGTCAGGAGGCTGCCAGAATAGTTTTGTGAATGGAAACCTGAGGAGGAGCAGCAGTAAAACAGGTTTCTTCTTGTACTGATCTTTTGATAAAGAGTGGAGGACATACTGCTAAAACAAGAAGAGAAACTTGAGAAAAACCCAGCGGTTCAAAAAGATGGCACAAAAAAACATTTCCCTCAATATCTAGGATCAAATACAAGCATTTCTTTTTCCGTTTTCACCAGAACAGCTTCACACCTGCTGAACTATCCTTTTCCTCGACAGCTGTGTTTCTGTTGTGGGTGGATGTGAAGAGAAAAAGGACAGAAGACTCAGAACAGACATCTTTTCACAAACTAAGAGTGATATATTATGTCAGGAAAGGTTGCAAAACATCCTGCTGAAAACCAAAGACATCAAACTGGCTGCTAAAGTTATAATTTTGGGTATTTTTGTTATTATTTGACAGGACAACTGAAGAAAGACAGGGAATGTGGGGAGTTCAGAGTGGGGGAAGACATGCAGCAATAAGTACCATAGCCTCTATATGTGGGGCACTCAGGAACAGCACATGACATTCAAATATGGGGGAAACCGAATAAAAGACACGTTAACCAGAATGAAGAAGACAGACATGAAGCAACACAACACAACACAAAACAGAACAGGCAATTAACTTTATAAGAGTTAAAGAGCTATAGCTAAGTATAGAGAAAATGCCAGACTTTAAAGGTTATGGGGCAGAAGACCTCAATTAGAGGCTGCTGTCATTTGATGCATCAGCTCAAAATGCCAACAGAAAAATGCTGATGTTTGAAGTTCACCACGGGGACGCTGATTTCCATAACTTGTCATTCATCCTGCATAATCCCTTACTTAGGGTGATCTTCTTTTGCAAACAACTCTGTTGAAAAAAAAAATCTACTGAAGTTTTCCAACTTTAAATTTTCACTAACTAGTTTCATAAATTAAGGGATGATAGAGTTAGACTGAATTGATCGGCCCTTATGCATCGGGCCCATTGTCACGATACCTGATCTAAGATTTTCTTCACTATCAGGACCGATACTGATACTGATATCAAATATTGGATTGGTGCATCCCGAATCGGAAATGCCAGGAATAACAGCACTCCAGTCACCCTTTTCCAGTCATACCTACCTGACCACTCGCAGTTTGTTTAACTTCAAGTCTAGAGATGAAAACCCCCAAGCACAATTTGATATTTTGGTGAGCAGCGCAGCCCGGCGTAAGTATCCCCCCTCCCTAACTCAGCTCCTCCCAGCGGCATAAGTCGTACCGAGGGAGGAGAGAGGGCATGGAGTGGGTTTAACCATAGATTGTATATAAGATGGACACCGTGGTTCCGCCTTCCGCCTGTATACGGATTTGAAGCCAAAAAGCTCTCTGTAATTCCGGGTTTTTCTCCACTTCCTTGAAACCAGAGCTGCGCAGTAGCGTTGTGCGCATTCGGCCGCGCAGTCGCCGAGAGTCCCTGTGATGACGCTCGGCTCAAACAGCGTATCCCCCCGGAAGAGCTACGCAATCCCTGAACGCCCATAGGCTGTACCAGGTGTCAATCATAGAAAACATGAACCCCTAATAACTTTTAAAAATGGAGTTGTACAGAAAAAAAAGGACTTGGGCACAAACCAGTCTTACAATAACTACATGTCAACATCACAAGCAGGGGGGAGAAAAATGTATGTTCTGTGTAATAAATTTCTAAAGTTTGTCCACAGTCCCATAAGCTTTGCTGGCGGAGGCGGGATTTATGATCTGTACTGCAGCCCACCATCAGAGGGTGCTGTTCTCGGAGTGGCTTCACCCAGCGAGGAGGCAGACTCTGTCCATCTTATATACAGTCTATGGGTTTAACACAGCTGAGACCTGTATTGACCAATAACATCAGCTCCTCTCCTCGCCTTTAAATCTGCCATCGGCGAGGCGTATCACAATTTTCGTGCAGTAGTCAAAGAGAAGAAAATAGAGCCCCAAATCTATCTATACTGCTGTAGTATTTGGATGGTGACCTTTCTTGAAAAGCACTCATGAACGAACTGTATCATTTTTATTTATAACTATATTTTCATATAAATGCTGACCATCACAGAATTCATTCATGTCAACTCTCTTTTCATGAAAATCTGATGCTTTAAATGGAAAAAGTCTCCCTTTCTTCACCTACGCCTCTGCACAACTGTATTTCCCAGCGTTGTAACCTGCAGGCATGCACAGCCCTCTACTCATCTAATGCGTATAACCTTGACACATGAGCAATGATTAAACACCCACACAGGACTTGAAACACAGAATACACAACACAAAACAACACAACACACATACAGCTTGGAAGTGTATCAGTCAGTGGGGAGCACAAACCTCCAGAAGAAGCAGGAATGAGAAAGTCAGAGCGTAAGATAATAATAAGCTCATCATAAATCATTCACAAACCCTTCAGCCTGCTGTATAACTTTCACAGTTGCTCATATGTGTTTAAATCATTTAATGTCGGGCAACATTTTAAGAAAATATGCACGTTTTTGCTGGCTTGGTAGAAGTAAATTGTAGTTATTATTAGAAAAACTGGAAAGGGCAGTGCAAAGGTCAAAGGCTGTCATACTCACATAAACCATTACATGTGTTGAATGGGTGATAAGACCTGTAAAATAACTGCAAATAGTGCCGGGTGTTTAAAAATTAAAGGCTAAAATATTCAAAAAAAGCAGTTTTTATGCAAAGTTATGTTGATTAGTGGTCTGCATGTTGGTTTTGATTGATGTTTGATTAACTGTCAAACCTTTTATTTTCGCAGGAAATGTTTCATATATGTGACTTTTTGATAAGCACCAAAATCTGGAGTGAGGAAATAGTATTTAAGTACAGTGAATATGATGAGATACTCACAAGATTGCACAACATAACAATTAATTCTTCCCACTAACACTTTGTATTCATGCAGTGTTGCCAGAGCTGCCTTACTCCTTTCAGATATAAGCTGACAGCTCAATAGTCTGTGGCAGGACTCAAACATAATTGGTGGAATTTCAAAGTATTCAGTGTGAAAAACCCAGCATATTTTTCTCTGATGTTTTTCTAAAAACACGATCAAAATCCAGCTTCACAGCACCCTGATGCAAATTCTCAGTATGTTACCTTCACCTTGTCCCCTCCTCAGATCAGACCAGGCTCTCATAGAACAAAAAAAGCCAAAAGGAGTTAATCAATCACAGAAATATGAACAGGTGTCGGTGGCATCATGACATAAAATTCCTCAGCAAAAGATAAATACCCTTTCAAAAGCATGACTGAATATTCAGAGAGCAGGATCTGGAAATAAGTTCATTTAAAGATATTATCTCAATGAGGCGCATTTACAGTAACACTGCACAGCTGGGGGTAGATGAGCAAAGACGGGTGACAAATAGCATGATTATCCACTCTGATGTTGCGCAGAGAAATGATGGTGTTTGCAGAGAGTAAGGAAGTATGACAGAGGTTAAGATAATTTAAAGAGAACTAGATGTATAGGTCAAAATACTTAGACTTTGGCTCTTAGCTTTTAAAATTATAACTGAGGTGTGAAAAGGAAGAGATTTTGGAAACTGTGTTGTGAAGTTGAAACCTGGTAGAGACAAAAGCTCAAAAGGTCCAGAACAAGACAGCTCCCGTGGAAACAAGTGCCTGCAGGATGAATAAAAAAAGATTTTTTTATAGAATCTCTTTTCTTCTGTTGGCATTTTCTGCAAGGTTTACACAAGTCTGAAGCAGTTTAAAGGCATAACCTCTGTCAGCTTTTCAAGTGTGAGACAAATAATCTATATCAAGATGCAGCACGCTTTTTTTATTCAAGTTGAAGCTTTATTTAATAGAAGATGTTTAATTGGAAAACACAGAAGAAGAAAATAGCATATTAAAGTCTTATGTGTGGTCCCTGAATGATACATAATAATGCATAACGGAGTATAGAGCACAAACATTAAGTTTTATGCAGATCATAGCCTCCACGCCAGCAGCAAGGTTAGCGAGTAAAAAACACTGGAGAACCAAATAAAACAGTTTCTTTTCAGCTTTTTTTTTCTTTTTAGAGGGTATAAAACACAGCTCTGCAAACCACTTCAAATTGGACACAGCCAGTTTTCTTTTTTCTATCCAGCACCACATGGTACAACAGCATCCTTCAGTGCAAACTCATATCATATCATATATATCAAAGCTCAGAGAGTAACACAAAGCAACACGAAAGTAAGCTCAGTTCATAAAGCACCTAAAATGACCAATCATTCATACCACAGCCAAAAAGTTTACAGCAGGTCCGATCTGAACTTTGACACCGGTGATTGAGAAGGCCCAGATGAGCAGGAGGCTCTCAGGTTCAGTTCTCCTGACTGTTGAACTGGGTGTTTATTAAGCAGCAACCCTGTCAACCAAGGACCCCATGGGCCTGGAGCACTTTTTTATCGTTCTTTGCAGCTGCTTTCATTGTTTGTGTGTTTTTGCCTTGTATTCCTTGAGTATTTGCAGCACTTTTGCAGTTCATGAAGTTGTTTTAACGTTTTGTGGCAGGTTTTTTATTTGCAGCAGGTTTCTTGTAATGAAGATCGTTCGTGTCGTTGCAGATCATTTGCCTTTGTTGGCCACCATACATCTGGCCACTCAAGTGCACACGTTATATCCACCCATTCATACCACATTCACACACTCAGTGCGTTTACATGCACAGCTTAAGCGCATAATTCTCCCTCCTCCCCAAAACTAGGGGGCGATATGGGTCTTTTCAGTGGTGCTGTTTCCGACCTCATACAACCGTCAACAACACCAGGTCAGTGCCAGACGTCAGAAGTGACTACAACTGCTGCTGGGCATTTTCGAGCAAGAAGATGGGGCATTGTACAGCGTTGTGTTTGTCATACATGATGTACGCACTACTTTTGCTACTCCTCTTCTCTGGTGTTTTTGTTCTGGAATTATGGGGGGCGTGGCGCACACGCAATGTCCGATCATACTCTGAATAAGCTGGTTACATGGCAGAGAAAATCGAATTCCAATTGCATTATCTGGGTGTCTTAATCGGAGTTCTCCGACTCCAATCGGAGTTTGAGAACTCCGATTATAGACAGAATAAGGTGTTTACATGCACTTCAGTTGTCCGGGCTTAATCGGAATACGGCAATAATTCGGTTTTCTCGAGTGTCATGTAAACGTACTGACTGATGGCAGAGGCTGCTATGTGTAGAGCCAATCAGTTTTAAGTAATCTCATTTACTAACTACTGAGTGCAGCCAGTCAGGGCAGGTAGGGTTGAGCGTCTTCCCCAACGACACTTTGGTATGTGGATAGCAGGACCTAGAGGATCAAACCTCTAACCACTACTGACTCAACAAACTGAGCCCCAGCTGCCCCTTATCCCTGACCGTGGCAGAGAAATGATTGAAAATTTGCCTTTTCGAACTTTTTAACAATGAAATCAGTCACATACAAGTACCCCTTCACTTATGAACGGCAGTGAAATAGAAAGCCAGTGAGAAAGGTGTACATATCAAAATATTCTAACATAAAAAAACACATACCAGAATTTCTGACCTGACACGGATGAATACTGCAGATGCATGTTGACCTGTCTGCCCCCTCTAACCCTTCTTCCCACTCAGGGTTGTGTCATAAACAGCACCACTGAAAGGCTTTTCACTGTGCAGGGAGACAGCAAGCTTTAAATTCAGCATGAAAAAAAAACACATCAGTGCTCCAGGCTATGTTACTAAATGCCTGCCAACACATTCAGGAATTTGGTTGGCTATTAATTTGAGTTATTATGCCAATGCACAGCCTAAGAGACAATAAAGTAGGGCAAATCCTATAAATCCTATTGTGTTTTGATGGAATTCAGTTAATAACTGCATAGTATTTCATTTCCAAATGTGTGGTTTGAGGCAAAGAGGACTTCATTCTTTCATTTTGGATACATTAAAATAGCAATAAGGCAATATTTTTGCACACTGGCTGGATTTAGTTGTAAACTATCACTATTGCATGGAATCCTAAAATCATTATGTCTTGCTCATTTCAAGTCCTGTGTAAGTCTGACATAATGAGTTCACACTTGTCCCCAGAACAGCAGAAGATATCATCCCTCTACTTTTTCCTCCCCAAAATTACTCATTATCTCACCGAATCTAGGCAGCCTTCTGTCTCGTGGACATGGAGCGCAGGACAGACTGTTGTAGTCCATGAACTCAGCTTCAAAGATGTGTTTGCTGGCAGTGAACACAACCACCGTGGCCTGCAAATACCAAGAGAGGGGCAAAGGAAGCTCGAAAATGGATTTTGCTGAGTCATTAAAATGCAACTCAGTTGCAACACGGCGAGTGTGCCAAACAGAAACAAACACAGATAGATCTAGGGGCGTTCAGCTGACTCACAGTTATGATAAATTAAGAAAAGCCAGCATATTTTACCTGTCAATCACAGCAAGTACAGGAGTGCATTTCAGTATTAAACTGAGGCACTGACAGAATTATATGCCAGTTACAGTCAAAGTGAATGAAATTTAATTCATTTATTTACCATAAATATCTGCTTCAGGTAAGCACAACTTCCAACTGGATATCTGAATCTGATTTCAGTGGGAAACATCCTCACCCAAGCCTCTGTGACATTCACCATTTACATGAAAGTTCAAGACGACAGTGGCAACAACACTGACAGCACAAACTCAGAATTCAAAACAAACACCTTTTAAATTATTTCCAACTTGTGGGTAAATTCTGCTGTCATAGAAAACCTGCCCTTAAAGAGCAAAGATGAACAGAAACTGAGTTTAAAGGTAAGTTACTCCAATGAAAACAGCTGTTCATACATCATACAGCATCTACCAGCTTTGCCAAGTCATAAAAGCTCCTTAAAACAGAAACTGAGGTTTAAGAAAGTGTTGTGTGTAGTGATTTAGATTTGGATAATGATTTGGATGGAGCCAAAACATATGATGCTGTATATTGTACTGTGATATGTATCATATCGGGAAACTGTATAAAATACCCAACCCTACGAGGCCTTAATTTGAGTTGCACCCGAGCCAAATATTAACATTGAGCAAAAGTTCTGATCTGGGCAAAAGGAATGGATCAGTTTTTCGAGAGAATCAAGTTGTCACAGAGGATTTTCCAGAGTTAGGCAAAACTGGTATTACCATACAGAGGCCATCCAAGAAAAATCAGCACCATCAATGTCAACACCATTTCATCTTCTACATGTTTGTTTATGTGTTTTTTTTTAACAGCCAATCAAATCCTTTCAGTTTAAATCATATTTAGTTTAAACTGTGTCCTAACCATTACATCAATGGTCAACAGCCAAATTAAAAACTGTGCTATCAAACTAAACCAGCCAGGTGATGTTTGCTCATTGTGTGTGTGTGTGTGTGTGTGTGTGTGTGTGTGTGTGTGTGTGTGTGTGTGTGTGTGTGTGTGTGTGTGTGTGTGTGTGTGTGTCTGCTGCTTCACAGGCATGAGATACTCCCTCAAGAGGAAGTTTGAGATGATCCTCAGAAAAATAATAGGCAGCAATTTTGTTTTGATTACACAGTAAAAGTTACAACAAGATAGATATTCAAGTACACCTGAAATAGAGTTGGGCTTTCAACAACAGTCACATTTACTTTAGTCTCCATCTTTTATCTCAGTTACAGCTCAGCTTCATAAATGAGGCACCAAGCAGGACTTGAACCCTGGTGTCTTTGCCTCTGAACATATAGACAGCTAAGAGTGTTCTGCTAATTTAATTTTAGGGGACAATGGGAGGAGATTTTTGTTAATCATCAACATTTTTAAAGGACGTGACAAAATCAACAATGATAAAATGGTTACCACTTAGTCCACAGGGGGTGCCAAAGTCGACACAGACAAAATAGTTCCTCACAGGAGCGATAAGTACATTAATTTCACAGTGACCCTGTTGGCCATGCTGTCAGCATGTAAGCAACACACAGACACATCGGTGCAAAATGTGACTCGAGCTCTAAAGAAAGAGGATAATAAAGGATCTATTTAACTAATGGTTAAATAGATGATGTTCAATATAAAACATATTGTCTCCATTTGATGTGTTTTAACCAAGGTTAGCTCTTTCATCTGTTCACAGATTTACACAACACTTTCATAGAAATGTGTGCCTTTCTAGAGGTAAATGGGAGGGATCACTGCTGGGATCACTCCAAAGAAATAAAGAGAAACACTTACAACAGGGAGTTAACATTTAGATTCCTAAAAGTAATCATTGCTCTGTAAATCTCCACAGGTGGAGAAGCATCTTGATTCTATGCCGGTATTGCGACAGGAACAACATTGCATCAGCATTCAAAATGCCGACACAGAACAGCGGAGACAATTAGCTGCAGAGCTGCAGAGATCCACTGAGCCCCTGAGAGGACAACCAGGAGTCGTTCTTATTCCTGTCACACAGCCCTCAGCTCAACAACACACTCCTCACACGTACACCACTGGAAAAAAGCAAAGGAAAAAAAGCTTGAGCCACGAAACAGACAGCGTTAATGTTCGGGCCTGACATAATGTCCAACAAAACAGATGGGTCAAGGAGCGGATGCTGTCTCAACGCAGCAGCAGAATACTACTGATGGTCTCTTCTGTCTCTTTGATGATTTATGGCATCTTGTTTTGTCAAACTACTGTCACAGTTTAACCCTTAGGCCTCTTAACTTTTATTTGATATCAAATATTGACTGACAGTTTACAAGACTGCTGGTCCACAAGAGGTCAGCCTGACAAGATCTGCAGGACAGAAAGAAACAGCCATTTCAATGTGGGACAATTTTTAAGATGCAATCTCAAACAGAGCCAAGATGGATTGTTCTACAGGGCACCACCGGGTGCCTGCAGTGTGAGCAAAGTCTTCTCTAAGGGCACATGCCCCGTTAAACCACGCAGCCCTGCCAGCTTCCTCTTGTTGGACATTGTGAGCGGTGTTAACATGGGCAGACACAAACAGCACAGGCAATCTCAGCCAGCACACAATATCCAACACAACAGAGGAGTGAGCAGTCCTTTCCCCAGAGCATTTCTCTTCACCGAGGAGGGAGAAAACACGAGAAGGATGAAAGAGCAGAGGAAACGTACACTTTGAAGAAGAGTTAAGAGCCTGCAGAGGGGTGAAAGTGAGCAGTTAACACCGAAGAATAAAATGGTACTTGCTGGTCCTGAGACCCAAACTTCTGAACTCACAGTCACCTCCTCTGCTGGAGTCCCTTATGACGCTTGTTGCCATGGATACCTTTTAAGTTAAACCACCATTTCAAGAAATTAAAAATCCAACTCAACTCGGTACAAACAGCATATCTGTGGTTGTTCTTTTGAGCTGCTTCAATGAAGGCCTTTATGTTACCAGAAGATGAAATGACTGCAAGTATGTGAACCAAAAGACTTCCAACCAAACCCCCAGTTTTCCCTCAATTAGTCAGAGATTTTAGCATCTTTCAGCACATTGTTTTGCTTTTAGAGCGCACTACTTTACTTCTGGTTTGTTTTCACTGCTCTCATCAGGGTTGTTTACTGCAGCTTTAAGAGTTTTGAAAAAAGAGAGCACCAAAGAACAACAAAAAAAGCAGCCTATAACTACAGTTTCTCATTAAGTCTGCCAACAGACTTAAGATACATAGTTCCCTCATGAGCACAAGATGCCAAAATCAACAAAGTCAGCAGTAGGGTTGGGTATCGTTTGATTTTGAACGATTCCGATTCCGATTTCGATTCCTCATTTCGAATTCGATTCCTATCGATTCTTTATTTCGATTCTTTTAAAAAGCAGGATATCATAAAAAAAAAGCATGGTTTGAATGAGGGCGCTAACTGGAGCTCTTCTTTTTGGATGTAATTTCTGAACTTCTCCATGAATTTTTAAATCATATTAACTTTTTAGGAACTTTACTATGAATTTCTCACAGGGCTATTTTCAATCAGTATATAAATATAATTTTTTGTTGTCAGGTCGTTTGTCTATGAAAAAGTACAAGGGCTAACGTTAGGTGGATATTTAAGTTGACCCACCGTACTCAGTGCAATTTGTTTACCGCTTCAAAGTTAGCAGAGGACAGAAGTCATTTATTGTTTCACTTATCTGATCCTGACTGGTTAGCGGAAGACAGGTGTTGTGCTGTAGAATGCACCCCTCCACTGATTAGCTTCTTAAAGTGGAAGACAATGATCTCGTATTTAAAAAAACACGAGTATTAGATCATGACAACATGTCAAATGGAGCAGTAAACTTTCGTTTTTTTTTCTGTGTCTCAGAAACGCACACATAGAGGTGTACTTGGGTATATAAACTGTACAGTAAGCTGTTAATGTAGAGAACATTATATTTTCCGGACAGTAAATATTCAGAATCAGAGGGCTATTGTTTTCGGCATATCTGAATAGCCTGAATGAAATCATTAAAGGCACACGCTTTAGATTCCGTTCAACGGTAAGAAAAACTTGGATTGTTTCGCCTTGTTGTGTACTTTCAACCGCGCTCCCGTCAGGGGTGCATTCAACAGCAGGGGTGCATTCTATGGCATAACACCGGCGAAGCGCGTCAAAGACGCGCACTCGGGTATTTCTCCCCCGTGAATCCTGAGGTGTTTAATCATGTTTGTCGTTTACCCTCCTTTGCATGATTTAACTGTATTGCTAATGTTGCATTGAGATAAGAGCTCATTCTTCCTGCTAAAGTTAGCCAAACTTTTGACCAACGAAGAAGAAGCTGCCGAACACCAACGAGGACGGAGCGTATGAGACGAAGTCACACAGAGAGAGGAGAGAGACAGAGAGACAGTACATTGTAACCCACAGCGGCTGCATTGCTGTGGGTTGCAATGTACTTTCTCTCTCTGTCTCTCTTCACTTACTGTGTGGCTTCGTCTCATGCGCTCCGTCCTCGTTGGTGTTAAGCGGCTTCTTCTTCGTTGATTTTTTGGCGGCTATTTCTTCCGGTCGGCGGACTCCGGCATCGAAACTTGGAATCGAAATTTTAATATTTGAACGATACCAGAAGAATCGAAGTTTTAGTCTCGATTCCCATCGATTCTCGATTCTCGATACCCAACCCTAGTCAGCAGAGGTCTTTGTAGGTGTGTTTCATCCCCCTTTCTTCTGAATGTAATGAATGAGACTCAACACATTTTAAATACTTATAAAAGTTATCTTCTGTGCTGGATCATTTGATCTCTTACAGCACAGTGAGAGGTTAACATTAGAAAGTGGGGAGGAGTTGCAGCTGGGCTCATGTGACTGATTTAGCATGAAAAATCCCACCGAGACAACACTTCATTTAGGACAGAAACTTCGAGGACAAGCCTTTCAGTTAAAAGTTCTCATCCCTCCGACAGTTACATCACTCTCTCTGGTGCACAGAGGAGAAGAGGAGAGAAAAGGAGCCATCATAGAAGCTTGGTTTCAGCTCTGCAACTTTCAACGGTCGTCTGATGGCGTAGTTTGTGACATACCATGTCAAACCGTACATGCATGCATGCAATATTTGCAGCTTTAGTGCAACATTAAATGCATAAACATGTTTGTTTTAAATTGTGTGTAACAGGGCTATGTGCAATCACACAAGAAATTTAAATCAACAGGCCCAATGCATATGTGCATGCACACACCAATGCACACACACTTACCCACTTAAACACCTGATTCACTTGACTTCTATAAACTCGGCTATGACTTCAATCTGAATACCCATGCACATTAATGCGCTCTGTCCCTCATGTGGAGTAAATAAAATTAAATAAAAATGAACTTTAGGAACAGATTCAAAACAAACCTGTGGAGTCGTTCAAGCAGAGTCGGAGTGATTTAGTTCAGTAAACATTGATCATTGGTTCACTCCTTCAAACAGCACAGCGGAGGAAAAATGTCAAATAACCCAAAATGATGTACATGCTGCATAAAATACCTCGGCAGAATGAGAGCAAATCTGTTAAGAGGAAAATAAATTGGTTTACTAAAAAGAAATTGGTTTTTAAGACCCTGTATCATTATTAGACTCTGCTCTGTGTAAATAACAGAACACTTATTGATCCTTTGAGTTTGTAATTGACTTTTCGATTCATTCAAACTGTCTTTAGTTCAGCTGGCCTTGGTAGGAGAGGTAGCATGACTCACAAACACAGAGCTGGACAAAGGAAACATACTGGCCACAGTCTTTAGTAATCCATAAAACAATCTTAGTCTACTGAGACATACCTCAGCAGATACTGAATGGATGGTCTGAATATCGTGAACATATCCATTTTGGTTTAGAGTTTGTTGAGTTATCATAGCTTATATGGTCACTGTATTTTCTTAAGAGCTAAAATGACAAACTCAACTATATTATACAATTATATGTATATGACAAAGCATGGTTGTTGTCCATGATACTGGAGCAGGAGCATTATGAAAGTCTTGTAGTTCCCTTGAAATGTGACAATTTGTTTTCCATTCAGGTTGTATACAGTCAGAAATTGAATCACAGGGCAAAAAGCACTCACGACTGCACATAGTGCTCAGAGTGCCACTGTGCCACTATGATAATTGAGAAAACTCGGATGAGTGCACAAACATTTTAATCAACAGAGAGCTCAACTCACTTGTGTCTTGGCGGCTGGACACGAAGGATACTGTTTATAAAGATTAAAATCATAAATCAAACTAAAGCTGTTTAAGTGATGGGGGATGGGGCAATTAAAGGTGCATTTAGCCCCAAGGGAGGAAAACACTGCTCCTGATTTATCGCACCAGAGCTACCTGTAACAGTGTTTTCTCTATCTAGATTTTATACTAAGCACTTTCACTGTGGTTTATCCCCACGGGGGCAAATTAGCGTTCCATCCAAGTTTGCAGATAGTTCTGGAGGAAATCGGGGTCAGGCATTTCTGCAGAGTCAGAACTCACTGACTAATTAATGAGCGACGACAGCTGAGCCGTACCTTCACACTACAGAGGAGAAATCAGGGAAAATGTAAATGATGCACAAGGCAAGGACCTGGACTACTCTGTCAAGTCATCAGATAGAGGTGCAGCGTTTTTAAACATCAAACAAAGTTAGTCACAACGCCTGTATATGTGTTTACAGCAGGGGGCTTAAATAGAAATGAGAGGTCTGCATGAACTACTGCATTTTGAAACGCTATTTATTCTCTAAAATTTCACACATTCTGATCTCAGAGTCAGACTTTATTAAGAGTATAAGTGAACAGAAAAGATGTTTTGTTTTGGTGTCAGAGAAGAACCTTGAAAAAAAAAAAAACATGAACTAAAAATGTACTTTTATGAAACGTTTCCACTCAGTTCTCTGTAATTATTTAGCTGTTCATTAATCCTCTCAGACAAAGCTTGAATATATATTCATTAATAATATACACTTTTATTTTAATGATGTTTAGTTTGGAGCCATTGTGAATTCTAACATCACTGCTTCGTATCTATTTTAGATAAACGTCTCTGTAAATGAATATCAAACAAGTGACATTTCATTAATTGAACTGAGGACTCGTAATTTCCTGGCTCACACCTCTATACGTGTCCACTTAAGTCTTGGAGAAGTGAGAACAGTTTGCTCATTTTTCAGGGTGACTCTAAGGTTGTGTGAAAACTAGATGTTGCAGCGGCTGAATGTCAAAGTGTCTACAATCAGAGCAACAATGCTCTGAAATTATCTGACAGATCGCACAGTCGAGTTTGATCCTTGATTGGATGATGACAGTTCATGTTTTCAAGTGATCAGGAAGTTTCTTCATAACAGTTGAATCAAAATTCCTGAGCCGGTAGCCTAAATTTTAAGTAGCCACTGAAGGATTGCACTAGTGACATGGATAAGAGGAAAAACATGCTCAGAGGCAGACAGCACTCTGGATTAGCAAGGCACCACGTCAGGCATCATGACTCATTGCACCAGAGAGGTAGAGCCCTACCTGTGGCAGTCGTTCTAATTTAGGCACCTCAGGCCAAACAAATAAAAGAATGCTAAAAAAAAGTCTAAAGTACTATTCAAACTGTTTTGTCTTGGTATCTTTTTTAGGTTTTACATTGTCTCAAAATCAGTGAGAGAAAAGCCTTCATTCATAGTGACGTCAAACAAAAGGAAAAGCAAGATAAAAAAACAAAACAAAACAAAAAAACATTCACTTCAAAGAGAATCAGTTAAAATGAACAATTACAGATCTAAAATGATCATAGGAATCCAGCATATTCATTTTCAAGTCCTTTGTAATAGGGAGTTCAAAGTAAAAAGCCAGAGGCAGATCCTCCAAGCTCAGAATGAACTCTAGGAGCCTGCAGCATAGGTATTAGACCGAGTGTATTGTGCTCCAGAGGGCCAGACGAGCGCGTGTGATATTCAGTGTCTGTGTACACACATTAATGAATTCATTTCATTTACATTTTTGTCTTCATCACCATGACTGTTCACATTTGAGTATTCCTAGGTATAATTTTTTTAATTTAAATAGAAACTCAACAGAGATGGACCTTATGAGTCTTTTCAGCTTAACTTTTAGAATAAAATATGCCTGTTCACAGTAATAATTTTAAAAGACCACCACAATGAAATTCAAAACACCCCACAGCCTATTCCATCACTATCAAAATAGTAAATTAAAACTAAAAGTCCTGCCTTAGACAAAGTAATGAGGCAACTGTAGTTAGGTGTGTTTTTTTGGTGGTACCTAGGTGAAGCACTTTGATTTCAAAGGGACCCTCTAGATATGCCCAAAGACTGGTCTACTCCAAAGTGATCCAAACTGCATGAGGTCAAGTATGTTGAAATTAGACTTGAGCCATGATGAAAGGTGACAAAAAGGATTACTAATTCTGCTCCACTAAAAAAACCCTACATATATAGGCAAACTGATTTATTTTGCCTTCTTTTAAATTTGTCCTTCCTCTCTCTGTCCTCTGTTTCTCGAACATCTGCCTGGACCCCACCTCTTATTCTGCTGCATTATCCTCCACCTTCAGAGAATGTATGAATTTTTAATCCACACCACCCATGACTGTCCTGCAAATATATGTGCTGACATCATAATTCTTATTTTAGATTTGCTCTGAAATGTACCTGAATTACATAAGGCTGGGACGAGCAAGGGCAGGAGGATAATGTGTGACATCCATCCAAATCTGAGGATAGTGTTATACCAGAAATTTAATGGGAAATGAGGCAGAATTTACAAGTCTAACTCTTCTCTCTAACGTGCCGTAACTTTAACCATGATAGGTGGACTGCAGCATTAGCAAAGAAACCTGAAGTATTAATAACCCATCCTTCTCTTCACTCTCCACCCTCCAGACAATATTCACCTGGTACTCACTCCTTCTGTCCACTCTGGACTCTCTCTTCATACGAACACTCACAGCTCGAAGAAAACCTCAGAGGCACGAGTGCTCCTTGGCTCAGAGAAAACCGCAGTCTTAGTGAACAGGGTTTAGCGAGGCAGCTAGGTCATTCTGACCTCTGCTCAAACAGGAAGTACATTATGCCTTCTGGGAGATGCTGCCCTGTCCAAGGCGACCATGTCAACTTGATGAATGATGTAGCCGAGGGACATGCCAGACTTTTCTACCGTCTTGCACTTGTAACAACCCGACTAGCAAAGACAGGGGTTGAGAAAATGTAGCCATAGGTGAGAAAGCTAAGCTGATGACAAGTCTGATGATGTTAAGCCTCTTTTTTTTTTTTTAATCGCGACCTGGTCTTCTCAATGTGCACATCAGAGGCAGCTGTAGTAGAGATGCTTTCATGTGACCATCCATCACAGGCATCCACTGAGACTCGGCCCAGAAAATTGGGCTAACAGATGCAGTTAACCCCATTTAAGAAGTGCCAAATTTTTAAAGAACATACCTTCCCCAAGGCAAAACTCAAACTGGGGTAAAGGAGGCAACAAGTCGAGATGACTGCTACACAGTGTGACACAGAGCGGAAATCTCTGTATCGCTTATAGATAACTGAAACGATGTATGAAACTTGTAGATGCATCATATATTAGTGTGATAACTGAACTGCCAATACTAGAAGAATTTAAGAACATCTATTATCCTCCAAAAAATAACTTTATCTGTTTAAAAAATTACTAACATTAGTTGCATTTATGTACCTACTGGCATGCCCACACAATCCAGTGGAGTAGGTATATGATATTGCATGCTGAAAAAAAAATGATGAGCTGAAAAGAGAGTTAGACAACTGCAAGATTTATGTTTTTTGATTAGAATGGTTTGATGACTAATGCTGCATTCCGGTTATCTCGGAAGTTGGATTTTGGAGCTGGCAATGACGTTACACCCAAGTTGATGCGTTCCAGCAAACAGGTCGAAAAACCAAGATGGACGCCTACTGTTAGTTGTTGTTAGCCGTTTCAGTTGTAAGCAGTTGTCAGCTGTTGTTAGCTATACCAGTTGTAAACAACGCATAACACAGTAATTTACTCTACAAACAGCATACCACCATGTTCAACGTTAGAGGTTGGGCAGTACAACATTTACCACTTATTTAATTTCACAAAAACAAAACAGAAGTGCTAAATTTATAAATAATACATTTTGAGAGCTTTCACTGTTACTCTTTACTGTTGATGCACTGCGCTGCCAACTTGGATTATGACGCTGTCATCAATTGGGGTCTGGTGAGGATCATCCGACTTTCTGAGTCAGAAATCTGACTTCAGGGGAGCGTTCCAGATGAATTTCCGACTTGGAGCTTGGAAATTCCAACTTCCGGGTACAACTGGAACGCAGCAATAAAACATGCTCCCCAAATGTTCTGATGGAAGAAAACAATTTAAAGTTTCAACATGGCAGAGCTTGAGGTCGCCCAAAGAGTTGTCTCTGCAGAGAAGATGTATTGAACGTGAGTACCTATAGAAGTTGGGAGCTTAACTGCTGATATGACCAGAATTTGAGAAATGCATCAAGTTTACATGAACTGTTAAAGACAAACCCTTTTAATTTATAGCGCTTGATGGCTCATCTCTTTCCAAGGGAGAAGACCAAAGATTTAACCATCAACCTCTGTATTTGAAACATTATCTGATGATGCAGCAACCCTAATGAACCTGTATGATGTGGTTCATACACAATTTCACAGTCTGATTGATAATTATATTACTCCTGACATTAGTCTAGTAAGTTTTCTGAATTTGAAAGCCCAGTGGCTGACAAAATGTGTAAGCAAAAAGGTATTTACTGAGAAATTGGTTAGTTGTGGTTCATTAGACTGGTTGCAGCACATCACACAACAGAGAAGACGAGAGCCAACTGCCAACTGCAGCAGCTTTTTGAAAGATTATAAGGCAATATAAAAAAAACAAAAAAATGACATTTGAAGATTTATTGTGAATCCAAAAACAACACTGGAACTTGTGCCTCTTCAGGTTGCTTTGCTTGACCGTTTTAACTGTTTATTTTTTTTTTAAACTATTTTCATTCAGTTATGTATCTTATGCTCTACCAGAGGTAACTTGTACACCAAAATAAAAGCGCAGTTCAAATGTCAGGAAATAAAGAAACCTAAACGCATGACAAAAGGCTATCATAATAAAAACACGACAAGCAATCATTTCATGAGGCAATATCCTCTCTGAAGAAAAGTTTCAGTCGCAGGGTAGTTCTGCGAATAAATCATAAATTTGATCGTCAATAGAAATAAATGATGACATGTAAGTTAATTATTTTATCAGTTACACTTAAAAAGTAATAAGTTGCTCCACCCTTGTTCTGCATTTCCTCTATTTGACTGACTGTTATTTTAATTTTCAAGTTTTCCATAAATATAACATTAATATAACATTCAATGTGCTGAATTTCAAGTAGCCAAAACAGAAAACCCTTCAGGGTCATATGGGACACATATGCTAAAACTAAATCATCAGGTATAGCATATGGTAGCGCCCTGCTAATCTGAGGAGTTCAGACTGAGAGTTTTGGCAGCAGCCGCAGTAATTGTGTGTGTGTGTGTGTGTGTGTGTGTGTGTGTGTGTGTGTGTGTGTGTGTGTGTGTGTGTGTGAAGTGTGCGGAGTCACTGTCAGGTTGCTGCAGAGCTTGGCCAAACACCAGCTTGACGACAGCAGCTGGAGAGTAGTGATGTAATAATCTTGTTGCCATGGAGACCTGTGGTTCCCCAGCATCTCTAAAAAATCCAAGGGCGGAGGAAAGTCACTTGGCAGGCTGGCTGGGACATAGTACTGCTGTGACAAGATGACAGGAGGCCAATAGTACAGACTGATGGCAACTGACTCTGCTTGCTAATTGTTAAACTAGTGTGTAACACTCATGGACACTCATTAAAATGCAAAAAGCATGATTTCTGAAAACAATAGAAGTATGATAGAATAGATAGACTTTGTAAACGTTTGAGGGAGACCTACAAAATTGAAATTTAGATAATTTGCTTCATGAGAAAGGCACATGAAGATGGATTTGCAGAAACTTTGCCCTTCAAGCTAAACCATCATGACCTTGTTAGCTTTTGTAGTGCTGTCAGAACAGCTGTGTTGGGCTGCTGCATGCATCCTCAGGCCGAGCAGCCAGTAAGAAAACCCTTTAGACAAACAGCTGCTTAGATGCTGTTAAGAGAGAGTGGTCTGGGACATTGATAACCTGCACAACTAATGAGTCTGCACTGTTTTCATCACATTATAGATGACGAGCAAGTATAAATGAGCTGGGAGCCTCGATTCGTGTCATGTGCTGTAGGTGATTTGAGATCGGATAAGGATCCGGGTAGAGAATCAAAGTTTTGAAATATTAGTTGAGACAGTAAGAGAAAAAAATACTGAAGGAAGCAAAGAGGGGAGGGAAAAAAAGAGTTTCAGCAGTCATCTCCTTTATCTGTTAAAGCCTGTGGGGATTGTTTCAAAACATGGAAATGAAGAGGTGCCCTCGCCTTGATGTCTGAGGTCTAGTATGCAAGCAGAGGAGTCTAATGATGGTGCCTGTTTACATTAGAAATAAGTAGTAAATGACATCCTCTTAGATGAGAAGAAAATACTCTCAGGGGATTTCTTTTCTTGTGTTATACATTATAAAACAGGAAAAAGTTTAGCAGTGATGTGTCATTCCCACTAGTTATCCCAGCAGTGAGACGGCAAGAAGAGAAAGCAAGAAGAGCTCACACTGAAACTACAAGTCAAAGGTTGGGAAAGCATTTTGAGTTTGTTACACAAGGCCAGGTAGAGTTAAACTGCTGCTCTGGATCGTGGGGGCTGAAGAGCCAACTTCTAAGGATACAATATGATTGTTTCTTTCTTGAATTCTCTCTTTCTTTTTTTGGCCTAGGCAGTGTAACTCAAAGGTCTGGCTGTTAATCCCTCTCTTATATCCTATTCCACTTGGACCTTTGACTGCTATCTTAACCTTAGAATTGTGGGTAAAAGCCAAAAGGTACTGTAGTATATAAACTAGACAGGGTCTGTATCTTCAGGGAGAGGCATGTGTCTCTGTGTTTGTATCAAAAGTTTTTTTTAAATACTTGAAATTGGAAATAAAGGATGGGTAAAGACAAAACACTAACCAGCTGTCCATCCACACTGTTTTACTGTTTAAGTAATATGCCTTCTTCTAATGGTGGCGATCAATTCACCCAACATGTGCTGATGTAGTACATGTGCTCTCTGTGTTCAGTCTCCCAAAAGCTGAAAACAAAACCCCCAATCAGGTATTCTTACATGAAAACATCATATTCTGTCAACCTAAGAAGAGTTTTACCATTCGATTTGAGAAAACCTGGGATTTCATTTAAGAAAAAAAAACCTTTTAGGTTCATTTTTCAAGGTGTAAAAGCGGCAGCAACAGCAGCGTAACAAGCTCCGATGGGATCCTCTCATTCTGTTTAGAAATCTAAAAAGGCTGTGAATGAACTGAAATAGAGCATAATGTGACCCTCATTTGCATTATCCCTCTGGCTCTCTACTTTTTTCCTATAATGAGAATCTTACAGGACCAATTTTACCAGAACCCACCCAGATATTATCCTGGCTGAGAGCCAGTCTAAAATGAGATTTTCAGACTAAGTCTAAACATATCCTTTTTATCTGTAGCCTTGTATACAGCAACATATCAAAGGAAAAAGTCTGTTCTGAATTCATATAATATCTGTTGAATATGTTCACAAAAGACAGCAGCTTCTTAAAATGCCTGAGAGTAGTCGCTATCTATCTGCATGACCACACAACTGAATGGACAATTTTAAAGACTACTCTGAGCTTTGACCCACACACACCTTTGTATTTGAAAAAGAAAGTCTTCAGTATTTGGAGCTTTCCTCTAGTATATCTCTCAGATTTCTGTCCCATTTGTGGAGAAAAATAGGGGAACTTTGAATAAAAAAAGATATTGCCTAACTATTTTGGTTTTCACGATAATGCAGACGTCTTATCAAATCGCATGCATTGAAAATGTATCATATCATATGAATTTATATCTCATATATCATATTGTGTCACACCAAAAAAATTACATGATACTCTTATATAAAAATCCAAGCTATTCAATTTCGATATCGAACTGTGTTACACAAAGTTTCAACAAAACATGTTGCAAATTCTGTTACCCAAAGATCTATCAGGCCTGAGTCATACTGGCCACCTCTGAGAAAGTCATGAGAAAGACAGAGAGAAGAAAAAAAGTCACAGAGGTCAGGTAGACCTGATTCTCACACACATTAACACACACAACAGTCTTACACACACACACTTAAAGGCAGTTTTGGTCGGCCCTGCATAGCACAACAGCAGCTCTCTGTAAGACGTCATGAGATTGCAAAGTAGTCCAGTCTCCTCCTGCTGCTTGAACATCCAAGAAACTAAATCCCACCAATAAAAAAAAGAACATGAGAGGGGAGATAAAAGCCCATGAAGGAAGAGAGGAATAATGTATAGGGGAAAGACAGCCGACTAATTGTGTGTTTGTGGGAGAGTGCAAAAGGGAAGGCAGGAGCAGTAGAGAGAAAAGCGAGGGCTCTTTGGCTGGCACTTGACTGAAGTGTGCACTGCTCTGCGTATGGAAGTGAGCCGATGATGACTACGGTCTCCCACAGTCAGGGAGGGGATGAGCCTGGGCGAGTTGGAGTGCTTAATATTCCACGCACATACCGTCGCTCTGCTATAGCAAGAGTTATAAATAGACGGCAGCAGACTTGTGGATTGAGAGGCTTGGTTTAAAGGGGGTCTGCAATAACACGATGACAAAGATCCAGAGGGATCTGGATGATGTAAGGAGAAAGGAGATGGATGGATTTGCCCTTGAAGTCATAGCACTGATCCTTTTTTGTTAATCAACACACTTTTCATTAACTACTCTGCATTGCCATCATTGACTTTCATTCTCCATGCTGACAAGGGGTGAGAGATATGAAGGAGTTAACACTGCCCCCTACCCCAACGCTACTGCACAGTGTTGCATCAGCACATTTAAGTCTTACAAAACTTTTTCCACCTTTAAAAGTTGTCTCATTTACAGAAAAGGTATTCAACAACAACCAACTCTTAAATGTTTTCTACAGTATAATTAGGCAAGGAAATCAACACCAAACTTATGTGTTCACACTAAATCTGAAGCTCTGACCAGCTGCTGGTTAACTTAGCTTTGCAATAGACACTGGAAACAGAGGCAAAGCTAACCTAGCTCCGTCAAAACCCAAAAATAAACAGACTGAAAATGTTTTAATGCCTTTATGAGGAGTTAGTATGTGGTTGAAACCATAGCTCATGGTTGAAACACAGAATTTCCACTGTAAGACAAGCAAAAGCAAAACCATACCACCCACCACAATACTTGTGGTTGATCAAGTTAATTTGAAATTCTGGGTTGGTTTTAGAAGAGGAAAACAACACACACTTCTGAAACAGCCTTTGATTACAGCAACGACTGTCAGTAAATCCAGGGTTTGTGTGCTGTTTTTGAGTTATTTACTTTGTTTGAATGATTTCCTGTGTGTAAGTAAACTTGATTTATATAGCACCTTTCACAGACAAGAGTCACCAAGCGCTTCACATAAACAAAAAGTAAAAATGTACATACAAATTTAAAAGGCCAAGACAACAACATTAACAAATCATAGCAGCCCCAAAACAACTAAACAAAAGCCTAGGCAAATAAATCTGCCTTGAGTTGGCTTTTAAAAGGAGTCAACAGAGTCTATTAAGCGCAGAGAGAGAGAGGAAGATCGTTCCAAAGCCTGGGAGCAACAGCCTGGAAAGATCGGTCTCCTCTGATCCAAAAACCAGTGCGCGGAACCATCAGTAGATTCTGATCCACAGACCTCAGACCCCGAGCAGGGGTGTAAGGCTGGATCAGATCACAGAGGTAAGATGTAGCCTGACCATGCAAGGCTCTAATTACTGGGACTAGAATTTTCAAATTGATCCTAAAGGACACAGGCAGACAATGTAGAGCTTTAAGAATAGGGGGATATGTGAGTCCTCCTATTCGCCCCGGTCAGAGTTCTCGCTGCAGAGTTTTGCACTAATTGCAGACGAGACAGCTCCTTTTTGTTCAGACACGAAAACAAACTATTACAACAGTCTAAACGTGAAGACACAAAGGCATGAATGATGAACTCCAAGTCATTTTGTGACACCATTTTCCTTAGCTAAGAGATTTTCCTCAGTTAAAAAAAAGCAATTTCTTGTCAACTGTTCACAGTGTTGCACTAAGGACATCCCAGGCTTTCTGACACCCGGGCTTCTTAGGCTAGGTTCAGCAGACTGGCCTTAGTCACCCAAGTACAGGTTGATCCCTGGGATTGAGTCATCAGGGGCAAAACCAGTGTTTCAGTTTTGTCTGCATTGAGCTGCAAAGAGTTTTCACTTGGCCATTGTTTAAGAATTGTTTCCTACCGCATATTTTACCAAGCAGGACAAAATATTCAACAAAAACAATTGTGACGGAGCACCGTTAAGCACCATCATTCCACGTTTGACGCGGGGCTCTCTCTCGGAGCCTGAGAGTCCCAGTGCCAGGAGTGCACATGGAGCGAGTTCGTTCCCCGTGGTGCCGAGCTCCATCAAACTGTTGAAATGTTTCCCCGCACCTGTTTCCTGCAGTCCTGCACTCCAACCAACCGTTTTCTTCTGGACTCTCTCTCCCCTCTGGAGGCATTTGAGGGTACACACTCAACAACTACACGCCACACACACGCACACACACCGTCCAATTACCTGCTGCCATCTTACAAGCCAAACCGGGGCACTTCCTGATCTGTCAGTAAATAACACGAGGTGGCGCGCTTTGGGGGGTCATGTGACCACCAGACCATACCAGTATAACTGATGTGATATTTTGTTTGATTCACTGTATTTTCAAGGGGTAAGGTCATAACTGTATGGAGGGTTATCAGTGCCTATCTCAGTGTGATTTCTGGCTAATATTCTTAAATCGACTGTAAAATGTTTTGATTGTGTGGTTGTTGTGTTCTTTTGTGTTGGTCTCATGGCATTTTTTGGACAGGCCCATTAGTGTTTGGGTTTTGCTGAAGGAAAGATTCAACTGTGTTAAGCAACAGCAGGGGGGCACCCAAACTTTGGCCAATGAGTTTGGGGTTCACTGGCTGAAAAGTTCGATTTACAGCATAGAAGTGTCCAGATTAATTCAGTTCTTGCCAGAGTTACCAAAATTTTCTGCCACATGTTCTGGTCTACTTGGGTTTGGTGAGCCATTGTATCCGATCACTTACATGACTCACTTTTATGACAGTGTCAGGATATAAAAGCTAATGTCATGATTGCAGTTGTAAATGCTATCAATATTTTGCCTGGTCTACTGATTATATCAATTATTTGGTGTCTTTTGTCGATTCCCAAACCTTGCATTGCGCTATTATGAAGCTTAACCTGTTTTCATGAGCATCTGTTCCTGTTATACTCCAGGTTTTAATCCTTTTTCATTCTCACTTCAGTATTATTATAAATGAGGGTTCTCTGTCAGTGTGTATTAAGGACTTGAATAATTAAATGGTGGTGGTGATTATAATGATGAAAGGAGGACTTTGTTTCCATTGAAAATTGCAGGACTTTTCTCTTTTTCGCTTCCAGTCTATAAACCAAAGGTTGGGGGCCGTCATATTAAATATTCAGGAACACAGAGTTACAGAATAATATAAACTCTACAAAAGACAGATGACAAATGTTCATTTTGCCAATCTGCCAACATCAGTCCTGAATTCCTATTATGTGTAGCAGGTCAGGTGTACTAAAATGTAAGTCCACATTCAAACAAGAATAAACTATGGACCGAGGTGTTTGCTACTTCAGACATATATAGAGCTCTTGATAGATTCATTCACTCCTTTATAAAACACAAGGGAGCAGCCAAAGAGATTTAACTGAAGCTGCAGATGAACTCTGCTTCCTGTGAAAAATTGATAAGCCTTTATTTGATTTATATCAGCGTTAACTGCAGTGTTTTTCTCTTTGATGCTCTTTTGCCAGTTAAAACTCTTGAATAGAAGTCTAATTCACACCATCTGTAGAAATGCTGCGGTTTGTTTTAGTGCTGTTTCCTCAGGAGGAGACCTCTCTCTTTCATACAACTTCACGCTAAGGTCCGACTACTGAAGGAGGCCAGCGTGAGCATGCCATTTGAGCTATAAATTTACAGAAGAAAAAGTTGTCAGGATGGCAGATGGAGATGGACAAATCTGGGTCTTTCTCACATCCTTTAGGGTTGCATGTTGAAACCTGGGAGATTTAACTAAGCTGCGATAACAAAAAAAACAACAATGGTAAGATTTGTTTTGGCAGCAGTGTAAGCACCCTACAACAGCAATATCTGCCTATCTATCAATGAAGCACTTCCACAGCCAGATGTTGTTTGTGCAGATACTTTGCCAAAAATGACAGAAAAATCCAGAGGTGTCTTGAGGTTTCATTAACATATTAAATTAGCTAGCATATGTTCCTGTTCTTGCTTAGCAATGAAACACTTGAAGTGTTTTATCAATACTGAGTAAATGAAAAAAATAACATCAGAATACGGACTCTTGTACTGAAGCAGAGACAAAAGCATGGGTTGAGCTGACACATTATAGCTGGTGCAGAATGGACAGTCCAGTACTCACCTGTATGGTCAAAGAAGCACCTTTACCTTCTCCAGCGCTGGATTTTTTATGACTGAGGATAAATTAGTGTAATTGACCAAAATCAACATGTATGATGGATTCTATCATGTTAACGCAACACATCATGTTAAAATTGATTTTTTTTCAGGTTGTCTGCTGTAAAGTGGATCATCTGTTTATGCTTTCTGTACTGACAATAATGTCATTTCTTGGTCGCCAACTAATCAAAATCAGCAAGGGGCGGGGCTTCTGACAATAACTTCATCAACAAGAATAGTGGGGGTTTGTGCGAAAGAAGATGATCTTATTTGTTTTTGTAAGGTACAACTCAGGTCTAAAGCTGACACTGATGCTATGACACCAATTCTATCAATTGTAAGATTTCTTTGCATAATGTCGTTGGGTGAAAGCTAGGCCTGAACGATATATCGTTTGACTATCGTCATCGCGATGTACGTGTGTGCGATAGTCACATCGCAGAGCCTGCGATATTGGAGGTGAATGAACTCATTTAATTTCACGGGTAACCGACTGAGATACACTCCATGTGACTCTGCATGTGCTGTGCAGCGATCCACCAATCGCCTTCGTCCTTAACTCAGTTGCCAATCAGACTCACTTCTCAGTTGCCAATCAGACTACCCTGCCAGCTGTCAATCAAAATCAGGGAGGAGAAAACCCACCCCTGCACATGTTCTGCACATGGAGGGAGACGTGTGTCCGCTGAGAATTACTTTCGGAACTTTACTCATGACTATTAAGCCCAACAAATAAGAACTGTATGGGTTTTAGATTGTACATTTCCGTGGACCACTCTACTATAAGCAGTGCGCGTTTTGCGAGGTGCATGCAATTCTCGGAGGACATGCGTTTCTCGGCACAACACCGCTAACAACAACAACAACGATCGCAAAATGAACAACGAACAAGCGAAAACCACCGAAAATGAAGATTTGTTGCCAAAAAGAAAAGGAAAGTCAGTTATCTGGAATTATTTCGGTTAAAAGAAGGATGATGTCGACCAAAACACGTCTTCTGTGTTCACCTGTTGCCACAATAACGTCCCAGCACAATAAAAGCTAAAAATATCTCTGAGACAGACAGAAGCCGTTCTACTAACATTCACAAAAAGAGGTAAGATCAGAGCAGATTAACTGTCCTCAAGATTTCAGCAGTGCAGCATAACATTAAGTGCTATTCAGGTCATCTGGTGAAAATACTGTATTTTTAATATGGCAATATATATCGCAGGGTTGAAAAAATCGCAATATTATTTTTTTCCAATATCGTGCAGCCTTAGTGAAAGCAGATATGGAGGTGCCACAGGACAACTTTTGTAACCTAGCAACAGCAAACACAGCCGAGGAGCACACTTTAAAATCGAGGTTGTGGGCACTGCCAAGGTAGGGGTACAAGTGTCAAGTGTTAGGAGGAAAAGACCCCTTAACTTTGAACATAAATGAACTGGAATATTTTATGTTGTTTGTTTGTCTCTCTTAAAATCCTTAAATCTGCTGTTTAACTGTAGTTTTGACCTGTTTACATAGTTTCCTTGCGAGTGAGAGGAGTGAGGGTCCAGGTAAACCCATGTTTATTGTTAAGTTTCTTAGACTACCAGCTGGGTGAATTCACTACACTCTTACTGACTGGGTCGATCTAAAGATCATGTACAGATATTTTTTTTTTATATTTCAACAACCAATCGTTTTGACTGGTGATTATTGGGTGTAATTTCAGTCTACCAAATATAATTTTTTGGTTGAAAACAGCATTGTGATTCGATATGACAAATGGCGGGCTTTTGAGTTTTGGATGAATTAAAGTGTTTTCACCTCAAATCAGAAGAAAATACAGAGCTACTTTTTTAACGCAGTGCATGTTCTCAGTACAAGTGCACTTCTCTGCTGATTCATATACCCTTTGTGTTTGCTACCTTGAAGCTCTTGCACATTACTTGCAGCACTAAAGAAGCTTTCGTAAATGTGATGTTACACTTCTCTCACAACTGCTGGTTTTCATTTCTGTAACAGGTAACAGTTCTGCTCATAGCCTTCGAAAAAATTAAGGTTTCACTACAGCGCAAACATCCATCAGTCTTTCCATATCTGACCAGAAACGTAATGAATCATAAATTACAAGTAGCTTGATAAATGCCGGCTACTTCAGCAGTCCTTTAATTACCAGTACGCTCACAAAGATTATGATAATTAGTTTGGTTAAAAAGTATAACTAATTGAGCTACATGCAACGATTGATTCCAAATGAACTCTGATTTTCCACATATTATACTGACTGATGATCATGGCTGTGTGATATCCACCTCCACTCTTACAACCTGATTCCTTCCCTCTCAAAGCAGCAAACAGCCACATAATCCCACGAGATGACAAACAAGACAACTACAACATAAACACAAACACACCACAGACCGCAACACACCACCAGACTGACCACACAAACAGAGGTGCTCTACATGATCCAACTGTTTAAATTACACATACAGTACACTGTCTGTAAGAGCACATATAAAGGGACAAATCATCAGTGCAGCTGTGTCAGACATCACAGCACGCACACAGGAGAGAGACTTGTGCTGGCCACTTAAAAACAGAGAAATCACTGCACTGCAGAATCATAAAATCACCTCAAGATTTGATCTTTTGTTTTGAGCCTTTGCAAAGTCATTCAAACATTTAGAGATTAGATGATCAGATTAAATTTGATGTGAATAATGTGGACAGTTTAGTCTAGGGATTTTGCAAATTAATAAATAAACAGTTGTTTGAATAAGCTGAAAAGGTCATGATCTCCTAAATCTCTTTTGTGCAGACTTCCAGTGTTGAAGAATGAAGCCTTTGCAGAGGTGCATAGAAAACTGTTATGTGTTCACCTACGGCTGGCTTAAAAAAGCACGTGGACCTTACCAGAACCCATATAAACACGACCATTTTACAGTAACATTAAAAATGTTATCTAGGTGGTTACATTGAGGTGAAGCACTGACTACTGTCATTGATGTTTTCTTTGCAAACTCCCACACAGGGAAGTACAGCTGTCACCTTACTGGCTTTCAGACACTGTCTGCCATTTAAAGGAACAGTCAGGGCAAGATGCCTGAAGTTGGGGAACGGGCTCGTTGATCTGCTTTTACATAATGCGCAGTTGGACGATTCATTTCTCTCATGAACTACATATGTAAACAATGTGCAGGTGGGCTGAAGTTCAACACCACTTCAAAAACCGGTCTTGCAAGTCAAAATCTGGTTTAAAATCAGGCGGCAGTGAGGTTATAGCTTAAATTCTACCGCTGTTTCTGGATAAATCAGAAGAAAATTTGGATCAGAATTTTAAATCTCCATGACCGCTCTTCAGAAACAAGTGTGTGATGTCACTGAAACACAGATTTAATATTTCCCCTTATTGTTATCCATTTCTCCAGCACTCTACCGTCTTATGCTCGTTCTCATGTCTGAACATTTGCACATTTAGTCACTGTGCTGCAGAGACATTAGCAGACACATTGTGTACCCTTCAGAAGCCCTGAGGTCAGTACAGTCATCTTTATATCTCCATTTCCTCACGTCCAATGTAAACCTTCCCTTTTATGCACCCACACACACACACACATACACACACACTGAGAGGATAGTGTTGTCTGTAATGTGCCGAGCCAGCAGGCAGCCCTACAGGACGTCAGCATTCGTGTGTAATTAAAGCTTTTTGCCTTTTCTTCACAAAGCAGCGAACTCATACCCGGCATGACACCAGCAACATTTTTGGAAGCCATCTTTTATTTACGCGTGATTTCACATGAAGGAAAATCCAATATGCTCTGTACTGAAATGCACAACAACAACACACTTAAACAGCACACGAGCAAACACACAAGAGCAGACAAATACACAAGGTAACAATCAGGAGCACTTGGATGAAAACATCATTAGTATGGTGATTAAATAGCAACCGCCGAAGCCACAAGGAGCTGGATCATGAATAAGACATGAGGCCCATGTCTGAGCAAAAATCACAACAGAATGATTTCCAAGTTCAGCACGGGCGACATCAGTCTACACAGACTCTACCCTATGCCTGTACTCCTCCTCTCTGCTGACGTCCACTGCCTTTCCTAATAAGTAAGCCTCGTCTCTCCTCTTTCAAGTTTGACATAAAAGGAGGGAAGGGAAGGGAACAGAGGAAGAGGAGCAGCGGAGAGGACTCCAGCGAGAACAAGGAACTGCTCTCTCATTTCTGTAAAGCCTTTTAGATTTCCGCGCTGTGAAAGCCTCTGTGCTGGGATGAGGAAGATTTCTCTGCCAGTTTGATATCAAGCGGCGTTGAGAGCTTAATGCACATTCATTGTGCTCATCTTTAGAGCGTCAATGCGGCTCTCCGAAGACATAGTGTACCTCCAGCACCTCGCTGCAGCCGGGCCAAACGCTGGTGACGGAGCAGTGGCAGAATTTACCAAATGAGGGATGCAGGAAAAGACGTTAGACAGAGAGAATTACAGACAAAGAGAGATCCATTTCCAAACCGTTTTCCTCTTGAGCTTCTTTAGTCCCGTGTTAGCTCTACTATCTAATCCCTGGAGCTGAAACTGCTCCCATCCGTGCAGCTAGGTGAATTAGTTTGGCTGGTTACCGTCTGGCTGCTGCTCAGTTTCTCACTATAAACCACCATCTACATGATGTCTCCCAAATATGACAGGGAAATTACTTAATTATATTTCAGCTACAACATTAAAAAGCAGCCATGGAGGGGACATATTCACACCACGCTGTGCAGGAAATCTGTATTACAGTTCATTACCATCTTTAATTAAAGCGATGCAGCTTAGAGTGACTTCATGTGATTTGACCTTCTCTTCCACAATACTTGTTCATTTGGTTTATGAGTGAGTTTGCTTGGACTTTAGAGCTCTCTCTGATGTGTCATCCTGCTGCAGACATTCATCTTCAGCGCTTCCTCACATTAAACAGTTTTCTATACGCTCAGTTTTTTTTTTTCCAAACCTCTCTCAACTGCAAAGGCATATCACCTCCCTGAGAGATGTTCTTCATCACTGCTCATAAATTGGCTCCGATTTATTTCCTACTTATGAAACTTTGGTTCAAGTAAAACTAAAACCAAAAGAAGGAAATGATTTTGACTTAAACCAAGGTCAACACTTGGTCCTCAAAGATTATGTGTTTGAAGTAGGACAAATGTTCAAGTGAGACAGTGTGTGGGCCTTTGACTGGAGTCAAATTTTGATTACTAGACGACTGGGTCAACCTCTCCAAGGCTGCAGCTCTTGTGGGGTATCCCATTCAAGTAGGGTGGGCATATGTTAAGTGGGTGATTTGAGCCTGAGGGGTGAATGAGCCCCCCTTGAAATCTAGATGACTATTGACAAAGTGGGTCATGTGAACAGACATTTCTCATCTATGTTACATATCCTGTGATGGAGAGAGGCACATGGAATAAGTGGTGAGAAAACTTTAGTTTAAAATACTGCTTTATTTTACAGTTCAAATAGATTTAAAAGAGTCATTGGTTCTCCAGCCTGAATAATTATAAACAAGTCTGAAGAAGAGTTGTGTTCAACTACCTGGCTGGATGTGGGCGCCTGTGTGTGAAGCAGGTAAACATCATATTTTCTACAAATGACTGTTGTTTTTTGAGCTCCATTTGCTCCAATTTTGTAAATGGACTTGTTAAAGAAAACCGTCAACTGAAGTGGGAAGTGGGGAAAAAAAAGAGGTTAAAGCTTCATACTGGATATGAGAGATGGCAAGGTTTTCCCCAGCTCTTCTGCATAGGACTGTGTAGTTAAAAAACTGATCCTTCATCAGCGCAACAGTTTTAAAGAGGCTAACTTGGTCTTCGGGGCCTAGCAATTCTGAGACTAAATGCTACAACAGTATACTGATATAGCTAAAAAACTAATATGTAGACTTGTTATATGCAGGTATGATATTAACCACTTAGCTTTCAGCATGTTACCATCAGGCAATTAGCACTTCACAGAAGTCATAAATGAAGCAAATGGGAGTTTTGTATATTTTGCTTGTAAACCATGAGCATTTGAGGTGGGGTAGGCAGGAATCCGTTAAAGAAGCATCTTTTTTTGTGATGTATACACAAAAAAGCTTTTAATATCAGTCAATAGCTATTAGTTATTGATGACATTTGGGACTTTAACGATATAACGTCAACATTTTAAAATTTTTGAGCAGCCCGCTCTTTCTGACTGTAAACAAAGCTGTTCTCCGCCTCCCCCATCCTGATTGGTTGTGAGGCAGACGCTGCTCTCTCATCTTGTGAGGCACACTCCAAGTCCTTGAATAACATTCACAAGCCCAAACAAAGTTAGCGTGCTACAACATCGGACAGTAGATACCAGCCAGGAAGTACAGAAAATTGTCTGAACCCTCCTTTGGCCACGACTGTCAAACACAAGCAAGAAAACAAAATAGATGACGGAGACTGCCAGATCTTACGAACCCCTGTAACCTTTCTGCCGGACAGATTAACTGTTTTAACAAAGTAAGCCAAGTGTCTGTAACAGAAGTGCTTCTTGTCAAACGAGACCTGCTGCTTGTTGTAGCGCCACTAAACTGTTTACCTCGTGTCCTGGACTATGTCACTTTATCCTAGTTTTAGAAGTCCTGCAAACATTGTGTTTGCTGGTACTCTGTTGGCCTCTACAGTAGCACCAATGCTTTTTACTTTCACGTTGACTGGGCCCATTTGTAATTATCTGAATTATTTATCTACATTATATCTGAATTTAATTGAAATGATACGAGCGAGCAGGAGCGATTGTTTGTGGGTGAGGCTTGCTGAAGCAGAGAGGGAGGGGAGAGGAGGAGCGGAGGGGAAAACTGGTTGGGAGGGGTAGAGTTTACATTCAAGATTTCTCCCAAAAACTGGCACCTTCTCAGATCCTGCCTACCCCACCTTTAAATTTTGATCTTGTAATGATCTTTTGTACATATTTGTGTTAGAAAGTTAGCATTGCCATTGTTACATCTTGAATATATTAGTGGCCTGAAGCTGTATCTATTGGTACTATCAGAGGAAAGTTCAGTAGAATTCAGTCTTTTGAAAACAAAATGTTTGTGAAGCCAAGTTATGGTTTTACATGAATGTCCTTTTTAAGTATGAGGAAATTATAAAATTCTGACTCCTGTGTACCTTAATCCTTTTGAGTGGCACACGGTGTCTGTGGAGCCTGGTCCTTTCAGTGAACTGCTGTTTCCTTACTGCTGTGTCACGTATAGCATGTCTGTGTTGTGTCGTCTGTCGGTGTCAGGTTCAGTCAGGGCAAGCTCATTAATCTGTTCGGCTGTAGAGCTACAGACTGACAAGGGAGAGAGACAAAGCCAGAGAGAGAGAGAGAGAAGAAAAAGAAGAAGAGGAGAAATGAAAGTAAAAAGGAACAAAGGAGGGATTTTGTAAACTGAAGGGTCAGCCAGGAGAAAGGGCGTGAAAAAGAGAAGAAACATGAAAGAGACAACAGATGAGAGAGTAAGAGAGAGTGGGAGAGTGGGAGACAGAGAAGAAGAAAGAACAAAAGTACACGCAGGGTAACATTTGCCTCCTATAGACTCCTGCAGATGCTGCTGAATGTAATGACATCACCACAGAGCAGCCAAATCTCCTGGCAGGTTCTCCTATCACTGCTGTTTCTGCACCACTAAAAGCTGACCCATCAAACTCCTGCAGGAAAATGTGCATCAGAAAAAAAAGCTATAAATATTTAGTCTTGTCACACACATTAGGAAAACCAACAGCGCAGCTCTCCCATTGGCACCATTTCAAAATCAGAACATGGAGGCACAAGCACCTACAGGACCAAATAACCCCCGTTTACAGCTGGCCGTAAATCCCACCTTAGATTATGAGGAATCCAATATGGAAATTATCATTCATGTCAAGTGCATTAATCATTCTGCAAAGGGTTTGCACTACTGGTAAGTAGTTAGTTATATACTGAATCGTCAGATGTCTTCTGATTTAAAATAATGGAAAAGATATGGACTTAAAGTTAACCATACTGATTCCTCTTTATATTACAACATTAAACTGTAGTAGCACAGATATTTCGATGCCCCTGCTTTCAATGGATCTATTACACAAGCTCTGGGTTTAGTGTATTTGGATATAAAGGTTTGAATCAGTCTCAGAACAGTCTGTCATTACATTATTCAAGAGGTGGGATATGTAATGACTAAAACAAGAGCTTCACATGGTGGGTGGGGTTAATAACATGACATCACTGGAGTTTAGATATCAGTTCCTAAGCCTACATCCTGCTGTCCTATTTTGAAAGCACACTGAGGCCTTTAGGGCTTTTCTCGCCATTTCCCTGCGTTGTGGATTAACATGTTATTAAGCAGGGCGCCTTCTCATCAGGAAGGCACATCTTGCATTGATTCCAGCGGGGCGGCACATAGCTGCCAGGGAGGATGATGAGCTGGAGCTCTGTCTAAAGCCCATCCTACTTTGAGTCTACATTAAGCCTTTACAGTAAAAAGGCATATATGAAAACAACATTTCCAGTCTGTGGATTATCACGGAAAGCTTTCTAATCTCAAGCTTCTGACCAAGGCTCATCAAGGAGAAATCCAGATTTATATGTCCAGGAAATATACATATATGCTGAATACTGGAGTTTTGAGGAAGGCTGACTTAGCGTGCATTACTGTTCAGTCAAAAGTGTTCACTTCAAAAGATACACACACCTGCCTCCTGCTGTTCCTCTCCCTGCTCTCCTCTCTCCACTTGTAGCTGCGTGATAGCTGGTACCCCTGTTGCACATTAATCCCTTGAATGTTAATAAGAGCAGAAACTCAATCCGGGCTGCTTATGATAAGGTGAGACTGTGACATGTTTGAGGGCGGCAAGTAGCCCAATATTGTTTAGTTTCGATCATCATGTTGTTGTGATCTTGGGGGACCATCATCCTGATGGAAATTGAAATATGATTAATCGTCCGACTCTAATTCTGTGTGACTGACTTTTGAAGGTCATGAAACAGTTCTTGTATGACCTTCTTGCCATTTAAATTTTGTTTGGTGTTAGTAGTAGCTTATGATAAAAGACAGCTTGGCCAATAGTCAGTGACTGCATGTAAAAGTAGACATGAGTGGGATATATCACTTTCATGAGTCATTTAACAGTAATTTGACATAAACCATGACACCATTGGCTACAGGGGCACACTTTTTTACATGTTATGGTTCTTAAAATGTTTCTGATACAGTTAATTTTGGCTGCTACTTCTGTAATGATGTTTCTAAAGGCATGGCTGCAAACCACCTTAGCTACTTTGTGTCATCTTATGAGGTGTTCATTTTCTCTCATGCAAAAAGGCAGAGAGGAGAAACTACTGAGAATTGTTACTTCTGATTTGATTTTGCTAATAAAAAGAGAAGCTCTATTTCAATTTTGGTTTGATTGAAAACCATTGCGGTTAATTGGAGGCCATAAATATTGACAGTTTCTCATCAGAGGTAAACTAGGATGACTGCGGACTGCTCACATTAATTGACCAGCTCATTTGATGCTTGTTTTATTAGCACAAGATTAGAGATAGACCGATTAATCAGCCAATTAATTATTTAGCTCAATTAATGACACAATCGACATCATATCAGCACTGGCCTGTCAAAGCCAATATCATATTAACATATTATCTCACTCCCAATGACAGAAAATCTAATCTAAAACAGTTACTAGCTGGTGTTTAATGTATATTGTTATGGTGTAGGATGGTAAAGCTTCATATTGCTTCTGACTATCAGCCATGTTTTGAAATCTATAGCATAAGCCAATGTGGTTCCCTTTTTCATCAGTTCATTACAATCTAAAACATCTTAAAGGCTGCTAGCAGTAACATATGAAGAACTTTATTATCCACAAAAGGAAATTCAACAGCACAACAGCACAAAATTCAATGGCACACCACACAAAATCGAAATATTTGTCTTGTCATGTCCCTTCAATGATTCAATGAACTGAAGGAGATTTTAGTCCAGTCTCGAGCTGCTCTGTTCTTAAATACTTTCAGAATCAATTATTCTTTTAGTGGTGAATGCTTGCAGTCCGACAGCGTTTCAGTTTGAACTAGTATAAAAAGTAGATGACAGGATTCAAGCATCAACATTGAGCATTCAAGCAAAGCGGTTTCAGCTGCCAAAACCCTCTCTGACAGCTAAAAATCATTGTGATAAATCAATGATGAGTGAAGCATTGTTGTAGTTCACTAAATTAGGATCATTTGAATATTTATCAGCCACAGGACTGAGCCAACCGTAGATATTTCAATGTTCCTCTGTCAGTCTTAAACCTCCAGCAATTTCTGGGTTGTTCCTCTGGACTAAAACAATGAATTATAAAAGACATTTGCACATTAGTATTTGGCTGTGGCCTGGTTTGGATAGATTTAAAAGATTAAACCTTTGGTCTAACTCTGAAGGAGGATGCTACCAAATAAAGCAGTTGTTATTGTTGTTGTTTTGGTGAAAAGGTTAAGGTAGCACTAACAGAGAAGCTGGGCCTTGCTTGTGTAAAAAAAAAACAAAATATGCTACAACCTCTATTTCATTTTTAGCAGCACACACCAGGAGGGAGACAATATGAGTGCAGGGAGACCACTTAGGAGACAAGAGCAATCTATTTCAATAATGCATTCAAGATGCACAACAAGAGGAGCTGCTCTAACTTCAGCATTTGGCTTCAAAGGAACAACACTGATTTCATTAGAGGACTACACAGTATCTGACTCAGTGCCAGGTGACTGAAACACTCCCTCTCATCTCTCCCGATCAATGCTATTCTATCATTCATCATGCCTTCGATCTTGGATATACATCTATGGTTCACGGTAGGAATATTAATCTAATGCTAACAGCAAACAGAATCTGCCTCTAAAATCGCTCTCGAATGGTTCAGTGTTAGTCAGACGATGAGCTGCGAGCTTTGCATTTCTCATGATAAACCTTGTTCCACTCAATGCTAACCCAATGAAATGTGTTAGTATGCAAGAGCGAGCTGCATCTTCTAGCTCAGGCTATGACTGTGCATTTTAATCACACAGCTTGCATATCCCTATAATAAACTCATTAAATTTCACTATTTGAACTAGTGTGCAGTGGGGTGTTTATTCTTCTCTTCTGCCTCATCTAATGAGATACTGCTGATTAACAGTGCAAGGCTGCAGCTGTTTACCCACAATCCATGAATGCATACTTTGAAGCTATCCAAAAACATCCTGCCAAACTACAAATGCACCAAAATATCAGCTCATTTGCAAGATTCTTGGATTAAAGTTGTTTCTCATTGAATAAAGTAAAGGTCATCTTTCACAGGATACTATTGCTGTGATTGTTTGGTTCACTGGCTCGGGCTGAATCTGAAGGAGAATAATAGGTTTTAGTTTTAATATGGGCTGTAACTTTAAAAGTTGTTTTGAAAGATACAGTTCAACTCGGAGGATCTCTAAAAGGGATATTCTGGCATAAAATTAAGTTTGGGTCAACATACACCGTAACACAGAGTTAGACACCCCCTCAAGAGATGAATGTTGCTGACTGCTTTCTTCTCTAGTTATACAAACTTTAGTAACGGCCGCATGATAGCAATACACAGCGGTCTACATCTTCACACACAAACCTCAACCAAAACGCCACTCTATAGCCACAAATAATGCTCAGAACAGCACCTAACTTCATCAACAGTACATATAGGGTCCCAGCCATAGCACTAACCAACAAACATCCTTTTAGCTTTGCCTGATCTCTTTAGCAAAAAGACTAAACACAACTCACCCACTCTCTTCCAGCAGCCGCTTGGGAAGCAGCCGGCATCTCTTGAGAAGGTGTCTAACTCAGTGTTACGGTGTGTTTGACCCTAAGATCCTATGATCCTAGATCCTCCCCTATGTTGTACTTACTCTCAGATCCACATCATTTGGACAAAATAGTCAGCTAAATGAAACAGTTCACTTTTGATTTTCAGCTGATTCTTGAGGAGACCTTAGCATGAAGTAACCAAAAAGTATTGTAGGAAGGGTTTAGTGATCATGCACCAGGTTGCAAACTCTTGTTATGAAAAGTAACTGCAGTTTTTTTGGCTGGCTCCAAAAACCGAAGACGCCATGTTTTGACAGCCTGGTCTCTAAACTAAACATGGACTGGTTGCTGGTTTCAAGAACTATGTGGTTTTAAAAGACTTTGGTTTTCAAAGTCCATAATACTTTCCTTCATACTGTTCCTCCACTGTGAATTGGGCTCTGTCAGCCCCATTACATCATTTGTATGAAGCCTGCCTTTAAATGGAAGTCATAAAGTCGTGTTGTGAAGTTGTGCAATAAAAAGTCTTGACTTGGCAGCATGGAAACCAAAAGATCAATTGTTCTCCTTCTTGCTTTCTTTGTAGAAATGCTAAAAGTCAATTATTTCTTTGTGCTCAAAGACCAAACAGAAGCACAAAGGACAAGTCTAAATGTTAACGATCTAGATTAACTCTCACCAGAGTTTATCATATAACCATCAGAGAGAGTCAGAAGAGCTCAGTTTGGGAACAATTCTTTGTGGGTCAATATTGAATTGACAGGATCAATACAGCATTATCTGAGTTCATATTTGGCAGTAGTGGTGTATGCATGTTTGCATTGGAGGAATTTTTTAGTGGTGAACAACACCAATGCTGCAGATTAATAACATCACCCTTTCTGGTCTTGTTTAACCTCTGGGATTGTTATTGTCTTTGTACTTCTGAAAAAATTCTACTAGAAGCATGAGAATTAATTCTAAATTGAGGCATTAAGAGATTTTATTGTGGCCTGCTTCTGTGAGAACACTGGAAATTATTCACGGATAATTGGTGCAGAAAGAATGCAGGAAATCAATGAACATGAGTCTTCCCCCTTGCTTCCAGGGTCATGAAGTAATCAGCGTCAGTGTCATCTGAGAGAAAGGCTCCAGGCACATGAGTGAAGAGGGTGTGGGTGTCTTATGAAGCTGTGGAAGCAAGTTAACTGAGTGGTCCTGAACCTCTGAACCCGTGTCTGTCCATGTCAGAAACCTGCTTTATCTCTGCCTCTGGATCATCCTCTCCCCTCTACTTTCACACTGCCAATCATTTCCGTTCATAGATAACTCTCTCAAAACAGTTGAGAATGCTGGCCCTGCTGATGAAAACAAGACAGTTGAATTACAAAAAGCAGATATTGTTTTTGACATTTTTTCACATAAGTTCAACTCTTAAGAAGTAACGAACATGTCCACTCTCCACATGGTCACATTTTGTTTGTATGTACAGTAGCTGCTCTTTATTCTGTCGGCTGAGTGTCTTTCTTCTGCTCTTGGTCAGACCAGCAGACTAACACAGACTAACTCTTCTAATTCACCAGTCGGTAAATACCAACATTTGGCCTAGTCCACTATGTGTCTAAAACGATGTCCATTCACTGGGCGGAATGATTTGAGCTTCACATGGGAAATGGTCGCATTGGAAGATGTGCAATATCAGATAAATGACCTGAGACACATCCTGGTGTCACCACATCCTCGCTGTTGGGTATTAATCTAAGATTAATATCGATCTGAAATCACTATAATGCAGCCTCTCACTTGAACACGTACAGAAGCTGACCACTCTGCAAAAACTCTCAGCATCTGTGTGTCGCATAACCGTAGAATGTACATGTGCATGCGAGATATCACGCTGCTACTATCAAACGCTTTGTCTCTGTTTCTCTATGCATGTTTCAAAGCTGCTGTCAGAGGGTTACATACGGTGAGATCTAAGTAGGAGGAGCATGATATTGTTACACCTCCATGTTTGATCAATTTAAACACTCTAGTTAAAGTCTTGACAGATTTGCAGCGCAAGTTGCACTGTCAGCTGTACTTTTCAGTAAATTATGGTATGGTACTGTGAGGTCCTTGTCAATGCCCAGCCTTACTCATGAAGGTCTGAAATGAGACTTCAACACAACAGCTGCAGTTCAAGGTGAAAGCTAATTGAGTTAAATGGAGAGTGTGACTGTTGTCAAGCCCCACAAGGGCCCTTTATTCTAGGCCACATCTCCAAGGCATGCTGAAAAGTACAGCAGCTTTCTGCTCCCGTTTTCAATCAGCCAACAATGCCGTCATTCTCCACCGAAGACATTACAAGGTCCTTCAGGAACATGAAAAATGGCATGTTCATCTGGGCTTATTAAGCTTTACAAACACTGAGTAAGACATAATTAAACTCTCCCCTATGAATGTCCTGTATACAATAGGTGTTCATGTAAGCTGATGATCCTATTCATGTTTTCATTCAGACCAGATGTGTTTTATCATGAGCCCCATACTGTCAAATAATGTGCATGTTTTATTATTTCTCGCAGTAAATTATACCATCAGAAAGCTATTCCCTCTCAACAGAAGCTCCTCTATGAATTCAAATATCTGTCAATGCTGTGTGCTTCCAGTTGCTGAGAGGGTGGGGTCAGCATTTCTTGACAGCTTTGGATCATGACTGGGCAAAAAGGCAGCTCATAAGTCAAGGAGGAGCAAGTGCAGACTGCAAACACAACTCATCAAAAAGCAGACCTGAAACTCTGAGGGCAGAAACTTAGTGTTTGGTTTGACATAAAACTGAAAATTAAGGTCCATTAGAACGCTTCTCTTATACTGTAATCATCTTAAAAAGGACACCCACTGCCATTTGACTGTACTCCCACACATCTTGTATTAAAAATCCATTAAGATGTCTTAAATTTTATGAAAAAGCATCCTTGTCTTTCCGCTTGTTGGTGTTATTATCCTGTGACAGACAGCGCCTAGACTGAAGTAAAATAACCATTTCATTTGTTTACCAAGCACTGCCACTTCAAGCAGTTAGACACAAAGGCTTTGCTTTTGCCGTCAGATCCTGGAAATGAACAGGTGGTGATGGTCTTTGTGTGCTGTCACCTGTAATTCAGCTGCAGTGGAATCCCTTTGAGTAACAAGCATCAAATGCAGCTCCAGCAGCTCAGGCGACCAGGTCAGACTCTCAATGATGCAGACGTAACAGGGGTGCACACACACACACACACACACACACACACACACACACACACACACACACACACACACACACACACACACACACACACACACACACACACACTCATACGCACTTGGATAAAAAGAGGGCACGGGCCACTAATCAGCTGCTCTCGGTCCTTGCACTTACAAAGAGTGTTTACTGACTTCTCACCTTGAATCATGTCAATATGACAATTGATATTTGAGACAACTCAAAGTGCAAGAAATTAAGAGAATATCTCTAACCAGTCTACAAGGATTTCACTGAGGGAATAACCATTCCACTGATCAACTGCTTTTTTTTTTACTGAGCACATAGAAACTCTACAGGTGAACCTTTCAGATAAATACAGGGTACTGATACACAGGACCCAAAAATTTAGAAAGACCCTCCCCAACACAATAGAAAATTTGAATGTACATCATCAATAAAATCTACCTCAGTGCTTTCCACACCGTTGGCACAACAAACCAAAGGCCCAGAAGGAAACACACAGAAGAATCAATGCCACTCTGCTTCTAGATTAACAACAAATAAAAACGAAAGACAGAGTCAAGCTCCAGAGGAAACAAACAACCACAACATGGGATACGTGAACACTTAATGCAGCTCCTAGTATTAGACCACAGACACTTGAGCCACTCATAAAAAATAAAAATTTTCTTTGAAGATTACTATTATCAGCATCGAGCTATAACAAAAGTTACACATTTAGGGACAGATATGAATCTTTGGTTTCATTTTTAGCACTGCTTCGCCTGTCTTAAATAATAAACATGGTAGTCTAACTCTGTTTCTGCTGCTGATCTCAACCAAACTCAATCAAAAAGCCAAAGCAGGTAGATGAAATCCTCATCGACCTTTAGTCATACTGCTTTAAACCTTCATGGTCTAAAGACAGTTGGCTCAGTTAAATGTTGGATATGACAGCAGATTAGAGCTGCTCTCTGAAAGTCAATGATTGGAATCACAAGCCAAGAAGACTCTCTGTGCTGTAACGCTGCAAAAGAGCAGATCAGGGGCAGAAACAGCAAAAAAGGGCAGTCAGCTTTAAAGACTTCGCTCCAAAACTTGCCTTTAGTGGCTATCATACATGATTTCTCATTTCCTTTTTAACCAGGGGCAAAGAAATCCATTTATTCTGTAACTAAAACTGGTAACAATGCTGAAAATAGAAGGTCAAGGGATAAATGAGTGCCTATCACATTTCAGTTTAGCTCAAACTGAAATGTTTTCTAGATATGGGAACATATGACTGATGTGAACTCAAGGTTTTTAGGGATGAGTGGAAGTTCACTTTTGCACTGAGATTGAATCCAGCTCCACTCATGCCTGCAAATACTTTATCTTGCAATGTTTTTCTTTTTTTTTCTTGTGACTGTGATGCACTGTTTACTTGTAAAGCTATTTTGCTGCAATAGATAGGAGATGAGACCTGAAAATTCCTGCTACTATGTTTGTGAAAGTGTGACTAATCTTGAGACAAAAGCAGAGGGCAACTCCTGCTGTTCCGTAAACACAACAACCTAAACCAGTTAGGGTATAGTAGGGCAACAACACAGGCTTCCCACAATGCTGAGTACCACCAGTAAGCATGGCGTTTGTTTACCTGCACAGTGGGAAAGAGGCTGTGACGTAATGACTGAAGGACATCCCTGCAGTGGTTTGTGCCTCACAGTATGACATGGTGAACAAGAACAACCCAAGGGGAAAATGCCACAGTGTATGGTGTTATCATCTAAATCAGGATGTGCAACTGTTAGCTTGCTTACTTGGTGCCCAGCTGTTTTTAAGTCAAGATTCATTAGGTGTTCAAGCTAGTGTTCACCTTTTTACAGATGTCCCTGCAGAATTTTCTTCCCACCAAAAACATAAATCAAAAAGGCTTATTAAAAGATTTAAAAAAAACACCACCTGCAGTATATTTTTGCATTTAAAAACTCAAGTTTCTTTGATGCTTCAGGATCTGTGAGACCAGCTTGAGATTACCGAAGCTCACAAGTTGACTGAAAGCCTTTCTCTGGTTCAATTTTTCAGTAAAAAGTGTCAACAGTTTAAAAGTAGTCAGCTGGAGGTGTCACTGTGTTCAAGCCTTTGCTTGCACGCGTCCTTGGAGACTCAAGAGCTAATTCAGTGCTGTGCTGACTTGAAAATCAGCAACCAATTACAAAAGCTTTGCATTTTAAGACTGATGTGATCAGAAGACTCTAATATGTCTCCAGCCATGCGTTGTCACAGAGTGGATCATAAATCCTTTTTAAAAACAGAGGTTCAAAAATGAAAACAATGTGACTCTTCATGGTTTGACCACAGGGTCAGTCTGAAGGGCAAACTGAGGGTATGGCTTTGGCTTTGTTACAGGATGGCAGGATATACCCACCCTCTATGGACTAATAGGAATCACTACAACATTAAGCCTTCCCTGATTATAGACCAAACCCACCGCGCCTCTGCCTTCCCAGAGATGCCCTCTTGGCCCTCTGCAAAATCGTTCATGATCAGATTATCCAGATTTGTTTCATAACTCATTCAAATCAATGCATGTATAAAGCTGCTCCAATGATAACAGCTGACAGCTTGGAGCTTTTGTTTTAATTTGTTATTTTCCATCTTCAGCTTTGAATTCAAAAACGTGCCAACCAGTAATCCTTGAATTTGCTATGCAATGCACACAACTCATGCAGTGATGATACACACAGGTAACGTCTCTGACGAAAGCAACATCTGCAGCCCACTGATGACAGACGTCTGGCCGTGATCACGCAGCGACAGTCAGATTTTTGAGACACTAAATAGAGTCTACCAGATCACACAGAGATTGGTCATCTGTGAACACAATTTGTAGAGGTGCAGAGACACAAGTTATAACCTAATGACCACCAAAATACGCGTCACGACCACGTCCTCCACAACAAGGTGAAGTGAGAGAAGGGACACGCTGGTCCCCACTGACCTGAATCGTGCAGGTGTACTCCGAGTCGTCCAGCAGCCTCACAGTGCAGTTGCATTCCCTGTCCAGACTCCTGATGCTGCTGCTCATCAGTCGGCTCAGCATCTTCTCGGTCGTCTATGTTCGGGACCGGGAGGTTGAACATGCAGACAAGTTTGATCCTGTGTCACGTTAACGACCCTGTTCTGTGGTCCAACACCTGGTCAGCGGCAGCAGCGTCAGTGAGGAAGAGCGGCGGCGGTGGTGGTGCATCGTTTTTCTCAGTGTGTCCCAAGGTACAACACGGTGCGTTTGTTGAGAGTCAGTGAGGAGTGGAAATAGTGCTGCTGCTGCTACTGCTCTCGCTCTGGTCCGGTCAGACTGTCACCCCTCACCACACCTTCTCCCCCCGTCTCCTTCCCGTTGCCATGCCGCTCTAATGCTGATGGGCGGGCTCTAAATGATGAGTGGCGGGTCCGTGAGCCAACCGGGCAGTGGCCAGGATGCTGCCTTCATCGAGCCAACGTCAGGGGCCGAAATTCCGATAGACCGGTGTTTGTGTCGATTTAAAGCACATGCCAGTGAATAAGTAATAAAAATAAAGTAAAAAATAAAGTATAAAAAGAAGAACAGGGATTTTATGCTGCAGTAAAAATTAAGAAATAGAGTGACCTTATTATTGACGCTCAACATTCCTCCTCATTTGTGAAATGAGAGTCGATTTAACCGACTAAAAATACATTAAACTTTAACGTAATCTTTTGTTTCCCAATGATCTCAAAAAGCACCCCTAGATATCCTCGAAAACTTACTGACACGTCCGGTCAGCAAGACCTACACTTCTTAACCGTATGACTGTCACAACTCGCCCTTTTAGTCTAACTACAATAATTCCGACAGAACTTGAAGGCAGCACCACATTTTTAAGTTAACCTCCACAGGTTGACTCTTCCGTTTCATTTCAGGCTGTCAATTATCGTAATGTCCCATAATGAGACACTTGGATCAAAATGCTTCTTATACCATGAAGACAGGGTAGGTTTGTCCGACGAAAAAAGATGGAGACTACCTCTGCAACATGAACAACAGCACAGAGCTGTAAAATATACAAAATAGATTTGAGCGAAACATGGAGGGGTCACGACGTAAAGGACAACCTCTCCTTGTTTTAAAGGAAAGTTGATAGAGAATTGTTTTTTTTCTGACTGGATACCAATTGAGGTATCTTTAAGTGGAGTTTAAATTTACCTGGTGACAGGAAACTGGCCTCCCGTTTCCGTGACTGTGACGCGCCCTCGTGGCGTTTTATTGCAAAAGCGAGCACATTTTGGAAATCCCTTCCCCTGAAATACATCTACTTTTCCCCTTTTTTGGAATGACTTGGTAAACTCAACTTTACCGACATTAAATAACTATTTATTGTCTCCCAAGCTATTTTCTCAAAATAGTCTAAACACTTCTGTCAAAATGAACCCGTCTGCCGTGACATTGTCCCACAATGCCGTGACCCGGATTCGAACCGGGGTTGCTGCGGCCACAACGCAGAGTACTAACCACTATACGATCACGGCGAGCTACGACGAGCTGCTGGTGTCCCAGCGCGGAAAACGCAGTGTGATGTGCAACTCTTTCCAGAGAGCTAGTTAGGGTACGTTGAATTTTAATGCTACTCGTTGAATTGTGTGGCCTGTGCACGTCTACAGGGATATGGGCATATTCGAAACTTAGACACTGACTTTTACAGTCGTGGCCAAGTAGCTTATGCAGAGTCAAACCTTGCTCTGGCAGCTAATTCTCTTTTAGGAACAAAGGCTGCGAAACCCCACACGGTTTATGCTGTGAGTTATCGTGATGTGAAGTCACTATCATTGTTCTCTTCAGTACTGACAAGAAATAAAGTTGTATTCGTCCAAGAGGCAAATTGTGACCGCTGATCGTCCAATACACTATGGCAGCTATCTACCATAGACTGTATACACTATGGACAACTTGGTGGGCTATAGTTCAGTAATTTCTTCAGATCCTCCTTTTTGACTCTCTCCATAGTAACTTGAAAAAAATATAAACATATATGAACATGTGTTTCCATTATAGACACACATACATGCCATAATATACAGATATATAATTAATTGTCCACAGACTTGTCTTTGTTTCAGCCATAGTAATGTTTTATTTCAAAGGCTTTGGGGTCCTTAAATGTTTTTATTTCTGATGGTAATTTATTCCAGATCTGTGGACCTTTGACTGAAAAGGAAGACTGGTCAAAAGCTGTCCTGCGCTTTGTGAGTTTACAGTCTCCACTGACTGCTCCTCTCGTAGAAACTTCTTTATATGAGTATTTTTCGATCATTTCACAAACTAGGTCTGGGGCAAAGCCATCCACACACCTAAAAACCAGTTTAAGAAATTTGAGATTTATGAAATTGTCAAAGCTCAACAAGCTGTAAAACTATGCAATGGTGCCATTTTATTGGCTTTTGTTGAGTGTTTTTAAGGTTTGTTTGTATAATGACAGCATAGGCTTCATAACAGATTGAGTGGCCTGGCCCCAGACAGTTGGACAATAGGAGAAGTGAGATAGAATTATGGAGTGCATGTATAACTGGGCAGCCTTGAATGGCAGACAAGGTCTTATAAGTCGGAAGCAGTTCAGATTAGTCTTGATGGTTTTGGATCCTTTTTTGATATGTCCTTCAAAGTTTAGCTGGGAATCAAAGATGATACCTAGATATTTAAACTCATTTACTATGCGGTTTTTGCCTTGTGGAAAAACACATAAAAAAACACAATTTTCACAATTCAAGGTTAAGAAGTTCTTTTTTAGCCACTGTGAAACCCCTGTCAAATGCCTATTTAAAGACTCTGCAGCCATTTTTTAGGTGTTTGATGTAATATGAATGTCTGCATCGTCAGCATACATCTGGCAGCAAAGATCTTTACAGCTGTTGGGCAGCTTATTGATATACATATAAAAGAGCAGTGGCCCCAGAATGGAGCCTTGTGGCATGCCCAGATTGCAGTTTTGAAAGGATGGTATTGAACTGTTTATTTTAACACATTGCTGTCGAGATTCCAGATAAGATTTAAACCAGCTGAGGGTATTCGTGGCAAAAATCTAGACTTTTGAGTTTATTTAAAAGTAAATCACAGTTTACAGTGTCAAAGACTTTTTTCAGATCTAAAAATATTACTCCAACAATTTTACCATTATCTAATTAAAGAGCAGGTTATCTAAAGTGGACCAGATGTTCCTTTTAAGTTCATTTAAGCTGGAAACTAAGAAAGTCTCTTGCTTAGGGAGGTAAACCGACAGAGGCATAGGGGGATATATGGACTGTGCTGGTGGGGTATAATACAGCTGGCATGTGAAGTAGATTTCGCATACTGAGAATGGTCTGTGTATCCATGATAATCTTTGTCTGCCCTCCAGCTCTTCTCTGGATAAAAAGCTGCCATGATAGAGGCCTTTTGTACCCTCTGTATGGACACACCCCTATCACCGATAAAAAAAAAGAATTCTCTAGTAGCGTTTTTACATTTCATCCATCCAAAGAAAATGAACAATTGAATCTGACAAAAGTGAACCCGTCTGCCGTGACATTGTCCCACAATGCCGTGACCCGGATTCGAACCGGGGTTGCTGCGGCCACAACGCAGAGTACTAACCACTATACGATCACGGCGAGCTACGACGAGCTGCTGGTGCACGGTGAGTCTAAACGTAGTGTGATTAACGCTCTTGACTCGGCGGTCCAGATGAACATATGGATATTGGCTTTTTTTCAGTTTGATGCTGAGCTCTTGTGTTTTTCTACCTGAAAACACAATTACACACATTTTGTAGGTTTAGAAAACTCCCACGTACTATTTCCACTTATTTGGATCTTCGTCTATGAGCGGTGGTTGACTGGAGCTGGGCAAACTCTCAAACATCAAGAGTCTCCATGTTTTATAGTGAAAGCAGAGCAAAGGATACTTTCCAAGACGTACAACTAATGATATGCTTAGTTTAAAAAGGCAGATTTTTTTCTTTTGTAATAGTAGCTCTACAGCGACATTCTCCGTGCAAAGCGACGAACTGCAACACGTGGGACGTCACCAGCACTCTCCTGATTGGCTTATTTTTTGCAGACGTAGCCACGTTTCCTGTTTTGCAACGTCAGTAAACGTGCGAGTTACCAAACCGAAGTTTTTGTGTGGTATCGCGCCGGGCTCCAGATTTTGTAAGTGCTTTCAGGAGCTTCTAAGGTGAGGTATTGTCTTCGGACCGTGCATCTTCTTTTTGATATGTTGCATGAAATTCATTGAACTTTGCATGTAGTTTTTTGCATTCAATGTTGAGAATTGTATGTGAAGGTTTGGTAATCTATGGGAGTCAGAAAGAAACACGGATTTTGAGTGGATTTGGACTCGAAACTTATCCTTAGGGTTGAGCGTCATTTCACGGGACATATTCTGAACATGGGACCTAATGTGACCTTACATATGCATACAGCTGCATCCAAGCACAACCTCGAGTCCAAACCTGTGAAGTGATAGAAACTGCTTTATAATCCATGTGTTCACAGGTTACCAGCATGGCTCATTCGTGTATCCACTGGTTCCGTAAGGGACTCAGGCTTCATGACAACCCAGCACTGATCGCAGCCTTGAAGGACTGTAAGGAGCTGTACCCTGTGTTCATCGTGGACCCTCACCTCTACAACAAGACCAGCGTGGGCATAAACCGCTGGAGGTTCCTCATGGGATCCCTCAAAGATCTGGACTGCAGCCTCAGGAAGCTCAACTCCAGGTAGAGAAAGTGAAAAGAAAAAAACAAAATCAGAATGTTGAAAAGAGTAAAATCATAATGGCTCTCAGGAAATTGTATGACTTAGGAAGGGTGAATAATAGTCATCATACTCATTTTCCTCATGTCTTTAACAGGCTTTTTGTTGTGGGGGGGAAGCCAGAGGATGTGTTTCCTGAGCTGTTTGACAAGTGGAAGATAACTAAGTTGACCTATGAGTATGATACAGAGCCCTACAGTCTGAGCCGCGATGAAACAGTGACCGCACTGGCCAAAAAGCTCAACGTGGATGTCATCTGCAAAATCTCACACACTCTTTACAACATAGAAAGGTATCACTCTATATGTCCACTTTATTTGCTAACAGTTTCACTTAAGTTCTGTTGTCACTCTTGAAACACGTGATTTGGGTGTTTTGTTGTTTGCAATGTCTTCACAGGGTGATACAGGAAAACAATGGAAAGACCCCCCTGACTTATGTTCGCATGCAGGCAATATTAAAGAGTATTGGTCCACCCAAAAGACCAATTCCTGCCCCATCTATGGAAGACATGAAAGGTACTAATTTGGTACTAAATGATGCAGAAAAATAGCCACTAAAGCTGCAAAGGCTCCAAATCAAACTTATTTAAACGTAGACTTTCTCTAAAGCTTTTGATAAAATAATCAAACAAGATATATCACTTCTCTTACAGATGCGAAGACCCCTCATTCAAAACAGGATGAGAAGCAGTACAGACTTCCTACACTAGAGGAGCTGGGTCATGACACCTCTGACCTCTTTGAAGAGAAATTCCCTGGAGGAGAACAGGAGGCTCTGAGGAGATTAGATGAACACATGCAAAGAACGGTATTTATCTCAAACAAGATACAGTAGGAACAGTTAGAAACAAGATACTGAAGTTTCCTCTTGATATTTTCTCAAACTGATCTGACAGAGGTGATTGTTTTTAGCCCAATGTCCAAACCTGCAAAGATACACGCATGTACAATATATGTTCCATCTCACTGATGTGATTTATCTTTTTGTTGGTGTTCTTTTTTATTTTGTCTTCAGGGATGGGTGTGCGCCTTTGAGAAGCCACAGACATCTCCAAACTCTCTGAGCCCCAGCACCACTGTCTTGAGTCCCTATGTGACGTTTGGCTGCCTGTCTGCTCGTACCTTTTGGTGGAGGCTGACAGAAGTTTATCAGGGGGTGAGTAACACTATCTCGAAACAATCTCTGTTGGTGCTGTACTAAATTATACAAGTCAGATGCTTTTTAACAACAGGATATGTGTTATAATGTGCATTGTCATTGTGTGGCCTTAGCTAAAACTTTGTTATGGTGTGACTTTGTCTGAGTGTTCCTGAATTGCTCTTGCAGAAAAAGCACTCGGACCCTCCAGTGTCTCTGCACGGTCAGCTCCTCTGGAGGGAGTTCTTCTACACAGCAAGTTTGGGAATCCCTAACTTCAACAAGATGGAGGGCAACTCTATATGTACCCAGGTGGATTGGGACACAAATCCAGAATATCTTGCTGCGTGGAGAGAGGTATTGTGGCATTAAAACGGTTTTAGATATTGACAAACAAAATTAGAAAAAAATGTGCTTTTGAAGGAAGAGTTTCAAAGGTCTCATCTGAGTTTCTCCGTCATTAATTTTTCCTCCTGTGTTCTTCCTGAAGGCCAGGACTGGTTTCCCCTTCATTGATGCCATCATGACTCAGCTGAGGCAGGAGGGCTGGATTCACCACCTGGCCAGACATGCTGTCGCCTGTTTTCTCACCAGGGGTGACCTGTACATCAACTGGGAAGAGGGGCAGAAGGTTAGCAAAAAAGCATCATGTTGGCTTCTCATTAGAATAAAAATAGGTATTAATCTCACCCGGGCCCAGGGTACATGATTGTATGTGCAGAGAAGCAAAAGCTTTGTTGACATTTTGGTTGAATAAGTGAAAGCATTTTCTGTTTAAACAGCACTAGACAGGGTTTTGATAACTTAAAAACAAGGAGTTGTCCACTGAGTCTGATGATTTATTATAAACATTTGCTTTTAAAGGTGTTTGAGGAGCTTTTGCTGGACGGCGACTGGGCTCTGAATGCTGGAAACTGGCAGTGGCTCTCAGCAAGCACCTTCTTCCACCAGTTCTTCAGAGTCTACTCCCCTGTCGCATTTGGGAAGAAGACAGACAAAAACGGAGATTATATCAAGTGAGATCTTACTGCTGAAAAGCTCAAATTATCAGGACTGTGTGTGCTCATTGTATATGTCCACAATACGTCTTCTCTACCTTTGCAGAAAGTACCTTCCTCTTCTTAAGAAGTTTCCAGCCGCATACATCTATGAGCCGTGGAAAGCTCCACGCAGTGTCCAGGAGGCAGCAGGATGCATCGTGGGTAAAGACTATCCCCGTCCTATTGTGGAGCATGAAGTGATCAGCAAGAAAAACATCCAGAGGATGAAAGCCGCTTATGCAAAGAGATCTGCAAAGGCTCCTGAATCACCCAGTAAAAAGCAAGGTATACAAAAAGAAAAGAAGTGCAGTATTTCCTCTGATGTTAGACGTGTGCAAAAAATTCCTTCACCACATTATTTTCTATGTTTTCTTTTAGGAGTGAAACGCAAGCAGCCATCTGTTTCCGACATGCTGAAGAAGAAGGATAAGAAGAAGAAGTAATGTCTGCACAAAGTAATGTGAATCTTTAATAGGAAAATACGGGTTGTTCTTTAATAATATTGTATTTTTATGAGGAGCCAAAGTGATATTTACTGTACAGGAAGGCAGTGAACTACAGTTTATTTTTTTATGCAATGTTCATTCAAGTTCTCTATACTGTTTTTCAACTACTTTTATTGTTATATTTGGTATTGTATCCATTTTTCATGTCTGACAGTGTGTGTCTGAGTGCACAAGGTTGAGTCGAGAGTACACTTGTAGATAACTCTTGTGCAGAATTGTTAAAGAGTCAAATAGATGAAAACATTTTAAAAGGTTAAATAAAAGTCTAGTAGTTTTACTTTGTTTGAATGTCGAGGTTTCAATTGAGATTGAGTGTGTGTGTGTGTGTGTGTGCGTGCTTTGCATTTAAACATTTGTTGTTTTTGTTAAGCGCCAAAAATCTTCTGTCTCTATTTTTACTTTCAATATTTGACTTTACAGGTGTTTTTCTTTTCAATAATAATAAAACTTAATATTTCCAGAAATACACACGTGCTGTGATGTTTTTAGAGCACAATTCTTAAGTGTTGAATTACAGAGTACATGGGGGAACATGATGTCTCTTCTGAAGATTTTTGCTTTCTTAGTAGTGAAACAGGAACTTTAAACAGCTCATATGATTCTTCTAGATATAACTGTGACTACTGATTTTCTGAACTGAGGAGGTTGTGAATCATGGATAGAGAGAGAGGGTAATAAGGTGCTTGAAATCAGAAGTAATATAGACAATCTAGATATGCAATCATACGTTTCATATTGAAGAACTCACGTTAATGTGTGTGTGTTAATCTACTTTGTCAATCTGCTGTAATCCTGCTTTTTGTCTGACACCCTTCACATGCCTGCTTCTTGGACTGATGATAAGAGAAGAGTCAAAACCGAAGCGATCTCAGTGGTACTGTGGAGGCCTCACATTCACCACTAGAGGGCACTATCATTCTAACTACAATTCTACCAAAAAGGGAAACATCACTTTGTTATCCACTAATATGTAAAGATAATTAAACTATCACACATTTTATACTGGAATTTCAACAGCATATAAAACCTTGCAATCATCAAACTGAGTAAAATGTAAATTTGAGCATTTTCCAATGTCAGATATTTAATATCTGAGTATTGATTTTCAATGTATTCCCTTTTAAATGTTTTTCTCACAATAGCACTGGATACAGAGCAACTGTAACTTTCTGCCTCAGTATGAGAAGCTCTCCCATAAAAGTACAGATAAAACAAAAATCCCATTTTTTAAATCTGTCTTTTAATTCAGAAAATTTCGTATTTCTTTTTAGCCGTGGACTGCATTATTATCACTGTCTTAATTATTTTATTATATTATTTATCTACTTTCTTTAGTATCTTTATTATCTTTACACTTTTATTGATTTTAATTCATTATCACCTGTCAGTTTGTTTGTGAAGCACTTTGGGCTGCATGTTTATATGCATTAAAAGCACAATATAGAGTTGAGATAAGTTTTAATTTCCTTAGTGCGTTTTTTCATCTATTTTTGAAACAAAATGCCTCCTTGACGATTGAATCCACTGCGGAAAAAAAGCCAAATTTATCCCATGCCTGGTGTGGCCTTCAGCGCCTGTTAATTCAGAAGTATAAGCTGAGACCGTTCATCAGTATAGGACAACATATTGTATATTTACAGTCAGAGAAGCTGATAGGCTGAGGGTAAATGTGAGCAGTGCCGTGTCACATAAAGTGTGTGACAGTGTGTGGGCTGCACAGCTGTCTTTGGAGGTCAGGTCTTCTCCTGTTTCTGCTTCCTTGGAGCTGACACTGGTGTGAATTTCCAGAAGATGATGTCACAACCTCCCCAGCGGGCCAGACGGCTGTACAAAGCCAAGCTCAGTTTCCACAGAGACCTGTCAAACATCAAAACACTCTGCAGTCCAACTGTGCATGTGTGAGGGAGGCTGTTTGGGGGTACACTTGGCAGTGGGCCCACCTCTCAGTGAACTCCCTGAAGAAAACAGGTCAGACTTCATTTCTTCAGATAACAGATATGACATCTTTGATGATTATTACCATCTCATTATAAAACAGAGGTTTCAAAGTTTTAGTTCCAGTTTGTGTTTTAAAACTTTTGTCCTAGAAAATGTAGGTTAGCTCAGCCCCAGCCTCTTAAAGAGTCATAAATCTGTTACCAATAATCTCAATAATAATGGCCTCCAACCTGTTGTACACTGATGTGACCCCCTTGCTGTCCCCCAGTGTCAGCACTTCATCATTCACGCCGTCTTTGATCTGCTTCTGTAGTATCCAAGTTGGATTTGAACAGCATGTTCCCCGTGCGGCTGGTGTTTCATGTAGCTTTGATAGTTGTGATTTATCCCAGGAGTTTACTTTCTTCGCAGGCAGCGACATCAAACACTTAATTCACACTCTCAATAAAATCAAGTCTGTCAAACCGAGGACTGAAGAAGACCAGGCTGGTGTGTTATTAAGCACCAGCTCTTTAGTTTCTTCTAGTTGTGATAACAATTGGGCTGTTTAAAGTTTCTCAGAAGCATCTTCGAGAAGAAATATACTTCTAATGTGAATGTAACTGATTTTGCCAAAAGAACCGAGTCAGAGGGGATACTTAATATCGGCCAGCCGTCCCTCCTGTGGGACAGAAGCTTGCTTCAGAAGACATGTAACAAGGTCAACAGTGGACCTTCATGTGGTCTATTCTTACTCAAAGCTTAAATGTTGGTAAACAGACAGTTAGCAGAGAAGAAAAGGCTGTTTTTTTCAGAACTAATAGCTTCCATCTATTACAAAAAAATGTTGCAATCGTATGATCAGAGAGAAAAATTATATTCTCTTTGGCTGACATTACGCAGGAGTCAGAGGTGTGGGGATTTTCTGGAGGCTGAAGGCAGGTGTCCTCTAAATGCTGGCTGCAAAGGCAATATTGTTTTCTCTTTTAACTGTGATGAGATTATAATTTAGAGACAAGAGGCAGTGGTATGTGAAAGGTTCATGATGAAAGTTCAATATTTACTGGACACCTGGAGCTGGTGAATACTTGCAACAGTGAAACTGAGGGTGGACAGTCGTCCAACTTGTATCAGACCTTTCAGTCTGTCCACCAGCACACACTCACGTCTTTGCACGTCCTGAAAAACCCCCACACCTGCTGACCTGGACTTATCCATTAGCACTCCAGTTCTAATGATTGGTAATAGCAGTTCACATGTACAATTATGTTTGCAAAAGCAGATAATTGCATCAACAAAGCCGGAGGTAGTGATCTCAGTGAGCATCATCTGCCCACCCCATAAATCTGCCACACTAAGCCACAACAGTATTTAGACAAGTGCTATACATAGCCAAGCATGAGGCAATGGGCATGCAATGTTGAAATCATAACCCCAACAGACCCCAGATGAATTCAGCTATTGTTTGTAATTGCTGAATTAAAAAGTGATTAGTGATCGCTGTGTATAACCTTTTAAACTGTATGGGAACACAACTTCATGGAAAAGCTCATTTAGAGGCCTGTTAAATGAGAAAATCAGGTTATGAATCTTGGCTCTCAATTGGTCTTCTTCTTATGCAGCCAGTCTCTTCTTGATTTGTCCTACTGTTAACAACTCTGCACCTGTTTACGTAACTTCAAACATGTGGTTCAGTATGAGGAAAGCCCTTCAAACACAAAGAGTCACCCGACAGAGTCACTCAGCCTCTGCAGTGTTTCCTCACTCTGTTGTGCTTTGATCCCTGTGCACACCCCCGCCCTGAGAGTCCAGACCAGGCTGAGGCCCCCCACACACAAGAGTGACGACCAGCCTCACACTCACACTTAAACACACACACACTCAACACTCTGCAGCCCATACATGTCCATCACTGCTGTGCTCATGTATATGTGTGAAGTGTGTTGTATGGGAATCATGGCTGGAATCTGCTCTGAAATGTTACACTGCATGACCAATTCCAAGATGTCAAAGGTCACTCATTGTTAAGTCTGTCATTTTTTTAAAAGACATTTTAAATGTTGTGGGTTTGTTTAAGTTTTCTTTCTCTTTTTTTAAGTTATATATGTGGGTTCAGATAAAACAGCTAAAGAGAGAAAGGAAATGTGGGGAGTAGAGATCGTGGGAAGCTGTAGAGCAGAGGTTGTAACCAGGAATCAAACTGCAACAAGGGCTAAAGCTTCGGTTTTTAAGGAGCGTACATGGCTGTTGGCCATTGGTGCCCGAAATTCTCTCTCTTAAAAAAACATAAGTCCGCGGGAAAAAAAGTAAAATTTGGGAGTTGAAATAATTAAAGAATCTAAACAGAGAGGTCAGAGATAGTTCTCATATGAAGCTAGAAGATCGTCTTTAGTATTACCAGTGCCACCTACAATCAGTCCACAGACAAGTAGGCAAGGAGGAAAGTTTGCAATTTGTTCACAGTGAAATAAAAATAAAAATCACAATCGTTTATGACACATCCTATAGGCTAATTTGGATTTTTTTTTCAGTTTACAGGTTAATTTGTTTTTTTAAAGAATCAAACACCTGTATGACTCATTTCTGACTAAATTCATTCAACAAGCCTTGGTGCAGGTCACTACTATCTGCGTGAGAAAGAGTGAAAGAAAGCGTGTGTGTGTGTGTGTGTGTGTGTGTGTGTGTGTGTGTGTGTGTGTGTGTGTGTGTGTGTGTGTGTGTGTGTGTGTGTGTGTGTGCTCTTGTAAAGATAAGAGCACATAGCTCTTTGGCAGTCAGCAGGATCTGCCTATATAAGGCTGTTCTATTCCTATTGCTTTTCCTCTGAGGATCCGACGCAATTGTCGCTCAATAGACAATGCATGCCACAGAGCCTGGTCGCCTTCAACGCTATAGATACTTGTAACTATCTAAAGCAAAAGATAGCATTTCTGTCCTGTTTCTGTTAGGTTTGCTTGATCGCTTTAGCAACAAGCTATAAACTGATGTCATTGTAGCTCCCCCTCTGTGGAAAGTGACCCTGTGACTGGATGACGGAGAGAATGTGATACTCATATGAATGGACTTCAAGTGAAGGCATCGCTCCCCTTACTGACTGCTTTAAATGAGTCTCAAAAACAGAAGATAAAAACTTTGAGAAGAAGAGCAGCCAACTATGAGCACACAAGTGTTTCCTCTCTTCTCTCAGTCTGTGTTTTCCACTGGGAGCAGACGAGAAAAACCCTCGCCCTGATTTATTTAATCCTCTCCTCCTATTCGGGGAACTACCAAACAGAATGACCTTGAATTTCAGCAGGACTTCATGTAGATTTCCTGTCCAGAATGATATTTCTTGTTTCTGTGCAGATCCGTACTACATGGCTTCAGTTTTTCATATCTGGTGTATGTTTTTTTGTTAAATGGTCCAAAGGCAACTTTTGGAAAGTGTGATGTGCTCTTGTGCCTATTTGCAGGCCAACTATAAATAGTCCAGCAGCCTACGCATGCTCATGTTTGATTGGAAATTGTGAGAGCCTTAAGTCAGTGCCTCGGGGTATCAGTCAAGGGAGGGAGAGGACCTGTGGACGGTGAGTTCACTGTTGAGAATAGACTGTTGTTAAAGTCAATATTAAGCATGAAAGTGTAAAAATCCGGGGACTTTTTTTACAGCATCTCCCACTGATGTTTGTGCTGAAACTGAAAAATAACACCTGTTCTTTTATTTTGTCAAAGTAAATTTTTTTTGTTATGTAACTTGTTGTGTTCTGTCCAAAGTTACTCATGTTCATGGTTGTCTCTTTTCTTTTTTTAGTGTTTCTCACTTGTCAGGACAGACAACAAGCAGCACAAACTTCTTTTTTTTTCTCCTGGAAAACGTTTTCTTCTGGACTATTTCTTTATCTGGTGGGAAATGGGCTCACGGAGAATAACAACACACGGCTCTTTTGGCAATGGAAGATCGAGTAGTGGGGAGGAAAACGGTGTTAACAGCCGGCCTGGTAGCTGCAGCTACCTCTCCAACGTGAGGCCAGAGAACAGGTATACTGTCAGCATCACTGCACTGTGCTCCTTCTTGTTGAAGTATCCATCAAACAGTATAGTTTGTATGGGGGAGTATCATGTCATTTGTAACTTATTCTGCAGCACATATGTTGTTGTAGTTGTGAAAGTAGTTTGGATGTTACGTACTTATATGTTGCCATGGTGACTGACTAGAGTTTCAGCAAACTGTTGATTAAGAACCGCGTCTCTATTATGCAACAGGGGTCTTGTTTTGCATCATGCATTACACAAACAACAGCTTCTGCATGGAAAGATTTTTGCAACCAGCCAAAGGAGTTGACCTCAAGGTTCAGCTCTATAAAGATTCCTCTCTTCAGAGTTGAGGCCCTTTTCAAAGATCGTCTGGAGTGATAGCAATGGTTTGTTGTCAGGCAGACGCAGAGTGGCTTTCATAACATATGGGCTTCTGTTCATTCTCTATAACTCTCAGATTGTTTAACATTTTTGGAGAATTTGTAACATTATTATCTTCTAAAAATAAAAAGAAAAACTGATTTTTAGCTTTATGTATCTCTGTAGGAGTAATAACAGTTTTCCAACAGCTGATAGCAATGCAGACTGTTTCAGAGCAGGTCAACTGGATGCCAATATAAGATTTAATTACTGCTTTTTGCATCTGCTGAAATATCACATTTTATTGTCACAACAGCAATTATTCTATGCACATTACAATAGAATATACATAATTAGCTTAGACAGAAACGTGTTTTAGACCGACCCCTGAAACTCCATGACATATTTATGTCAGAGGCAAGGCTTTACATCTATCCTGTTTATTTTAAAATTGATCAGCTCGACCACTTCATCGGTCTGTCTTTAATCTCAGTGAAGATAAGGTTATCAAAATCGCATGAATGCAATATGCTGTTAGAATTAATTTTGACAAATTTATGGTCGTTTTTTTCATATATTCGCAACAAGAGAGGAACAGTGAGTGTCACAGAGTTTTAAAAAGGAAATGACAGCACACTCATTATTATGCTGCGAGTCATACAGCTCACTGTTGAAGGGGGATTGATTGAGTGGTAAGTGTTCAGTGTTGCTCAATCATTTGTTACATGCAATGAGATGTAAATGTCTCCTTTAGCTGTGAACTGGCTCATCACTGAGCAGGACGTCATCAGCAGACATGGATCATTTGCACATCATATGTGCAAACACCATGCTCTTATATGCATGCAAGCCCACATCACTTTGTGTTATTTGATGCTCATGTATAAATGTGCGTGATGTCTGGGTGTGATGTGTTCTTCACATTTCCACATGCTATATGGTTCACTTCTCTTGACCCATTCATTATCTTTATTGAGACAGTAATTTTTATAATTAATGTCATATGTGATGATTATATTGTCAATGAACATACAAAATAACTCCATAGCTATAAAAGTTAAGGATTGTGAGTCACAGGTTTTTTTTCTTTCTCATGTGGTATGTCAAAAAAGTCATTTTTGTGATCCTTGTAAAATATGTTAAACATCTAGTCATCTCTGCTGAGCTTCCTCAAAACCTTTGAATAACAAGTTTGATGGTTTTACTTCAGAGGATTATTTCACGTTTGGTAAACCACAATAAAGAAAGATATCTGAAATCTGGTGATGGCTATGAACTTTATTTAATATACAATAGAACATTTTAAAGCCTTCTTTTAACCTTCATGAATTCAAAGCTTCATATCTTGCTTCTGGTTACTGCTCAGCACCAGTAAACAATAATACCTTTACAACTGGGCTGACCAGCTCTGTTTTCTTCACAGGAGTACACTCTGCAGTGTGATAGCCCAGTTAACAGAGGAAACACAGCCTTTCTTTGAAATTACCCTCAAGTCCAGAGCTGTGTCTGAAAACTGCAATGTGAAGTTCTCCTGTGTGGTTACAGGTAAACATTGCTTCACTGTTTTCACTGTTATTCACACTTTCTAGAATTTTTTTTTTTACATCATTACTGTAAAATTAGAGCAATTAAAAAATAACCTTTATTGCAGTGTGAATGCAAAAATAATGACATCTTGGTACTCTGCAAGGCATGTACAATACATCTATTTTTACCTTACTTCAACAGAAATTGTCGACTTTCTTGTGGTTGACAACATTTTTGCTTTTCCTTTAGGACACCCAACTCCTCAAGTTATTTGGTATAAGGATGATATGCAGTTAGACAGATACTGTGGGCTGCCGAAATATGAAGTATTCCGCAATGGACAAAGCCATTCCCTGCACATCTACAAGTATGTATGTTTGGAAATGATCATTTAAAATGTTATTGTAACTGTTCAAATAAAGTCGACTTTTTCCCTTATACAATGGCATGTAAAAGGCACTCCAATGGTTGCATTGTTGTGTATTGTTTCTAATAAAAAGTTATTAACATGAAAATAGTTCAGCAACATATTAGCAACACCTGATTTAATCAATTAGACTGAGAGAATCTTAATGAAGACAATTAAAGTGGGTTTTTCTTTGCAGTTGTACACCAGATGATGCAGCAATCTACCAGGCTTCAGCCAGCAACAGTAAAGGCATCGTGGCCTGTTCTGGAGTTCTCGAAGTGGGTGAGATGAACGAGTACAAGATCCACCAGCGCTACTTTGGCAAGCTCAAACAAAAGGCTGAGAACAAACGCAGAGAAACAGAGGGTAAAGAAAACCAGGAACCATTTCGAACCATCAGTCCAGACCGCACACAGAGAAAGAGGCGATCCACAATGGACGCCTTTCTCAGCGCACCAAGCTCCACTGAAGATGAGAACGATGAGGTAAAACCTCAGGTAGTAGCTGTGGAGACAGAAGCAAGGTTACAGGAGACAGCTGTGGAGGAAGTGGAGGAGAAACCCGTCCCCATTATCAATGGAGAGGTCTCTGCTGTAACAAATGGACATGCTGTCAGTGAAAACATTAACAAGAGTGGGACATACATTTTGGACTCTGTCCAGAAGATCTTTACTGCACAAAAACCCAAAACTCCCTTTGTCAAGAAGAAGCTTAAAATTTCCAGCAATGCCAAAGTTGCAAAATCAGATGCCCCAGGACAGAGAACAAATGAGGAGAAAAGGGCCATGACACCTGGAGTTGTGTCCCCTAAAGAACCAGTGCAGCCTGGAAGAAATTCAGAAGAGGTTATGGAAGTAGAGGACACCGCATCTTCATCAGTCAGCTCAAACTATAGAAAGGTTAAGGTACAACCTCAAAAATCTGAAAAAGTGGAAGTACTCCCTACTGAAAGGCCTTCAAAGAATAAAAGTGTAACCTTGCCCTCACAAAAAGAGCCGCTCACCTCTCCAAGAGCTACTGCTTCTACTTCTACAACTTCTACTCATACTTCACCTGCAGTTCTGTCCCCCAAAGAGCCAGTGCAGCCTGGAGCAAATTCAGAGGAGGTTATGGAAGTAGAGGACACTGCATCTTCATCAGTCAGCTCAAGCCATAGAAAGGTTAAGGTACAACCTCAAAAATCTGAAAAAATGGAAGTACTCCCTCCTGAAAGGCCTTCAAAGAACAAAAGCGTAACCTTGCCTTCACATAAAGAGCGGCCCACCTCTCCAAGATCTCTCCAAGACCGTGCTTCTACTTCAACTACTTCAACTACTTCAACTACTTCTACTCGTACTTCACCAGGAATTATAAAGAGGCTAGCTGCAAAGCACGAGGACAGTGGTAGCAAAGAAAAGGAGAAAAAGTTGGAAATGCAGAAGATAACTCCACATTTTAATGCAGCACAGTTGCAGCAAAAAGCTGCAGAAGCAAAACAACAAAGCAGGAGAAAAATTAAAGAGGACGTTTCTAAAACAGAACAAGTTTCAATCATGGATGTCGATGAGAAGTCAAATCCTAAAACTGGAAGATCTATACCACACACAGGCATTCAGTCAAAGAATTCACCAAGTGAAAACTCGACTGTTTCACCTCAGCGTCCATGTGAACAGGCTGCTGATCAGCTGTCTGGGACGGAAACAAGCCCCCGCCAAAAAAATGTTTCTGTGTCTGGGCCAGCGCTGCTGAGTGAGGTGGGTGAGGTTTGTCGCATGAGCTCATAAGTGCTTTGTGCTGCCAACACAGGCCTCATAAGTAACACAACCATCCCACAGCTATTAATAGCTTCTACAAGTATGCCCTGCTGTGTGACAAGAATTAAATGACGCACATGTTGACAGATGAAACAGGTATACTAACGCAATGAATCTGATACCGTCTCAGAGTTAGCCTTCCCAGAAATTTGGAATTGTTCTTACACAGTCTATGTTTTTAGCATATGGAAAAACATATTACTTCCGTAGCAGCAGATTTATATTTATGTAAACATGCTTATTTATGCCAAGAGTTAGATAAGAGAAATGATACCTCTTTTGAGTCTGTCTAATTCTCGTAGGGACGGTTAGCTTAGCTTAGTCAGACTGGACATATGACGAATAAGCAAACCTGTTTTTATGAGACTGTAAATTTTCACGCTTTAATTTTTGACAAATTAAACAGCTGAGATATGACGAAGAAGTTATTATGTGAAAGGGCAAGCAAGCTATTCTCTTTTGTTTCCCTGACCAGAGTAAGCTAGCAGCAGCTGAACGTTAGCTTAAAGCAGATACGCTGTAGCAGTGCTAACAGAGCTAATACCATGTGCTGAGCCTCTGATTGTGACTCAGTTATACTGCATTGTACAAATAACTAACCATTTCTATTAGCAGAATACACTTCAAGGATTTCACGAATGTTCATTAAGAAACTTAAAATGCACTTGTTCTCCTGTTTGGATCACGAACCTTTGTTGTCTACTGCGTTTGCAATCATCCAGTCTCCATCTGCAGGGTCAAACTCTTACAACACTGAGTGCTGAGAGAAAGCACTGATCAGCTGAAGCACCTCTTAAAATGATTCACATTCCTTTCTGACTACATTTACATGTGACCAGCTGAGAGTTAGGAGCCACAAGTTGGGCCCTAACTAGTGGCTCCTATGGGCTCTTAAGGAGTTTGCAGCTCATGGATAAAATATGGGGCCGGGCTATTTAAGGCATTTAGGCAATAAAATCCCCTCTTAAACTCACAGATAGCAGGTGAAAGGTACCAAATGCTCAATGTTGACAGCCTGGCAGCAGCATTTCCAGTTAATAGCATTCTTTGGATGTTGTGCTTGCTGATAACAAAAGACAGTGCATTACAGTAGTTAAGTCTAGGAGGAATAAATGCATAGATTACTATATTTTAGGAGACAGAAACAGCCTGATTTGAGTTCATAGTCTTAAATGAGCCATGCATTTTTAAGTCTTTTTTGCAGTTACAATTTCAGTGAGATGGAGGCTGAATAAAGACAGTGATCTTTGAACTTTATACATGGCTTGAATCCAGATCTATCTGTGATAAAGCGACATATGACACAGGGAACCCTCATGCTAATTTAAAAGGTGTTTCAGCTGAGTGCTGGACTTTACAGGGAGTTAATGCTTACACACATGCTTGCACGGCCCTGACCTATAGAAAGAGCAGTATAACATACTCATGTTCCACCAAATCACACCCCAAATACTCAGCCATTCAGTTTTATAAGGATTGCAAAGCAGGTACTTAAACTTTGGCCAACAGGATAGATTGTTCTTAAAGGTGATGTATTTGGGCCATCGTAGAATTTAGATATTTTCTTCTTTAAATTAAGAAGCTACTTGAGATATTTCTAAACAGGTTCTCAGTCATGGTGATAAAGTTTAATTAAAAAAAAAAATACAGCTTGTCTTGGATGAAGATGCCTTGCCTCTCATTTGGAAGCTGAAAAACTTCCTATTTTTTAGATTAAACTTTAAATTACCAAAGGAGTCTTACAAGATTTTCCAATCCGTCAACATGAAAAGAAACTCTTTTTTCAATCATTTTAACCTTTTCTGCTGACATTTATGTGAAAATTGATGATAGAACAGGCAAAGGGAAGATTTCCATCATTTGCTTTTCTTCTGTTCATAAATGTCTTTTTGCTTGGAGGTCTTTTCACTCTGTTCTCTGTTTGTTGTTGGATACGCTGTTGCTGTTTTTAAAATTACATGTGTTTATCCATGTTCTGCATAGCCAGGGATGAGTATTTACAGCATGGAAAACCTCTGATGTGTTATGTCCCAAGGTTACACAGGCCCATACAACGATGAACAGGAATGACGCACCTGTCATCCTTGAGCTCCCACTCAAACCGTGCACAATGGACGTACGATCGCCACAAAAGACTCCATCTGTAAAAGAGACGACAACAACGAATGACATCCAGACCCATTCTTTGCAAAGTGTTCCTCAAGCAGCCGCGGACAAAATGGCACAGGACACACAGGATCATAGCAGGGGATCAAATATAAGCCATACGGTGGTTTATACAGACCTACGGAAGTCATCCCTCCAAAGCTCTGGTCATGCCAAGAACTCCCCAGGGTGTAATGTTCCTCCCAGCGCCAACCAAAGCCAAGATGATACAGCCATAAAAACTGCTGAAGGCACAGAAGCACAAGTTGTTGAGAAGGTAGAGAGGATTGAGAGGGCAGAGAGTGATGAGTTTGGGAGGACATTAGCGCAGCCTGACAGCTGGGCACCAAAGGAGAGAGAGGCTGAAATGGAGACTGAAACTGCTGCTCCAAGCCTGACTGAACAAGCAGGAACAGAAGAACTCCCAGAGGCCTCATATCCACAAACTGAAGCTGTCGTTGTGAATGCAGCTGATAGAGAAAGAGAGAAGAATACAAAAGTAATAGAAAAAATAGAGAAAGGTCCTCCAAAAATAAACAGTCTGAGCTCAAATATGAGTGAGCCAGCTGTGCCGCTCCAAACAAAAACTCAAGAAATTACAGACACGTGCCAACCACCGATTCAAAAATTCCAAGAAGTTAAAAAACCTGCAACAACGGTCATATCTATAGCTGAACTTCTGAGAGCACAAATCAAAGCTCTTGAGTCTACACTCGAGAATTCATTGAACATTTTACCGTTCCACGCTGACCATGTGCAAGATGAACTTGCTACGGACTCACAAAAGGAGTTAAAAGATGGAAACACCAAACTAGGAGACAGAAAGTCACTGCTTGCAAGAGGGACAGAGTCGTACTTTGCTCCTCTCAGAAACATAAAGGAAACCTTGATGGAAGTTTATTATCAGCTCAATGGAACAGATCAGGAGCTAATTACAGCTCAGGTTGAAACCTCACCACCTGTTAAAAAAGCGATGGTAATCCCAACTATGTCTGGTGAAGAAACTGGCACTACTTTAGAGACTGCAGGACTTCATGGTGGCGCCAAGGAATATATTGAATGTGTGATGGATATTCGCCCAGAAACTAAAGCATCAGCCGTGGCTCCTCCGAAACATTCCCCTGATGTTTCCCTTTCTGGAGGTGAGAGTGTTCATGTACCTCCTTCACCTTCTAAGGAAGATTTGATTTGTAGTCCGATTTCAAAAGTTTCTGGGAGTGTCACACGAGAAGCTGAGACTCCACTTGCGGTGACACCTATAAAAGCTGAGAGTGAAGGGTCAAATATTACTGTTTTGGAGCATGCTAAAGATGAACCTGTCCCCAGCAAAGGCATAGAAGTTGCACAAAGGTTAACTCCAGAGATTAAACACAGCAGCAAAAGTGAAAGCAGCAGAAGTGAAAGCAGCGTTGGTGAAACGAATTCTGACACACCTTTAGATCAAGACAAAGTGGAAGACCACAGCCTAAAAAATGTCTCTTTGTCCAGTTTCGTAAAGTTACCCAATGAAAATATGCTTGGCACAAATGCTCAAGAGGATAAAATTCAACCTATTCCTCAAGATAAGGAGTCCCCAAAGACTGACTCCCCAGCCAGTCCAACTCCTGAAGCCAGTCCTTCACTAAGGAGAAGAAACTGTGTTTCTCCTATTCCATCCGCCACGCCACAAGAGCTAGCTTCTGGAGCCAGACGCAAAATCATCATACCCAAGGCCAAGGCTGAGGAGGCTGCGAACCCCACATCACCAACTGATAATCAGTTTCCTAAGAAGGAGGTTTCCACACAAAGCAACAGGCTGTCTCCGAGTCCTGTGACCCTTTCTACGTCTCCAAGCCTCTCAAGACGCTCACCTCTGCAGCAGCCGCAAAGTGAGCCAACCTCTCCAACCTCTCCAACTGATAATCAGTTTCCTAAGAAAGAAGTTTCCACACAAAGCAACAGGCTGTCTTCGAGTCCTGTGACCCTTTCTACATCTCCAAGCCTCTCAAGACGTTCACCTCTGCTGCAGCCGCCAAGTGAGCCAACCTCTCCTGCAGAAAAGCACTCTCCACTCTTCAGCAGGAGGAAGATGGCACCCGAGGCGCCAACACCTAGCCAGCAGCCCAGTCAGGAGATTCCAACTCCCAAAACTGAGGGGAAGCCTGCAGAGAAGGACAAGCGAGACCCATTCAAAGGTAAAATAAGAAAACGCTGACCTAAGCAAATGTTATGCACCGGCTAGACCAAAATGTTTGAGCTAGAAATGATCCACAACATCAAGTCTGTTTGAATTTAGAATTACAGACACATGGTTTTTGATCATTAAGCCTCTGGAAACCAGAACCTTAGCCTGTCAAACTCTTGAAAAGCCCTCTCAAGTCCTCTTGCTTCTCTCTTGCCCCTGCCTCTTAACATGTTGACAGACAATGTTCCCCACATGTAGATTTTAATTGGGAGTGCCATCCGGGTATATTTATGACCTTCCAAGCAGATTTGCCGAGCATTACACTTCTTAAACCTGTGTATGATCGCCATCTGAGAGTGATTAACCAGCGTGTGATCTGCACTCATTCTGCTGTGTATGATCAGAGGGAGACAGACTCAATGACCTTCCTTAAATGCAGTGATTTTAGTGCCACATCTCAGGTTGATATTAAGCTCGGTGATGTTTTCATTGTTTTGCTGGGCTGCCAGCCTTTTAGTTTTGCCTCATCATCAGAATAAATCTCCCAGGGCTCAGTTGAGCACTTGCACCAGTTTGGCTCAGCTGGCCGCGCTGACACCTGTGTACAGGAGCTAAAGTCCTTGTTGCACTGGATCGATTCCACGTCCTGGCATCAGGATTTGGTGCATGTCATCACCCTCCCAATGGTACTAGTTTGTCCATCCTGTGCCAAGATGGCAGCCTCCATGAAAGGGTACCCACCTCTACATAGATATTAAAGGCAGATTTCAAGTTAACCAAAATTGAGTTTGATATCTAGCGGGCTATACAAAAATTCAAACAAATGATAAATATTTCATTCCATTTCCACTAAGTGTGTCCCGCTAAATGCAACTAATTTCAACACACTGCACCTTTAATTCTCTGTCATTTAAAAAATGGAAGAAGACAACATTTCTCCTCTTTCCTTGTGATTAAAATTCATTTATACCAGGATCTAGTCTGAACTTTGGTGCAAAATTCACAGAGAGCATGTCTGAGTGTTTTCTTAGAAGTTTTCTTACAGGGAACCAGTCTTTTAAATAAAGCAGCTTTAGGAACTGGTCAGAGCTGCTGTGAATCTTCTGCACTGATGTTTTAACTCTCCTCCCTGTCTCCATCTATGCATATAGCATAAGTCCTATTTCATTTCACTTAATGCCATTGTAGCACGTTAGTCTTTGTTGTCCACCGTAGACAGTTTTTTATACTAAATACGGAAATTCAATCTTTTTACACAGATGGTTTGAGTGTGATATGTAATGATTAAATGCTCAGTGGTGATTAAAAAAACAACAGGCCACAGCAGTGTGTTAAGATATGCAGATTTATTTCTAAAGAATTTACAAAGTAATTAGTTGGACTTATTTTGAATGTTTGGGTTGTTTCAGCGTACACATCACTATATCCCGAAATTCCCTTCGTTGAAGTCAATCAGAATGTGTCCCTGCAGAAGATCATACTAAAAGAAGTACTGTAACAATTGACAGTGGTACACAAATCATAAAATCTTTTGTTGTTGTGAACTACTTATACCATGTCTGCATACTGCGCAGTGTATTCAGTGTCCAAATGTTAAATTGGCAATTGAGTTTAGCTATTAAGAGGCAATAGTTTCTTAATGTATAATGATATACAATTATGTTTTGTATTAAATGGACACTTTGGTGGATTTTTGGCTACAAAGGAGCCAATAAAGTATATTTCAGACTGTAAGTTAAATATTTAAGTGGCTTGATTATGCACATCTTAAACATGTTGTCTGTGTTGGGTCTCCTGCTTCTCCTTCAGCTCCTCAAGTTATCCGTAAGATCCGGGTAGAAACCTTTGCGGACACCTCTGGACACTTGAAGCTGTGGTGCCAGTTTTTTAACGTTCTTGGTGAATCCACCATCAAATGGTACCGAAATGAAGTGGAGATTGCTCAGATTAAAAGAAAGTAAGTACCTAGAGTGATCTGGTAGAAGATCTGTTTGATTCTTTTTCACATTTCTTCACAAACTCCAAAAAAAAGGGCACGTTTTGGTTACTTTTTTGTGTGTGTTTTAGTGCAGGGGATGAAACTCAGGTCAACCTTGCCGTTGTTCAGGCATCATGCAAAGACTCTGGTGTTTATGGATGTTCAATCACAAATGAATATGGGACTGACTCATCAGACTATCTTCTCAGTGCAGATTGTAAGTATTTTCCTTTCTCCGACACAAGGATCATGTTGTTTACCTGTATATCACCGAGCTTCAACAATCTCACAGTTTTTTGCTTGTTTGTTCCAGTTATGGCCGGACTGTCTATACGCGAAGACCTTGGTGGTAAGATAACATTTCATGTGTTCTGTCTCCTTATTGCTCCTGCTTTAGAGCCGATCAAATGCTTCACTGACTACAACTCCCATACTTTTGTGTGCAGTTGGAGAGGAAATCGAAATGACTCCCATGATATTCAGCAGAGGAGTGGCTGACTCTGGTGGTTGGGGTAACAAATTCTTTGGCCGTATAATGATGCAGGAATCTCGTATTGGTGATGGATGTTCACACAAAGTCTGGAGGGCAAAGGTCATCTATGGTCTGGAGCCTGTGTTTGAGTCTGGCAACACATGTATCATTAAAGTATGCAATCCTATCACCTATGGAGGCAAAGGAGAGAGCTCCCTCACTGACAGGAACCTGGACGTTGTCAAGCAGGTGCGTCAGACAAGCTTGAGTTTGTTTTGATGTGCCTCTTCTTAAATTTGCATATATTATAATATCACAGAGAAACTGAGCATTAAAATGGGATAGTACGAAGTAAGCAGGCATCATCCTGTCATCCATGTGGGATTACTGTGGTATTAATCCAGTGAAGATTGGAAATATATGTATATACCTGCGTAGGTAGAGCTTATCTCTTCTGAATATTTTCCAATGTTTTGCACACAGGAGTGTAAGATTCAGAACTTGGCTCGTGAGTACTGCAAGATCTTCACAGCAGAGGCAAGGGTGATTGAACACTTTGGTCCCTGTCTTGAGTGAGTACGATCAGTATCCTTCTGTGTTCAATTGACAGTACAAAAGTTATCAAGCATCCCTGAAGGTGATTCACATCATGTCAATCTTTGTTTTACAGAGTGAACCCAGTCTACTTGATGTATCGTCCAGCAAACACTGTCCCGTATGCCACAGTGGAGACTGATCTGACTGGAGACTACCAGAAGTACTCTACCCTGGATCATACAGGCAAACTCCACATGAAGACAGGCTCTGAGATGGAGCGCAAGTGCTGTACCCTGCAGCACTGGATCTACCAGTGGACCAGTGGAAATCTGCTGCTCACTCGGCTGGAGGGTGAGTCAAACTAGAATTTAACAGCAAAATGTAAACAATAGCAAAGTGAATTTGAAGTAGTTAGGAAGGCTCAAATCATTTTCATACATTAACTTTTATTTGGTCAAATATGGTTTACAATTAGAAAATGTGTGAGAATAAAATGTTTGCTGACCTAATGAAGTTTTTACCTTTTCAATCTTGATCTTGAGGTCATAACTCAAAAAATTTCAGTGCTATAAATACTCATCTAAGGCAAAAAAATAAGGTTTGGAAAAGTAAGTAAGTAGGCTATTCTAGTTATCAATGGATGAGAGGCAGGGTGCACTCTGGACAGGTTTCCAATCTATAGTAAAAAACAACCATTCACGCTCACTCCTACTTTCATTCATGGTGCAGAATTTACAACATTAGCGTTATTTTATTAGCAGTCTTATAGATTCAGACAATGACAGCAGCATCAGTCAGGATCATCAGTTAAGTGGACTTATTGCAGGCCTGAGACAGACACAGATATAAGATCCTTCTTCTCTCAATGTCAGAAAACCAGTGTTTTTATTTCTGCACAAAAGGATAGACAATACCAGGCCCATTTTTTCCAGAACTCAACAATAATTACAGAGACACTCCCAACGAAATCACCCACTATTGCTTTAAATCTCTGTGGCCCCATGCAAAAGAGGGCAGCAGGCCTCTTCCTTAACTGAACAGGCAACGGTTTTGTTTAAGTCTTGGCCAAACTTCAGTTCCTCGTATACAGACATGACTCAGAAAGTTTAACTTGAACAAAGAAAAACAAGACAGATTCTGTGACTAGCAATGGACTTAAGTCAGACAAGCGTAACTGTTCAGATCTTCACAAAGTGTGGTCAAGTGAAGCTCAAAAGCACACTTGCATTTACCTCATGAGGCTATCAGTGGCTCCAACTAATGCAATTTTCAAACTCAGCCTTTTGATAAATAAGGGCATGCATTTTCTTAACGATTCCATAAAACTGTATAACAAACATGCTTTGTACAGCTGAATAATGCTCATACAATTTTTATTCTTTTTGCCATCAAAGACTCAAAGTGGAGATAATTCGCATTTCATTTCTTTCACTTTTGCATTTTTCTGAACTAAAGAAAAAAGTAACGTCATGGTGTCATTTTGCAGGCGTGGACTGGAAGATCACCGGTGTTGGAATTTCAGTCAAATCAACAGGGTTAGTATATTTGTATTGTGTTGATCCAGTCAGTTCAACATGTAATTTACATTCATATTGATCAGGAGTGGACCAACTGTTTTTTTTTTTTTGTGTGCGTGCGTGTGTGTGTTTGTGTGTGTGTGTGTGTGTGTGTGTGTGTGTGTGTGTGTGTGTAACTGCAGGCATCTGGGTCTTTCTATTGAAGGGAATCCCAAAGTTTTTGAGCAGTTCATTTCACAGCATCAGTGTAACTACTTCTGTGGTCTACTTGGCTTGAGGTCACTAAAGGTCATGGACTCTTTGTTGACACCAACAAAACCTAAAGGCTCCAGAAGTCCATTACTACAACGCAAAACAGCTGCCGGCTCCTCCAGTCCTCAGACCGCCCGAAAAGCCACTGGCAGCCCCAGGATGCCAAGGAAGACCGAACAAGAGGGTAGAAGCACCCCAACCCAGCAAAAAGCCACTGAGGTCCCTAAAGTTGCTCAAATGGAGTAGAGTTATTGCACAAATGACATGAAAGATTACAGATTTTCTCAGAGAAGTAGAATCTGATCTGATAAATCTGATTAATGCTATTGCTTATCTCCAAGTAAAGTCATGAAGTGATTCAGTGTTTTTAATAAATCAGCTGAAGGGAAAAAAGCCCAGGAGAAACTGGGAGAAAGACAGAAGGTTGGTTTAGAGACGTATAAGCCATTCAGAGATTAATAAATGATTTGCCTTTTTGGATTTGAACAGCCACCATTCCTTGCCATAATCACTTGCTGTGTATTGCTGCCCTCACATGTTGTGGTGATTATGTGTTTTACATTCAGCAATCTTAGAGTTAAGATAACGGTGTAGTAGTGAGTAGTGCCTTTCCTGGGTTTGTATTCTATCAATCCATGTACCATTGCAGGTCACAGGTTGTGAATCCTAATCTCAGGTCAGTGTATTTTTCCTCAGTGAACGTGCAATAGAAAATATTTTAAACTGAAGTGGCATTACATGTAGGCTATGTGTCAAGTGAAGTAAACCATGACATGACTGCAGAGTAAGTCCCGCAGGTACAGCACTTTCTGAAGAGGAAAAAAAAAAAACCTTTTATGTTCCAAGCCAAATGTAGCGTCACGTGACACTGTTGTACAGTGGCTTATATGGTGCTGTGCTTTTATTTTGTAACCTGTCATGTTTACTTGCTACTTTACATTGCACTGCATTTTTAGATACTGCACCTTTGCCTGACCGCTGGCTGTAAAGTAAAAGATAAGATCTCACCATGAGTGTTTGGAGATGCTGTGAAAGTGCATGACATTTGCTTTTTAAAACTCTGTCATTCTTAATAGTTATTAGCATATCACAGGGTGGACTGAATCACTGTAATGAAAGCCCTCTCACTCAGTCTAAGTGATATCAGCACTCACTTATTATCATATATAACAGCAGGAAAGAGAAGTAACCCCGGTTATCTCTGTCACTCTTGTTATCTGACGGGATTCACATATCTTCCTGTCATCATACCGACATGCACACATTATTTATAGAGTTTTCTAAGGCCACCTGTGTCTATGTGTATCCAGTTCAATAAGATGGTCAAACACTGGTCTTTATGGTAGCTGTCTTTCCAAATAGAAAAAAAAATATTGTTATTGTGCTAAAAATAGGCATATGGCGATACCATGAGCTCACAGTCGTGGTCCTTCAGTGGGCCAACATCGTTCAATAGAGGATAGACAAAGAGGAAGTAGCAGACTGCTAACAAGCTACCAGTAACATCCCAGCGTTAACAGATGATTAGACACTTTTAAAGACTGACTTTACAAGATTTATTGTGAATCCAAAAACAAGGAGAAAGCTGATACCTCTTCAGATTATGAATCAGTTGAATATTTGTACTTTCTTACTGTTCTGTAATTTACAATCTAAACTTCAAAATAAAAGCATGGTTTGACCATGTGGGAAATAAGGCAAGTACTAAAACAAATCATAAATGTGAACATCATTTGAAATGGATCAGGACATGCAAGCTAATCAGGTGTAAAAGTTAAGATAATGAAGGAATATGTTGGTCCTTGCATTTCTTCAGTTTGATGGGTATTGTTGTTTTATTTTCAACTTTCCATGAATATCTGAATAATAACTTTGCTGTGTTACTTCATGACAAACAACCAACAAATGAATTTATGTAATGGATAAACCGTCTACGATATCGCAGGTTGGTCGAGTCCACAGTAGTATAGACTTTTGTGGATTTGAAGCAGATACTTACAGTTTACTGACTTTTTTTGTTCGTGTTTGTTATATTTTCTCTCACTGTCAGCTTCAAATCTCTCAGTCCAGCACAGGACACTGCCAAACAGACAATAAATCACCTTTTTCAAATCAAATAACCAGTTACAATTGAATTCTAAGAAAAATGCATAAGAAAAGTTCTCGAGGGAGATGGGGCTTGTAAGCTATACTGCAGCCAGTCAGTAGGGGGAGCTCTAAATATTGCTGTTAACTTGTATAACCCAGTGTCTGGTTTAGTTTTTTGAATTGTTTTGGTAAAGTTATATTCTATTCATGGCCGTGAACAGAACAGAAAAATCTTCATTTTATAAAAAAGATGTTAAACTGAAATACTTTTATGGGGGACATAAGACCAAAAAGTGGACCAGCTGACATTATTCATCCTTAAAGGTTTGCAGTCCATCACACAGCTCTCATGTTATTTCTCACAAAACACACAAATATCAACTTCACAGTGTCTACATTTAATCAGTCAGTGCCCATGCACACTTGTGTTCTGCTGTGGCAGAAGCGGAAAATTAGATTTAATTTATAGTAAATGCGCCACAATTTTTATCCCTTAATATTTTTGGCCTATCTACTATCTATAGACAACCCTGATGACCAGTGTAAAGACTTATTTCAGTCATAGCATGCTGAACAGCTGTCACACTTGGGGGCAAATCATTTTTCCCATTAGAGACAGAAGTGTTGCCTGCAACTAGTGTGTGTTTAAAGGCTAAAAGGCTAGCTTCATCAAGATAATCATTTGTGATTTCCAGTCATTAGTGAGTCATCATTTATGTAAGCCGTGGCCTCACGCACAAGTGTGAACAGTTGAAGCTAAATGAGTGCTTAACAAAAAAAAAGAAAAAAAATTTCACATCTGATGTTGTCAAGTGGCATGAGAGGGTTGAAGGTTGTTAACAGAAACAAGAGATGACAGACTCAAGTGTTAATAAGCTTAATACACACCACCATGTTTTCAATTCTACTGTCCTGGCAGCAGGACAAAAAAGGCAAGCTGCTGTTTAAATAAATTTATTTTGACATAATATTTTCTTTCATGTGCTAACCAAACCTTTAAAAAGGGAGGAGACACATTTTAGAGATGCCTTACGCTTGGAATACATACATTATATTATCCAAATATATACAATTAGGCCTTTGCATGAAATGTACTCTAAAAGTTAGTATCCAGACTTGCAGATGAATACCAGCATGAACAGTAAAATGTGACTCATGTTCTATGATGAACAACTGATTGGTTCTCATCACTACATGTTTCCACAATTTGTCTGCATATGGTGGAGCCCACAGGACTGCAATCATCGCTCTCCTCAGAAGAAGTAAGTGGATATTTGGACAAGCTACAGTGTGTTACCTTGACGATAGCTTGCATGTTTAACAGACTGAGTGTAATGTGGTTCAGGTACAACAACAAAACGGACATATCATGACACAAACTAGACACTCCTGCCACCTACTGTTAGTTGATTCACTACACCATTGGTGTCAGTGTGCTGTTCTTTTACATGCACATATTTAACCAAACTCTATAGGGTGAATATGTGTCTTATCAGGCAAAGTAGCTCATCTCAGTCGATGCTAAAACCACTCCTGTTACAGCTTTATTCTTTGCTGAACTGCTATTGGAACCAAACACTTAGACTGTGGCAGGCAAACTTTAAACAGGCAGAGATGAAACAGCACTACAACAAAACTGGTCCGACAGTTTCATCTTAAATAAATATGTTACTCACTACATACTGTGTTAATTATGCATTCAAAGGTAATTTAACTATCACAATAAAAATCTACTTTTACTTGATTCATTTAAAACCAAACCATTTTCTATTTGTTTGAGTGCTCAGTATCTTTTTTTTTTCAATCGAAAAATGATATTTGAAAGACAGGAAGGAAGACCCATCCCTTCTTCTCAAAGAGAAGGGCGAAAATTACAGAGTGAAGATGCACAGGCACAGCTCTTCCTGCAGCAGCGAGCAGCTTTGATGGAATGCTGTCAGAGGGACTGGATAACTCACAGTAATCTCAGCATTAATGCCCATGATAAGACGCAGTAAATTAAAGAACCGGTGATCCTCATACGAACACATTTCGTCAGTATATTTAGGACTGTAATAATTTTCAAATCTAAAAGGGCACATTAACCAAATTGGCTGCATTTCCTCCAACATTCAAGCTCATTATACTGTAACATGTAAAAACATTCACACACATGTAAAAACACTAATTTGCATTTATTCTGACAATTTGGATGGATAACAATAGAAGTGAAAGCAGAAAAAATGTATTCCAAACATGACTCAGGTTATTCTGGGATATATCATATAGGACAATTTGTCCACAGTCAGCCAGGTGATATTTGTGCAAAATCAGATGCACAATGTGACTGAACAGCCAGTAATATCTCACTGAATCAAAAAATGAATGAAAACCACAAAAGGCAAGTGTGGCATCTGAAGCCCTCTCTCACAAGGCTGTTTCTGACCTCACATTGTTGCACCTGACTGACCTCAATTACCATCAGCAGGCTAGGATCGTTGTGGCCATGTAGGGAGATTGTATGAAAAGGATCACACGTCCCTAAATGCCACAGACTAGATGGCATTTGCACAAAGTTTTATCTCAGCCCACCAAAAGTCGTGAGCTCCCAGTGGTCGCTGTGCCACCACTTAGTCGACTGTCAGCGCAGAGTTGATCTACCTTATCGCAGAGAGCTTTCGCTGACTATTAAATAATGACATCCTGATGCATATCTCACATTATTTTCTCTCAGGGTCAAACTCAAAGGCTAAATCTGAATAAAATCAGGATTTTCTATTTTTGTGTGCGCATGCATGTGCTCAGGGTGTAGCACTGTGCAGCAGAGCTGTACTGCCCCACTTTCAATGCAGAAGAGGAAAAGGAAGTAAGAACTCAAGATGAATATGCAACAGCAGACAGAGCAGCTAAAAGACAGTCTGCTCATTCATCTAATGAGTAGATGTCCCAACAGTCTGGAGCGTCACCTGGCACCAATTTACATTTATTGGACAGGCTTGAGGGACAAACTTTGACAGTGGCCTCATTATTTTCTTTATTAGAGTAACACTGAGTAAAAGTGGTGAGAAGAGGAAATGTACTACTCACAGAAACTGACCTTGTGTGTCAAAAGAGGAAGTCTGCACTGGAAATGAAGCTTGAGGTTGTGCATTCATCATAACATCTCTTTTTAGCCTCACTATCAGAACATGAAATCATGATAAATCATCTAAAGCAGTCAAATAATTTTGCACGACAGAGTTACACTCAAAATGTTGATCCTCAAAGACCCAAGACATCCAGTAAGTTAAATACTGTTCCTACAAGAAAATACAAAAACAGTCAATCGATGAAATCCAAAATCTGTTTGAGGTGAAGACTAGCAAAGAGGTGTATAAACATTTACAAACAACGAAAGTCTAAGTGCATTAAGATGTTTACTTCAACACAGATATGAACATGTACAGAATAAAGTTGTGTTTCAAAATGGATGATCATTATAACCAAAAACAATTTGATTTATTGGATTGTCAGGTTGGGTCACCTGCAACGAAATTCAATGCCAGGAATAGTATTAGTGATATTATTAATGTTTTGTCACACACCAACAGCTGTGTTTTGGGGAGTAAAAAAATACATGAAAAGGAAAATATACATTTACTTCATTAATAATCTTATATGATGCACTAACCAACCATGATAATATTTCTGTCATAAATTATACTTTCAGGAAGCTTCTAAAGGTTCTGTTTTTGTTGACATGATCAGACAGATATCAGATTTTATTTTGTAGTGGGTGATGGTAGGGGTATGCCAAAGTGTGATTTATTGAAATGCGTTTCTTATATTTTTCCACCACTCTGACAAACATGAGGGGAGCAAAATATAAGCAGCACCAATACAAAAATTACAGTCTGACTACAACCACCAAGACTGAAAACAGAAGCTTTGTAAAAAATAGTGTACAGTAAAGCTGCTGTATTAGGCTGCATTAAGTTGCGAGGTGTTTGTGATGTTACAGCTGGTCGTTGTAGGTATGTTGATAATTACGGTGGCCGAGAACCGCCACTGCTGAAAATAAAAAAAGAATGCAAATAAAAAAAGGAACAGTGCAGATAAAAAAGCCACAACGGAAATTAACGACACACACACAAAAAAAAATAAAAGGGTGCGAAAAAAAACAACAACAACAAAAAAGCCACAAGGGAAGTGAGCTGCTGGGTACCAATAATGATGTTTTTTTTTCATCTGCACTGTGTCTTTTTTTAATTGCAGCAGGCTTCGGTTTCCTTTTTCTTTTGCATCGATAACTGCCTTCGTGACTTCTTTTTTTTTCTGCATTCTTTTTTTATTTGCAGCAGTGGCGGTTCTCGGCCACCGTAGGTAACGATTAAAAAAAGTAAAAAACCTGGTGACACGTTTGTTTTAAGCTCTCAGTCGGTTGGTTTTGGAAAGCCCCTCCGCTCTCTCTCTCTCTCTCTCTCTCTCTCTCTCTCGTATCCTGAACTGACACCTCAACACAGCGCTGATACGTGGGCGGGACTTCCGGTTGAGCTCACCCGGAAGATTCGGATGCAAGTTTCACCGCTCGATTGTGCATCCATATGCTCGTTACTTTGAACGTTTTAATGTGATTCGGGAGCTTTTTCTAACCGTTAGTATTTGCAAAAATGTTATCTTTAGACTTTCTCGACGATGTTCGTCGCATGAATAAGCGGCAGGTATGTACCGGAACTCGTGTTTGGTGTGATGTTATGACCGCCTCTTTGTATGGCAGACAGACCGCAGAGAGCTAACCTCAACTAGCCGATCACCGACTTTGAACGACGCAGTCTATCTCTTACTTTGTACCAAAGCTAAAGCTTGGACTCGTTTCAGCGCTTGTACCTTTCATTTTGTCCTGTCTTTATCTAAATGCACTAAAGGCAAATATAAACCTCGGTTAAAGAACAAAATGTACTTCGGTTTTAGCTAGCAATGTGTCATTTTTGACCACACTTACATAAATGAAAATACAAATATGTTTACTAGTTAAAAACTGTTATCTCAAACATGTGATGAAGCTATTCAGGACTACTCGTTCCACCTCGTCCTGAGTCAGCCCTTATGTTTTATACACACACACTTGGTGTATTGAAGGTCTGTTTTTGCCGGTGTGTTGTCAATATTCTTCTTTCTTTTTGCAGCTTTATTACCAGGTTCTGAACTTTGGTATGATTGTTTCCTCTGCCCTGATGATCTGGAAAGGACTGATGGTTGTCACTGGCAGTGAGAGTCCAATTGTTGTTGTTCTCAGGTAAGTCCCATGTGTTGGATTTGAGCGTCCCCTTCTGCCTGACTGTGTGGCCTCTGTAGATAAGACTCAAACTTAAAGGATTTAATCCTCATATGTGCTGATTGAGTTTGGCTGTGGGGTCATTTGTTTGTTTACTTTTTAAATCACATCTCAGAAATATTAACCCACTCAGATATGATGGAGAAAGGTGATGTCTCTAATTTTATAACACTAACTGAATATTTTTCAGCTCAAAAAATGACATGTACAATTGATTATATGTCCTGTGTAGTTTTTAGTACTCCCTCCACCTCCTTAAAGCTGATCAGACCTCAGTCTGATGAACTAAGGATCAGTTTGACTTCAAGTCAGGATTTTTCTGAAAGACACAGACAATCAAATTTGTGTAAATTTGTGTAATTTGTGTACCGGTAACAGATCACATGTCCACCTCAGTTTGGCTAACAAAGTTGGTTTACAATCACAAACAAACAAATCCTGCTATGAATCAAAGTAAGTTCATGTGTCTTGAGGATGCCGTAATACCTTCATAGCACATCTCTGTTAAGTAAAAGCTGTATGCTCTGTGTGACCTCACAAGAATTAGCTTCCCTTTTATTTAAAGGCATCTCTCTGAACTTTGAACTTGTCATTTGACATCTGTGATTTTTCTTATAAAACCGTTAAACCTGCAGCAGTTATTTGGGGGAAAGTCAAATAAATGTTTTATTTCTCACATTAAACTTGGTGTGTGCTCTGGTCCCTTGGCTGAAAATAAACTGTGGTAATTTTATCAAGAGCAGAGAGTATGCTAAAGTGAGCCACCGTCACTCCAAATAACTTTAAACTGTTGGCCCTCTAAAAATGATATAAGATGATACAAGTCACGTTTTCATCATGTTGTTTTTACCATCATAACTCTAGCTACAACAGGAATCTTCTGCACATAGATATGCATGAAATACATTTTTTTTGGCAACACAAGCCTGCATCTGTACATAATGTATTAAAAATAATATTTTGTTTAGGTATATGATAGTCATAATGTATGCAAAACGAGCTGTTGATCTGCTCTTAATCTGTTATTTCCGTTATATTGAACAAGATTAGACTGTGCTGTCAAAATAATTTCATAGTTAATAATTCAGTGTTGTGTGGTTTACTCTGCCAGATAATATTAAGTCTTCCTACACTGAAATATGTAAAGGCACCTATGATGTCAGATTCAGTTTTCATAAAAGCAAGCAGTATGGTGCCAACAGGTATCAATGTTTGTGGATTTCCTGTTGAAATTAAGTGTTTTGGTCCTTATCCAAGTGTTTTACTGTGTATTGGATGTGTCAACAGTCTGTATTGGTAGCTATTCATGGTTTTGCGTCAATTACAGCCTGAGAACAGTGAAGTTTTTCATTTTATTTTTTATTTTTAGCACAAAGACCTAGCCTGTGTCTCAGTGTGATCAAGATTACATAATACTTCGCAAAAGAATGGAACAATTCTTAATCAAGATGAAGAATTATTCATGCTTCTTGCTTAGTGGTCATTAAGTGTGCATTTGTTCCTCCTTTCCTTCCAGTGGGAGTATGGAACCAGCTTTTCACAGAGGAGATCTGCTGTTTTTGACCAACCGGGTAGAGGATCCTATCAGAGTCGGAGAGATTGTCGTCTTCAGGATAGAAGGCAGAGAGATCCCCATAGTACACAGAGTACTGAAGATCCATGAAAAGTATGAATCTACACTTTGTTACTGTGGTTGTCATTTATGAAGTTATCACTGAGCCCCATATCTGTGTAACAAACCTGACAATGCCGCTGAGTATTGGGCCGAATTGGAAAAACTGCTCTGAGAGGGTTTTCAGATATACCAGAACTATCATGTGCCCTCATCCAGACACAGACGTGGTCAGAAAGAGGACATGTTGTGCATTTTGGTCTAAAGTCATGCTGATATATTGTCTGCAGGGAAAATGGAGACATTAAGTTCTTGACCAAAGGAGACAACAACGCAGTGGACGACAGGGGGCTGTACAAGCAGGGCCAACACTGGCTGGAGAAAAAGGACGTGGTTGGACGAGCTAGAGGGTGAGTCCACTGTGGAAAAAATCCACTTTCTACTGACGAAATGGGGCAAAAAACTAATGTGAAATTAATTTGAAGTAGCACTTGTTGCATGTGACAATGTCTTTGTTCCTAAAGATTCAAAGATAGGGATCTGTTTTCTCTGCTAGATAATTTGTGTACAGCTGGAGCAAAACAAGACTTTAGGCAGTACATGTTTTTCATTGGTGTGAAAATGCCGTAAAGGCCTCTTCAAACAAAGCATTGTTTTGTGACTGTGTTCTGGTTGATGATTGTAGAAACCAAACATCTTACTGTAAATGCAGTATTGAAACTCAACAGAATAAAGCAGTCTTAACTCCAGGTTTGGAAGGGAAAAAAAAGTAAAGTTCTCAGTTTTAATTTGTCATGTTGAGGAAACCACTCCTGGTTCACACAACTCTAAGCCTGTCACCAGAGCAACACCGGCCAACTGTGCATTTCAATCAAATATAACTCAGCGAGGGAAACTGTAACCACATCTGCCTGGTCGGTGGAGTCTGCACAGCATTTCACAGTTTTCCTTGCCTGCAGATATCCACCCTTCCTAGCTAGATGCTGCTGTAGCTGACAGATTTACACTGCATTTCAACTTTGTCCTCAACCAACTTCTCATCTAGACATTTAATGTCATGTTATGCACTGCATCTTTTGGGCTCAGCTTGGGTTGACATAAAGAGGTGCTGGTCTGGACCAATGCTGTCCGTATGGTTACCTTAGATTGTCATTTGGTACCCATCAATACCACTGAGCGTTAGATTCTGTCACATTGCATGCACACATATTTGTTTTATTCACCACTTAGAATGTAACTCTTACTTGTATCCATTTATGATTGTTTTCTGTGGGAAATGTTATGATTGACAAACTTATGTACTGTATGTTCATGACATCTTATGACACTAAGCTTGTCTAATGTCTCCAGGTTTGTGCCGTACATTGGAATCGTCACAATCCTCATGAATGATTACCCCAAGTTCAAAGTAAGCCAAAGAACTAGATGCACTACCTTTGATTTTGATCTATAATCTGTAACATGACCATCTAATATCTATAACCTGTGTTTTTTTCTGCAGTATGCTGTGCTCTTCTTGCTGGGTCTCTTTGTGTTGGTTCATCGGGAGTGAGGTACCAACACATCAGGGCTCTTGAAGGATTAACTACGTCCAGGAAACCTCAGTCATGCCTTTCAAAACAAAATTAAGTTCCACTTTGTCAAACCCAACTGGCTTTTTGTACCATTTGTTTGAACATTTTGTAGAAATGTTGATAGGGTGTTTACATTTGAAAAATACGAGCTTTAAAAAATATTTTTGTGAGGGAAACTAGGCTAGTTTTAGTTAAAAATTGATCTTTATTTGTAATCCTCAGAATGTGAAACAGCATTCATTAAGATAAATTAAGTCTTGTTTCCTTTTTGTTGAACTGTTGTCTTTGAAAAAGATATGTGAAGTATTTTATGACAACTGAATATGAATGATATTAAATATGAATTCTGGTTACCATCCACTATGGAGTCTTTCAACTCTGTTTCATTTCTTCTCTAGTGATCACTGTAGAGCACTGATTCCCAAATGGTGTGCCAGGGTGCACTGGTGCTAGCCTGGCTGGGCCATCCTGTTGCATGAATCACTTGCCGTTCCTTCCCACAACAGTCTGGACTTCGGCCCATAGAGAGCGTGTATTCCCGATCAGAAAATAACCGGGCCAATCAGAGACCGTGTTTCCACTGTTACCTGGACAACAGGGAAAGGCAGCCCCTGATTGGTCCATGTGTAGATAGTGACGTTTAACACATGCTGCGGGACTTTTCAAAGCGCCGTTCATTCAGAACGCCGTTAATTCTGCAGTTGACTTTGCAAAGTCGGCAGAAAAAGTTTATATCCACAGAAGACGTCGGATATTATAAATGTTATTTCGCACAAAAGGTGTGTCTTGAGATTTTTACTTGTCCTTTGGTGTGCATTGGGGAAAAAAGTTTTGGGAACCTGTCTCTTAAAGTTATATACTATTTACACAAGAGTTGTAAAGTCTGATGGCTGTTGGTACAAAAGATCTTCTGAATCTTTCTGTCCTGCAGCGAAGAGAGAGGAGCCGTCCACCACCATTGGCCTTTGGTCCATCAAGGTGTTGTGAAGTGGGTGATCCATGTTCTTTAGAATAGCCTCCACCTTCCTCAGTGTAGATCTCTCCACCACATCCTCCACTGAGTCCAGCTTGAGTTCTACCACAGAGCCAGCCTTTTTCACCAGTTTGTTAAGACGTCTTGCATCTTTGTGTTTGATGTTTTCTCCCCAGCAGACTGCAGCGTAGAACAGAACACTTGCCACCACAGACTGATAAAACATCTGCAGCGTCTTACTACAGATGTCTATTGATCTGAGTCTTCTCAGGCAAAATGGGCAGCTCTGCCCCCTTCCTGAAGATGTAGTCTATATTCTTAGACCAATCCAACTTATTATCCAGATGTACACCTAGGTATTTATAGGATGTCACCACTTCGATGTCCACTCCACAGGTGTTCACTGGCTGAAGAGGGGAGTGGGAGTCTATGATCATCTCCTTTGTCTTTGAGGTGTTGAGGAGGAGGCACTTTTTGTGACTCCAGTCACTAAAGGCTCTTATCAGATCTCTGAATTCAGCTTCTTGTCCATTTCTGATACATGCCACGATAGCAGTGTCATCTGAGTATTTCTGAATGTGGCAGGACTCAGTGCTGTATTTGAAGTCTGACGTATACAGTGTGAACAGGAATGGAGCCAGGACTGTCCCTTGTGGAGCCCCTGTACTGGTCGTTAATGTCCTAGAAACACAGTTCCCATGTCTGATAAACTGTGGCCTTCCTGTCAGGTAATTTGTGATCCAGGAAACACAGGCAGGATCGACTCTCATCTCTGTGAGCTTGTCTTTGAGTATCGTGGGTTGGATGGTGTTGAATGCACTTGAAAAGTCGAAGAGCATGATCCTCACATAATAGCATGTAGAGGACAGCATCATCCACTCCAATGTGTTCTTGTATGCAAAAATTAGTTTGGTCTATGCTGAGAAAAACCTCATCTGGAAAATTTGATGGAAACCTAAGTTTAGTTGAAAAGTAATACTTCTGTTTGAGTGTAACCTTTTAGTAGAATTTCAAAAAATTCATCAAAAAAGACAACCTCTGTGATCCTAACACGTTGTCAAATAAATGAAATCATGTTTGGTGATGGTTTTCTAATAAAGGTATCTGGCAGTGTGCACAGTGGAGTGCTCTTGCTATCAAGGTATATTCAGCAGAGGCTATCCAACACTGAAATGTAATCACACACAAGCACAAATCAACGCAATAGTCTCTTTGTGAATCCACTTGAAAATATTGAAGTGTTTGAACCTCGATTTGACCCAAGTTGATTACACAAGGATGCCTTTTCATTAGTCTTTAGAGGACCTTGACCTTGTTTGGATTAGGAAATTTTACCATCATGTAGGCTCCACTGAAGCTTAACTGGTTTGTTGATCATCTTCACTTATGTGACAGTTGAGTGTCTCCTTTGTATTGAGCGGGGGAGCCTTGACCTGAATTGGGATAGTGGCTCTTGATTTATTAAGACGTTAAAACCCTAAGGTACAGAAAGAAAGCAGAGTATCCTAAAACAACGTCAGTCTCAGTTCATAAGCTGTGAACTTGCCCAGGGTGATGTTGTGTTGGTCAGACTGTACTTTAATGAGGCTGACATTCAGCTGTGCACAAACTCTGAAATCCTGAACATGTGTGTGAATGCCAAAGGTTATGAGAAAAGTGAGACTCAAGCTGTAGCTCTTCCATTAAACTCCCAACTTTAGCACCTTGAAGTGACAAAAAGGCACTCTGTCTAATCAGCTCTAAATTAGCAGTGAGAACCAGCATGTTCTCTTGTCCTCAGAGGACTGAGGGTGATCACAGCAGCATGCTGCAACTGGCCAAATGTCATGTTGCTCGCCAGGCCTGAACCTGAGCACTGGTGGGGGACGCAGGCAGGAAATTGCTGTATTTGTCGCTTGGTAGGAATCATTCCCCGATCACTGCTGCAATTATGTAAATCATGGCAGTGCACTTCATAAAAAAACAGTTCAGTGTTTCCAGTTGTCAGAGCTTTTTAGGTTAACGCCATACACCATATTATAACGTCTTTGCTAGGTTTCAGTGTCAGTCATGAGAGCATAAGGTATGTACTTGAGGGAATTCTCATCAAATTAATACAAATATCCAGCTTTGCTTATAACCCCCAAGAGTTCTCAGAACAAATTTCCCTTAAAAATGGAAAACACGTTGAGCTTTTCCAAGCAACAATTGACTTTCTGTCAAATCACAGTATATATTTAGCCTGATGATTAAGATTTTTTTTCTGGAAACATCAATGTTTGACCTGAGTCGAAGATTAAACGCGTTGTGCGTAAAATACGCACTGCGAGTGGTGCGTTCCAATCAAATCTTGACAGTGACTCAACCAAGTAACCACATTTTTACGTGGCTGGCTGTGTAAAACGAACACGCAATATCAAATAAGCCCACCCCACGGAGGGGCGTCTATAAAAGCTGGGTGCGTATGCGTCTATCAATCCACGACCAACAGGAGACTCTTGGACTCTTTCGCTCCGAGGACTATTCACCACCCTGCGCTGAGATGAGAGGGTTTACTCTGAATAATGTTTGCCAGTGTGGCTTCTTCACTTGTCTTCTTTTCTTTTCTTTCGTGTCTTTAACCGCAGCAGTCAGCTTCGATCTGACTGAACTTAGGAATAAAGTTGCAAAAATTAAAGTCAACCCAAGAGGAAATCTATGGGCTACAGGTAAGAAGCGTGTTTCCACCACCACTATACCAAAAACCCATCTTTCATGTTTGCTTTGAATGGAATGACATTGATTTAGTTTCAGATTTTCTCTCAGTAATTCATTTCTTTTTTGCTTCTTAAAATGTTGACATCATCATCCCTAAAGCTTTTCTCCTGTCTCTTAACTAAAGAGCGTTTTTTTTTTTTAATTTGGCAGGACATTTCATGGGCAAGAAGAGCGTGATGGATTCCCCGCTGCTGCCCTCAGGGGAGGGACAGGGCGTTGATGGGCTGGTTACTCTCTCTGAGGAGCCGGGTGCGATCGGGGAGCTGTTCCAGGAGTTCCTGCGGGAGGCTCTGCAGGCGCAGGTGGACACACAAGAAAGCCGCTCGAAAAATCATGTGAGCTCCACAACAGATCTGACCCCATCACCACCTCCACCACCACCACCTTTTTAAGTTTTAAAAAAGAGAAAAAAATAGACGTAATTGATAATCATATGATCTAATGGCGTTTGATGTTATTTTTGTTTCAGGAGGCGGACTTGTTGATGAAGATTTTAGAGAGCTACATCCAAAGCAGAAAGTGAGTCAGAGGATGATATTCTGGCACGCACAAACACGGATCTGAGATCAGCTGGCCTCCATGGGTTAAATAAATGAATAAGACACAGTGTACAGTATCCTGCCTATTGTGATTGTTATCAATATTGTATTAATCAATACATTTGTAATGTCTTACTTTGCCTAAGGCTTGTTTGCCATTTTCAGTATGCATGTTTGTCCAGTCTGATGCCAATTTGTCCCATTGTGTTGTCCTTAAGGTTATTTATATTAAATAACATCTTTATTTGCACTTCTCTGACACTGCCAAATAAATGATGGCAAATCTCACTGATCGATCATGTTCTGATTTGCAAAAGAAAACTGATGACTTTTTGCATCATTTGATTCTTTTGGTTTTGAAAGCCTTTCCGGGAAAATCAGTAAAGACCTCATTTAAAGGTTTGAGAAGCCTCTTTTGTCAGGAAAATGAAAAGCTGTTCCATTTCATTGCAGCCTTTACAGGATCAACACCAGATTGTGGGCATTTTATCTTTAATTTGGCATTAACTTGACAGTTAAAATTGCGGTATTTGGTTGGTTCTCCTAGATTTTCTGTGTGACCTGCACAACCCTTATTCATAGGCCCAACATTAAAATCTGATAGTTTGGCATGAGTAATACTGTTTCTCCCCTTTCTAAAATAACACTTATATAAATCACAAATGTAGGCAGCTTATATAAATCACATGTTGAGTTTCGCAGATGTTTCTACATGAAATCAATATCATCTTTTGTACTTTTCCTGTCCTTTGCGATGATCCGTTCTGTCGATCAATAGTGACTGAGTGAGATATGGCCCATGCAGCCTCTCTGCCTGGGGCTGATCCTTTGAAGGTAACGGACAGGCTATTTAAATATCCCTCCCACAATGCCCTGTCTGATGCACATCATGTTCAAGGTTCAGACGACAGACATGAGAGTCGTGTAGTTCTGGTTGGCAACACAAATTTTGCCAAACAAGGCACACAAAAACACATCACAAAAAAAAAGGCACAGACAGCTGCCAGTTTAAGATACATCACAGTAACTGGTGTATTTGACTGAAATTGAGACTACCAAGATTGAAACTTAGTTATGAGTTATCGCAACACAAACAAGTCCTAAAGTATGTTTTCTTTTGAAGTTGGAATACAAACCATATGGGTCAGTGCTAGAAAAAAAAGGTATTTTTCTCTTCATAACTGCATGTCTTAAGCTTTGATTATTCTGCCAAACAACACTCTTGACATTCAGAAGCTTCCAGGTGCAGAGCAATTGTACTCAAGTAGGTTAGTAGGTTTAAGAAATAGGGTACAATTTAATGAATAAGACCCAGCAATGGGTTGCAGCAAATTCAAGTCTCCAAAGGAAAACTTCACAAACAAAAACATTGTCAAGTACAATAAAGTTTGTTTATATCGATCTGGACATATAGAGAAATATATGTCAGCCACACAGATGCTTTTTGTTTGAGTTTATTTTTTCTAACTGACTGTCAGCATAAGAGTCACCATGGGGGATTTCTGTTTCGCTGTGCTGTGAGAGACTCCATCTCAACACAAACACTGAGTACTTTAATAACTGATTCGAAATGTTGGACATGTATTAACCTTAAGCACACTGCAGCACAATGTGATGATACAATATTTATGTATTTGGTTTGTGAGAGTGTGTTCTCTGAGTGTGTGTGTGTGTGAATAAGAAAACATCCTCAAATGAATTTAAATTGCAGGTCCAAACTTGTTACAGAGTGTTAACGATCCAGGATGATGAAGTCCACATGGTGTTCACCACCTCACTCTTCAGGGAAATAAGGGCTTTAATTTAACAGCCTTTGCTCCCTGTTTACTTCGAACATTTGCATTTTATTTCCTTGGGCAAATTTTTCTCCGGCTACCCCTTTCTCTGCTTGCTTACACAAGCTTTGGTAGGAGGGAAAGTATGGTGACTGAACATTTTTGAGGAAAAGAGACAGTCCTTTACCTGCATAAAAGGATTTTGGTTTTATTTTTATCAAATGAACTTTTTAGTTTGAATATATTTGGTCAGAAGAGACCTGGATCAGTTTCCTTTCATAGGTGCCCCCTGTGGACTAAACAGTCTTTGCTGATCTTCTTCTACATGTTTCAGATATAACTTTTTAGAACACTCTCATCCACCTGACTTTTGACAATCAAATATCATTAATTGTGTACATTTTCTTTGGAAATTGTAAAAACATGGTTGTGTTTTCAGTTACAAAGCTGACATTTATTCCCTCACTCAGGTTTCAGGCCTTAAAATTTAAGGTATAGAAATTGTCTGTATTATTGCGGATGGTTTTTGGATATCATAAAAAGGCATTAATGGGATTTTTAGTCTATTTCATAAACCAAAAAAACTTGTCATGTGACTTTTAAATCCTGCATGTACTGTGCTATGACTGAGAGTTATTCAAATTGGATGAACATATAATCAGGAAATTTAATTTTAAAGAACATTCATCATACCATCAAAACTAAAAACTGCACAATATTATTACAAATTGTCAATTACAAGAATTGTTGCTACCTGAGTGTATAAACCTAGACAGCTTTAACATTTCTATACTCTAAACGGATACACTGAGGTAAGATTAGACATTAAGGGTTTTTTTTAATAGCTGCCATTTTCATCTAAACAATGCTTATTTGGCCCAAAATACTGCAGAGTGAGAAATCTGTTTAACAAGGGCTCTAAAACCTCAGAAAAATGTTAAAAAAACAAAAAATTAGGATTTAGTGCACAACACTGAGTGTGTATTTTGGACAGGTAGACTAATTACGCACTGGCTGTAAATGGGTTTCATCACATGTGATGTGGGGGCATTTCAATCTGAGAAAACTCAACAAACACATCAGCCTGTTTACTGCAGCAGCGATATCCAGTTTGGACAACACAAATGGCTTTCCTGCAACAGTGATTTATGATAATTGAACAGTTTTGTCACTACATTGAACTGGAAATTCCAGCTCGCTTAGATGAAAACTAATTTCATGTTTTTATTTGTCACCCAAAAGCAAAGCAGCACCTGAATGCTCCAGTTATTATATTTTACTGTAGAAGCAAGTGAACATTACTCTGTTGAGAGGGATTTGTTTTTCTTCAAAAATATAAAAATATGTCATATTCATTGAAAAGTAAGTTTGGCACTGGCATTGATATCCTTTATGTGCCAACTTGTTTGTTTTGTATTGTTCTTTTACTAATGACTTCATTTAGCAACACCAGAAGGCAACACTAATGCATAATTCACACTTTGGATGTATGTTGGTGTCAGCAGTGCAAACCTTAACTTGTGTTTGAATTTGTAAGTCCTCATTCTTGCTCAGTTTGAACACCGAAAGCGGACAAAGACTAATGCAGCGAGGTTTTACTCAATAAAACAAAGGCTTTGGGGCTCCAGTCCAAGTCATTATTGACTGAGTGCCCCAGAGGTACTCATTTTTAATTGAGAAATCAATCCTCCTCTTGTTCAAGTAAAAAAAGTAATGAGGTCATATCACATTTGTCTGTGAGGGAGCAGCTTTTATATTGTTGAATCTGGCCTCAGATTGAACATCTAAAGTATTAATGTGGCCAAAGCGAGAATCATTTTATCATCTCTGTGTTCTTACCTCCCCGGCAACTTGATACATCTCCTCATGGCACAGCATACATCATGGTGAGATTAGCAATGCTGCACTGCCATCATCTGGCACACAATCCTGTACTACACATGGGCACATTTCAATGATGATGCTGACAATAAAGAACAAGACAGGACAGGACAGAATAGGATAGGATTGAATAAGATTGCTAGGCACTTCAATTTCAACCTTTTTGGTCCTCCAATTATGTGTTCAAAAACAGTCCTATATCTGCAGCAAAATGATGAAATCCCCAAACAACAAATCCCACCTGCATCAGTTTCATATATGTGCTTGTACTCAAGAGATCAGAGTTACAGTGAGCCTACTGAGCAGTTTTTGTCCCATGTTTAAGAACTCTGCACCAAATGATATATTATAGCTACAATTTTTGTTGTCTTATGGTCGATACTCATTTTAGATTTGACTCATTCTGACTTCTCACTCACTGAAAGTTTATGACGCATTGCAGGTATTTTTCTCAGCTCTGTGATACAGTATCAGTATTTGATATTGTCAAATATTAATACTGGATTGAGCAAAAACATATTATGTTGTCTTTGCTCTATTTCAAATATAGGCTTAAAATCATTTCCAAATAATTGAAATCTATAATAAACATTTTACACAACATCCAAACCTTTTTTTTTTAAGGAAAGGAGTCATTTGTGTGGGGCAAAGTTCTGTCCAATCAACAACTGTGAAATCAGTATTGAGTTACCTCACTATTTCCTCGTAATAATTTTCTCTTTTTTTGCATGACATTATACTCAATTAGACCAAATTCACTTTTAAGAACAAAACATCACCAAACAATGTCAAACCATTAAGTAGGTCCTATTGTCCCATCCTGTGGTGTGCATTTGTAATGTGATTCACTGTTAGAATAACTGCACATGCTCATTATGTATCATACAGTCAACAAAAAATGGCGAGTGGGCCTTCAGATTCAATCTGAACAAACTCCTGTCAGGAATAACATTGTTGGTATCCCCATGGCATCTCTTCTTGCCAGAACTCTCAGTATAATTAAAGTTTCTTACTTAAAACAGTCCCATAAGCAGAAACCGTCAATTGTATTTCAGGATATCTTGAAGATCTGGTTGCTGCCAGTCAGAATTCAACATTAGGCTTTTGTCAAATCAATAAATTGTGTTGTCAGATTTTCATGATTAGGCTTTATCATGGGTTGTGCACTGTTATGGACTGTTTAAGTTTTTTTTTTTTTTAATGTGGATATCTAAAATCTGAGTCAAACTTGTGACATGGCCGTCAGATACCTGAGTTGTTGTTTTTTCTCCCCATGATGAATTCTGTTGCAGATTTTAAAAAATGTTCTTTTCAGAATGGAAGAATGACAGTGTGGGTATCAGACCCTGAAAGCCCCATACTCATGAGTGGGAAATGTGATATTGTTTCTCCCAGAAACAATGACAGAGTGAGTAGGGGAGAATGAGGGTAAGAACATCATATTTCAGATCACTACATCAAGGCATTCATAGTTTTGTCTCTCTCTAGTGTATCTGCATATATTTCAAGATGTTGTGCATCCCTGCAAACCAACAGAATGAAGGTAAACATAACTGTCTTGATAATATAACATGCCAAAAAAAAGTGGTCTCCTATGGTCAACTTACCTCGCGTATGGGGTAAGTTGACCATAGGAGGGTAAGTTGAGCCGTATCCCTACTACCCCCTCACTCTCCACCCCAGCCCTCCCTCACCTTCTCTCTCCCTAAATAACAGTCACTTCTTCACATTCATGTGTATTTTTATCTATTATACACTATTAAACTGGTACAATAATTCTTTTTATTATTATTGCATATAACTGTTAAAAAGCTGTTTTGTAAAAAGAAAAATATTTTAACATGAGAATGCCTTTAAGTGATTCAGAACATTCACAGCTGTATTTTTGAGAAAAAAGAAAGAAAAAGTAACACATTTCAACAATCTGAACTGAAACTCTGATCCTCTCCTAAGACTTCTTTACTTTCTCAGTTACCCCAGAACTACTATTCTGACTTTACTAGTCCTCTAAGCTAAAATGGTGGACTTCTATGCTAGGTCTTTGACCTCATGTTGTAGCCCATAGATACCACAATTGATGTATAAAACAAATTTAAAATGATCTTTTTTGGTCTGAACACAATTCTAATAAAACTTATGACAGACTAAATTCACTTTCAAGAGTGAAAAATTATTTGTTTTTTCTCGTAATTAAATGTCTAACCACTTCACCCGTGTGCTTCTAACCTTCACAGACTCCATGAATTGATGCCCATCTCCTAAATATTTGGTCACATGATCAATTTCTTTTACCATTTCCAAGTAACAGGGGAACGCTCGACTTCGCCTTTGTCTCAATTTACCCCACTCTCCCCTTATATGAAATGACGGTGAAGTGGATAGTTTGACTGTATTTGAAAATGGCTTCAATGATTATTTAGATGAAGGAGACTTAAATTAGAAGTGTCGTGAATCTATGTCCAGTCCAGTTATAAAGAGTTGAATCCGTTTCCTACACATGCTGCCCTGTATTATATGTGACAGTGATACAGCAGAGCTCAATGTTGTTAATCCGCTTCATCAGGCTGTTTTGATTTGAATCGTGACGTGAGCGCACCACGTGACCGCTTCTACTCCGTTTGCGGTGATTTGATTGGTCAAGTCCATAAGAATCTGCACCGTGGGGCAGGACCACACCGAAGCCATTTTATTATTATAACAGCAAAGGTGCAGGTGCATCAATTTTATTTTTTAATAGTTACAGTTACAATTTCACAGCTAACGACACCATGGGGCAGTGCGGGATTACATCGTCCAAAACCGTCCTGGTTTTTCTCAATCTCATATTCTGGGTAAGAAAACGATCCATGTTTGGACAATGTGCAGCATCCCTGTGAGAGGCCAGAGATGGAGAGCATTAGCAGGCTAGCAAACTGCGCCAGAGATGCTCTGCGGTCAGCTCATCCGTGAAAGGAAAAAAGCTGCTTTTATAGGCCATAGGGACTTTTCACGGACACAACGTTATCTTAGAAGTAATGTAAATAATGAGAGAAAAGGTGATCATGTCAGACAGCTGCTGCACTGTATTGGTATCTGCTGCCGCCCACAACTTGTAGCTATATGACGTTATGCAGCAGCAGCAGCAGCTACCAGGTAATGATACTAAAGCTGCTCTTGTGGTAACAACCTGCAGACCTGTGATCTATGATGAACTTGTGAGCCATTAAATGAACAGACCAGCAGATCTGGATTAAGATAAACATGTTCTGAAACAGAAAAGGATGGACAGAGCTCATCATCTATTACAGATGGAGAGATAACACGGCCCAGTCCACACTCCACAAGCTTTTAAACTATACTGTCGTTGTGCTGAGCTGTATGTGAAACAGTGTAGGTACAGTATTTTTGTTGAGAGTAACACAATTTAGAAACCAAATGATCAATCTCTAATATTTGTGATTCTAATCAGAATGATAAGATCAGAAATCTATACAGCACAACACAGCAGCTCCTGATTTCTTGTGTGAGCATACATACTCCACACCACTCCTCTTCACTTCTGTACTACATAGAAGATAATGGAACTCTTTTTTTTCCCCCAGGCTGCAGCTGGAATTTTATGTTACATTGGAGCCTATGTGTTTATCACATATGACGACTACGACCACTTCTTTGAGGACGTGTACACTTTGATCCCTGCTGTCATTATCATAGCTGTGGGAACTCTTCTCTTTATCATTGGCTTGATTGGATGCTGTGCAACAATACGTGAGAGCTCCTGTGGACTGGCTACTGTGAGTGGATTACTTTGATTTTAAGTTTCCTCTTTTAACACAAATAAGTTAACTGGAAAAACAAATATGCAGCATTTTGCTTTATACTTCAGTAAACTTGGGAAAACAGAGAGCTACAACATGAAATTTTTGTGAATTCAGCATTTTATTTTCAAACCAATTTACAAGTGAGCTTCCTAACAGTGTTTTTGCTGTCACCTTAGTTTGCTGCCATTCTCCTGCTGGTGTTTGTAACAGAGTGCGTGGTGGTGGTGCTGGGCTACACATACAGGGCAAAGGTAAGCCCTCAAAGATTTCCTAAATCCTAAATGTTGCTAATTTGAGTCATAAGAAGTTGTGTTTTGTATATTTAAATCTGTATTTTTTATTCAAGTGTGATATATGGTAATATATTGTGTAATATGGTTAAGAATTCACAAAGAGGACACTGTAAAAAATCCTATTTTGTCAAATATTGTTGAAGTTTGGTTTACTTTCTCTTCTCTGCTTCATATCTTCCTTGAGTAAGCAGTGTAGTGCCAACATTGCACAGAAGTTTTATAATAATGTCTAAACATGTTCCCTTGGGATGAAATTCTAAAAGTGCATCTGCTAGTCAAGATGGCGCCCAAGATGGCTGCCTCCTGCGTTTGTGCAGAGAAGTGGCCTTAGAATCCAATAGATATCTTTTTTCCTAGCTGCCATCTATGGGATTTTTCAGTTTGGAAAAGTTTGGAGCTGTGTTTGGAACAGTTTGGAGCTATTATTTCTGTGTTTGACCGGTTCCCAAATGGCAGAAACACCAACTGTCTTAAAGTACACCATGGGATTCATGAAGAAACTCAGACAAGCTACTACCCCACTAACTCCTCGGCTGAGAAAGACCTTAACAAAAGAGGGAGTGCTACGTGTACCAAACAGAAAAAGAGGCTGTAGAGGAGGTAAGACTATTGTGCACAACATTCGGACTGTTGTTGGCAGGAGACCTGACCAGAACAAGCCTCAAATGTTTGGATATGGGAACCCCAGAGTTAAATTACAATCAAACTTAATCAAAGTCATCATCCAGAATAATAGGCCAACAAACCATGCCATGTTACCAACTTTTCTGATGACGAACCCCAGATCTCTTGTCTATAAGATTGGTGAGCTGCAGTCTGTTCTGATACAAAACCATGTGGATGTGGCTGCAATTTCAGAAACCTGGTTTAGTTCCCATAAACCTGAAGAATTATTGGGTATTGATGGCTACACCTTGTTTTCTAAATGCCGCAGCACTCGCCGTGGTGGTGGTATTGCATTGTACATCAGAGACTGTGTTCCATGTTACCCCCTACATGAAAACCAATGTATTTGAAGCCTGAGATTCTCCCTGCCCTTGCCTCAAGTGACCACAACTGTGTTCTCTGGAGCCCCAAAGCACAATCATGCCCACCTCAGTGCATTAAACGGGTAGTTCAACCTATAAGGGAGCCTGGTTTGAGTGAGTTTGGTAGGTGGATTACCACCCATCCATGGCAGGAGGTGACTGAAGCAACCAGCACCAATGAAAAGGCTAATGCTTTTTACAATACTATCGTGGCTGAAATAAATAGAAATTTTCCTGTAAAGACAGTGAAAATCTATCCATCAGACAAACCGTGGATCACCCTCAAAATCAAACACCTCATTTACCAAAGACAAAAGGCTTTTAAATCTGGAAAATCATGTGCTTTGGCTAAGTTCTACAAAAATAAGGTCCAAAAGGAAATATTTGCAGCGAAAAAGAACTTCTACAAGTCTAAGGTGGAAGGAATGGAAAAAGCAAATTCCAGAGCTTGGCACAACAATATCAGATCAATGTGCAGTAAAACTCTGAAAAAGGAGGCCCGGATCGATGTCCCAGGAATTAACCCCCTGGACTTCGTGAGAATTGCCAATGCAGTAAATGCAAAGTTTATCAAGGTGTCCCAGTCACTGGAGCCTCTGGACCTCTCAGCTTTACCCTCCTTCCTACCATCCCCCCCACTACCCACTATACCAGTGTGGGAAGTGTATAATAGATTGTCTTCCATTGACTGTCATAAGTCCCCTGGCCCAGACATGATCCCCCCCAAAATATTGAAGGAGTTTGCATGTGAGATCAGTGTTCCTCTTTGTGACATCATCAACTGTTCATTTGATGAAGGAGTTGTACCTAGACAATGGAAAGAGGCTACTGTTGTCCCTATACCAAAGTCATCCCCATGCAACAAAGATGAATTGAGACCGATCTCATTAACAGCGCAACTCTCTAAAATATGTGAACACTTTGCTGGGAACTGGATTCTGAATGACATCATGCCAAACTTAGACCCCATGCAGTTTGGCAGCCGACAGAACCGTTCCACAACACACAATCTGGTCAGTCTTATGGATTTTATGTACAGGACCAGTGATGTTTCAGACTCAGTATGTACAGTAATTACAACAGACTTTGCCAAGGCCTTTGATGCTGTCGACCACACTGTGGCAGTACAGTGTCTCCTGGATCTAGGAGTGAGACCAAGTTTGATTCCATGGATCTGCAGCTTCATGACGGATCGGCAGCAAAAAGTGCGCTACCAGGGACATCTGTCCGATTGGGAATATCCCACATGTGGAGTCGCTCAGGGGACTGTATTGGGACCTATAGTCTTCCTAGCACTGATTAACAGCGCCCTCCAGGATGGACCACATCACTGGAAATATGTGGATGATATGACTATAGCCCAGTCGTGGAGCCCCAAGGTCCCCTGTACTCTCCAACAGACCCTGAATGGCCTTGACACCTGGGTAAATGAGCACAAAATGAAGCTCAATCCAAGTAAATGCAAAGTTGTACATGTCACTGGCATGAGACAAAAAACTGCCCTACCAACACTGTCCGTAAACCAAAACATACTGGAAGTTTGTGACACAGTCAAAGTTCTGGGGGTCACCATTCAAGCTGACTTGAAATGGAACAGTCAGGTGGACTATATGTTGACCTCAGCCAACAGAAAGCTGTTTGTCCTATGCCGTCTGAAGAAATTCGGAGTCAAAGACCCAGAATTGGTCTCCATCTATACAGGCTATGTTCGGCCAGTGCTGGAGTACGCTGTCCCAGTCTGGCACAGTTCCCTTACTGCCAGCCAGTCAAATAGTCTGGAAAGAGTTCAAAAACGGGCGAGCAGAATCATTCTGGGCCAGCGGTATATAGGATACACAGAAGCTCTCCACACCCTCAAATTGTGCTCCCTAGCAGAGAGGCGCACTCAACTATGTCTTGATTTTGCCAGAAAGCTGTTCAAGTCCAATTTCAGAAACTGGCTACCCCCACTCAGGAAAGAGATCTCTGGACGACAAACACGGAATGGAGATGACCTGGACACCCCAACATGCCGAACTGAGAGATATAAGAAATCACCAATCCCATATATGTGCAGACTATTAAATGAGAATGGTGTTTAGCTTTTTAAGTTTTTAGGTTGTTGCTTCTTAAGCTGCATTTTATATTTGAAGTTTTATTTTTTGTAATCAGCAAAATAATTCAGTGTTTTTAATGGCATCTGTCTTTTTTAAACATCTGTGATCATGCTGAAAGCTGAATAAACATAATGATGATGCTGAACATTGACTGTAAGATACACTGTTTTTGTTTCAGGTGGAGGATGAGGTGAATCACTCCATCCAGAAGGTTTACAATGAATACAACGGAACCAACACTGATGCTCCCAGCCGTGCCATTGACTATGTGCAGAGGCAGGTGAGAAGAACTACGTCTTATGTTCACTATTTTCCCTCAGTCAGCTGAATTCAGATGCTGACCGCTGTTTGTTTTCACATCATATACCCAAAGCCGGACTAAATGTTTTCCATATTTTTCTTCTTTTTTTCTCTGTCAGCTCCACTGCTGTGGTATTCATAACTACTCTGACTGGAGAAACACGCGCTGGTTTAAAGAATCCAAAAACAACAGTGTCCCAGTGAGCTGCTGTCAGCCCAGCATCAGTAACTGTACCGGCACCCTGACTCGACCAGCTGATCTTTACCAAGAGGTACAAAGGCATTACTGTAATGATGAGCGTTTCTATCTGAAACAACTGAATAAAATATGCGTCAACAATTCCTAAATGACAATTACTTTCTGCTCCAGGGCTGTGAAGCACTTGTTGTGAAGAAGTTAAAGGAGATCATGATGTATGTCATATGGGCTGCTCTGACTTTTGCATCTATACAGGTAAGCAGAAACTGTTCAAGAACTGTCATGATTAGGAGGGAACACATCAGACAGAGCTGGTCTAACAATTTATTTCAATATGTGCAATCAGACAGTTTTTAAACCAAACTCAATGACAGGGTAACAAAAAACAACCTCCCTGAAAGTGAACAAGTTACTCAATCATCAAAATGAAAATGAAAAAATCAAGACTAAAATAAAACTAGTGTATTCTAAAATTTGCAGGGCTGTTTCGTGGTTCATCTCTGACCTGTGGGGTATACTATGAAGCAGTATTTACAGTTAAATGAAGCAATTTCAGGGTTTATTTCAGGACACGTTCACCTGTATGATTCAACATTAACAGTCATTGATTGTACTTCCCTAATATCATTCTTAAACAGACTAAAGAAGATAACACCAAAAATGTTAGGTGTGAAATTGTGCATGTTTGTTGCTTTAGATTATGTTTGAATATTCGTTTGTATTATCTCCATATTGCTCTCTTTGATACCATTAAGGCTCTGGCTGACATAAATGTCTAAAATGGTGACACACACTTCAAGAATAAACCCATGCTACACATCAGTTTCTGGGGTTAAACCTGAGTTGCTGTCGGATCTTCTGTATACCTGATGGAGAAAGTAATATTTACTTTGAATGTTTTTCTCCTATCTGACAGTTCTTTCTTCATTTTTCAAAAGTGACTGTATTGATTTGAGTCTGAATGATGTGGGTGAATTTTTCATATTTCACTGAACCAGCTCTGTGATTGAAAAAAAAAACTATGACGATCCACTGACAGCAAACTCAGTCTGATTAATGTTGGTTACATGTCGCTTACCCCGTCCTTTTCATGTGAATGCACTTACACTAACTCTGGGTTGACTTAGCTGGTTGATAACCCACTCAGCGTGACCTGGGGGATTAGTGAAACCAGGCAAGTACAAGATACCCTAGATATGTCCAATTCTCTTTGTAGTTTAGACTCCTGCTTTTTTGTTGTTTTTACAGATGTCATGAGCACAGCTGACAGTTCAGTGACCTTTTCTTGCCCTTTGATTTTAGAAAACAAGTATTTTAATTACACAGCTCAATTGCAAGAGTGTGATTCTGATAAACAGCAAAATAATGACACTCTGGGATTGCTACAGTCCAAATCATCCATACATCTATAAGAGACAAAGATGGCAGTAATCCCAAATGTAAGAAAGTACCACAATTTTAGAAATAATAATAATAATAAAAGTTAATATGCTCAGCACTTAACAAAACCAATATTACAAAGTGTTTTTACAACATATAAACCCAGAGTGAAATACTTAACTTAAGGATAAAAACTGGATGGTATACAGAATTAAAGAATGGCAATTGTAAAATAATGGCCAGATAAAGGTTACGTAAATGAAACAGTATATAGATAAAGGGGCAAAGATGCATTGAAGCCTTTTGATAAAGAATTGTTTTCTTGGGGGATTTAAAAGAAGATACTGATGTAGCAAGGTGGTGCTAGGCATGGGCAGTACCGACCGGGGTAACCCTGCTCCCAAGCACTGACAAAAGCCTCAATAACCAGTCACCCAAGATAACAGCCAAACACACTTGTTAGAACATGGCACTTCTCTTGTACATGCAAAAAGATGCTATTCTTTTGATCTGAAATGCTCTAAAGCAGTTTTTTACAACATTAAGTAGGTCAGGAGGATCGATAAGAATGAGAAAAGAAGCCCCCTTACATGCTTGCTTTTTTCATTTTACTGATGTTTTTTTATCTCTCAAAGTCATCAGGACTTGAATGAGGGTTTTTCTTTCTTCTCTTGTCCTCCTGCAGATGCTTGGGATGCTCTGTGCCTGCGTGGTGCTGTGCAGGAGGAGTCACGACCCAGCGTATGAGCTGCTTGTCACAACCAACAGCTATGCATGAAAGCAGAACCAAGCACTCCAAAAATGAAGAAAAAAAATACAAAAAGAGAATCACCAGACATGTCCACAGTAGATTTCAGCTGTAGTTATATAAGCTCAAGCACACCTTGCACAATTCACAATAAAGTAGCGTACACTGACGACATTGTTTGGGTGGGAGGGGCTTCAAAGGGAAGACATTTATTTATGACATGCTTTGTGAGTTACTGTTACTTTATTTTTTTCTGTCAAATAATGGAGTATTTATTCAAGCCAAAGCCATAAATGGCTTACTGACACTATTCAAGCTGATGATGCTGATTTTATTTTTATTTTAATTGTGGCTTCAGAGCATTTTTCTTTTCCCAAGGATGAGGATGAAGAGAATTTATCAGCGGTGTATGCGTGAAATAATTGAAAGGAGTTTTGTCTGGAATGTATTTCCTAGTGTGCTAGTTTGCATTGCGGCTGCAGCTCAGCTGAGGTTTCATGGTTGCTTAAACAAGAAATGTGAGCAAAAAAGAACAGGAGCACTAACCTGAAGAACCTAGAGTGAACCGACTTTGTGAAAATGGAGAAACCTTTCACTGTAGAGTAAACAGAATCTGTGCTTTTATTTTAGATGCTTGATAGTGGAGCAGCGCTGTGTGTGGTCCTTAAACCATGATTGGTAGAAAGAGTTCTTCATTTTTACAAACATTCAGGCTGTGAATAATGTACATTATATTTTGGTGTTTATGTTCTGATTCAGGCTTCTTCTGTGAGGCGTTGCCAATGTATAAATTGTGAATGACCCTTTTAGAATCCAGTGTTATTAGTATGAGTATTACCAGTGTTACATGAAGATGTGTGTATGTGCACAAAAAGTTACAGTCAGATAATCTCTCCTGTTTAGTTTGTCAGTTACAAACCTGCTTTAAAGAATTATGACCTATTATTTTATACATTATCTGTGATATTGTGTACCCTTTGACATTTTTAGCAGTTAAGTTGACCCCCAGATATTTGGCTAAAGCCACAGAGAAAAGTATGACAAACAAAAAGCTGTGTATAGACTTGTGAAGAGGCAGAAGAGAAATAAACTCATACATTTCAAGTTAAGTGTTTGATTATTTTGTTCTTGGCATGTTTTTTTACAGTCATGATGCTAAAGGTCCACTTGGAGGTAAAGTATACAGCAGAGATACTGTTACATACGCCAAACAATGTAACACCCCCCCACCACACATTACAAACACACATTAATAATGGAGAAAGAAATAATAACCTGAGCAACAAACCAAACAACATCCAACCAAGCTGACTTGGATCATTCATAACTTATATAAATAACAAACATCAACAATGTAAAGCAATTAATAAAACTAACAAGTCTTTTGTTGAGGATAGGCTCATTTTATGGTCTATCAAACTCATGAAAAAGAAAAACTAGTTTTCTAATCTGAGCAAAAGCAACACAAACAGAAAACATGACAGATCAACAGAATTTCACTCAACACCTTTTTTTTTTTTGTCCATTCATAAAGTCAACACACTTTTGCTTCTGCAATGTAGAAAGAGCGATTGTGATACAGTGATTGTATTGGAGTTTCAATAGTCCTTTCACTACTGGTGGTACAGTAACATGTAGCCTTTAATATGAGTCCCACAGAGGCCTGATGGTGGGACCAAGTTGTCTCACCTCTGTGCAGTGACTAGAGGTAGTAACAGAGGCAGGGTGAAATAGCTTCATGTGTGTGCATGACTGAGTGTGTACATGACGCTCCTGCTGTGCGTTTACCTCTGGAGCTTTTGAAACACTAATGAAATGTGAGATCACATCAATGCAATAGTGCTGATGCTGGATAAATATGAAAGTGCAAAGGCATGATGATCACAGGACTTAGTTGAGATGTTGACTCAGTATAAAATGTGATAATAGGACAAAGGACATTAAGGCATGTTATAAAAGAAGAACGCTGATCTATTCATAAATCAGACTTGCCTTTTAATAATCTTTTTTTTGAATTGCTGACATGGAAAAGCCTACTGTTAGAAAGCATGAGATAGATGTGTATCTGTGTGTGTGTGTAAATTGTTTGTATAGAGTCTGTAGGAAATGGCTTGTATGACCTACACATCAAAACACAGGAATGTGTTTTTGCATGTGCTGCATTTGTATTTATTTTCTTCTTTCCCTGAGTTTAGATTTTACCCAGATAGTTTCCTGGCACCAGTCCAGTCTGCCCATCCTTCTCCACTGTCCACCAGCCGTCCTCTCCTTGATCCAAAACTTGCACCATGTCCCCTCTACTGACAGACAACTCGTCGTGTTCCTGACCAATCAATGTGAACACATACAACTCATATTATCTCAAACAATAATGCACTTTTCAATGAAACAATTACTTTTGTGTCCAGTGAGAAAGTTATTGATAAAATAAAATATGTATTATCGTCACCCGTGCAGAGTATTCATAAAGTGCAATGTAGCAGTTGCCATCAGCTGGAACAGTGGGCGGTGTTGCTGCACGCTGAAAGCCTGGCAGTGGTGCATACCCATCATCTGACATCTCCACTGAAACAAGAATAAAAGCAGATGCTAAATGTTCACTTATTTGAAAGGCAAAATAAAGCAAAATAGTTCATTAAGTGCATACATGTACCAATTTATGCCCTAAAATTACAACCATGATGTGGCAATACTTGCTGGAAAACAACATAGGCTAAAAGATAAAACTTTTGTGAGTATTTCACAACATCCATCATTTACACCTCTATGCTTATGTATCATTATCATAGTGTAAAACTTAACAACAGGCTAAAAAAGTTCATCAAGACTGAATAAAACTGAGCTATAATAGGGCTCAAAAAGTGCATACACTACTTACTTTCACCACTAGATGTCACTGCTGATCGTGAGCTCCGAAGGCTGTCCACACTGACGTTCACAGAGCTTGCCAGAAGACCTTGTGAAGACCTTAATGATCAAAAGAGATCTTAATATTGCTTATTGAAATGTTCAGATTATCAGCCAAATGAATATAAATCATTGCTGCATGCAAATGTTTTAAATTAGTTGATCTTTTCTTTAAGTGGTTGAAAGAGGAAGAATGCACTGGAGAATGTTGAACCAAAAGGACCACTTCAGTGTAGCAACAACCTGTTCAAGTTTTTCTGTCATGCTCTCTAACCTGCAGAGTTACAAGACTGTCTCCTTATTCATGACAAAAATGGGATAACTTTAGACCTCAACATCATGTCGTCTTCTCCTCCTCCTGCGAAATGAGTTTGACCATTGCTGTCCCTGGAGGAGTCTCTCTGGTAGTAGCTCTCAAACACCATGGGCTCTGTGAGAGAAAAAGGGAAGTGAGGTGAAGTGGTTTATGCCACCCTGTACACTGAAAGAGAAAGGTTATGAGTTGAGTGGCACTAAATATGTTTCTTATTATCTGACCCTTTATTCACTTCTCTTTTAAATTTCAAATTCCCAGAGCAAAAAAGAAAACCCTTTTCATTTGTTACTTATTTTGATCTTGTGGGAAAGAATGGAGAAATACTACTTTATTGTTCATGTGGGATCATTAAGGGCAACAAAGAAGACAAAAAGAGACTTCAACAAGACAAGTGAGAATAAATTGTGTAAAAAATAAAGAAATTATTTAAAGTATAATTTTGTCTCATGTCAAACTTTCAGTGGAAATATTGCCAAAGACAGACATAAAAAGAGAAAACTATTTGGAGTTTCACTGTTTCCTCCAAAGTCTTATCAGGCAGAGCCAAACACTTTTTTCTTAATTGTCAAAAACTCAAAAAAAAAAAAAAAAAAAGTGCAATTATATAACACAGAAAAAAGGAAATCTTTACTGTTTGGGAGCAAAAGCCTTTACTTTGTCTCTATACTTTATACAAAATGTTAGTTAATTCTCTGAAAAGGTTAGAACTTCTTGAAGTCTCACTCCTTGTTTTGGTAAAAGGGAATGTAAACTGAATGAAACGAATCGTGCATGAACTTAATTGTTCTGTGAGCTACACAGACTTTAAATGAAATATCTTGTATCTCCTCATTAAGTGATATTCCTAGTCTCTATCTATAGCTATGAGGTGCTGAGATTTTTGTGGTTTGTATGTGACAAAACACATAATGAGCTTTACTCCAGTCTCTCTACTAAGATCTACCAATGACTATCTGCAGAAAAGTTTGAAGCTTAAACAAATTTGACCCACAGCTCAGATCCAGGAATGAACATCTATAGGATAGGGATGAGAAGATTAACCGATACGTATCGATACGCTGTCACGCGCGTGCAAGATGCGGGTGCTCCGGTAGAGCAGCTGAGAGTGAATGCATTTTTGAATGCACATCGAGATTTATCGTTATTATATGTTTCTATCGATACAATCAGATCCGTTTAACACACAAGGTTTATTTTTTAGTTACCAAACCATTATGGGGGCATAATTTACTCGGATTTGCGGATGTAGACTACAAATTAAAGTATCAACTCCGCGGATTCACTACGTGCGCCGCGGATGAATACTAGCGGTGAGAAGGAGTGTGAGGAGTAAGGTAAACAAATATGTCGGACGCTGAGCTAATTTACCCTCCTCTGAGTTGTAAATCTAAGGTTTGGCGACACTACGGGTTCTACAAGAAAGACGGACTACTCTACAAGACAGATTTGCCAAATGTGCCGCGCTGCTGTAAAATACACAGGCAGTACGACTAACCTGATAACTCGGCGCCACCCCCGCATCCCCAGCTCCCAGCTCGGATTCGCCTGCAGCCGACAACTTCAAAAGTGGTGAGCGAAGTGTTTCAAGTTTCTTCCATGCCCCGCTTGCTAATAACTGTACATGCTCAATGGCAGTAACGTTTGCAATAGCATTCATCATATGCAAAGATATTCAGCCTTACTGTTTGACAGAAAACAAAGGTTTCAAACACCTCCTCCATGTCTTTGAGCCTCGATTTAAAATACCATACTGAAAACTATTCTCCGAAAAGCAGATCCCTTCCCTCTACAGCAAAGTTAGAAGATAGTGTAGTCACTGAGCAAAGCCCAGAGAGTAGCTCTGTATCGTTATTTGGGTGTGAATTGCATCACGCATGTATCCTTAACATATCGGATCGGAGACATTGTATCGAGATGTGTACCATATCAGCCTTGTGTACAAGAAATGCGTGCGCAACCATGGGGCAAAAGCCTGCTTCGGAGTGGACTGATATCAATGAATTTCACTCAATTTACCAGGTTGTGACGTTGCTTTACATGTTTCTAATATCAGAAGCAGGGTCGTAATGTTTGCTGATTGTTTGTTTTGCCGATTCGTGCAGTTTACAGCACAATATCTTCTTGTCATTTTCTTTCTCTGTTGACTCCGCTAGTAAACAAATAAGATATGTCCCGCTTTCTGCCCCAAGGCTGCGCGCGTACCTGCGATAAAGTTGCATACACATACCTGCGATGAAGTTGCACAGAAACCCGTCTATACGTAAGATGCCCAACCCTACTATAGGACAGTTTTAGATCTCAGACTGTGAGACTTCACGCTGAGACAAATCAGGGCTCTCAGACTTGTTTAACTTTTCTTTCAGCGAAGATGTCAGAATGAGACAGCTGTGAGAAACGGAGAAATCACACAGTAGGCCCACACAAGACTAAATGCAAAGACTGAGCCATGTTTATATCTCATGAAACACAACTGAAGCAAGTGAGAAAATAAAAGAAGTCTCTTGTTGCTCCAGTTTGTGCTGATTCTTGTCCAGGAGACATAGATTTTACTCACCTGGAGGCCTGGTCCCCGTGCTCTTCATTCCTATGAAACAGTTGTTGTCCATCATAATGTCACACTGTTCCAGCACCTTCCTCACCTCCTCGTAAAGCTATTTTTTTAAAACAAGAGGAAATCCAATTACAAATCCAAACTATGTGTAAATGCATAGTTCATGAATAGCACAGACTATGCTAACTTGGTTGAGGTTAGAAAACGACATTTCCAGAGCAGCTATTTATTTTAAAAACCCAGGAAGAAGTGTATTAGCATAAATTAAACATGCAAGATAAATCTTAGACCAAATCAATATGTGCACTTTCCCTTTTACTTTGCTAAGCTATAACCCCTCTTTTCAAAGTCAGTGTGCTTATTTGCTACAAACAGTACATTCGTAAGCATTGTCTTTCTTATCATGTTGATGTTGAGCAGATATAACAGCATGCAGTGTTTAACATCTTCATTTAGCCTACTGACATTTTCCAGCACAACACCTCTGGACCATGAAGTTAAAGTTAATGTACCCATTAGTTTTGTGTTGTTTTTTTGAATTTCTTTGACCCTGTATAATGAAGGAGGAAGTGAGCTCACCTCATCATTTTTGACACACTGCAAGGAGAAATGATTGCAGTGATCCCACAGAGAGCACCTGAGCATGTTGATGCGATCTCCCTCTAGCTGCTGAAACACCTGACAAACACAAACACACTTTATGGGTTTTTAATTCAAAGTAATTCAAGTATTTTCATTTCATCTCATTGCTTTCTCTCTCTGTACTCAGTATGCTCTATTGAGTCAACTGCAGAGGTGCAAAATGCACCTCTAAACTGTCAGGACAAAGTTTGACTCATGCATCGTGGTAATCACAGCGTAATTGTGTGCATGCTGCTCTATTTTTAGACCAACAGGTCCGCTATACAAAGAATCGCGCTGTGTACAGAACGGGGAGGTGGTGTGAAACTTGCTTCTGTGGTTTAGGTCTGTTGTATTGTGATATGAGTGTGCTTTAAGAGTGAAAGGAAATTAATTCAAGGTACCTCACATGTGCTTCTGTGTGTTTCTTCCCAGTCTTGTCGAATGCTTTCAAGCTGAACGATGTTGTTCAAGTACAGTTTTTCTGTGAAAGGTTGGAGATGGTACAATTAGAAGTGAAACAACAATGAATCAAAAGGAAACAAGACAGCTACCAGTCTCCCGTGACTTCTTTTTTTTTTTTTTAAACAGATAATGCACAGTGTAAAACAGTTTAACCCATGAACTGCTATCTTAAACAGAAAAACAGTGAAGGCTGTATTGAGAGTGATCATCAGTGTGGCAGATTAGCATTGAAGGGAGATTGAACAGGAGTCAAGGTTATACCTGCTTCATTTGCCGTCTGTCTGTGCTGCTTTGCTCTTTGACGCACCTGTCAATTATAACGCAGGAAACAACAAGTATGATCAGCATGACAACCTGTGATCTTTCCGTTTCTTCTTTTCACTAGAACATGTCAGATATGTCATTTTTGTATATTTTCCTGGAAATACAAATCTAACATAAGCAGAGCTCAATTGTTTGAATGTCCTTAACTGGGTTTCCTTTATAGGAGGTTCACAGCAGCAGGCTTTAGTTCCTTCTTGTCTAAAGTTAAAAAAAGTCCTACTTCTTACAGAATTTTTCCTCCTCTGCAACTTCAGCCAAATTAGTCATCAACAAAACATCCATGATAGATATTTTTGTCTTGGAGTAGGCTAAAATGACTATGTCGAGATGAAACAAGTAGCCTAACTTCTCTCTACACCACCATCTGCTCTGATATTGTTTGGCAATGTTAGCTGCTGCACCTTGTCTTGGTTTTTTGATGTTGCAGCCGTCTTCTCAGCCCCTTGCTTGGCCTCGTCCGCCTCCTTGCATCTCAGCTCATAGTTTTTTTTTGACTGTTTAAAACAGAAACCACGATGTACAGAGTTCCAGCAATGACAGGAAAAGCTGTGAAATATTTGATGTTTATTTCAGGAATGGTCACATGGCAGTATGCCATCTTGTCAGTTTCTCCACCATAACAGAGGAAGTCAAGATTTGTTTGTAAGATGTGAAAGAGTATATTCACTGCCTGTTTATCTACCTCCACAGTCTTCTTGTACATGGAGACCTTTTTCCTCTGAACTTTCTCCATGATGCTCTGAAACTATAGAGGGAAACAAGAGGATGACATATATATTTTTCTACTTTGTCTGTAGTGAGCTATTAAAACCTTACATTATGTTAGTATGTCAGTAATACCCCTCTCTCACACACACACACATAATCAGCGGTTAAGGAAAGCAGCTCGCTCAGTACCTTCTTCCTCTGCTCCTTTTGGCGTTCTCTAAATGTCTCAATCTTTTTCACCTCCTCTTTCAATATATCAGATAAGTGGATGTGGAAGTTCCCGATGTTCTCAATTTCTGCAGTCCAAAAAAAAAACTATTAAATGACTGACTCAAAACTGTAGCCATACAAGATGTAGCAGCAGTGCTTCACATCCTGGTTAAAATTGTATCAAATGAATGAACGGATGAACTTACGCATTTTTAATTGTTCAAAGGATGCTCGCAGAGTACTGAAAAAAAACAATACATATGTAAGAACAGAGAGTCAAATGAAGCATTTTCACTAAACACAGCAGGTGCTCAGTATTTTATTTTTGAGCTATGGTTTGCCTTTTCTTCCCTGAGAGTCTCAAAAAAGAGTGAACTTAATCTGACTGCTGAGTGCTAAAAACTGCAGCATAATCATCACCGGTGAACACATGCATACTGTGTACTTTTTGCCTCTTTTTGTGAAATATGTGATTCCTATTAAAAGATTATGACTCATAGACACATGATTATTGTTTCTAGGTTATAATAAATCATCATTAAACAATATAGTAATTGTACAACAGTGTTTTATTAAAACGAGAGTTTGTTTTAGAAAAGCACAGATGCACATATTATGTCCACACAGCACACTCGACTGACCCAAACATCAGGGCTGATTTACCTGATCTCTGTGTGTCCCCCTGCTTTGCGAGCAATAGTCACCAGCTCTTTCCCGTACTTCTCCTCTGCTTGAGCCCTGTGCAATATGAACACACAGACGTATACAACTGAATCTATTTTTAGCGTTTCCTTGTAAAATTGAAAACTCTTGCAGTTAGAAAAGAGTTCCTGCTTTTGTCTTAATATGCAGAAACAATGACTTGCACTTTCACCTTGTTAGTACTTAAGTAGCGGAGGCCTTGCTTTTCGCATGAATTAACACTGACAGTCCATTTTAACCACAACTTCACTGTTTGACATGAACAGCTTTTGAGTGCAATTTTACTGTTTCCTGACAACCTTTCCTGAAGTAACCCTTATACTCTATTAACACTGCAAAAAACAGTTGGTCAGACTCATACATATTAACAAAATTCTGATTTGATGTAATGTGATGATAGTTTAGATTTATGAAAATCCTGTGTCTAGACGTTGAATATTAAGCTTTGGTGTTAGTGACTCTAATACAAACTGGTGATACCTCATCTTTAGAAGCTCTTCCACATCTTTGCACATATGTCTTCCATCTTGTAACCTCTGGATCAGAGCCTCATATCCAGCGTGGCAAGTGAAGTCAGACCCCTGTATTGACCGAACATAGAAAATATCACAAAACAGGAATTGCCCAACACATTTTGAAACACGGCCTTCAGTCACTCCGGGAATCAGTATGTGGTGAAAATGCAGAACTAGGCGGCTGCAAGAAATAGTATGAAACAACAACATTCTCAGTAATACATGAAAATGCCTGTCTCCTTCTAAGGAGAGCAGAAAACAGCCAAATAAGGCAAAAAAGGACAGCAGAAACTACAGTAACTTAATCACAGAGTTGAGACTTTGAGTGCAGAGAAGAGTTTATGAATTGTATAACTGTTAACTATCTCTTTAGCTCACTTAGCAACTCAACAGAGACTGTTCACTCATGAAAAATACATTTTCATCACTACACTGTTCCTCAGTAATTTGATTAAAACATGTTTGATCTGTGCCATATTGGATAAAGAAGAAACTTTGTATTATGTAATAACAGATGTAGGCTAAGTGACTGTAGATGGACAGTTTCTGCTCACTTATAATGTATTAAAAACAATGACAGCTGTGACAATCAAGTGTTGTTAACGATATCAATAGAGTAAACACAATAGCTTTTAACTTTATACAATGGTAATTTAATATAAAATCCCAATAGGGACTAACTGAATGGCTGTAAGCACAGTTAGACAACAATAGAGCATGAAAAAAAAAAACCAACAGCACTTACCCAGAAGGCATCTTTAAACATCAGAGGCGCCATCTCACTTGTGACTTCCTTGAGCTGAACAAAGCTACTGTCCTAAAAATGAACTTGTGTTTTGCTTAGATCAACTATTTGAAGGTGATAGGACATTCAGGCAAACTGACTGAGTTTTAAACCGTGAGTGCCCCAAGTGTCAGTGAGTCAAAGTGAATGAGGAAGAGCTCCTGTCCTATGATGTCACTGACCACAGAGAGCTCAGCCCCTGTGTGAGACAGCAGCTCCTTCACTATCATTGAGAGGAGACAAAAAGAAACTATGTGCTGTTCAAAAAGGCCCAAATGTTTTCCCAGACTATCAGTGTACTACAGCTGCAACAGAAAAGTAACATGTATCTGTGTGTTTTTGACTCTGCAAGCAGGTCGGGTAAAAAAAGGCTTTGCAGGTATCCAAAAAACTTCAGATAAAGGCTACAAAAACCATGAGTATTTTGTCCTAAATGTGGCTGAAATACACTCAAGTTATCATAATAACTTCCCTTAAAATTATGATTTTCCAAGTACCTCTTGACATGGATGTAAATGTTTTTCAAACTGTTGTTTCTATTGATGACCACAAGGGGGAGACAGAGACCTTCCTCAAATATTTTAAATAAACCAAGTATTTGAAGTCTAAATGGTCAAACTCTCACTATGAGTCAGTAGTTTTTTTAATCTCCTCTGGGGGTTGGGTATAAAATCTTAAATCTCTGACTTTTGTGGGGATGAATATAAATCTGTGCCCCAGGCGTCTCTGCGGGAAGACACAGAGACACATGAATGAGCACATAGAAGCTTATTATTGATTTTCAAAGTGAGGAGGACAGACAGCGGTGTCTCTCACCAGCCGCTCAATGAGACGTGTGAAAATCTTTTGCTCTCACAAAGCGAGGGATTATCCTGTCACACACCTAACGACATGTTAAAGGGACAGTACAAATCTGTGCTGTCAAGTGAGAAAAATAGAGCAACTCTGCAGCTCACTTTTTCTATTTGTTCTATATCTATTTATTTTTTAATTATAAGGCAAGTTGAGCTAAAATTCTTTGTATACATTTTTTTTTCACCTGCCAGAAAACAAATTCTTTTATACTGATACAGAACAGATTAATCTCTCTCCTATACATTGTATATGTCTTCAAGTTTCAATATTCAAAACAATTCAGGCTTCAGCTCTGTGACAGAACATTTCTAGATAGTCAAATGTGTTTTTTATGGACTCAATTTTATATAAAAAACAAACAAAATAAGATTCTCAACTTTAAACTTTGATTGTTCTTGCTCTCAAATGTATGTTGCTTTGGATAAAAGCATCTGCTAAATGACTCTGTAACATGGTAACATTGTTTTCATTGTACCGCCATGCATTAAGGATATTAAATGCATGAAATTTTGGTCAGCTTGAATAGATTTTACCTATTCCACAAGACTACTTCAGATAAAATTTTATACCACAAAAGTCAGACGTTTTTTCTGGAGTGGCCATCTTCGGGTTCAAGAGGGTGTAAGAATTCAGTTTTCCCACTTGGAGAAACCCAACATCTACCAGTTAGAGCGGAGATAATCCTCCCAGGCCGAGGCTTACAAGTTCGCACGTCGAGATGGCTGAGTCCGTGCTGCTTGGCCTTCGCTGTGACCCTGTTTGAGGCCTCTAATGGAGGGACAAGCTCTGGGAATCAGCTGTGCTGCCAGGGTCTGTGCACACTATCACACGCAGACACACACATACACACACACACGCGCGTTCCGTGGCCCTCTCTCACTGGTTTTCTCTCCCGGCCTCACACTCCCAGGAGTGGCAGTTATTGAACTGTGACAAACGAGCCGTGTCAGAGCAGCTCTCCTACCTGGGGGATTGGCTAAATGACCTTTCCATTACCCAACCACTGCTGTATTCCCCCTCTACAGATAGAGTTACATACACAGCTACAAAGCCCATTTACAGGGACCAGTGTCACAGTCTCTGCCATCAGCCACTACATATTTTTTTCTTTTTTAAAATTTGCTTTGTTTCTAAACTTTATCTTACTTCAAACCGTTCTAGCTTTATACTAGAGTTTTTACATTTTTTTTTGCATCCTCATGAACTTGCTGGCAGTGTCTGGATCATGTGTGGGTGCAGTTATACATGCAACATCAGAGACAGCTTGTGTCTGGCTGCATGGATTCGTGCACATGTGGATTGTGTGTTTCTTCATTCATGTATGAGAGAGAGAGAGAGACAGAGAGAGAGAGAGGGGGGACATCTGGTCTGCAGTGTGCGACTTAACTGGTTTTCACACATTCTCCAACCTCCATCCCTGCTAATCCCCTGTTGACCATTGGCACCAGCCCTGAATCTTACCAGATACTTTAAGAAACAAGTCTGAAGAGACAACTGAAGAGGGGGATGAAAGGAGCGGAGAGGTTAAAAGTGGAGGAGCAGTGGAGAGAGGAGAGGCAAAGAGGAGAGACAAGAAGCGGGGAGAAAAATCAGGATGAGAACGAGAGAATTAAAGTCAAAGACAAGAGAGGCTGGATGGGGAGACTGCTGCAGCCTGTTGGATAGGAATGCAATGAGGAGAGTCTTTGGCCACATTAGTGGGAACCTGTTAGGAGGCTGACAGATGCAGAGCTAATGATGTGTAGGCATAAGGGCAGGGCCTGCAGTTGCAAGTGAGACGATCTGCACAAGCTGTCATAATACGGCTGAAAACCAACAGCTGAAGGAGAAGGAGGAGAGGACAGAGCAGAAACACACAGACCCCCAAAGTGTAGGGTGGGGGCCTTTCTCACGTTTGATCTGTGTCTAGCTTTGAATGAAACATTTATTAGCTGTCTTAAGCCTCAGCTTTACGGCTGAGAAGTCCAGTGTTAATCACTTTGATCCTCATGTGTGTGTGATATTCCCTCATGTGATTTTGTGGACACTGTGATGTAGAGAATATAGGCAGGACCAGCCTTTATGTCAGTGTATTTACCCCTCTATAAATATTTAATAAACAGTGTTTGCATGTAGTGATATTGATGAGGTTCCTGTTGATGTAATGATTTAAAGAATTTAGACTCCTTAGTGTGTGTGTGTGTGTGCGTGCTCGCGTGTGTGCTCGCGTGTGTGCGTGCGTGCGCGTGTGTGTGTGTGTGTGTGTGTGTGTGTGTGTGTGTGTGTGGTCAAAACTGAAACCCAAAACTATAGACAACCAACTAAAAATGAGCCATAACATTGTGACCTCCTACCAAATACTGTGTAGGCCCCCTTCTCATCAGGTCAGGACCAAAACAGCCCTGACCTGATGAGATATGGACCCTACCAGACTTCTGGAGGAGTCATTAGCAGCTGGTCCTGTAAGTTAAGGGGTAGAGTCTCCATGGATCAGACTTGGTTGTCCAGCACATCCCACAAATGTTTGATTGTTTGGACTTAGAGATGAGGAATTTGGAGAAAGTAGAAAAATCAGGTACTTCACTGCTCTGTCATCAACATATGCTGGTATGAAAGTAGGGATGGGAATCACCAATGGCCCCACGATACGATATTATCACGATACTGGAGCCACAATACAATATTATTGCGATTTTAAACATTTTGCGGAACACTGAGTATTGTGATACAATATTTTGCGATTTATACCATTTTTTCAACTGTTTAGCTAATTTAGCGTTTGGCTTTCTGTTATGTTTGTCTTATTTACACAGTATTTAATTTAACTCACTTTCTCCTGCTCACTTCTGCCAACCTCACTGGACAAACAGTTTATTTCATTTTTCCATTATTATTGATTTGACTTCATACTAACAATTAATTTTTAAAAAATTATATTTGGTAAATGAGATGATACGATATATCACCAGACAAAATATTACGATACTATGCTGTATTTTATCTTCCACCCTGTCAGAGTCCCTCATATCCTCAGCCTATGTCAGTTTTAAACCTTGAACACATCAAACTGTTCACTAGCTGAACATACCTAACCCACAGGTGACAGGTGCCATGGTGACATGACAATCGATGATATTCACTTCAGCTGTCTCTGATCATTATACCATGGCTGATTGGTGTCAACAGCATCTGTCCTCCGCAGAAAAAACGAAAACAAAATTAAGATACTCCCTTTCCTACTGTAGCTTTCATTCACCTGTGAAGTAAGAACCCCCATAAATGAAACAGATACTCTGTATATTTGTATGAAAAGATCATTAAGGCAATTTGTTTACTCATGAAAGAAAGAAAGTCCAGTAGGTGGCACTAAACTCCTGTAGAAAGAGTCCGTCTGTTCCTCTCAGGAGCAAAAACTGGTTTGGAGTTTTCCTTTCAGTAAGATAATGGTTTCAAGTGTTTGTTACGTAAGCACTCCGAAAAAATGTTGGGCTTCAAAAATGTTTGATGGATTTCACAAAAGTAAAATGAAAACACATTTATCTCTGTCCATCACTCTAAGCCATCAAAATTCTCTTCAAACTCCTCCTCCTGTCAGATTTTAATCAACTTCTCCAGCATCCAGGGCTGGTTCTGCTTTCATATTCAGGGCTGTGCGGCCAGAGCGCCGTATACGCCCATACGTAGTCTCATTTATTTTTTTTTCTTTTACCGCAGCTTTCAACATAAAACAACCGATTAAAGATAGTATTTGTGATTTTAGAATGAAAAATATCTGTGTAGACCAGCTATAACAATGACTGAAGTATAATTTTGAGAAATGATACAATAACAATCATCTTTGTCAGTTTTTAAATGCTATGAAAACCAAAAGGCAATGTGAAACTGTATCTGTATCAAACTGGATAAAAATGTATGAAAACCGGCTTAGAACAGTCAGAAAGGATTTCATTTCACTTTTTCATCAAGCGTTGTGTACTCATATCCTGGACCCACTCATCACTCTACTGGTCTTTTTTTACTCACTGTTTCCTGCTTGCTGTTACTGTCTGCTATTCTCACTGCTGTAAGATCTAAAGTGTTCCTCTTGATGATCTTCAGCCCCTTTGTGAGGCGAGGGCCATGTAGAGTTTTTAGATGCTCCCATTGGGGTGAAGGTTCAGTCTTGCAGGTGAGGTAGTTAATCTGACTAAAATTGAGCAAAGTTGAACTTCTCATTGTTGGACTAACCTACCTACATAATGCATTTCTTTTATGTGTATGGCTTAACTGGACTGAAACTCACTTAAGCGTTCTGTGCATGCTCCAGTGTTCACAAGCCGTACTTTGAG